ACCTAAATCTATAAAGATACACCCTGTATTTTATGTATCCCTCCTTCGTCTAGCAGCCAAAGAAGACGATCACATACCTAGCCAGAATGCACCGCTACCTGAACCTGTCGTTGTAGATAACAAAGAAGAATACTTTGTAGATAGCGTCGAAGGTCTCCGCTTTAACAAGCGTAGAAAGAGACACAAGTACTATGTAAAATAGACTAGTTACAATGAGTTAACCTAGGAACCCGCCTTAAACCTGAAGGATAACGCAGCTGTAGCTGCTTTCTACGAAAGATTTCCTGATATCCCTAAACCTTTATCGTCACGATCGACGCTCGCAGGAGCTCGAGAATAAGAGGGGGGTACTGTTACGGTAACTACCGTGGTTCCCTTGACACTGAACGCGCTACAGAATCCGAGTGCTCCGCCAAGCACCAGGATTCTGCTGATTGGCCGGCCGGGCCTAGCGCCATGCGCACAGCCCCCATCGATAACTTCTTACCGCCTGTACATGCTGATTCTGTTTCCTTACGCAACGTCTTGTATTACACCAGATATCGTACGTAGCCACAATTAACGCTTCTAGTAAGCTCTTAAACACGTGCTCGTAGCATCTCGTGACACCGAGATATTATCGAGGATTCACCAACTGGGCTCCAGCCCATTACACTAGAAGTGTCCTCGAGCTCCTTCCTATGCTAAAAATTATTAAGAGGCAGTACAGCAAGGAAGACTTGCCCTACTATTTTATTATCCCTACGCTGCTAAGGCATACTTTAAGTTTTAGCATACCGCTCGACAAAAATTAGAGCATAGAAGACAGCGCCCGTGTCCTAAATAAGCTTATAGTAAATCTTAGGTTTAAAAGATACCTAGCAAAGGGAGGAGATGTTAGGAGTTTTGTAGCGAGGTTTATAGCTAGAGATTATAATGCTTGTGTTAGAATGCACTGTGTGTAAATCGGTACATAACCTAGAAAAACAGACTCAGCTAACTACTGTGTTTAGTTAACGTAATGCCCGTCCCTAAGGAACTAGAGGAATCTACCCTCTTAGTGCTTGAGAAGCAAGTCCTAGCTCGCAGTAGGGAATGGATAGAGGTAGGCATGGCATATTCATATGAACCTAGCACGCGACTAAGTACTCTCAGCCATGTACTGTCGTCAAACCCCTTAGCTTTGTCAGCATGGCAAGTGACCCTAAAAGCGTAATCTTTCTACAAAAGTATTCATATCAACACGGGCATGCAGGATTGGCAAGAAATTTCTTGAATAGGCAGACGAAGCCCTCCCTTTCGAGACTATACTCACCGATGTCTCTTTGTACTGGTTCTCAGACGGCATGCCCCGCAGCCTCTATCACTATCGTGAACTCTATGGTATACATCCCTCCACTTGCCCTTGTCTTCCACTTATCCTACTCATTTCTACCCCTATTTATCGCCTCCAACTTGTTGACTGACGTCTAAGCAGGCCCTACGCCTCCTGACTTTGGCATAACCGAAAATCCTACTGGCTTCTCCTTCTTTCCCCTTAAACGCGCACCGGGCTTTGGGAGCGTGCTTGGGAAGTATTGTAATCTTGTGCATTACAGGCAACATGAGCGGGGCGGGCATTTCGCGGCGCTGGAGATGCCACAGGAACCTTGGAAGGACGTGGAGGAGTTTTTAGGCATTGCTTGGAAGATTTGAAGATTGCCTTGGATGTGGGTCTAGGTGCACCGTGTTCAAACTTCCTTGCTGCCAATTGACATCCCCATACCAATACTGGCTGTGCGCTCGTACCGGTACTTGCGCTGCAACGCGCACCATGGGCCTTGTTGGGCACCCACTCACATGAGGTTATTGAGTCACGTAAAAAAGCTATTCGTCTAGATGATTTGGTAGAGTGATTTATAGGCCTATGTGACATGATCTGCTACCAAAGTTTGCGTGGCTGGAGTATCCTGCAGTCACGGCTGTTGTATGTAGGTAGAGGTGTTCGTGAACACGCCGCAGTAACACGACGACCACGAGCAGCTACAAAACTACGATTCTGTTTCTTTCTAGGTGCTATAAAATGTAACGTCTTCCGCTTGCCTCTTTGGGGGGAATCCACAGCTTTTGTAGTGTCGCATCTTCGCTTTTGACGCTCTCGTCCGGCTTTGCGTTTAGCTGCTTCCCCACGCATTAGAAGCGCTGCTATCGCGGTCAAGGACATCTGTGATGGCTTTCGAAGCGGCGGTGGCGGCGCAACGGTGTTCCACAACGATCACAGAGGCTAGCAACCATCTCGCAGCAGCACTAGGGCTTTAATATTTATCTCTTCATCTTGTTATATAAGGCTAGGCAACCTTAAAAGAGATAGATGGAGGGAGCGCTGTTCTTCAGCTTTCGCTTGCAGCATTTCGCGACCCTGTTGTCAACCGCTTGGCGGCGTGGTCACGCCACTACGTGCCTGCCTACTCAGGATTAACGTGTTTCATCACAAATTAAGGCACTCTACAAGCGAGCCTGTGTGGCAGGGTAGTTGGGATTACACAGTCCGCAAGTTTCCAGCTTCTATGACCTTTTAACCCCTGCGATTTCAAGAACATACTTCATGCCCTAGCTTGTAGTAAGCTGTTCTGTGATCTTTCTCTCTGTGTACTAGATCGGGCCTCACGATATCGCCACCAGCAACCCCTAATGCATAGTCAAAGGTGAGCTAGCGAATGCCCACTACTTGTCAACATCCGAGCTCACAGACCTAGACACGATGACCCAGGGAACAACCTGATTGAAGATGACATTCGACCCGTTGTAAGCGATAGCAGCGAACAACCACAAATCTTGAGGAGTCAGGACTTACTCCGATATTGGAAGCTGCAATTTCTTGCCTCAGTTAAGTCATGGAGATTTCCTGCGGAACGTCGCAAGACTGCGATGTACCAAAGTCGTTGGTTAGCGGCTGGCCATGCTTTACTACACTTGGTTCCCCTGAGCAGCGGAGTCGCAGTCTTGATACTCAACTGGAGTCAATATTTCGTGGGGCCTTCGTTCACGCTCTCTACTACGCTACAATTTGTCGCCAAACTACAAGAGCTTCTGATGCAAGCCTCCCTTGCTGAGATCGTCTTAAGCATCGTTCGTTCACAAATTGTGGAAGGATATTTGCCCTTAGGTGCTCTGTCAGCATCTACGCAGGGGATGCATATATCCTACCTCTGGTCGCTCGATCTGCTGGCTGCAGTCACATCTCGGTCCTTCTGCGGGCGGCGGAAAGCGCTGTTCGTTTGTCTGGTTCCTTTGTTAATCCTTTTGACGGCTCTCGTTGGGCCGTCGAGCGCTGTTTTGATGATTCCACGGGCAGGAATGTCAAGCAGACCAAGTGTTGTACATTGGCGATCCACGAGCGATGAAGCTGCCATGTTCCCTTCTCGACTAGATAACAGGCAAAATTTGACATTGTGAGTGAAACAAAGCGCAACGCATTACGACCAGCGTTGACAGAGTGTAGTAACTTGGATCGTTTTTCCACAACTTACGCATTCGACGAGAAAACTCAGATAGAGTATACTAACAATCAAATCTATTACAATGGAAACGACACGATGGTACACTTGACCTCACGAGTTTTGCGTTATACCAGGACGCAGAAGGAGGTTTCAAGCGGCCAACGTAATATCCTGGTACGCTCCGCAAACGCCACCATCCCGACCCAGCTTAGTGCACAGGTCTTATATCAGATTCCTTTCACAAAATATGGCCGGGGCGGTACTTGGATTCCTGGGACTGATATCACAAGATCTATCAAACTACCACGTGTTACGGTCACAGCGCACTGCTTAAGTGCAGACGACACTCAACAAACAACATTAGATACGCCAGTCGCCTACTCTCTAGATGACGGCGATTCTATCGGCACCATTCCCAGTCTGAGGAACCTAATTCAGCAATTTCTTGACCATGGTGGCTCTCGAGACACACCAGTCAACGCTATACCACCCCTCTGGCTTGCTTCGCCTGAACCCGGTTCGTCCTCAGTTGTTGGCAGCTTCATTCAGAACGATTGCGCCGGCTCGAAGCAATACGTGATTTCGGATTTACTACTCAACGAACTCAATTTATCTATGCCGTTGTCCGATCCTTGTCTGTATACAAAGACTTGTACAGTAGCCGCTTTCTGGGAGCCGTCTCAACATGAACTCGCAGCGGATAGCGGTTCATGGGTGGTCCGCACCGGTTCGCTTTCGAACTTGGATCATGGCTTACCCAAAACTACACGCCCAATTTCCGCTGATCTCGACAGCATCACTGGCTTGAACACCCCGTCATTTGGTGCCCTGATAGGCAAAGATTTCCAATTTGACAGCACCAGACTAGCCGTCGCGTTAGCTACCGTCTTTTCCGAAATTCCCTGGAAAGAGCAGATACAAAGCGCGTGGGGAGATGAGCCATATACAGTAATCGAGATTGCCTTAACGCGTCTTGGCTACGGATACGAGACGTCATCTATCTCTACACGCTTATCGCTAATCGTTATCATGGCATACTGCATGGTCGCTGTCGGATACATAACATACTTGCTCAGTAGCGGCCACGCATCTACGGCATGGTGTTCGGCAACTGAGATTATTGTTCTTGCGTTGCAGTCAAAGCGCAGTGAGCATTTGCGCCATGTTTCGGCTGGCATCAACTCTATAGAAACTTATCAGGAGCCTGTTGGGATACGAGTAAGTGATCGCAATCATTTGGAATTAGTGTTCGAGCGTGAATCAAGTAACCAGTTGCGGAAATTAAGAAGGGTTGGGCTAAACAAGGCATATTAATTCGCAAATGTCCTAGGCGCTGTGGACAAAATCGTAAACAAATGGTTTAGTGTCATCGCACGGTTGTCCAAACATATGGGATTGTAGCACAGGGTATTATTTCATTTTGTCGCATTGGGACATTCGCTCACAGGCGTCACTCATTATAGTATAAACTTACACGTCATCTGTCTTACCATGCCACTACCAACCACACCACACCATACCACACATGTTCTCCCTGCACGCTTACAACCTCTCCTTCTGCAGACCCTTCCATCCCCACTCTTGCGCAATCAACTCCGCCGCCCGCTCACCAATACCCAGTACAGTCAACATGGGGTTGATAGTAGGCATCTCGGGGAAACAACCTGCATCCGCAATCCTAACGCCCTTGAGACCTCGGATCTTCAGCTCAGGGTCCACAACAGCCATCTCATCCTTAGTCACATCACCCATCTTGGTTGTGCCAGCGGGGTGGTAGACAGTGTGTGCGACGCGACGACCGTACTCAGACAACTCCTCGTCGGTGTTCACCTTGGGTCCGGGTGCGACCTCGCGCTTGATCCAGTTGGAGAAGGGAGCTTGCTTGGCAATTTCTCGGGCGGCTTTCAGACCCGCGACAATGGTGGCGGCGTCATAGCCTTCCGGGTCGGTGAAGTAGCGGAAGTCGAGGGCAGGCTTTACGGTAGGGTCCGCGGATGTGAGGTAGATGCGGCCGCGAGAGCGGGGGCGGGGAATGTTGGGCGTCATGCAGAAGGCGTCGATGGGGGAGTCGTAGCCCATGCTGTGGTTGACGTTAGTGTTTAGCGTGAACACGTGGGTTCTGTGGAACTTACCGAGCGGTGTTTAGGCAGAAGGGGATTTGGTAGCAGTGCATCATGATGTCGGCAATGTCACCGTCACCACCTGCTGCGTTGGGTACCTCGCGGCGGAGGAAGATTCCTGCGTCGGAGTCCATAGTGGTCTGGTTTGCGGGTACGGGCTTGTTCAGCTCCCAGAGGATGATACTCTCAGGGTGGTCTAGCAGGTTCTCACCAACACCGGGGATGTCTTTTACGACAGGGATGCCGAGATCGGAGAGCTGTTGCTTGGGACCGAGACCAGAGAGGAGCATTAGACGTGGGGTGTCGACAGCACCTGCGCAGAGGATGGTCTCGCACTTGGGGTTGAGCGTGCGCTTTTCGCCGTCTTGGAATGTGAGGTCAATGCCGGTGACCTTCTCGCCCTGGACGTTTACTTTGCTGACCCACGCGTTGGTGAGCACGGTCAAGTTATCGCGCTTCTCCTCACCACGAAGGATGGGGTGAATATAGGCGACACTAGCGCTGCTTCGTCGGCCATCGTCGGGGTTGTATGATACTGAGAAGAAACCGACGGAGGGCTTGAGCGCACCCTTGGTCTTGATTTCTTGGTTGAAATCATGGATCACAGGGATGTCCATGGCGGTTGAGCATGAGTCGATCCAGTCGAGGCAAAGCTGGTTTCGGTGCTTCTCGTGCACGGGCTGAACGGTGTTGCGCAGGTTGTCAAGTACGCGCATGAAGGTCTTGAAGCTCCAGCCCTTGCAGCCTTGAGCTTCCCACCTCTTGCAGTCATACTCAAACGGCCTGAAAGAGATGAGGGTGTTGTGTGATGAGCAGCCACCGAGGACCTTTGCACGCGAGTGACGGATGTGAGAGTTGCCATTGGGCTGTTCGGTAGTGCCGTAGTCGTAGTCGAGTTCGCCTCCGAGAAGGTTGAGCCAGTCCTTGAGCAGCAATACACGGTCGTCCATGAAGTCGCTTGGGCCGGCCTCAATCAAGAGAACCTTCTTGTTGGGCAAATATTCGGTGAGTCGCGAGGCGATGACACAGCCAGCTGTGCCTCCTCCGACAATGACAAAGTCATACTCGGCATCTTTGGGGATGGAGGTCACGGTCTCGAAAGCCATTGTTGCGTCTAGGTGTTTGGGAGCTTGGGGTAGTGGCGAGAATGTGACTTCTGCTGAAGACGTTTTTCACGTAAGAGGCAAGCTTATATATCTATCCGGACTATTGCTCGAACGACTCGCTGTTGTCTAGTGTCTAGACGGGCCGGGGGTCGCGATCGGGCGGTCGGCAGAAGGTCGGACAGTCAAAACCGAGCTGGCAATGAGGCTGGAGGTTGGAGAGTCTTGTCGCAGCTGCAGGATATGTAGTTTGCCTTCCAGATAAGACTGTGCTAAATAGGCCCGTTTGCGCGGTTGGACCGGAGGCTTGTACGTGCACAACCAACGCCTCGCGACGTCAGCGATGTTGCGACGGTTGCGCGGGGAAAGATAAGCGAGGTGGCTGTTGGTAGGCAGTTAGTACTCTTTAAACGTGGCGTGATTTCAATTGATCAATCAGGTTGAGTGATGAGCTTGTTGTTGCTTGTCGCGAGGTCCTCAAGTCACTTTTCAAATTCGATGGAGAGAAAAAAAGGCGTCGTAAGACCACCCGATGATGTGATGGGCACAGTGGCCCTAGCTTGACCCCGCTAGGCTGCAGGTTCCGAGCAGGCGATCCCTGTCCGACCATGCCGCACCTTCCCCGATACTCGGGCGGTGAGTGCAGCAGCCATCGGTCCATCTCTTTTATGCCAGACACCAGCATCGACAAGAAACAGCGCCATCCCGCTGAAAAGCGAGCATTTGCAGCTGTCACCGTCGGTGATACACATCCTGACTCTATCCCTTGTTTCTCGTCACCTGACATATCTGACGTATCTCGTCGGCGACGCTCCGAAGGATTACTGATCCGTGACAGGAAAAAGAGGCGCAACAGCTGCATCAAAGCTCCCCACCGCTATCGTCGTATACAATTGTTAGTTCAGGTTACATCACCGCACCAATCTTTGAGCACTTGGCTGACACTGTGCAGATCAAACTGTGCATAAAGATTCTCCCGGTGCATCTCGCCCGTTGTGACGACGATAACAGCGACCAGACTCTTGCGACCTTGTATCAAGGCCAGAAGCAACCTACTTAGGTACCAGGCTTATCCATTGCGCCAACAAGCCACCCTCGCCATGTCTCTCCCATATGCGCCCCGATCAGCCTACTACGACGGCAAGCTTCAATCAGGGTCGTCTACCTCATCTTTCCAGACAATTGATCCTGCGACCGCCCAGCCCGTCGCAAACATCCACACAACCTCAAATGCCGGCATCGATGCTGCCATAGCCTCGGCGCACAAGGCATTCCCGTCATGGTCAGCAACACCACCCATTGAGCGCGCGCGCATCCTCCAGCGAGCGGCTTCCCTACTTCGCGCGCGCAATGACGAACTCGCGCGAATCGAGACCAGCGATACCGGCAAGCCCTTCTCCGAGACCTCGACCGTAGACGTAGTGACCGGCGCAGATGTCCTTGAATACTTTGCGAATCTCGTAGGAGGAGGTGGAATGAATGGCGAGACGGCACAACTGCGACCGGACGCGTGGGTATATACCACAAAGAACTCGCTGGGTGTATGTGCAGGAATCGGCGCATGGAACTACCCGATTCAAATTGCGTTGTGGAAGTCAGCACCCTGTCTGGCAGCAGGCAACTGCATGGTCTACAAGCCGTCAGAGTTCACACCATTGCACTCGACCGTTCTAGCGGACATCTATGCGGAAGCTGGTGTGCCGCCCGGTGTCTTCAACGTCGTCCAGGGCGGTGGCGAAGTGGGCGCATACCTCACCAAGCACTCTGGCATCGCCAAAGTCAGCTTCACCGGGCAGGTCTCGACCGGCAAGAAGGTTGCAGGCAGCGCATCAGGCGAGATGAAGTACGTGACAATGGAACTAGGCGGCAAGTCTGCCTGCGTGATCCTACCGGACGCCGACGTGGACCAAGCAGTCGACGGCGCAATGTTGGCCAACTTCTTCTCAACAGGACAAGTCTGTACCAACGGTACACGAGTCTTCATCCCCGAAGGCATGAAACAGACGTTCGAGAAGTGTCTACTGGAGAAGATGCAATATATCCGCCCCGGCGACCTCCACGACCCAGCAACCAACTTCGGCCCGCTAGTATCGAAGCCGCACTACGAAAAGGTCATTCAGTACATCAAGTACGGTCGCGACAACGATAAAGCGAAGCTTCTCTGCGGTGGTCCGGAAACACCTTCTTGGGTCTCATTGCACAGCGACAAGTCCTACCAGAACGGATACTGGGTGCAACCCACTGTCTTTACTAACTGCACCGACGACATGAAGATTGTCCGCGAAGAGATCTTCGGCCCTGTGATGTCCATCCTTACATACAAGACCGTCGAGGAGGTGATCCAACGGGCAAACAACACCGATGTTGGACTAGCGGCGGGTGTCTTCACCAAGGACCTCAACCGGGCGCACAAGGTCATTGCTCAACTCGAAGCTGGTATCACTTGGGTGAACACTTGGGGCGAGAGTCCCGCTGAGATGAGCGTAGGTGGATGGAAGCAGAGTGGTGTGGGGGTTGAGAATGGTAAGAAGGGGCTTGAGGCTTGGGTACGGAATAAGAGTACGCTCGTTGAGATGGGAGGTGCAGTGCCGACTGTATTCGCGAAGCTGTAAGTCTGTAGAAAGACAATGTTTGTGTGCGCACTCGATATCGGAGTTTCCCACAGTGATACAATTCCTCACCATTGTCGACATGTCATGCGTGCTGTGCCCACATGTCTGCGATTAGTCAGGGACTTGTCTGGGTAACGTACACCGAATGCGGAAAATGGGTTGGAAAGAAGAACAAAAAGCAACGAAGGAGTCACTCGCGCTGCCTGCAACATACCAAGCTAAAAAGCGGGGTTAACTTAGACATACCATGACAGCATCATTCCTCGCCGTTGTATATCGATGAATAAGCTATTTTCTTCACACCAAATTGACGGTACAGTGTAGCTCTGTGGCATCAGTCGTGTAGTATGCTATGAGCCAATCTCGTCTTCGAGGTAACCTGCTACTCATAGGAATAGCACATAGCACAAATCTGTTGCGGTTCGTTCCGGTATTTATGCTTTTTGTACTTTCGGCCCGTCCCTTCGCCAGCACTCGACTATCTCCCCATGTTCGACTCCATAACATGCGCGGATACTTCTCTTCTGCTTATCACCCTACGTACTGCAGGTAACCTTGGACATGTACAAAACCCTTGATTCCGTGCTCTTACTGGCTACATCCCCTAGCCATGCACCGCATGTCCGCAAAAGCAAATATCACATCTACAGATGTCCATCCACCAGCACTTCAAAAGGATCAGGAGCCATTGCTGCTTTAGAGGTACTTCGGCCCCACGAATCTGATGCAATATGAGATAACTATGGTAAAGATTGACCGTTCTGTGAATATTAAGGGGCGATGATAGATATAAAAGGGATGTAACCCGGCTGGTTTCGATGCACTAATATTCGAAGCCATCTCCACACAACTTGTTCTCCTGTTACCTTACCTCCCTCAATCTCACTCGTATTCACCGAACAGCCAATATAGAACATGCGAATCTCGCTCGGCCTTTCACTATTGAGCTCAATGGTCGCTTTGTAACTATGGCAGTACCCAACGAAGACGAAGACGACCGAATTGAAGCTAAATGCGGGGACCGCGACCATGCCGCAGTTTTCCATCTAAGCAACGGCTATTTGCAAAGTGGTGACTGGTATATGGGACGGCACATAGTAGAGCCGAGGGCGCTTATACCTATGAGGGTTTACTGGGTGAAAGAGCGCGAGGCGGTTCAGCAGTTTCAGAATACTGGGACGCAAGATGAACCCAAACTCCAAACTAACGGTTCGTCACAAATTTGTTAATTATCAGCGTTGAAAGGTTTCCAGCTAAATCAAAGTAAGGATTTTTCTTCGCTCCGCCGGAGCTCAACGACGGAATGGTCCGTGCGACCTTCGAGATGTTAGGTCCACCTGGTGAGCGATGACAGCAACGGGCACATCTGCGAGCTAAAGATTGACTTTTGATAGGTGACATGAAGCTGCACTGGCAATAGCTAGGCCAGAGTGCTTGAGGTGGGACAGCTAAGCGGACTTGCCTTTTGTTAGACAATGGACATACAGGGTAGTGTAAGGGTGCGATGGGTTGACCATAAGTGCAAGGTATAACAGTAATGAATTCGATAGAGAAGCTACACTACGCTTGTGCTGGGTCTATGTATCACGTAGTGCTAGGTTCGAGAAACTTCTAAGGGTCCGTGGAGCGCCGATGAAGCCCCGACAACGCTCCGAGGGTTGCAGCCTATCCCAACCAGCTATAACGAAGGCCACAGGCCAAGTACTACTAACCAAGGCTTCAGCCTCTTACAGGTAGATTAGGATGCTGAAGTACTATGGTACAAACTACACGGCACGAGCTTGTTCATAGTTGATGAAGGACCCTCAATCGAGATAATCTAACAGCGAGAGGATCAGGCTTGAATTACGCTGCAATACACTTCATCTCCGTAGAAGAGTCCAATAAAGTCCTCATACTCTCCATCATAGCGACCGTGGACTCATTCACTAGTGCACGGGGATTGATTTGTAAGGTCCGCTATGTTGCACCTTAAGAAACGCCCAAGTAGCACCCATGCATACTCTCCAGAGAAGCTCCCACACAACACCAGTTATCCGTTGTTCTTCTAAGTGTTTGAATGTGTTGTGATTGAACCAGAGATGGGAAACACCTGCGCTCGTATCTGAACTGACTACAAAGGTCAAATGATATCGACTAAGCATGCTCTGTGAGCTGCTTATCACTGCATGCTGATGTAAAACTGAACGTACGACCACAGCTATCGATTTGGTGGTGCGCAAAGGTGAGATGTGCTTTTTCCTGCCTGCTGCAGCGTCTAGTCTCTTCCAGCTACCACACCATATCCACCAGACAAGTGCCAAGCACGGAAGATTAGGAACGGACCGAAGCCATAAAAAGCATGTGTGCTCACAATGAAACGAGAAAAACTCGTGGTATGTGCTTCCACCTGCGAAAAACACTGAGAGCGGGTCGTGACAGTAGTACACCTATGATACATGTAGTGGCTGTCACTTTTCTAGGCAGCATAGGACCTATCTACAAGGTACAGAGTCCAGGACTAGGTCTGGACGATCGTCTTTGATGATACACCATTGCAGTGATATTACCTCTACCCCGCTCTTGCGCGTGGTATACTGCATATGACTTACGTGCGTCCTTATTTGCTTATTCTTCTAATCCGACCCATTTACCGCATTCAGCATATTATAGCCAAAGATCACATGACTAATCTTCTGCACGCCAAACTAATGTAAGGGGAATTCCTCTACTTTCATCCAAGCACGGGCATGAGGTTCTGTCCCAGCCCGTAAGAGTCAAATATTACAAGGATTTTGTAGCTGAAGTGTTTACAAATCTTGGTCACGCGCTGCTTTCTCAAAGAAAGACAATTCGATCATACCCAAGAACCTCCACTCATTGAAGTCGTAAGCAGAGGGAGAGACACCTGTTGCTTTTAATGTGCTCCGGCTCCGCAAAGCCGATGCAAGCATCACATGCTCCAATGAGGGGGGAAGCCTGCGTTGGTCGTGTGTAAGGCTACGTCAGCTATACGGGTTTCTTACGCAAAGAGAGGATATAAAGAGAGTGCGAGAGGCCTGGGAACTGGGCGTCAACTCTTACATCTTCCAGCTATCTCTTACTACTACCTTGATCGAAGTCACTGCCTTACCACAATGGAGAACGCAAACCTTCCCCGACCATTCCTTATCGAGTTTAACGGACGCTTTGTAGCAAATCCGCCCATGGATGACAGCATGGAGGATCTTGGTGGGAGAGTTCCAGCCAAGGTTGGAGATCGCAAGGATGCTGCAGTCTTTACGCTACGCGATGGCTATCTGTGTAAAGCTGGTCAAAACCAAGAAATGACCTTTGGACGTTTCAAAATCGAGCCGCTCGCTTTTATGCCCATGCCCGTGTATTGGATGTTGAATCGTAACATGGCGCAACCATGCAAATACAATGGGGAGGAGAACTCACCTAAGCTATTCGAGTCTAGTGGTACGTTGCATTCTTGTAATCATACTCCGACTCAAAAATTCTCTTACCTAACCATCACCAGGATTCCATATCGGCGTGCTACCTGGCGAGGAGAATTTGGTCCGCGCAATGCCTCCCCATATGTTCCCTGGTAAGCAACAAGACAGCCAGTAAAATTCTCGGAGTAATGACGACTAATCATGTCAGGTTCCGAGATGAAGGTGCATTGGCAGTAGGAGTCACATTATCAGTAGCAGAATACCTCGGCGGCACTATCCATTGCCGCAAATAGGACGTTGAGACGAGAGCAATGTTCCAAGAATGTCGTAGTGTAAAACCATATACATCGATTTACAAGCTCATCTGTCTTACGTAAACCGTGATTTAGATGTTGTAATGAACTGTTGAACGGCTTTGGTGCGAGTCTTATCGTTACCATGCCATTGATGCCGTGTAGAAGGCTAATAAAGCTGCTTTCACTTTCTTGCAACATCCTCCTCTTCCAGGAAGGTAATTGCTTAAGTATAGACCATCTCGTCAAAGGCTTCAAGCACACTGCCAATGGCCTTGAGCGCATGAAGGAAGGGTCACGAGAGATCATCATACCATCATACATCTTGCGCATTACTACTCGACACCCCTAGCCACAACAAGGCTTCGAACTCATCCGGTGATAACCTTGTCTTGCGACAAACTGACCATATCTAGAAACGAAAGCGCTGGTAGTGCGACTGCAATTCCGCTATAGCTACTGGCTTAGATAACACCCTACGTCTTGTCAGTATCGTCTTGCAAGCCAGTAAGCCTGGTAGCGACCTACAGGTACGAAAATGTACGGGACTCGTCTGGTGTACTCCTCCCAAGCCTTGCCATACCTGTCACGGCATTTTGCATTGTCGCGTAACGCGCGATGCATGATCATGATGGTGAAGAAAACGGGATAGAACCATGGGAATGGCGACGCGAAGCCTGTAACAAGGCCCCAATTGATAGCGAAATAAATATCGCAGGAGTAATGGATCTTGCGCGCCTTTCCATCTGTCAATGATTAACAAAGAGCAGATACAACCCAGAATCGAAAGGTTCCTTACACCAACCATCGCAGAGCAGCTTTTTACCGTAAGTTGTCTCGATAGTTCTCGGATTCCGGATATTTCCATATTTGAAATACGGAAATGTGGTTCGTTCCTCTACTACGCCCCGCTCTTCCTGTCGAAATTGATTCTTCTGACTGTTGCAGGTGTCCCAGGTATAGTAGACACCAAGATAAGGGATGAGCAAGGTAATTACGAACCACCATGACCACTGATACTCGCTGTGGTGGTGGTTGGCGATGTAGAGGATAGCATGAGCGTAGGAAAATGGCACGCCAGCCATTGTCCAGAAAATGATCATGAATCCTGTTTTCTCGTAGTATATATCCCTGCATACAGTCAAAGAACGATCATGGAAGTGTTGAGGCGGTCGTCTCGGTCATACCAGGTGGTGATAATCAAGTGCTCTCCTTTGGCACAAGCTCCAGCATAAAGATATTGTGCTATAAGCAAAAAGCACGCCTCTATAGATACGTATCCAGACTCCTCGATCTGCTTCAGGCATGTGCTCAAAGCGAGGAAGAAAAGGATAAACCACGCGATGCGGACTTCAACTAACATCTTGAAGTCTAAGATCCCGAACATCCTTGGATTCAGTTCCGCACCCATAAAAAAGTCGACGATGTGATTGCCACTCATACGCAGTGTCGTACCGCGTGCGACAGCTGAGAAGTATGCAACAAAAGAGCATACAAACCCGGAGATGATCGCTACACTCATCAGCGGTCCATACTCGCTGATCAAAGTGTCCAGTCTGAAGTAATCGCCAAAGTGCAAGACAAGTGCAAGAGCGACGCTGGTGTAAAATGACCACATAGCCGAACAGTAATAATCCAATTGCTTTCCACCCAGATGCGGCAGAGGTTGGCCTTTGCGATAAACACCAGGAAGTAGAACGTAGAAGGCGAGTTGCGTGAATCCAAATGACCAGTAGATAAACCATGCTCTCCTAGTGGGGTAGGCTTCGTTCTTGATCAAAAACCATAGATATTGCACGAATATGGTAAAGGACTCGTTCTTCCCTGGTTTCGGAATTTGGCCATCGTAGAAGACAGCTCCTATCCACATGAAGTACATGAGTAGAGGAAATCCCACCATCATGGCCAACATGCCCAATGGACCTCCAAACTCGTAAACCGCGGATGCATCGGTAGGACCCCAATTCTGCAGTGCCTTTCGTTCAGACTTCTCGCTCTCGGTGGCTGAGCCGTTGGTGCTTTTAGGATCGATGGCCCGCGACATCCATCGTTGACCCATTCTGCGAAGGTAAGGAGGCAACGGAACTGCCAAGAATTATTAGAAAAAATGCTCTGCCAATTTAGCAAGGCGTGCGTATACTTCTTCTTGGAGGGAAACGTGGGTTTAAGAATGCCAGGTATTACACGAAGACCGGGGTTTCGGATTCCGCAGAAGTCCGTATCGTCTGTAGCCAATTTCCGCAAATCTCAGCCTTTACGCATGGTCGTGGCTTTATGTAGACTGATTCCACTATATCTGCCTCTTTGGCTGCTGGATATCGAGGCCCTCAGGGCAAAGTTACGACGAGAGAAAACATTGTAAAATACGTAGGTATCGTTGCACAGGTAAGTAAACAGTCAAGGACGGGTTGCCTTTGCGACAGATCAAGGTTGGGAGTTACCTGACAGATCCCTAGTCTAGTGGTGCTTCGTCCAGGTTCAGGCCCTGGCGCTGCGTATTTCGTATTTCGTACTCCGAAAACTCAGTTCCAATCGCGATTGGTCGAGAGTCTGTGGCCGGTTCCGTTCACGCCGCCCCAGCACTAATTATGAGACATGACCAACACAGTTGCGAGACTGTAGGAAGCTTCCAAAGACACATGATTTGGGAAGGTTAAATCGCACAACAAAGCTGATGAGCTGCGTCCTAGCATGTACAGGTCCAAGGCCTAAGGCAACTCTTATCAGCAATCGCTGGTGGTAGTAGTAGTCGAAAGCATTGACTGACTTGAGTTGAGGACTGCGACGAGTCTTATTCATCCTATTCTCTGCACGACCTCTAATGCTCTCTACAGTCGTCTGCCTGTACGCCACTGCTGGCTATACAGTGAATATACTCGATTTGTTCACATTGACCATGACACTACGATAATTTAGCCATAGCCTACGGATTCTTCATGCGTGGAAATTCTCCCTTGATAGTGTACCGTCCGCGAGTGGGCTGTGACGTGTGGAGCGTGTGCGCATCTAGCTCCGGGACACTACAGTCCGTGCGCACCCAACGAGCCAGTTCAGTCAACGAGCCACCCGAAGCCCCGCAACCTCATGAACCATCCCAACTGCGACGCGTCATAAGTCCACAACTATGGACCCGATTCAAGAAGCGATTGAATATATCGAATCGAGTGAGGCTGGAGATAAATTCTCGTACCGCCAAGTTGCAAAAATATTCGGAGTTAATCGAACGACGTTGTCGCGGAGGCACCGGGGCGCACAACAACCCCGGGGCACAGAGGCGGCCGAACATCGACGAAATCTTAACCCACAACAAGAGGATAAGCTTATTAGCTTCGTAGAAGGGCAAATAAGGGACCGCGTACCATCTACAAGGAGTTTTTTGAAGAATTTTGGCAGCGCGGTTGCGCAGCATGAGGTTTCGGATAGCTGGGTTACCCGGTTTCGACACCGTCATCCCGATAAGCTCATCTCTAAATAGGACACCGGTATAGATCGTGAGCGTTACTTAGCTGACAACAAGCGTAAATACGAGTTGTACTTCAACTTGCTGCACTCTAAGATGCAAGAACATAAGATTGAAGAGCGCAACACGTACAATATGGATGAGAAGGGCTTCTTTGTCGGCATCGCCCACCGCAGGAAGAGGATCTTCTCTAAGGCAGTTTATGAGTCGGGGGAGCGTACCGCGGCGATGAGAGATAGCAACAGAGAATGGGTAACGCTGCTGGCTTGCGTATGCGCTTCTAGAGAGGCATTGCCGCCCGCTCTCATCTATTAGGGCATCTCTAGGGTTCAATTAAGCTGGGTTTACGACCTGTTGGCCGAACAACACTAAATCTTCGTATCCCACTCGGCTTCAGGATGGTTAAATAATGATTTAGGACTTGCCTGGCTTCAACAGGTCTTCGAACGCTTCACGGCAGCTAAAGCTCGCCGGCAATGGCGCCTTCTGATCCTTAACGGCTACGCTAGCCACCTCACGCCCGATTTTTTGGAGTATTGTGAAGCTAAACGCATCATGGTTATAGTGTACCTACTACATTCTACACACAGTTTGCAGCCGTTAGATGTTGTGCTCTTTTCGCCGCTTTCGAAGCACTACACTGAGGAGCTTACCCAACGCCTCCAGCGGACCTAAGGCATCTCAAGGATCACTAAACGCGACTTCTACAGCAACTTTTAGCCGGCTTAGAGCTCTACAATGACTCACGATCTTATATTGAAGAGTTTTCAAGCTACAGGCGTATGGCCGATGGACGCTGACCCGGTACTTTAACGCTTCAACAACCAACTACAACAATAAGATAACGAGCTAGGAATTAGGGAGCAAGGCGACGGCGATACCTGGCCTTAACTGCGCAAAAATTTTGACGCTGCGGTGGCTGACAAGGCTAAATTTGAAGCTAAACGGCTGTCCTAAGGCCTACACTCGCTGCAGGTCAACAACGAGCTTCTCCGCCTCTAAAACGCGGAGCTACGCGCTAAACTTAACCTTATGAGATCCTGACTGTCCAAATTAACAACACTAACTACTCAAGAGGGCGACGATTGGCACGGCGGAGCTGTATTCTACAGTCCCAGGAAGCTTGCCATCCTCCGCGCGCGCAAGGCTGCAGAACTGGACGAAGCCGCGGAGCTACAACTCTAAAAAGCTCGCGATAGAGAGAGAAAAGCAGCAGAAGCAGCTGAGAAAAAGCGCTCTCAAGAAGCTGCAAAGGTGGCTCGACAACAAGCCAAAATTGCTAAGGATGCGGAGCAGTTACGGCAGCGTAAGGAGAAAGCTGCCGAACGGGCACTCAAAAAGCAGCAACAACAAGCTGCAACCGCTTAAAAAAGTCGCGATACAGCAAATAAGCGTAAGCGAGAAGCCTTACACAAACTAGCAAAAAAACCGACAAAGCGTCGTCGTGTTGTTGCTCCATCAAGTCGGGTGGTTGCCAGTCCGCCTTAGGCGCCCTCCCTACCTAGATTTGGCTTGCGAGAGCGCCAACTTAAGACGCCAGCGAGATACAAGTAGTGCAAACGCTTTAGTAGCGTTAATATATCAATACACTAAAAAATCTCACGATAATAGCTATTGTGGGTGGCTCGATAACCTCATCTTTTTTGTCGTCTGATCTTGTTGGGGTGGCTCGTTGACTGAACTGGCTCGTTGGGTGCGCACGGACTGTACGTCATGTACTGTGTTTCGTACACTCAAGATCACCGGCTTGGCGCATCAACCTCCTTTGATTGTGCGTGGATTTTGCTACTCCATATGTTGCTTTGGCGTAGTATTGGAACTTGGCATGGAGACCAAACCGGCATATGCCGTTGTTCAACGTCTATATAACGTCAAAGTGTTGTTCTTACGATCATGCTGTAAAGCGTTTGTGACCACAACAACGACCTCATCTCGATCGGCACAATGCGTCTCTTTGCACTTCCTCTAGTAATTAGTGTGCTAGCCGGCTTAAACCCCTCATCTGCAGAGAAACTAGACGGGGATTCCACAACCATCATCTATGGTTCCAATAGTACCATCACGCTGAAAGGCAACTCAATCACGTCTGAAGTAATCCTCGATTATGGCGCCAATGTTGAAGGCTTTCCAACATTCGAGGTCATTAGTGCTAGCGGCGACACATCAGGACTCCAGGTTACGTATAGCGAATCTCTTCCTGTCTTACTGAATTCTCCTACTGTAAGAGTTTCGATAGCATATACACGTGTGCAACCAGCTAATCCTCGTAGAGCGATGGCCCGCTTGGACTGGCCGCCGCTATGGATACCTATCGAATCAACAGCTACAACATCACCGGGTGAACTACCAGAACGAACAGACTCATCCAGGGAGGTTTTCGCTACCAAAGGCTGTCACTTTCAACCCCAGGCGACTTGGTATTGGCCAAAGTAGGCGTGAGACCCATGATATCCACAACACCCATCAGTTCGCTTCCTGGGTCCTTTCAATGTTCCGACGACCGAATCAATCAGATTTGGGACGTGGGTGCGAGAACAGTCCAAATGAATGAGATTCCCGCACATTCCATTCCGGAGTTCTGGGAAGTCACTTCCGAGGGAGCGTTGGTGGAAAGTTTAGCGCCGCAAAGTCTTTCCGGTGACGCTGCATCGCTCACTGAGCACGAGATCGAGTTCGACGTCAAGCCTATTGCTGGCGGTTTCTCGTTCTCTGCTCTCGCGAGTACTCTGAACGATGGCGTCTACATTTGGTGCAACATTGCCAATAGATCAGTCAGCGCTAACTCAGGATCTTCAGAAAATGTCGATTTTCTCGCATTTGCTACTCTCCCAGCTAACATCACAATTGGAAACTGGCACCATGTGAAGGCTATCATCAGCACTGAGTTCAATTCTGTCTACATTGGCTCCAACAAGGTACTGGAATTTTCGCAAACCTACGCTTTCTTCGGGTCTTCTGGATTGGGCGCCGCTCTTGGTCAGTCTGCGATGTTCCGCAACTTCACCTTAGCTAGCCCAGCAGTCAGTTTCAAATACTCAGCACAACTCACCGACATCTCGTTCCTTCCGGACTTTCTTATGGGCACTAACCCTATCGCCACTGCGGTGGACGGTTCAAAAGGTGACCGCATCTCTTACGCTGGAGATCTTGATGTCACCGTTGGCTCTACTATGGTTAGCACTGTCGGTGTTGAGTATATTGAGGGGAATTTGGAGCTGTTGGGTTCCTCTCAATTGACACCTGGTATTTTCAGTCCGACCGCCAAAATCCAGCAGGAGCCATATGCTAGGCCTCTCGAGGGCAACCTGACTGGGCTTATTGGCTATTCTTTCAACCTGGTCACAGCAGCCGCCAGTTTCTACCATTATACAGGAAACGCAAGCATTGCGAAAAAGTGGGCAACTAGAGTTGTTCGCATGCTAGACTTGGCTGATTCTCAGGTCCTTCCTGGTAACGGGTTATTCAATATTTCCGATCCTGCTTCCGGTGGCGACTGTAACTATTATGACCCTGCGCAAAGTGGCGTTGTGACGAAGTTCAACATGGGCTACGCCTACGCGCTCTAATCATCTCTCACTATGTTAGATGATGCGGGCATCAACACAACTACCTTTCGGTCTCGTTTAGATGCACTTCACGTTGCAATCAACACCCATCTCTGGAACAACGAGCTTGGAGCCTTCTATATCTCTGAAGCATTAACAGATAGTTTTGCACAAGATAGCAACGCCCTTGCTATCCTTGCGGGAGTGACAGACTCGAACCACACTTCGTCGCAAGTGTTGAGCATATTGTCAAAACTTTCCACACCAAGCGGGCCTTTGGCATTCTGCAACGGTACCGTTGCGGCCGGTTTCCGAAAACTCATCAGCCCATATGCTTCAGCTTATCATCTACGAGCAGAATTAGCTGCAGCAGATACAATAGTGGTCAATGAGCTGCTCAGTTCTCTGTGGTACCCGATGGCCGATTCCGCTGGTGCGAACTATACTGGATGCTTCTGGGAAACCCTCGATGCAAATGGCGGGCCTGGGTTAGGAGCAATCACTAGCCTGTGTCACGCATGGGGGGCCGGACCGACAGGTGGACTCAGTACCTACGTACTCGGTGTGACAGCTGCTAAGCCTGGTTTTCGGGAGTGGCGGGTTTCGCCTCTGACTCTAGGATTGTCTTGGGCAGCTGGCACTATTTCTGTCCCCAATGGTAAAACTCACGTTGCGTGGAATGCAACAGAGGGCCACATCACCAACTTAAAAATCGAGAGCCCTGCCAATACCAAGGGCATTGTTTCCCTACCCATCTGCGGTGCTAGCTCGACCTGGAAACTGAAGGAACAAGCTTTCAGTATTGGTAACGGTACTTTTAGTGTTGCTGGTGGAGAGAAGCTTGTATTTACACTCTCCTAAGTGTAACCTTGAGGCCTGGAATGCCTTCTTTGGATAGTAAAGGTGCAAAGAACCATGGCGCGGCGTTTTCATGAGCTCAACTGTAGCTGCATCGATACGACCTATAACAAGTCAAGGAAATGGGGGCTGCTATTAGCTCGCGCGCTATGAAGCATTAAGTAACTGTCAAGCCTAATTGACGATATATACTATTCTACACGCCGATCAGTATTTGACTGATCATGCGTACTTGTTTAATCAGTTAAGAGCTCCGTTTTGATAGCGATTGGGCGGTGGGACTGTATATTCCTCCGCGAAGGATCTACAGATTACGACGCGGCGATTGCACTCCGTACCCAAGTCAATCAGTCTGAACAAATTAGTTTATACTCACACCGTGCTATTCAACTTGCAAGCGAAGCCTTATATCTTAGTAGTAGTGCTTGTTCAGCCCTGCGGTACGAAACTATAGTGGCCTCCAGCCAGCCAGTTTTCAGTGTTCGACGATCTAGACCGAAGCCACGTATTTCAGCTTACCCTAACCAAGTGATCGATATTGGACAGAAGCGTGAATAGACTCGAGGTGGATAAAGATAGAGGCGTGGCAGCTGAAGGAGCTGAGGTATGATTGGCGCAGCCGTTGTAGCTGAAGCTGAAAAGCGAAAAGCGCCCTCTCATAAACTTGGTGGATTTATATCATGCTACTGAGCAAGTATACTGCTTCTAGCGAACTTTAGCTGCGACCGCTCCTACTCCCGCTTCCCCCTCAGCTCAACCGCCATCCGCAACCTGCTCAACAGACCTGTAACCCTACGGGTCGTAACCATACAACAGCCGAGCTGGAATTCTGCGGAACTACTCATTTAAGTTGGCTGCATCACTCCGTTTCGAACCCTCTATCTACTACAGCCCTTCACCCTTCTATCATTGTGTTCTAGCTGTGTACCTGATGAACTGACAAGTACCACGCACCCGAGAAACAACCTAACTGGCTAAAAGAACTGGCTTCGCTCTGTCAAAGTGAACTCCTTTGGCTACAGGGCGTTGTAAGCTTTGTTAGGCTTGTTATCTGTTACGTTTCGTTCTGTAGTAAAACATCTTCCTGTTCGTTAGTCATAAGCACTTCCAGCTTACGAATGAGCTGCAGCCAAAGCTGACCTATCCAACAAAATTCTCTCGTATCCACGTCGCCTTTCTCCGCCCACAGCAAGTTGCGAGCTATCAAGAGGGCATAAGGTTTGGAGGCTTTGGCAGCTGCTCGTTTACCCCCCACCCCCATGAACTATTTCAGCTTGCTCATCCTTGAGAGTGACGACGAGCTGAGTAATCAGCTGAACAAAAGACTGGCAGCTTTGAGGCCGAAACCAGTGCCAGAAGGGAGTATAAGTTCAAGAATGATCTGAGGTGATGGAAGTTCTTACCGAAACTTTGAAGACGAGATCAATTCCATCTTGATCTTCGTTAGCATCAGATCTTTTAACAAACCCGCCTTGCCTCCTTCCGTAAATACTCGTCTCAATGTATTTCAACTCCCCACCACTTCCTCCAGTGCTCCCCAGTGCCGGTGCCTCTAGCTTCGGCAATCATGACGAGCCAAGCGTTCCCCCATCAGCACCCGGGCCAGGTGAGCCGTTACAGATTCCAGTTCCACTAATTCCGCTGGTGCGCAGTCTTCGTGGCGGAGCGTGGCTTACCACTTTCCGCCCGTCCAACTTTCTAATTACCGCCTACGACGGCACGATTCGTGTGGAAGTGCACCCTGCGAGCGCCGGTGGCGGTCGAACGGCAAGTGGCGACCTCTACCAGCGTCCAATCCGCATCCTGCCACTGCCGGTCCGTGTACCTCTGCTCGGTCATGGTCCGCGCCCGCAAGCAGGAATCCCCGTGCAGTCAATCACCAGGTACAGGTACTACCTGAGCATCACCAAGATACTGGAAGGTGTGACTCTCGGCACCAATTTCGAGCTGGAATTTGAGCGCTGGAAGTACATGCCGCCAGCTGTCCTGGGAGGGACTGGTAAATGGGCGAATGAAGGCTCTTTCAAGGCCACGATGACGTGGGCCACTCCACCCGCCGGATATCCAAGTGCACGTGACTACCTGACTGGAGATGTGAAGAATTCCGCTGGCGTTGTCGTTGGCAGCCTCACCATGGGATGGATTTCAAGCTTCCTACGCAAAGCAACCATCGAAATTGAAAGCGTGACTGGTGCTGAACGCCCGCTGAACAATGGTCTCACCGGGGTCAGTCAACTCGACTGGAAGAAAGTGTTTGACAACGTCTCTTGGGACTTTACTGTTGTAAACAGCCAAAGCCACATCACTGAGCACTCAGGCGATAGTTGGACTGACGCCGAGTTACACGCCGGCATGCTCCGTTGGCGTGACTTGGCCAACCTGGATACTGAATGGCGATTTCATCTGCTGTGTGTGAAGACGATCGACAGCACAGCACGCGGTATTATGTACGATGCATATGGCACAGACAGTAACAACATTCCTCGCGAAGGTGCAGCAGTTGCCACTTCCTGGATAATTGCACCCGGTTGGGGTCGCGTCAGCGGCCGGCGATTTGGCGCGGTACCGGAGGCATATTTTCGCGCTGCTGTGCATGAGATTGGGCATGCCTTGAGCTTGGAGCACAATCTTAACAACCAGCACTTCATGGACACGAGCAACATCATCGCAGCGGCTGGGCAGACCACCCCGCCTCCATTCCCTGACAACATCAAATGGAGCTTTGCCGACGACGATATTCGCCGCTTGAAGCATTGGCCAGATATATTTGTCCGGCCGGGTGGCTCTCCATTTGGCTCTTCCCATGCTACGCCATCAGTATCTCCGCCAGACAACGCGATTGATATTCCAGACGTTGAGCTTTCCGTGACTCCTACTATCTCTGAGGTCCCTCTGGGCGCCCCAGTACGTCTTGAGCTCAAGCTTCGCAACACTTCCGGGGAAGGCGGTTTCCCAATACAAGTGCCCGCAGACATTGGTCTCCGCTCTGGTTTCATACAAGGTACAGTGATAACTCCCGCTGGCGTCTCCAAGACCTTCAGTTCCATCTTTATCAACGACGACAGTGCCTATAAAGTTCTAGCGCCAGGAGAGGAGACCATAGCCTCCACTACCCTTCTGCGTGGTGCTGAAGGCGCCTTATTCGCCTCGACCGGCTTGTACAATGTCAGTGTCGAGGTCAAATGGGACGTGGAAGAGGCTGTTGCCCGTTTCGTTGGTTACACAACAGTGCTAGTGACGGGACCGAAGGATGCGAGCCATGCTGCTGCAGCTCATAAGCTACTGGCTTGCCCAGACGCCCATCTTGTGTTAGTCTTGGGGGGAGATCATCTTAAGGATGGTATATCAGCGATACAAGCGGCATTGAAGGATGATACGCTTCGGCCTCATTATGCGGTTGTTGAGGCAAGGAGACTGGCAACGCGTTTCGAGGACCGGAAGCCAGATATCGACGCTGCAAAGAAGCTGGTTGAAGGCAACATTGTTGTCACCAAATCGGAGAACCAGAAGCTGCAGGCTTGGTTTAAATAGTCGGCGGCGTTTGTAATCAGGCTTCGAATCGATTATTTCAAATTGATGTCCACTATCCGACACACGATAGTCATCATTAAATTGGGAAACTCTTAGTCCTCGACCCCAATATCCTTCAACCCACCTTGCCTAGTCCAAAAGACTGTCCAAGCATTACTCCATCGCTCCTCCTTCAACCCTCGAAGCCATTCTTTCACGGTGATCTCTTCATCGCCAATCCGGATTATACCATTCTTGATTCCCTTCCAACCCTTCATTGGTCCTTTGATATAGCGGTGATTCGCGCCACAGAAACTAAGCCACGGTTCTTCAATCTCACCCTCCGTTTGTTTCAGACGCTTGGAGTGGCAATCTTCGCATAGATCGGTGTTGGGGCAGACCAGGCAATAGTAGAACGGCTGAGTCCACGATTGAATGTCTGTTCCGCAACCTCCATCACAGCCTACGATCCATGTGCCAATGTCCTCGTCAAGCTTGGAAAGCTCCGCTTTAGTAGGCTCTGGGACTTCCGCAGTTCCCTCAGGGCCCTGCTCTTGCCCTGCCGTGCCGTCGGAAGGACTCTTGCCGGCGTCTGCATCTATACTCTCTGTCGGAAGAACTTGTCGAGCCTCTTCACAGTCATCGGATGGTTCGTTTTCCCCTGTGGGCTCTGGATCGACTCCTACTTCACCATCATCCTGGTCGGAAAGGGTCTCCGAACGTGCAGACGCAGTATCTTGCTCATGTATTGCACGATCCAAGATAGAGTACTGAGCACTTATCGCGATCCTTGCATCCTTCTCCAAACTGGACAACGAAGCTAAGACCTTGGATAGTAGTCGCAGGCTTGACGAGTCGTTCCAGGAAACACCGTCCTCCAGGCCACGAATGCAGCTCGCGAACAGTTCATCCATGTATTTTTGGTATTCCTTAGCGGGACCCATGATTCGGAGCATGTTTGCGCGCAGCATACTAACATGGGACTCACGGATATTGTCGTCGTTGTCGTGGGCGCTCGGCAAAAGTCTGAGATCCTCCATGATCGCTTCCTTCTTCACTGGATCGGCAGACATCTGGAACTCACAAAAGAGAATGTCCGCGAGCTGCATCCGATATTGTGTTTTCTTCTCATTCATTGTGTCTTCGTACCAGGGATCCGGTTTCGTTTTCATGGTCAGGATATCCTGCCGTAGGGTTTTGCCTTTCTCGAGGTTTCCTAGCACCGGATAGTGTAGGTATGCGATAGCACCCCGGAGATTGAACAAATGAAGGCTGTGCGCCGGAAGAGTAGTACCCAGAGCTGTCAGCCATTTAAGTAGCAGATCGGTCTCATTGGTCAACTTTGCCGCTCTTTGCATACGAGTCACTGCGCCCTCGTCTACCCAGTCCTCAAAACAGTAGGAAAACCAACTATTACGTTCCTTGTCGGTCCAACTCTTGAGTACTTCCATCAGCTTGGACGCGGTGGCTTTGTCCTCGTTCTTGAATAACACTGTAATGTCATCCAAGGTGGTTCCAGCCAGCGGTTGCTCGCCTGAAAGCATCCTCGCTTCATCGAATGCTGACAAGGCGTTTTCGGGTTGCTCCATCTCAGAGAGGATCTGGGCTTTGGAAGTCAGAATTTCTATCCGTATTGATTTGATCTTCTTCAGCTCGTCGGCAGACAAATCCTTTTCAGCTAGATCAGGCAACATGTCATAGGCTTGATCGTAATAATGGATTGCCTCAGGCTCTTGGTCGATCCATCCATACTTTGGAGCTAAGAGGCGCAGTGTCGCAACCTTTTCTAGGACATCGCCGTCCATACATTCCACCGCTCTTTTCAGGTACACGGCGGCATCGCCGATCAAAGCCTTTTTGCGATCTGGGTCCGCAGTCTCGTAGCCATAGCTAGCCAAAGTGGATCCAATTGCTCTCTGTGTCTTGTAATGTTCGAGTGGGATATTGTATGCCGATATGATTGAAAATATGTATTCAAGTGGTTCATCTTCGGTAACCTCGATACGACTCGCCTGTGATTTATTAGAACACGTTTCGTGGGGGAAGAGAGTATTACACGAGAGAGTGCGGCCTTGACGAACAAGAACGTTTCAGGTATCCACACTTGGTCGTTGGCATCCAACCAGTTGTGTATATGGCCTTCAGCCAACGGCAGCAAAACATTGTCTTCCTTAACAGTAAGTGCCCACTCCTTGACTTTGTCATCCAAATATCCGTCTCCAAGTGTCGACGCCTTAGCGGCCCAGGTCAAAAGTGTGTCGAACCAAGCAGTGGGTGTGTCATCAGCTCGCTCAGGATATATGTCTGTATGCCTTGCGACCTTTTCAAATAGGTTGGCAATATTGTTCTCATTCTCCGTGATGCGGCGCAGGAGGATGGTCACTTGATGAATGCCTTCAGGTGTTGTGCTCTCCACGTCCAGCTCTTTGAGATGCTCATGCCAGTACCGAATTGCATAGAGCGAGAGCCCGGAGTTTGTCGGTTCGTTGGGGTCTTTCGCTGCTTTCATCATAATGTTTACACACATCTGGAGGATGGTGAGGTGTGCAGCAGTAGCAGGCGTCCGGAATTCTGTTACGCCGTCATCTTCAACACTCACGCTTTTGAAGTATTGTCGCAAGGACCGGTCTTGGAACGAGAGAGGGGACTGCCGATTTTCGAGTTCGGGCATGCTATCGTCTTTCAGCTCGTCGTCTTCGTCATCATCCTTGTCATCATCCTTGATATCCTCTTCAAGCTGTCTTGCCTGGGTGAGCTCAAGAATGCGAGATGAACGTCCGATGATCTCTTCCTCAATATCGAATGTATCATCGGACAGTGTGAGTTGGACCAGGCTTGAGGCTTCAGCCAGACTGAGTGATCGTTTCGAAAATGCCAGCCATGCGAACAGCTTCTTCAACGCTTGATATTGCGCATCTGAGCGATTGTGGCGGCATTCCTCTAGGAGAAGCTTGTAGAGCTCGTGAAGACTTTGGGGTAGCTTTTCCAAGTCTTCCAAAACAGCGCGTTCTCGTCCAATGTAGGAAAATCTTCTGAGCATGTGCTCGACGTAGAGCATACTGTCTGCCTGCTTGACGACTTTTCGAGTGATAGCTTTCTTGACATCTGGACTGAATTTACGCACGCGCGGAAGTGTGTGAAGGCGATCTTTTACGAGAATCTTCATATCGCGTTTAATCTCCTGCTTTGTAATATCGAGGATCGAAGGCTGGAGCAGCTGTAGTGTAGGTTTGTCCTCTGGTCTGCTGGTCGCAAGAACCGATACGTTAGCTTTTTGAAGCTTGAGTTCAGACAGAAACTGCGTTAGGGTTCCGCCCTCCTGCACATGTGCCTCGTCTAGACCGTCCAAGATAAGGAACAGCCGGTCACCAGATTGACTGTCACCTGGAAACATCGAGAGAAAGAACCGCGTCCAAGTGGAGGTTTCTACAGACCCAATAGAGTCCTCCTTGATCTTTGCCGCTACTTGCTCGGCGTATTTGTTGTTCGATTCGGCGATTTGAAGCGCTGCGGAGGCGAATGCATTCTGCATCGATTGTTGATAAGGATGTTCTTCTTTGAAGTAGAAATAAGCCACGCAGGTGTGCTCATTCTGATGTAGCCGCAGCTTCTGAACAGCTGAGTAGGCCAGGAACGACTTCCCAATGCCCTCTGCGCCTCTAAGCCAAAGTAAAGGATTGGGGCCATCCACCCACGCTTTGAAGCTTGGGTGTTCGCCAAGCCAAGCGGTAGTCTGTTTGATCTTGGAATCACGCATATCTTCCTCCTGTACCAAGTTTTCCTGGTGCGCTTCCATCCAGGAGGGAAAGACACTGTAGTTGTCGGTAAAGAAGTTTTTCAATTGCCGCAAAGCTTGGAACTTGCGGTCGCCAACATCGCCCTTGGATTTCGCGCCTTGTTTCTTCTTTTCTTCGTTTTCTGGTGCTTTGCTCAACTTGTTTGTGTTCTTCAAAATTTGGAGAAGCAGAGCATTATGCTCAGCATGCTGCTCCGACAACTGGTATTGGACAGCGGAAAACCCCTCAGTGACCACGACTTGTAAATTCAGAGTGCTCGCATAAACTTCCTGGATGTCTTTTCCCAAGTTCAAGCGGTACGACTGCAGGTTCTTATCGAGTTGGTCAAGTTTAGCGTTGCTAGCAAGTACATCGTCCTGGACAGCTTTGATGGAGCTGTAGCTTGAAAATCCAACGGCTTCATCAAGTTCCTGGATTGACGCTTGCATTGCAGCATATGCCGATACGAGCTCTTCATCTACCTCATTCCACAACGCATTCAGCCAATGCGCTAAAAGCAGTTAGTGAATCCATAGAACTTGCGTGAGCAACTTACTGAATCGCTTCTCCTTTACTAAACGTCTCACCCTGCCACATACCGAAAGCTGCATCGAAAAGACTCTGACGACAGCAAGCGCAAGCGGACCGGATTCTGCTCGACCTTCGAGGATAGCAAGTCGTTCAAAAAAGCGAGCTGAGTATGCGAAAAACTGTTCCACGCGGTCGTATTCGGCTCTGACTCCTGCAAAAGCCTGCTATTGTTGGGTACATCGCCTTAGAGGGGTATTGCTACTACTCACAGATATCAAGCGACTTGCGGCTGTGAACACAAGCCCGACTGGCATTGCTGGTGGAAACGCACCAGCTGCAGCGCCAACTGCAGCGAAGCCGTCAATGCATTTCTGGAGGTCCCCAAGATGGTCCCCCATGGCCGATCGGAACTGTGCCTTCTTACTACCGTCGTTGCGAAAGCCTTTAAACTCGTTCATATCAGCATCAGTTTGTCGCATTACTTCAGCGACACTCCGTGCGCCCATGGCCGAAAGGTTGTCTCCGGTGCGCGCATTATAGTCTCTTATGGCCTCTGCCCATAGCCGACCAAGATCAGTGGTTCCGCTTTGTTGTGCAGTCTTCGTCGCCATGACGTGTTAAGAAGACTGTTGAGATGAGGACCCAAGGGAAGTGAGAATCTTCCCGTATATGTGTCATGCAACAATGCACAGTAAGCACGAAGAATAGATTGACTAACATGCTTATCATCAGCTGCCATTACCCCTAGTATGGGTTCCGAAAGACATGTTGCTGCCTTGGGATGCGTATACCAATGGCTGGGGGTTGGGGCTGAAACTAGGCATCGTCTATGGAGAGACGCGGCGCTGTGCGACTGTCGATAAATCCAGTGTGCTGCATCAGGAAGCTGTGTGCGGGGAGCTACGCAGCCACTGTCTTCACGTCTCAAACCCCACCGCAGCTGACCTGCTCAACGCACGTTCAGCGACGTTCAAAGATTGTGCGCATTTCCAGAGCAAGGTCAAAAGATGACTATGGCGCACACATGATAAGCCGAAAAAAGATCCCGCATGATAAAGCAGATTACATCCTTCGGTGGGAACAAGTCTGGAGTAGTCCGTTAGTGACAACGGAGGAGAATAAGAGGCATGCGCGCGATCAGGGCTCCAGCAAGAAGATGAGGGAAATGCGGACGGAGGTCCGCGATGTTCCTGGGTCGTCCTTGGTACCACTGCGGGATGTTTGCACCATTCTGTAGAGGGTTTGCGGCCCGATTTGCTGCAAAATCGGCTTGCGCTAGTCGCCTCCAGTCTTTCTAGGCATTGAGTTCGCGTGGAAAGCCGTGACAGTGTTGAGATGCCAAAGGCTGTTTCCTGGATCGTTTCTCGGCTCTTTGAGCCTCACGAGATTAGTATGGTGGTGTCTACATGTTGGGATGCGCGCAACATACAGTGGCGCTAAACGAGGCCGGCGGCCGAGGCAGGGTCTTTTTCGAGTGGTGGACCCTTACTTTGATCACGAAACATCCATGAATCATCCTTTCTACTTTTTCACCTTAACCAATTACCATCGCCGCAGCGCTAGGGAACATGTTCCAGACGCAGATGGCGTCATGCATGTCTACTGCTAGTCCATCTGTTCCTGCCATCGCAGTATGGAGCCTTACCAGAACCGAAACGGCGTATGGTGAAGCATAGATTTCACGCTTTCGGAGCGTGGCATACGCGAGGCTAACAAGAGGGCTGCCGTCTCCTAATCTTGTCGTCGCTTGTTTTCTCTTTACATATCTGGTTTTGAGTTTGATAGCATCATCACATACCTGCCACCAGTACTTCTCTTGCAACATTGCGCGCTTCGCTTGCATCATTCCGCAGAGCGTCGACCCCACTAAAAACATCGCAACAACGACTGCGACAGCATTCTGCACGAGCCGATAGCATTCCACAAAGTACGCAGCCTGAACAGTCACAGTCACAGTCATGGCGACAACGCCCGTCGAACTCCCTTCAACCATCAGCACACTTCCCACGCGCCAGAAGCCGATTCCGTACACCTTCGCCAACGGCCGGCGCACCCCGCTCTCCTCTATTCTCCCACCCCTCGTCTTCGGAACTGCCACATTCAACCACCAATACAATAGCGACCCTTTCGCGCTCGACACAACCGGTCTTGTGACCTCAGCGCTCACACACGGCATTCGCGCCTTCGATACCTCGCCATACTACGGCCCCTCCGAACAACTCCTCGGCGATGCGCTCGCGACACCATTCGTCCGGGAGACGTTCCCGCGGAACTCATACATGATCTTGACCAAGGTCGGGCGGATAGCCAGTGAAGAGTTCGACTATAGCAAAGAATGGGTGCGCCAGAGCATCAACAGGAGTCTGGAGAGACTACACACCGAATACTTGGACCTGGTATACTGCCACGACGTCGAGTTCGTGAGCCCGGCGGAGGTTTTGGAAGCAGTGAAGGAGCTACGCCGCCTCCGGGACGAAGAGGGCACGATCCGGTATATCGGCATCTCAGGATACCCTCTCGATGTGCTGGGCGACATGGCTGAGCTCATCCTCCGTGAGACGGGCGAGCCGCTTGATGCGGTACAGTCGTACGCCAACTTCACACTCCAAAACCAGACGCTGGCCGGTCCGCGCGGGATCTTGCGCCTCAAGAACGCAGGTGTCGACGTCGTACCGAATGCCTCGATTCTGGGCATGGGCCTCTTGCGCCGCGAAGGAGTGCCCGTCGGCGCGCTCGGTGACTTCCATCCCGCACACTCTTCCCTCCGCGAGGCAGTGCGCAAAGCAAGCGACTTCTGCGACGACTACGGCGAGCGACTCGAAGTCATCGCCATCCGCTTCGCGCTCGAGACATGGATATCCTCTGGCGCACTGTGCGGATCCCGCGGAGATCCCGCATCAGGCGTGCCTTGGAAACATGAGTCTATCGACGATGTTGGTGGCTCTAAGTTGGGTGTCAGCGTCATCGGCGTATCTCGCGCTTCGGAGCTGGAGAAGACCATGCTTGTGTGGCGATCTATTCTCGATGGGTTGGAAGGAGGCAAAGAGACTGCTGTTAAAGCAGGTCGCTGGTATCGTGCATGGGAGTGGAGTATCAACCGTAAGAGGGCAGTGCAGATCCTTGCTGAGGGTGTGCAGGAGGTGCTTGGTGATGGCTTTGGCTACGCGTGGGCGAGTCCTGATCCGGGATTCGTGAACAAGAGGAAGAAGGGTGCAAAGAAGGCGACGCACAGCGATGCACCTGCACCCTGGTTAACGCCCGCTGCGAGTCCCGAGGCGGAGCCTGTGAAAGACACAAGTGAGGTTGCGGAAGAGAAGTCTTTGCCGCTGCGGTAACCAAGGAGATGATGCACATGTATATAGCGAACAAGGCTGCACGTTTCCCCGTCTTCATTGCCTTTCTCATCCCATCACTCGCTCTTTCAGTTAAGCTTTACACCAACCGCGGACGTCTTCGCATTCCTAAGCATCCGTTTATACTCCTCAATCTGCGCAATTCCAACCACCACGAGCTCTTCGGCCGTTTGCGCATCCAACCCCTCCCTCCAAACACTAACCACACCATTCGTCTGGGTCCGATCAATCTCCACCACCATTACAAGACTCGTCTCATCACGTAGTTCCCACGACGCCGCGCCCGCCACCTCCATCCCCGTCCCCTTCCAATGCAGCATCCCTAGCCCCCCGCTCGCGTCAAACTTTCGCTTCGTCGGGGCCGGGTTAGAGCTCATGTTGATGCGGTGGTCGCGCATCGAAAACTTGATCTCGAATGAAAAGGTGTGAAAGTCGATGAGGGCGATCTCTTGGTCCCCGTGAGCGGGTACCGTGACGGAACATTTGCTTCCCCAGGCTCCTAGTACTGCTTTTCGGTTCACTTCGTATTGAGGTGTCGACTCTCCCGAGACGGTTAAGGTGCGGCGGTGTTCTGCGAGCGCGGTATAGTGGAGTGAGAGAGTTGGTTGAGATGAGGTGCGCAGGGGGTCTGGGATTGGTGGTTCGCCGCGTACGATGAATTTCTCGAGCCAGGCTGGCGCCATGGTGGCAGCGTGAATGGGTGATGATGTTGGTGGGATGCTCGATTGCCAAGGAAATTTTGGGTTTGCTTTGGTGTTCTGGAACCGTAGATGATATCCTTTGCTCTTCGTAAAGTGCTTTACCCGCTAGCACGCACTTCACCCAAAGAGCATCTGCTCATACTGCCGCGCGGTTCGGGGAGCGAAGCTCGATTCCGCTCCGGGCTCTCTCATAACATGGCTTAGTCCTCGGTGTTACTCTTCGCCTGAGCGGTGTGATTCAGCCGGTGGTTCTCCGTCACTTTCCCGCAGCGAGAAAGATCGTGAGACAGAGGCGTCTAGAAGAGAACAGTTACAAATGGAAGAAACGTAAGCTAACGTATAGAGTTCTCGCTGCTTGAATGCTACGGCAACGCATAAAAATAGATTACTTTCACCTAGCTACAATCAGGTACAGCTTCGCGCCCAGTGTCCTCCCTACTTCCGCAAGGCTCAAGTCCGAGTCTGCGTTCTTCAACAACGCCCTCCAGTCATACTCGTCGCGCTCCTGGGAGTTTGAAGTCGCTAGCATGGTAATGTCCGAGTCTCTATTCATGTTGGTGGCATTCACACGAGCAGGAACTAATCACGATAGCAGTCGAGCATGGCACGTACCTATTCCGCCTCTCCGTACGGAGGGGCAGTGTGCAAGGCGGCTCAAGGCATCTCTCGCTCTGGAGGATGCAAGCACCTGCCGTCAGAGCAGGGATCAGCGCCCGGAGAATCTTAACACAGTATTTGTCTGACCAGTCGTGGGATATCCAGCGGAAGTAGTAGAAGTCAGCATCTTTGATAGGCTGCAATTCGAAGAAGTCGTGGGCCTGGAAATCAGTTGTGACAAACTAGCTGGCGCTTTAGTATTAGCGTCTTCAATTATCTTGGGAAGGTCCTGCACCACCAAGATCAGGTCGGGAAATCCGTTCGCAAGAGCGATGCTCACAGCGCCATGGGACTGTCCAACAACCACCACAATGGCTTTGCCTAAAGATGCCCAGTCGTACGCCTCAACGACTTACGAAGGTTCCCGGCCCGGGAACATGGAAAGAAAGGCCATAGCATCTTTGAAGCGAGTCATGCGCTCGGGGTGGTCCTCGAAAAACTCAAACATGGTCTTCTTTGCATCGTTGGAGCTGGAAACCCTGGTAGCATTACACATAACTCAGTTCTTCAAGCATGCTGGGACCGCTACATACCGAGTGATTTGGCTCCTCACAGTCGGGCCATTTGGCAACCGCATCGACCATTTGCCATAGTAAGCGTGCATCCTGGTGACATATGTGCCTGCACCTACACGCATCTTGGCAGGCCCGACATCATACATTCCCATCGAGGCCCCAGTTACGAGAACAGGCATGGTAGCAAGTGCTTTGGTTGCAGCAGTATGCTTCATGTGACCCGGATGTGTCTCGCAGAAGACGTGATCTGTTATACCATGTCTCAACAGGCGTGTGAGCTTCTTCTCTGAGACACCGGTCTTCTTTGCAAGCTCCTCGTAAGTGATTCCAATCTCAAAAGGAACGAGGTTCTAGAAATTGTATCGGAGGACGGTCTTCAGGCCGACAGATGTGGCAAACTTGTCCACGTCAATACACTGTCTAGCCACGACAAGGTCACTCAGGACATACCGATTTAGCCACTACAGCTCGTCCAAGGCTGCCGACAAAGCCTCTCGAGCTTCTGCAATGTCCAGTGGAAATGAATACATCGATGGCACATCCTCTTCGAAAGAAGGCGGCTACAGCTGGCTCTTTGCGAAGAACTTGTCGAGCTTGGTTGTCTGTATCTCAATTTCTTCGGTGAGAGCGGCGATGCAACTGATCGTTTTGGTTACGCCTCCGAACTGGAACCGCGGCGTAGGCGCCCTACACTAAAAGCTTGCGTTAGAGTACGTCTCGCGGCCCGCCTACACTGATTTCAAGAGCAGAAGTTCTTCGTGATGCGTATTGACGGCATCTTCGCACACACACACACCTGGACGCGGACGAATTGCTTCTGGGCTGGGCCACAGTGCGACTGACGTCATTGGGTCCTTGACTTGTACACAAACGCGCCCTGCTAAGATAGCAAATCCTGGCGCGCCCCAGGAAGTACATCTCAGTGACCTCCGAGGTGTTGAGGTGAGGCATTGCGCGTTTACGATGGAGGTGATGGAGCGTCCGATCGTTAGGCGAGTCTACTAATGACGACGATGCTCATGTGTATGAGAAGTCGGCGGGCATGGAAACTCGTATTGATAGTCACCGTGCTGAAAATACCAGCAATCTCGAGTTGGCGCAAGACCAGTGCATGCGTAGTCCAGCAGCAAGCCCATCCCAGGAATCACGTCACGCATCAATGGATTTCTTCTAGTCGCTGTGACGGAGTCCCATCTGACTATGATCTCGTCCTGCATGTCCTCGTCCGTTACCATGGCGGGTTGTTTATCTGGGGCCTCGGCTTCAGCAACGGCGTCTCCACGTTCCATATATGATATCCTTCCTGTATACGTAAAGCGTATGTTTCGAAGTGTAGTTCTCAGGAATGTCTCCTGGAGATTCTCCAGGAATGGAAATAAGCCGTTTAGCTGGTGCGTTGGTAAGCCCATTGCTCCTGCCAAAGTGAATAGGCTCGTGCAATATTGTTGGTTGATGATGCCCCCTTGAGACTCTACCGTGTAGTGACAGGCTGGGTCGATGACATCAAAGAGTTCTTCATACAAAGCCATCACCGCGTCTAGATAGACCTCAAGAATAGTTTTTGAATAGTCGATTTGCAGCCGCCATCGTTCCGAAGTCATCCCTAAGAGACCATATACTTTGTCGCGCGGATCCTGACATTGATTCTTACAATACCGCGCGATGCATCCTTCAAGTGTATGAGATTGTTTCGAGTCGGACACCACTGCCACGGCCGGTCCTGGAAGTTGCCATGATATTACCCGTTGTTCCGTTCGAGATATATGGTATCTGATGGCAAGTTGAAGGGATCCAAAGTCCAGCTGAACGTCTCCACAAACGATCTCGACTTCTGCAGCAAGCGCGACCTCCTGAACAATCCAGAGCCGAGAGAAGTACGGGTGCGAGAGTAAAGTATGGAGCGGATTCGGGTTTGCTTGACGCATTTGTAATCGACGCGCTGCTGCGACCATGTCCGGGTCGTTTCCCAACCACACAAGTACTCTTCTAGCTGCCTTATAGATCTTGTCCATCAATCCAACCTGCGAGCTGCGTTCTGTGACATCGGCTTGGTTGATGCAAATCTGGTCGATCCAGAACCGCCTGTCGCAACGACGGGGCTTCTTCCTCGACGAACCCCAAGAATGGGTCAAGTAAGCATCTAAGAAGTCAAATAGGTTCTGTCGCACTTCGTGGCGATGTCCATTGATTGAAATGTCGTGAGTGGGCGCACAGTTGCCCCATGTGTAAGATAGAGCCGAGTATTCCGAACGATCCCAATGCACTGCAAAGAAAGGTAACGAATGCAACTCACATCTTGGCTGAGATGTGGTAAGGTCTCTTTCGATGCCTTCCAGAATTCGTAGTTGTCCGTCTGGTGGTCGCAACGTATCGTACGTATACCGGGACATGTTGGTACGCTCGATTGATTGTGACGTAATGACCCTGCAACGAAGGTAAAGTACAACTTGCTAGGCAAGGCTCTCTCGAGTTCTAAGCGGCTGATTTGACTTAAAGCGATGAACGCAACGTCGAGAATAGTTCGCGCACGTGTAAGGTGCGAAGCGCGAGCGCACAATAACGAATTACTCTTGCACTGACAGATGTACGCGAAGAGGGTCGCTCGCCGTAGTTGGGAGAGGCGATCATTTCCCGAATACAGCAGCTTCTCGACCTAAACTCGTTGGGACTAGAGCGCGTGCGCTCACATGATAGGTTCGAGCTAGGACGTTCTGCGACAATTGCGCTACTGCCCAAATGGAGTCGGTCCTTCTCCGCATTGCCCGCCATCACGTATTGCTGTGGAGCATCAAGATCGCAAGATCGCGGAGCACTGTAAGTCGGACGTGATGACATTCCTGACATAATACAACTACCGGACATACTTCGGCTGCCCGATTGCTCCTAAATGTATGTACATTAGCCCTTCCGAGCGCACCGCAATGGTGTCGCCGCTGCGCCGTCTTAGAAGAGCCGGTGACGGAGATTTCCTTTTAGCGTACTTCTTGAGGTACAATAAGTTGCAATGGCCAGTTGCAGTCCTTGTCCTGCGCAATAGCAACTACAATTCGTGCGACAATGCGCTTCGAAATACGTAGCCGGCGGCAGCTTTTCCCATCGCGACTTCTTCTCTTGGTGACGGCCCTTGGGTCCTCATCGCTTGTTCCGGCGGCTTTAGCAGATGGCAGTCCTCAGGAGCCGTTATGGTCGTTCGTGGACCCTTTGATCGGTACTGTCGGCCCACGCCCTGGTTCTGCTATTGCAGGCGGGAACTCGTTCCCGGGTGCGAGTCTACCGTGGGCGATGGCGAAGCCTGGAATTGATACGAGCTACATAGGGCTTCCAAACGGCAGTGCAGTGGACGCCAATGCTGGATACACGCCTCTCGGGAACGTGACGGCCGTGAGCATGACCCACGTCAGTGGATCTGGGGGAGCACCAACTTGTCGGTCTCCTGCTTCTACAACCTGCTACCGATACTAATAAGAGACAGATGGATTGATATCGCAGATGCCGCTCTTTGGCGACCTATCCTCTGTGAACCTCGCCGACAATATGACCTATGCCCAAAATCGTAGTCTGGACTCGGAGTCTGCAACAGTGGGCCTCTTCACTACGACTCTGCAGAACGGCATCAAGATCGAGATCACTTCCGGCAATCACACCGGGTTCATGCGATACACGTTTCCGCAACTAGAAGCGACTATGGTCAATGGATCCACCTTGGATGTAAATCCGAGAATAACAGGAGCTCGCGCAGCCAACGGACAGGATGCGCACGTACTTGTAGACCTCACGCACGTGCTTCCAGCGTACTCATCTATGGCCTACTCGCAAAGGTTCCTGCGCGGGAAGCTGCATGTTCCATCTTCCTCTAATGCGTTGCCGTCATACCATGGGTCTGCAACCTACACGGGCGGCTGGCCGCAGCCTGATTCTCACACGATCCACTTTTGCGGGAACTTCAGTGTTCCTGCGAGCTCTGTGCTAACTCCAACATCCGACTATGTGCAGCGAGAGCGTTCGAGCATCGCCTCCGGTGTTGGCACGTTCAGCTGGCCATACAATCCTTTTTCGCCTCCAAGCTTCAATTCCCGACCGGTTCCCCGGGGATATTCTGATGTGCGATCTTACTCTGGAAGCGGAATGGGCCTTGGTGCTCTGTTCAGCTGGTCGCCAACCGAGAGAGTGAACGGCACCCTTACACTTGAAGCCAAAGTAGGCATTTCGTACATTAGTGCTGCCCAAGCATGCGCGCACGTAGAAAACGAACTTCCTAATCAGAAATCCTTTGAGGACGTCGTAGAACAATCGAGGCAGGAATGGACTGATAAGGTACTCAGCAAGATACAGATCGGAGACGATGGTGACGCGACAAGCAACAATGCAACACTTAAGCGAATGCTATATTCAGCTCTGTATCAGACAGGCCTGATGCCAACTGACAAAACGGGCGAGTGCCCTGTATGGGAGTCAAGTGATTCCAAGCCATACTATGACGATCATTATGTAAGTGCACCCCTCATCGACAAGATTGTGGAGTCCTAATCGCTACAGACGCTGTGGGACACGTACCGGACCTTGTTACCCCTGTACCATCTGATCTTCACAAAACCCTACTCCCGTGTTCTATCTGGACTCATCTCAATCTTCACCGAAGAGGGTTTCCTACCCGCCGGTCGTGCAGCGAATTGGAATGGACGTGTTCAAGGGGGCACGCACGCAGATACCGTCTTAGCAGACAGTTTCGTGAAGAGCGTCCGCGCACTATCCGGTGAGACAGGCCGCGGCGAGCTCGACATTGCAATCGATTGGGAGGAGGCTTACAAGGCGGTGATGAAAGACGCTAACGTAATGCCTGAGCGCAATGTCGACCCAGTAGTATTTGATGGGGCCACCAAGGAAGGAAGAGGGGCACTGGACGACTATCTCTCGCTTCGATTCATCACGCGCAACCACACCCGCAGTATTTCTCGTGGCGTCGAGTACCCGCAGAACGATTTCGCTATCTACAGCATGGCATATGGACTTGAAAAATCTCAAAAAGAGGTCGATCAAATGCGCGATCGCGCGAGCTGGTGGCAGAATCAATGGAATCCCACGGCGAACACGACCCTTGACGGTATTGGCACATTCACCGGCTTTCCAGGTCCCAGAAACGCAGACGGCACGTGGAACCTCACTGCTTACGACCCATTAAGCTGCGGAACTTGCGGTTGGGATGCTGACATATACGAGGCCAAAGTTTGGGAGACTGCATTTGGTGTCGCCCCGCACGACATGGCCAAAGTCATAGATCTGATGGGTGGTGACGAGGCTTTCGTTCGTCGGCTAGACGCCAGTTTCCTCCCCGGTTTCGGCACATCGGTAGGCGCGAACAATGATGCCGGCTCCGCTCTTTTCAATCCTGGCAACGAACCATCTTTCACAACGCCGTTTCTCTACAATTACGTCCCTGGCATGCATTGGAAGACGGTCAATCAGACACGAGCCACGGTCGACACCTTTTACAACGACGCCCGCAATGGTTACCCGGGAAACATTGACGGCGGTGCTCTACCCAGCTGGCTGATTTTCAATCTTGTAGGCATGTACCCTGTGGCTGGGCAACCGCTCTATCTCCTTTCTGCGCCTCGTTTCTCCCAGCTGAACGTTTCGCTCTTCAGCGGAACGGCAGTAGAGACATCGTTGACTGTTCTGGCACGGAATCTGTCAAGCACAAGCTATTACCCGCAGAAGGTCACCTGGAACGGGCAAGAACTCGACCGAGCTTGGCTAAAACATGGAGAGATTGCGCAGGGAGGTGAGCTTGTGTTCTACATGGGCGAAGCGCCTAGTAAGTGGGACATCGGTGACCGGCCGTGGTCGTTGTCGGCGTGGTCATAAGTTTAGTTGCCATCCTTGCTTGACAATCGACGGTGATGTGCGAGCAGGAGACTACTAAGCGTGGTGGTCGTGATCGTCGCACTGCGCTACAATGTCGTGATGTCTAGAGCATGTCTTCACGAAAGCTGCATTCCGAGAGTAGGCTGGCTAGTTTTAATTGAAGAACTTGACAACTCGTAGTAGAGATGAGTGGATGTTCAAAGAGCTTTCACTAACGGCCGCTTCGGCCTAGGGGCCTGACCGTTGCGACACATGATATAAGGAGATTTGATGAGAGATATTGTAGCACAGAAGACTCATTGAAGAGAAATGGATTATTTAGTCAAAATGTCGAATATATGAGAATTCTACTTTTCCTATGTCACACCATACCCTTGCTTTGTGTTTCTGATGTTGAATGTCATGGCTATAGCTTATACTGATCTTATACTTGCGTTCACGGGGTGTACATGCAATGCAAAGAAAACGTTGTCTAGTTGCTCGTCTTCTTCAATCAGTGATGTTGCCCGGGTTGATCTCGGCTCTCCGCCCGCGTCTTCCCACTTCCGCATGCAGGCCACTTTAGCGCACCAATGCGCGAGCAGCATCACTACTGCATGCATACCTCTTTTCCATTTCCAACATACCGCATGTTAAAGTAAGCCGCATACAATCCTTCCGCATTACATCGTCCGCCTTATATCCACCTCATCTCAAATGTATCTCCATTCCCACTTTCCCTTCCTTGCTGTCGTCCTCACCTTCACAATGGCGACATCGACCTCGACCTCCATCACCCCGTCCCCAGTGACGCGCATAGCAACATTCCGCTTCCATCCAAATGTCACCGCAGCACAAAAAGGCGATCGCGCTGCCGCTTTTTTAGCACTTTATGCTGAACATCCAGAGCTACTGGTTGATGGACCGAAGGGGGGAAGGCCGTTGAATACGCCGTTGAATCTTACGAACGTGAAGAGAGAGAGTGTGTGGGATACAGGGTTTGTTGTTGTTTTTAAGGTATGTGAAAGTTCGTGGGACAAAATAGCACGGGCGGCCGAAGTGGAGAGGAGACGGTATATGGACGCTAATGATGGGTAGGATGAGGCTGCTAGACAGGAGTTTGATCTTGATCCTGGGCATGACAGGCTGAAGGTAAGTGGTGTATTCGTTCTTGTTACAGAGGGTCGGGCTAATATCGGTAAAGAACGAGACAGATCCGTTACTCGAGCAGGTGTTTGTGTATGACTTTGTTGCGCAGCCGAATCTTGGATGGTAGGGATGAGAGGACAGTGATGCTTATAGCAATATGGCCTATGTGCATACTAGTAAGTTACTTTCGGTGCAATTCAAATGTCGAATTGCGCCTTGTACTTGGCAGGGCAGGTAGCCTAACAGTACCTGTTAAATCTACATGTACCTTCTATCAGGTAACGCATACAGCAAGCCAGAACAGCGAAATGAAAGTTAAGTTTTTCACTCTGTCAAGTATAGGTTGCGCAGCATGAAGTCGATCTGAATTGCTATATGTAACGCAACTTGTACTCCCAATGCAGTACAACTGCTTGCAATAATGCTTAGTACTGTATGCTTTACTCCGCTCCTCCACTTCGATCGTTTCGGCCTGTCTCAACAACCCCCGCTGTCTGAAGGCTCATTGATTTTCCCATCTTGAATATTGAACTCATCCTTTACTTTCTACCATTTCCTGTCGTGCCTTGACTACACTACTCGTCCCCAACACAACCTTGAATTGCTAAGGTGCGTTACTACTATTTTGTACTGCACCTAGGACTAGTATATCGAACCTGCTAATTATCCTATGGGTCGTCATAAGCTTGTGCAGCGTCATGAGGCTGTGAAGATTGTCCGAAGATGATCTAGGGTTGGTTCTCGGGGAATGAGTGGGCGACGATGGACGAGGAGGTTGTACTAGCACGATTGGTAGATCGATGTAATAGTACGAGGTGTGTTAGCACGATTGGTAGATCGATGTAATAACACGAGGGATTGAGAATCAAGTAGTAATCCTTAGATTGAAACTTAAGTTGAACACAATAAACTGTAAGAGTTCATTGCCTAATACTATATACTGAGGGTGGTAGTTGTGATAGTCGCGAGCGCGACTATCGGTAGTGGTGATAGCCGCGCGCAGGACTAGCGATAGTCCTTGGCATAACTATCAGTCACGTGACTTGGCCTTCCTTCGGGTGGCCTGGCGCCTAGCGATACAGTCCGTGTTCCGCTGTGCCCAATGATGAAGCCCGTGGCTGTAATTCGTAACAGAGGCATCCGGACGAACGAACTTGTATCTAGCTATGCAATCCATCACATTGAAGATCTGGAGCCTGATATAGGTCAGGATCTATCCGACATGGTATTCAAGCATGCTACGAAAGAGAAGTACAGAGTAGTTGTAGAATAGCACAACGTTGGCGACCTGGTTATGTGGGATAATACTTGCCCTATGCACCAAGCAATGGGAGGCGAGTTCGCATACAAGTATCGTAGGAATATGAGAAGAGCTACGGTACACGATGATAGTAGCCAAACATGGGGCCTCAATGAGTGTTAGGATAGTAAGGAGGTCGCAGGATATGTAGCGTAGGATAGTACGTAGCAGGCACAAAAAGGTGTATTTGTACTTTGACGAATCGCTACCGTTGTAGCAATTCTTACGACTGGCTTATATACTCTGTGTCTTGGCGAGCTAGGCTAGCTTCAGGCGCTCTAGTCCTGACAATAAGACACCAAGTGTAAGACAAGGTCTTTCGTAGAACTCTGTTATTATAGTTGAAAAAATTATAGGTAGAGCAATCAAGTCCAGCGACGTTCATAGCCTCGATAGTACTTCCTGTTCGCGGCGCTACCACGCATAGAAGTCAATCGTAGCCATTGCAGAAGAGGAGTGTTGATGCTCAGGCAGGGCAACACAACGCGATCAGATAAATCAGTACAATAATCACAATTCAGGTGTATTTCTAAAACACCTTATTTTTGCTGTAAGCAGCTGTGTCAGTCGATAAAAACTCTCCCACTGAAGCCGATGCGATGGTTCTCGTGCTGTCAATCGTAGTCATGATACTGTACTTTGCAGCTTACCCTGCCGTATACATAGCGCTAGCCAGGATAATACGATCATATAAACAAGTAGTTTGTTGCCTATGTAGGTAACTCTAGTGGATGATGGAGGTGTTGACCGTCTCCCATGACCTCCGCCAAGGTACCCTCAAGCGAGCACGATGACTCTATCTCCTGAACACGTGCGCAGTATCCTCTCCGTTTACCCTTTCCGTTTGCTCTTTCCTCCTCCGCGTGCTTCCATCGGTGAGTTTATCGCGCCGCGCCGAACACTCAATAACAACAAAGCTCTTTCTCTTTGCACTTCTGCTTCACCTTCGTATCAACATCACCCACAATGACGACGGTCGATGCCTACCTCAAAGCCTTGCTTACGCTATCGGGCAACGAGCAGCTTGCGGATGCCCGCCGGGCCCTGCTCAAAAGTATCAACGACAATGATCTCGTGGAAGTCGTGAAGAAGGGCGTGGGACGAGAGTTTGCAAGAGGTGGATTGGAAGAGATTGCTTCAGTCATCCTACACGTCGTCGCGAGGGACCCAGCTTTCGTCGGGGATAATAGCGCCCATATACTTCAGGCGAGCGAGGTGAAGGAGGAAGCTGGAAGTGGAAACATTTCGCGGGGAGGTAAGCCGAGTCGAGTAAAATTGTTGCTCATGTATTAATCCGACAGCAGCTGAACCAGAAGCCACTCATCCATTATCAGGATTGATTTTGCCGGCTACAGGCCCAGTATCTCGGACACGCAAGCGATCATTCACCAGCTCGTCAAATATCGGTGATGGCGTGAAGGCATCACTGCGATGCCAAACGGAGCAGGTGATAGCGAACAAAACTGTGCCACCTATTGGATGCGTCTTTTTCACTCCCCGAAACAGGGTTTACGTGTCCTTCCTACCAACCAACTCCGAGGAAAATTCTCTAACGGACTTGATGGCGGATAAATTCGACAAGGACTATCTCTCTACTAATCTTCATATCTCAGAGTGGGGTAAACTACTAAGACTTCTGGAGAAGGGTGTCGCAAGTCGCTGCTGCGTTAACGTAACGGTGATCCGGAGGGCTAAAGATCCTGGTAAGCGAACCATGGGGAACATGAAGACAGCATGCGATTACTGCATCAAGACTAAGCGACTTTGCGCCCGACTCTTAAAGATCGATGACGTGATTAAGCTTGCCTTCTTTCCTCTGCCCTCTGAGCTACGTCCCGATGCTGATTTGGCTCACCTGAACTACTGGGTTCTTGAATGATAGCCTGCGGTGAATGAGAGTTATTGTGGGTGGGAGGATATTGTCGAGTTTCCGAGGAGCGAGATGTGTACGATGGAAAGGGCTGTAGGTGTCTGAGGTAGATCTTGCTGGTCGCATGAACGATGAAAAAGCTCCTGGACAGCATCACCAAATCATTGTCAATCGGCTCTGTGAGACAGATAAATGAGTGCCTAAAACCATCGAGGCTAGTATATATTCCAATACTGGAGTGAAAAACTCGTTCTAGCGAGCATCAGTAGCGATCTTCGATCCGCAGCAAGTAAAGGCATCTCCCAAGATACGTATTTCTCACCTCTCCCCTCGACACCGTTGCTCACTTCGCCTCCAGATAATACCTTCAACCTATTTCCTCACCCCTCCATCTCATTGGAATTGACTTCCCCATCTCCATACTCTCTCCCAAGAGTCCAACATCCTTCACAATACCGTCGTGTCAACAACGCAGAGCTATCACGACGCGCTTTCGACACTCTCCGGCAACGCAGCTCTTGCGGAAGCAAGAATAGCTCTGGTCACAAGCATCAGCGATGATGACCTGATACACATCATGACTGATGGGCTCAGGACTAGCATATTAAGGATGCGCCTCAATGCTTTCGCGACGGAGCTGTTGGAAAAGATTATGACGATCCAAGCAGAAAATGAGGTCTCGGCGCAGGAACAAGCTGAAGCTGGAGACGGTGACGATATCACCCACCCCATACTCAACGGAAGCCAGCTGCTAGACATTTCTGGTAGCTCAGCAGAAGATGAAGGTGAGAGCTACTCGGGATTCGATATCAGAACAGCAGCTAACGATAACATAAAAGAAGGACCCGCACATCCTTCGGAGTATCAGCCAATTCGTTACTAATCGGTGCGGACCTCTCGATCATCATTTGCAATCAGGAAGAGGAAAAGAGATACTTCGTGGGCAGCGGGGAACAAGAAACGGCAGAAAGATGTATATTTTAAAGACGAATAAATCACAATGAAAGAAGAAGAATCCACCGATATCAGCGGCAGCGACAGCGACGGCGATAGTGACACCTCCACAAGTTCCGAGGAAGACTCTCGCTGGAAAGCAACCCAATTATCGAAAGCTGTGCGCTAAATTGGAAAGCTCCGATGTCGGAGAAATGATCTTGACGGTATACCCGCGATCCGGAGTTTACGACAAGGATGCACACTGGTGTGTCATGGACTTTTGGGAGTGCAAATGACGGATTGTGTACGCGCTTCGAGAAACACTTTAGGAGGATGCAGACTGTCGCTCTATGGACTTGTGGGTACGCAGATGATCAACCAGAGGGAGCGCGGTTAGCCATGAGCGTGCAAAATAGCGGTTCATAAACAACCAAGTGGATATTTTGGCCGAGAATAGTATGATCTTACAGCGTAGGGTCACCGTTCCTGGGACAGCGATGAAGGTGAGAAATTAGAACATCTATGATGCGATCCTTCTCCAACCTCGACCTCTAGCCCCTGCCGTCACCCATCACTCAACACCCCAAAACCACTCTGAACAATCCTCTTCCCCTGCCCATTCCCCTGCAACCTCGTCTCAGCCTTCTTCTTCTTTCTCTCCGCCTCTCTCGCCTGCCTCTTCTTCTTCTTATTGGACACTTCCTCCCTCTGCACCTCCACACCAGCGGACGCATATATCTCTTCAATCCAACCCTTCAGTTTATCATGCTCTGCCACAATCCTCTTCGCCTGACCCGGGACGCCGAGTGAGCGTGGTATTGAGGGAAAGTCAGTCATGTGAGTGGAAAGGGTGGAGAGGGTAGTATATAATTTAGTATCCAGCGCTGTATTCAGTGTAAGCCAGACTTTGATGACCTGACTCAGCATGCGTAGGGAGTAGAGAGCAGCGTGCATGCGCGCAGTGAGGTGCACAAAAGCCCAGCTATTGTCAAAGTCACCGTTCAAGACGCGCTGAACCAAGGCGACGGCCGGAGGCGTGTTGAGCTCGGCAAGAACCAGGCTGAGTGCAAATAGCGGCCATGCAAGGTCTGATCTAACGGATTTTGCGGCAGCCCATTCTGTTAAAGTGCGCATCTGTCGCTCTAGATCCTTTACTGGTGATGGGAGGTTTGTGGACGAATACGTGGATACCTCTTGGACGGTGATGCTTTGGGCTTTTCTTCTGTACTCATGTATAATCGGGTCTTGCTTGGGCGCGAGTAGCGAGTATGCTAATGTACGAATATCGTATCCCACATTCCATGCTGATGCTTGATTGGGGTCCTCAAGCAGTAAAGGCATGTATACAAACGGGGTTTCCAGCCCATTGAGGGCTTGATGGACGAATTCGGACACTCGTACATCTAATTGAGGTAGAGCGAGTGGAGAGTTGCTCTCTCCAGACATATAGCTGGGATTGACAACCTTTGCCACGTATCGCCTGGCGAAATTGATGTATAGTTCGGAACTCTGGTCTATGCCCTGGGCTTGGTGGGCTAGAAGCTTCACACTGTCTTGTGGGCCCTCAAGGAGAGCATACGCGAACGCTACCAGGCTCGTCACCTGTAACTGCTTCCGGATATCATTCGGTGAATACGCCTTGATGCCGGCGGATACGTCAGCATCGTGGAGAAACACTATCAGTGTATCTATGCTGTAGTTGTAAAGGACAAGATCCGTGTCGCTGGTAAAGATGATAGATCGCGCATTCTCCTTAGCATGCAATGCGCACCAGTCGTCGGCTTCGCCAGGTACGGTTTGGGTCTTGGAGGCAAAGGGCGAATCTAGTAGCGCCTCTTGTAGTGCAGGTGCAAGAAAGGCATATGATATCGAGCCTAGATATGTGGGTATAGGGCAAGAAACAGTGGCATAGTTGTTGCGAAATTGCTGCACTCGTCTGTTGTTTGCCTCGGTCCTGGACAGTCTCTCGGCTCGCTTTGAAGTAGGAAGGGCTCCATCGAAGTAGATGGCAGACCTGAGAAGGTGCGATCAGCAGTGGACAGCAGGAACATCACAACAGCACCCGCATAATGTGCGTTCCACGGTCCAGTGCATTCGAGCAAGGCTCCCAGATGTACTACGCGATACACACAAATCCTTGAGACCCCTGCACTAATGGCGGTGAAGTGAAGAACATATGTGCGCACCTTATTGGTTTGCCGTGGTGGTTCCGTGTCCGGGCGCTGAAAAGCAACTGTAGTTTACTCACACCTTGATGTTGGCATTCTCCAACGAGGCCAGCCAGTGAATCGCTTCAGCAACGATGTCTGCATAGGACGGTATTCTGGATGCGCTAGCGGCCGAAGCGAGAGCCAATTTGTGAGCGTAGTAGGCGAGCGCAGGGCCGTCTATCACGGCAGAATAGCCGTCTAACTGTTCGGAGGAAAACCGCGTCGCGTAGGGTTCGAGACGCCTAGCGAGTCCCTGGATACCCATTTCGACCAGATGTTGAGGAGGCGTATCCAGAAGAGGGTCGGGACAAGTGTTGAGGGGATGGATATGTTCTGGTCGCAACGGAAAGAAATGTGATATGCACACAGCCAGGATACCCCCGCAATACGTCTGGGGCGAGCCGAAGCGGGGACTGGTCAGTCAAGAGAGTTGTGCAGCGTCTCGCCCTCAATTGCAGGATTAGCGCACGGGCGCAGCGACTGTTGGGACTTTGACGAGGGAAAAACTTGAGATGATAGCCAGCGTGGCGTTGTTCTTTCCGCTGATGAGCTAGCGCCAGCGTCATCCCGCGTGGTGGGGAAAGCTGGGCCCCTCACCAGCTCAAAAGTTGCCTGCTGCCACCTTTTCATAAACTCCAATTGCTTCAACCCATCTCTCGAACCGCTTCAAGTATACACACAGTTAATATGAGCGTCCGAACCGTCGAATTGAAGCCTTTCCAGGACCAGAAGCCAGGAACGTAAGTGCAATGCACGTAAAAGAGCTCGGGAGGGTTGATGAAGCTATGGCGTCAATGGATAATAGCTGACTTTAGTTGCTGCAGTTCTGGTCTCCGCAAGAAGGTCAAGGTTTTCCAGCAGGAGCACTACTCAGAGTCTTTCGTTGCCAGCATCCTCCAGTCCATTCCCGAGGGCGTCGATGGCGCGTTCCTCGTCGTTGGTGGTGATGGCCGTTACTGGAACCCTGAGGTCACCCAGACAATCGCCAAGATGAGCGCTGCGTATGGCGTCAAGAAGCTCCTCATCGGCCAGAACGGTATCATGAGCACACCCGCCGCCAGTCACATCATCCGGATACGAAAGGCTACTGGTGGTATCCTCCTCACTGCCAGTCACAACCCTGGTGGTAAGTGCTCTCCAAGCATCCGGCCCGACGACTACTCATCTGACACACGATAGGCCCCGACGAGGACTTTGGTATGAAGTACAACCTGGCCAACGGTGCCCCAGCTCCCGAGAGCGTCACCAACAAGATCTACGAAACCTCCAAGACCCTCACCTCGTACAAGATCGCCGACATCCCTGACATCGACCTCAGCACCATCGGTACACAAAAGTATGGAAACCTTGAGGTTGAGATTGTTCACTCGACAGAAGACTACCTCAAGATGCTCAAGGACATCTTCGACTTTGACCTCATCAAGTCGTTCCTCAAGCAACACTCCGACTTCAAGGTGCTCTTCGATGGCCTGAGCGGCGTCACTGGCTCGTACGGTGTTGACATCTTCGAGAAGGAGCTTGGCATCCCCAACAGCACACAGAACTGCGTCCCCAAGCCGGACTTTGGCGGCCACCACCCCGATCCCAACCTTGTCTATGCCAAGTCGCTGGTCGATGCCGTTGACAAGAACGGAATCCACTTTGGTGCTGCTAGCGACGGTGACGGTGACCGAAACATGATCTACGGCGCAAACTCTTTTGTCTCGCCCGGTGACAGCTTAGCCATCATCGCACACCATGCCGAGCTTATCCCCTACTTCAAGAAGCAGGGCATCTACGGTCTTGCCCGCAGTATGCCTACTTCTGGCGCGATTGACCTGGTCGCAAAGAAGAAGGGCGTCGAGTGCTACGAGGTGCCCACTGGTTGGAAGTTTTTCTGCGGTCTTTTCGACTCGGACAAGATGAACATCTGCGGTGAGGAGAGCTTCGGAACTGGCAGCAACCACATCCGTGAGAAGGACGGTCTATGGGCTGTTGTCGCCTGGTTGAACATCTTGGCTGGTGTGGGACAACAGACAGGTACTACCCCCAGCATCGCCTCAATCCAAAAGGACTTCTGGAAGACCTACGGACGCACATTCTTCACCCGCTACGACTACGAGGGCTGCGAGACCGAGGGTGCCAACAAGGTCACCAGCCACATGAAGGAGCTCATCACCACCAAGAAGGACGAGTTCATCGGATCCACCGTCGCTGGCCGCAAGGTTGTCGAGGCAGACGACTTTTCCTACACTGATCTTGATGGCAGCGTCAGCAAGAACCAGGGCATCTTTGTCAAGTTTGACGATGGAAGCCGCATCGTTGTTCGTCTGTCTGGCACAGGCAGCAGCGGCGCTACTATCCGTCTCTACATCGAGAAGCACACTAGCGACGAGTCAACATACGACATGGACGCTCAGGATTACCTCAAGGACAACGTCAAGCTTGCGACAGACCTCCTGAAGCTCCAGGAGTACGTTGGCCGCACCGAGCCTGATGTCAAGACCTAAGCACGTCGCGAAGTGGAGCATGGGTGATTGTAATTAGTATGATTAGACGAACTGCACATGAGAATATGGCGATAGTATCATAGTACCAACGAAATAAGAACAAAGCATCTTAGTACACCAAATGCTACTGTTGTTGACTGCGCGTGGCAATGTGTCGTGTCTGGCGTCATGACCCTTTGGTTGTCTGCGCGTGTGGCTTAGCTCGGCGACGTCATGTCCCAATCTAAACATGGTCCGTCTCCATAAACATCGATCCCCACCCACAACTAACTTACCTAGACTTCGACGGCCCCCGCCTTTGACACATCCCTACACGCGCGCATCAACACCCGCGAAAGGCACCTCTACCCCTCACGTCTTTCAACCAATAACTAGGAAAACTTGCATTGCAATCATGGCTGAAAAAGAAGGCTCCGCAGTGCCACCCCAAGCAAAAGGCTCATGGTCGAGCTTCCTCAAGGTACGAGACTATGTCAGCATGTTCACGCGAGCCTCAGCGTTTGCGCAATGCCCAAGCCTCTGTAGCGCACAAGATTGCAACCTCAACATGGACACCAACTAACATGACGATAGTCGATCGCATCCTTCAATGGCGACCTCTCTACCATGACGGCGCCTGCCTTTATCCTCTCCACAAAGTCCCTCACCGAATTCTCGTCATACTGGACTGAACACCCCTCAGTCTTCGTCGCACCTGCTGCCGAAAAGGATCCCGCCAAACGGGCTATGCTAGTGCTGAAGTGGTTCCTGAGCACATTGAAGCAGCAGTATGCGAGTCGGTCAGAAAAGTTGGGCAGTGAGAAGAAGCCACTCAACCCCTTCTTGGGCGAGCTCTTCTTGGGCAAGTGGGAGGACCAGGCAGGCACAACTCACCTCGTCAGCGAGCAAGTCAGGTACGCGCATCCATGTATCTGACATGTGTCCGAGCCTACTTTACCAGAGTGCTAATGCAACGCGCGCAGTCATCATCCACCAGTCACGGCTTACTCCATCTGGAACGACCAACACGGCGTTCGACTAGAAGGTTACAATGCGCAAAAAGCGTCGTTCAAGACCACCATCAACGTCAAAGTACACACACTCATAACATTTCTCATCGTATCGCACTAACGTCTTCCAGCAAATCGGACACGCCATGCTCCACCTCGATGCCTACAATGAAAGCTACCTCATCACCCTCCCTGCCCTCCACATCGAAGGCCTCATTACCGGTTCCCCTTACGTCGAGCTCAACAGCAGCACCTACATCCAGTCCTCTACGGGCTACACCGCGCGCATCGACTACAGCGGCAAAGGCTGGGTCTCCGGCAAGAAGAATTCATTCACTGCAGTCCTCTACCCCGAGGGCAAAGAGAAGGAAGCCATCTACAAAGCCGACGGTCAATGGACCGACTCGTTCCAAATCAAGGATGCCAAGACAAAGGCGGTGGTCGATACCTTCGATCACAAGGCTGTCAAGACGACGCCCCTTACTGTTGCAGCGATTGAGGAACAGGATGATTTTGAAACAAGACGTGCGTGGAAGAAAGTGTCGGATGCCATTAACAACGGCAACATGGACCTCACGTCGTCGGAAAAGACCATTATTGAGACGCGCCAGCGTGAGATGCGACAGCAGGAGAAGGACGCAGGCAAGGAGTGGGAGCGCAAGTTCTTCTCGCGTGCGCCCCAGTATCCGCTCTTTGAGCAGCTGGCTAAGAAGATTGGCGAGGGTATTAATGACAGTCAGACAAATGGTGTTTGGAGCTTCGATAAGCAGAAGGCGGACGCTGCTAAGTCGCCATTCCACCCTGATGTTGTGCCGCCGATTTACGAGAGGAAGTGAGCAGATTAGATGCAAAACCGAAACAGCGGGCACATATGGGCTGCACACCAAGGGGTATTGAAGGAGAAAAGGGACAGCCATGAAGAACGAGTGTGATGGCACAACTACATATTTGCTGAACTTGTGGAATAGCTCACATCTTGTTGGAGATGAAGCAACGATAGATACAGAACTAGATATGGAATTACCGTGAGTGACCGGGAGGGGGTTATGGGATAATGGCATTACTATGGTTTTTCTCCAATGCGTATTGATAATCCTTAGTACAAAGAACAACAAACATTGCAATTCGGATGGGAGTGAAAACATGATCATAGTCTTTCTCGAGCTCATTTTTCGTTTAGCTATACACTCCGTTCGATAATAGAATGGCATAACATTGTTACACTTGTCGTTGTCATGTCCAACATCCCACAAACACCCTCCCCCATGGTCACCAACATCAAACCTTGCGCCTAACCAACCCCCTGAAGAAATCAAAGCTATTCCCATCACTCTGTATCTGTATGATTTTGCCCGTGCCTCTCCCATCCACCTCCCGTACCTCCTCCGCGAGCAATAATCCCCAATCCCGAGTTATACCTTTTATCCTCGCTTTGGTACCCATTTGCACCCCTTGCTGGTCCTCGAGGGTAACAAGCTGATCTGTGTGTAACCAATTTTCGTAGTAGTAACTCTCCATATCGCGGGAAAACCCTTCCTGGCAAAAGGTCGAGTACAGCGTTTCGAAATGCGCGAGTATGGACGCGAGAAGTTTTTCGGGAGTGAAGTCACGGAGCGGAGGTACGCAAGCCTTTGTGAGTTGATTGAGACTTGTGGTGGGAAGGGCGTTGGACAGGTTGAGACCGATTCCGGTTACGACGTCGTAGGTGGAACCCGAGTAACTGCTGTTTACTAGGATTCCACCGATCTTCACCATGGGGTTGCCCGAGGAGCCGGGCAGCTGTGCGTATATGTCGTTCGGCCATTTGAGCTTCACGGGCATCTTCTCGTAGCCTGGTGCGTAGTTCTTGATCCCTTGCACGATAGCCAATGCAGCCAGATACTGGATAAATACCACGGGCGCGCTCTGACTCAGTGTAAAGGAGTGGTGCAGGACGGTGCTAAACATTAAAGCGCCGGGCGGTGCGATCCAGACGTTATTGCCTCGACCGCGCCCCGCGATTTGCGTGGTTGCTGTTATTGTGAAACCGTTGGGCAGGTTGCGGAGGAGAGATGGGTTCTTTTCGAGGAGCGTGTTGGTCGATGTTACGACTTCACCGTAGATGAGGTGGCGACCAAAAGAGGCGTCTGGATTGCGGAGTTTGGTGTGGTGGTGGTGCAGGTTGGCATAGAAGGACTCGTGATGAAAGGGCGTTTCTTGGGCGGATGGAAGTTCTTTCTCGTGGGGTACTATGACCTTGACAATCTTCTCGTAAGAGAGGATTTCGTCGGGGGAGGTACTGGCGGTGTACTCGATGCACTCTTGGATTTCTTCCTCTTTTGTTTCTGGTTTCTTCTTCTTGGACTCCTCTTCTTGGCTCTGTTTCTCAACACCCGCTTCTTTGCTCTTCGTCACAGAAGCAAGTGTAGGTAACTTCTCCGACATGGCGCTGACAGCTCTCTTTAACTCCTTTACACTCCAGGTAGTTCCTTCCTTCTCGATACGAAACACGTCGTTCTCTCCCTTGATATACTCATCACCATCCATCACAGTGAGGATTTCACTCCAGGTAGCAACAAGATCGGAGACGTCTGCCAGGTTATGAGCAGTGAGATGCAGGCGGGAGAGGGACGGTACCGCTTGTTCCTGCTCGTTGACTAGCAAACCCAGTTTCCTGAGGATCAAACGCATGAAGGCAAGTCGTGTAGCGTCTGTGGCAGCGATGTCACTGATGACCGTAGCATAAGAAGGTAAGCCGGGAATCTTGCTCAGGTTCTGGGGTGCGAATCTACGCGATGTTAGCGGAAAAAGCGTTACAGGCCTTTGGATCAAACTCACTCTGGATGCGGTCCAGTGACGACCGCATGACCCTCACCAACCTTCCTATACACAACCGCCGCTTTGCCTTCCCCAGATTCAACATGCAAATCCTCCGTATAACTTGCCAAAATCTGTACCCCCCTACCCTTCATCGTCCCCGCATCAACAAACACACCACCGCCATTATAATAACTCTTGAACGTGTCCGCCACACCCTCATCGACCCCCTCAAAAGCCTCTTTCTCTATCTTGATCTCCGCAGCCCTAGCCCCAGCCTCACTTCTATACTCGAACCCTGCAAAGGCCAGCCCCCTACACGTCCCTGGAAAGAATCCCAATTCGCGCTCACCCTCAACAGCCATCTTTGGGTCATCAACTTCAAACTCACATCTACTACTACCGTAATACCCTCCGGCACAAAATCCCAGGTACGAACCCCCAGCATTCACATACCGACTAATTCTTCGATTACCCTCGCCATTGAGCGTACGACAGTAGCCCAGGTCAGCACCACCAGGAAAGACGAGAAGCGCGCAGGTGCTAAACCAAGGTTCCTTGATGAGGGTATCGCCTGTTACGGAAATGACGGCATAAGAAGGTGATAGTAGGCGGCGGAGAGTGTATAGGCAGTGGCGAACAGATGCGGTAGTACTTCCGTTACCTGGGGTGTGGCTTAGTATATTCTACTTGGGCATTTCTGATGGGTAGGGCTGAAGGGTAGGGGCATACCAGAATATACCAAAACATTCATCTTTTTAGTTGCCATGATGGACGAATGAATCCAATATGCGATATGGTGATGGTGACGCTGCTGGGACCGATGAGCAGCGGACCGAATTTGGCGGACCGTGCTCAAAGTAACTCTCTCAAAGACCCTGAGCAACGTTTTCCTGGACTCGTTATTTCTCACACCAACACCACGCAGATAAACTCGTCGACTTCTTCCAAGCTCTTTCACAAAATGTCAAACGAAGACAAGGCACGCGCAGCAGCTGCGCAATTGGTAATTGACGATGAACCTGATGACTGGTACGTGGAACTGTGGTCGATGCGGAGATCCGGGGAAGCGAAAATGAAAGAAGCGAATGGGAAGCTGACGAGGAAGCTAGGGATAAGCGTATCTTCAGCACAGGCTGCGCAGGTGCGTCTGCAGCGCCCCCTCGAACCTCTCAGGAAGTAAGAAGATGAACTGACAAATCGGCAGACGAAAATGCCAAGTTGACGGATTGCTACTACGAGAAGAAGGACTGGCGCGTGTGCAAGCAGGAGGTGAGTTTGAATCGTTTGCGTTGCTTTTCCGAGATCCCTGGGGCCGAGAAGAAGCCGAACAGTTACACACCTTGGGAATCATTACTGATACCATGCCTCACCACGTTTTTAGATGGAAATCTTCCGACAATGCTGGCAGCGACATGGCAATGACAAGAGGACTGATTCCAAGGATGCATCATAGCGGCTGCGAATCCAATCAATTAGCCACACAGCCCTATCAGCTTGGCCTACTTGTAGTGTTAGATTGTATATTATCAGGGAAGAAAAAAAGAAAATGGTTAACTTGACGGAACCAAGATACAGCTTGGGAACAAATTATAACAGTCCTCCAACCGTTTTTTTTTTTCATTCAATCCCCATTGTGCATATCGAATCTTTGGTGAGGGCAAGAATGGGGGTTGGGGTACAAGAACCAAGCAAGAAGAACGTGAAGCAGATGCTGCAAGAGCCAATTCAATGAGTCTGGACTGAAAATAAGATTGTGGTATCTGGAACGAATGCACGACGACTCCATCTAAATGCCGCTTAAGCTTCCATCACACTCCTCACCGAGCTGATATCTATAACCCTTATAAACGCAAGAAAATTCGTCTCAATATACGTTTCCCTCCACTCATTCGCCCTTCTCTCCCCTCATCCCTACTCTCCATCTACCGTCCGAAATAATCTCTCGCTCCAGTTCCATCCCTACTAGGACTGTACGGTGTATACTGCTGAGTCGCGCCCATAGGTGCAGCCCCAGACACTAACCTTCCCTGATCGCCTCCGATCTCATACGGACTCTCCCTACTATCCACACCCCTTAGATCCAAACTCGGACTGGGACTATACTCCCTCAACGCAGACGGCGTCTGATGATACCCATGGGGATAAAGCACCCCCGGATCTTCCCCATTCCCCATGGTTCGCTCCGAGTCCCGGCTCGAGGGACGACCCCGATCGGAATCGCGGCCCCAGTGACTTCCAGGCGTATCCGGTCTCCCCTCGCCACCAACAGTGCTCCCCCCATATACACTCCCTTCGCCACCATGTTCATCGCTGAACTCGGGTCTATTTTTATAATTTTCAAAGTCCATGTTGGATTCCGATACGAATTCGAAAGGAGCGGGTGCAGCACCAGTGCTGGTTGACGTCGCCATTTTCCCTGGATGCTCCTTGGACATACGTTTCATGTAGATATCGCTAAAGGCCGCGCTGTCGCCGATATCGCCATCCAGTCGTCCACGGTAAATCTCCGCCAGGAGATGTTTACTCTTCTCATGCACCATCGGCACTGTGAGTTTCTGGTAAAGAGCCGGATGGCCAAACCTCACAGCGACACGGTCTCTGCGGCGGGATTCTTTGTCGATCGGTGTCGGGGCCTCTGTCCCCTTCGCCCTGGTACCCTGGGTATAGTACTTGAGCGAGTGATCAAATGTGTTCTTGCAGTAGAGCTTAAACGCAATGAGTCCGAGAGGGAGAGGCGCCATGGCACCTAGCATCGTCCATTTATGTTCATAGCCACGGGCGACGACGAGTAGAGCGACGATGCAGTTAGATAGGAAAGTACCGACGAGCATGCGGTTGAAGAGGATGCGCCAGAAGGCGCCGCCGGATTCGTTCTTCGTGCAGAAAACGTACCTAAATTAGACATTAGCAAGGGTGTCTTGTACAATAGGGGGGGAAGGGGACTTACATCAAAAGATACTTCTTCATCCAACTATCCAATGTAAAGTAAATGGCAACAATAACCAAGGTAATCGGCTGCAAAGGCGCAAAACAGAGCGCCACCGTCGAGTAAAACAAAAAGTAATTATAATAACTCGCGTAATCGAAAGGCGGCGGCGCAGTCCTGCTGATCAACTCTCGCGGGGTCGGATTCAAAAACTTGCGCGAGAAACTGCCCCAGGCGAGGTTGACAGCTTGTGCAAGATCGATCGCAGCACCCAGGTTACGTTGAACGAGCCAGGTAACCCAAAAGGGAGACACTTCACACAGCGTACGCATCGTAGTGTCGAAAAAGGCGATTTGACGCAGAATATCCATAAAGGGAACGTGTTGTTCGGCTGCGAGGTTGACAATCATGACAATCATGCCGAAGACGGCGCTGAACAGCGAAAACACAAACAGGTTGTTGAAGACGAAGAAGGCGTACAACTGCGCCGTCACATGCCTTTCGCGAGACGTTTTGGTCTGATCTCCAGCTTTAATCGAGAGTCGCCGAAAAATGATGGGAAGGAAGTAGTAGAAAAGTGAGGTCAACGCCGGAGCAGCGAGACCCTGGACTACGGCCCAGAAATCAGAATGTTTCGCTAGCTCGGTTTGGAATTCTGGCCATACGAAACCAAGGTTGGAGAGCTTGGAGAGGAAGACGGCGATGAGGGCGTTGGGGATGAAGTAGAGGAGTGTGAGTAGCGTGATCCAGAAATTGTTTACGATCCTCCTCCAGCGACGCGTTTTGGGGTCTAGGGTGAGGTTCTTCCAGATGATGTCTTTGGGCTTGGGAGCGAGTCGAACGGTGGTGCCTTTGACGTGCTTGCTGCGGGCTGCGAACGCGACCATGTGCGCGGAATCGATAGTTTCGTAGCTGGCGAATCCGTAGGATAGAGCATCGCGCTTGTCAACCGTTTCCCGGATCTCTTTGATCTTGTTTTCCAGGCGCTGGATGCGCGCTGTCAAATAATCAATCGCATCCACCTTTTGGGTCTTGTCGGTAAACTCTGGATCTTTCTTCGAAGGTGTACACAGCGGTCGTTCGGCTGGTAGCTTGTTCGGGTTCTTTAGGTATTTCGCCAGGATCTTCTCCAGTTCAATGACGGCCTCTTCATGGGCTTCAATAAGATCGGGGATATCCTTCACGTTGCGACCGATAGATGCGCGAGGCACCTCCGGCGTAGTCTTCAAGCTGTCCGTAACTTCCACAATACCCTGGTCGCTACGAAAGCTGCGGTTGATGTCCGTAATCATCAGCGTCCGCGCATAGAGACTGTTCTGGTAATCCGGGTGCTCCAGGTACTGGCGTCTCAGCCGGTGTACAGCGCGGTACATCCACCACAGGAATCCACAGACGACGATATCGATAATGTATGCTAGCACGACGAAAGCCCAGAAAACCTGACCGAACAGATCCCTAGGCGTCATCAGGAAGATGACTTTGCCGGACAAATCTCCATCAAAGTTCTTCTGAAACTCCACCGACTTGATAACGTTGACTGGGACTATGATAGCACAAGCCACAATGGCGAGTACAATAAACATGTTCCTGCACATGCGCGCAAAGCGCAGGAAGATGGTCGCATCCAACCCAATCTTCTCAACATACTCGGGTTCATTCGTCTTAAACACGGGTTTGTACCAAGCAAACAGAGACTTATCCAGAGGGGGCGGCCGGTGTTTCTCGTCGGTGTGTCGGAGACGAGGCGCGTAAACGATAGTATTAAAAGGACGTAGGACGAGGAAAAGGACGAAGATGGCGGCTGTGATGCCAAAAGAAGTGCCAATAGCGATAAGGACTGAATCTTGGGATACCTGGAGTTGTTAGCGATGTATGCGACTGATTGGGGAGTTTGGATATACCGAAGCGCCCAGAGGATTATTCTCCATTAACTGTTCGAATTTTTGCTCTATGCTCAGGTCCCGCCGGAGCAGCATATTCGGTACTGTTGATGCCATAGCGAGCGTACAAACGCAGTGAGTGTGGCGGGTGTAACGTGTGCAGCGAATGTGGTTGTAGCGAGTGAAACGAGGGTTGGATGTAGTGGTTGCACCGTGTGACAAGTGCACGTTATAACGAACGTCGGCAAAGAAGTTCGATTTCGGGTCAGACGGTTCAGCGCATGTCTTCTTGCGATGATCCTCTGTCTCTCCCCTCTCACAGTATCGCTCTGCTGTAATCGGCTCTTCTCTTTCCGCTTTCACAAACAAGAAAACGTGAATGGGTATACGCGCTAGAAAGAACGAGTGTACAAAGTAAAAAACAGCCAAGAGACAAGTAACAGTAAGCAGTGACAGTGAGTAGAGAGACACGAGCAGCGTCGTCGCGTCCCTCAATGTGAAAGAGGATAGCGCAGTGAAAAGGAAAAGGGCCTTTGATCCCTGTCGGAAGGGAGACGCCATGACGACTCGCCAGCCGAGACCCTTGCCGATTTCCCTTCCACGCGCCCTTTGATTCGCTGCCTCGACGCGCCGTTTTAACGCCGGGTACGCGGCTCTGGCAAGCTGGCAGCTCTGGCGGGTTGATTTTATTTTTGGCTTCTAGGCCTGGCCATGGACGTGAGCTGTTTAGGAGGAAAGAGGAGATGATCGCCCCTTAGCATTCCGAGTAGTTTGCGGAGAGGAGGGTGCAAGCTTGAGCTGTTTGCGCTACTTTTGCACTGCCACTCCTGCTCCTGCAGCTTCACTCAGGTTTGTTCCGAGTTATGGACAATGCATAACCCTCGAGACATGTGGCGGTGCTCAGGCGTCTCCTCGGATGAGGCTGCCCACTTCCTCGTTTCATATATGCATGTTTCGGCGCATACGAGATGGGCCACGTTTATGCTTGAGATGAATCGTGGGTGTTGGGGAGTTTTATTGGGTAGAGTTGAACGGAAGCACCGATACCCTTGTCAGCATTGAAGCTGGTCCAGGAGGAAAGTGGGGTGTAAGAGGGGGAAAACCAGGACATCCAGTCCAGCTATTGTGAAATCTGCCTGATGTCTTCTTCTACTCAACTTGAACCGCGATAGTTGACGACGTCCTCGCATCGTAAGTAGGGCGGAGTTATTCGGTTCACAAAGTACGTGAATATGTCCTGGCGTACTCGTAGTTTTAGTCACAATAAAAAACTATTGACTATGTCTACTCCAAACCTCTCCAGCCCATCTTCCCAAGTTTAGACTACTGTAGACTCTACCTACCCCACCCCCTCATACCACTATTTTCACCAATCATGAGCCGTTCATCATCACTTGAAGCAAAATCCCAGAAAGGTGAATCATCTCACAGCACGCAATATACCCACTCAAACATCGCTATAACAAGTGCCAACGAAGAAACAAACTTTTTCCCTTTCACGTTCTAATCTACCGTAAATCTATCATCATCGATAACCAGGGCGTCATGATTCCCGTCTCTTCATATTCACTCAGGCAGGCAGCTCTCCCCCAACCCTCATTCCAGTCCTTTTTTTGTTCTTCTTCTACCACATCGTGAGTGCAACGTTGCAACCATCCAAAGAAACTGTCTCGTCGCCATGATCAGCATCAACCCCCTTCATACCCACCACTACACACGGCAGCGTTTCTCTCCCGGAAAAACTCTTAACACAACTCTTCATCTTCTCATCAACACTCGTTGCGGAACTTGCTAGTTCCCCGCCGCCTTCACCAACTCACTAACCTTCCTCGCCAAATCATCAGCCTCAGCCCTCGTCTCTGCCTCGGCATACACCCTCACAGCATCTTCAGTACCGCTGGCTCTTGCAAACGACCTTCCCTGACGCACTTTTTGTACTTCCTTATCAATCTGCGCCTGTAGTCCCTCCGGGCTAGTCAATTTGCGCTCCGCATCCGTAGTCTTGAAGACCGTCCGGTCCGATACAAGGACTTTGAGGAGGCGGTTGGGCAGGTCACTATATGTACTCAGCCACTCCTGCGGCCCCCAGTGTTTGTGCGCGAGCACGACTTCGACGAGCAAGAAGTCGGAGAGGGCATCGCCGACGGATTGGTTGATGAGGTTGATGCACGCGCGCAGCACGTCAAGAGCCTCCTTCTCGCCCGGGTTACGCGGTTCGTGCTTGTCAATAGTATCAAGCGTGTCATGTGAGAAGATGACAGTGCCGTGACCATTCGCTTCAAAGTAGACGCCAATGTCCAGTTTCTCGGCTGCGTGGTGCAGGTACTTGACGCCCGTGGGTGTGCAGTCCACCTTCAATTTAAGGTTCTCTTCGACGTACTTTGTGGCGGCGCCGTTGGCGTAGGCAGTTTGGACGACGCCGATCTTAAGCTTGTCTGCGAGGCCGCTTTGACGGACTGTGTCGCCTAGGAAGGAGGCTACGAGGGTGGCGATGCGGTCACCGTCGAGGAGGCGGAATACGTTCTTCTCGTCCTTGAAGTAGTATACCACGCGGTCTGCGTCACCGTCGAGTGAGCAGCATCGGTCGCCAGGGCCGGCTTTGGATGATGGAGGGGCTCGTTGGTTGGTCTTGACGTAGTCTGCACCGCACTGCATGGGGATTAGCTAGGATCAAATAGTTGTACCAGACAACTCACGTCGACATTCAGGCTCTCAGGCTTGATGACGTTGTCGTTGATGACGGAGATCTCGAGACCGCCTTCATCCTTGGACGGGAGGTACTTGATCAGCTCGTTCAACTTTGGTCCACCGACACCGTTGGCGCAATCGACTGTCAAACCACCCGCAGGCTTCTTTCCACGCAGCGCCGTCTTGAAGGCAGCGCTAAATTTTTCATAGTAGCCCTTCTCCGTAGGCGTGCCATATGCGTCCTTTGTGTTTTCGGTGTTCAAGCACCGTACCATGTAGTGTAGTTGTGGTGTAGTCAGGAAGCCGTAATCCTTGGTTTCGGCACCAGCGCCGTTAAGGCCATCAACAAGGCATCCGAGTAGCCTCGAGCCGGAAGCTCTTGTATCGCGAGCTACAACAACGCGAGCGGGTGTATTGAGGTCGATCTTGTGTTGGGTTGCGATGTCGTGGTAGTATTTTGATACGTCTTCGGGTGTGGCTTTGTTGGCCATGACTGTGCTGATGACTTCCCACTCTTCTTGCAACATATTACCCTACACAACAATTAGTTTCCACTTTCTTCTCTCCTCTACAGACAAGAAACATACCATTGGCTCAACAAGCTTCACACCATTGTCCTGAGGAGGGTTGTGCGACGCTGTAATCATCACTCCGATCCATTTTCCCTTGAGCGCTCGCGAACGGAGAGCCGCAATGAGACCAACACGGGTCAAGACCGAGTCGAGAACATCTGCTTTTGTCCTGAAACCAGCAGTTCCATACGTATACAAAAGACCTTCAGGCGCAGGGTGCTTTTGCGCGGCGTCGGCGATGGGGTCGGACATGATGGGTGGGGAAGGCGGTGGTGGGTGACTAAGGAGAGAAGAGTGGTGGTGGTGGAGATCGAAGATGGAAAAGATGCGAATGTTCGATGTTGTATAGCTAGCTGACGGTAGCTGTGAGGCTCCTCACGACCCCGCCGACCACGCGCACTAGCAGGGATGGGGCATGCAGGGTTGTGCGTGCCTGTTGATGATGATGCGTGCCTGACTAACACGTTTCCACGCTGTCCAGCTTCCAAATCCTATTATTAGGTCTTCCGCTGCTGTCCATCGATTCTGCTCGACCAGAATATAGGGCTACTGAAACCTAATCATCCGGAACATCTAATCAATGATACTAGAACGATGTTGCTTTCGCCACATTCTTTTTCCGCGCGGTAGCATGTCGCCATTGCGGGGTTTTTTGTCACTGGCACCAGGCGGAGAGCTTGACCGCTCCTCTTACCATGTTGCAGCAACGTGGTGCGCTCCGGTGTCATGGGTGGAGTTAGTCCGATACTACCCGTTGACGTGGAATAATATGGAACCCGGTTGTTTTTTCTACTCAATGGTAATGCTGGGAAACGCCGTGCCGCTGATTATGATAAATTTATTCTCAGTGTAAGTTTACATAATATCGTATTACTGTAGGCAGCTGTAGTTTCCATTTTATCAAAGACATGCTGAACATCTGACGCAAAGGGTGAACACGTTGAATCCTTGGGCCGGATTTCTGTTCTAGCTAGTGTTCATGTTAAGATTAGTACCAATGTTACGAATAACATCACCGAATTCAAAAATGTTAGAGCATGTCATGGCACTCTTAAAGCAACTAGATTACCTCCGCTTGCGGATAGGAGACAAGGGAAGACTAGACCATCTGAAGAGTCTGAGGAAAGACGACACTCCAGGCAAGAGTTCAATGCAGGAATGTTTACCAAGCGCTGATAAAAAGACCTACTTGCCAAAAAAGAAGAAAAAAGTTCAGATCTGACTTCAACAACTGCCAATGTCCACATTCTTTAGAAACCCTGCGGTCCCAGGCCGGGAAATCTGCCTCCAAACCCGCCGGCCAAAACACTGTGACCTGGGACTGGGCTACCAATCTCGCCCAGAGAACTCGGAGGAGCAGTCGTCACGACACCATCGCTGAATTTGATGTGTGACACACGGCCACTGCCATCCTCTTTGTATTCCAAACTTCCACCGCCGTTGGTATGTGTGACATCAAGGATATCGCACGCCTCCTTGATCTCCTCCATGCTCACAGCGGGATCCATAGCCCCCCTTGATGCTTCGACTTGACGATGCACTTCACTTGCATCGACGTAGCCATCTGCATCGGCGATACGCGGTCCTAGTGTTTTGCATGCAGCGCAAATCGCCCTCCTCAGCCAGACAATACGCTGTTCATTCGCATTTCGCTCCAGACTCCTTGAATTGGTCATGGAGAATGGACTATTGAAGATGTTGCTTGTAGGCGAGTTCCCCCAGTTAGCAGCAGCACCTGGGTGGAAACCCCCTAGGGGTGGCGTACCCCAGATGCTGCCACCGCCTGGTGCGCCAAAGGATCCGTATTGCGTACCGGGTATGTCTGCGAAGCCAAAGGATGGCGCGCGCACGGATCCGTGTTGTTGCATGCTTGGGCGTCGTTCGGGGAGGTCGGGGATGTCGTCATCGTCGTCTAGTAGCGCTTTGCTGCCGAGGTGATTCGCAAGTTCGTCGACATCGGAACCATTTTGTTGGCTGTGTTCGTCGCCTGCTTTTACGCTCGAAGGGCGTTTGATAGGTGTTGGACGTTGTATAGGTTGTGCTGACGGAGCGCCAATGGGGCTCTCGTTTGGAAGGCGTTCGAAGGAGCCTGAGCCTTGTCGCGAGTGCGTTGGCATGCCCATCGGAAAGGCGGAGGGCATGGGCGCGGTGAAGCCAGGGGGTGCGGGAAAGCCTGGTGGTCCTTCCATTGGGAAGCCACGGCCTATTGGGAGTGCTCCTGGTGCGTGCATACCTGGAGGTGGGAATCCACGGAAACCCTGGGGCGCAGGTTGAGGGAAGAAGGGCATGTTGGAACGGGGTACCATCATGCTAGGCATCATTGAACCATGACCAGGAAAGCCGTTCAGGCCTGGAGGCATGTTGCCCATACCCAGTCCTGGTGGTCCTTGCATACCTGGTGGTGGTCCCATGGGAGGCATTGGAGATGATGGCTGACCATGCGGAGTCCCTAGACCTTGGTGCGGGATTGGCGGTTTCGTCAAAATAGACCTTGGTATTGACTGGTTCGGTAACTGGGAGTTGGGTGATGTTGACTTGCTAGCTCCCAGAGTAGCGTGGGGCGTCTTTGGAGAGGAACTGTGGGAGGTTTGGTGCGACGTCTGGCGTGGTCGATTCGGTGTTGGAGCTTTGGGTACAGCTGGTGTGACCAAGGGCGAGGGCATTCCCGTAGACGAGTTCTGCTTCAGCAACTGAGGAGGCACCGCAACCGCTGGCTGTGATGTCTTCTTCGCACCAGCTATAGCATTAGGAGGAGCTGCAGAGGCGGCCTGATCTTCTTTGGCTGTGCGGATTTTGTCAACCTTGAGTTTTGAATCGCGTTCTTTGCGCTCCTTATCCTCTTGTGCCTTCTTCTCTTTCGCCTCTTTCTCCTTCGCTTCCCGCTCTTCCCGCTCCTTTCGTTTAGCCTCATCCTTGATCTTTTTCTCTTGGGCTTTTTGTTCCCGTGCCTTCCTCTCAGCTTCCTGTTGTCGCTCACGCTCTTCCTGCTGTCGTTTTAGACGCTCGGCTTCTTTGCGCTGCTTCTCCTCCTCTTGGGCTTTGCGTTCGGCCTCTTTCTTTTTCCGCTGTTCTTCTCGCTTCTTCCGCTGTTCTTCCAGTCGCTTCTCCTCTGCAGCCTTGGCTTCGGCCTCTTTGGCTGCTCGTTCAGCCTCCTTACGAGCCTCCTGCTCCGCCTTCAACTGCCGTTGCTTGTCCTTCTTCTCCTTGCGCTTCTGGGCTTCCTTTGCCTTCTTGGCCTCTTTCGCATCTTTCCGCACATCCTCTTCCGCTAGTTCTTCGAGTAACTTTTGCTGACGTTCCGCGGCCACCTTTTCTCGATAAGCCTGAGTACTCTCTGCTCAAACATGCGCGCTGCGAAAATCTGGAACATTCGTCGGCCTTCTTCCATCCGTTGCTCCTCGGTCATGGCGCCCTGAGCGGGGTTAGTTGTAGATAGACACTCCAGCCATGAATACGCACTTCCTCATCCTCTTCATCCTCCTCGTAGTCGTCGTCATCGTACTCTTCCTCATCTTCGCCCTCGTCATCGTAATCGTCTTCGTCGGGCGGTGGAGCGTTGTGGCTGTGGCCGCTATAGGATCGATGCTGTGCACCTGGATGAGCCTGAACTTGGGCATCCTCCTCTCGTTGCATTCTACGCTCGGCGAGCTGCTCCATCATCTCGATGAACTTCTTCCCATCGTTCTTGAGCAAATCGTCAGCAACCGTAAGTATGCCACCTAAAAGGATGAATCAGCATGCTCCCAGCACGGGTATAGGAAAATGCATACCTTTGACCTGCAGACTACTTCCAAACTGGAGGAAGTCTGAGGGCTCGGGCGGCGGTAGACTTCGCTCCCCAGAGCTGTAGTCGCCTTCGGACGAAATCTCGCTGTCGTATTCGGAATCTTCCTCCTCTTCCTCGCCAGAGTCGTACTCTTCTTCGTCGTCGTCGTCGTAGGCGCCGGGGGGTGGATGGGGGTGGGAGTTGAGCATAGGGCGCGGGTGATGAGGAGCACTGGACGCATAACCATAATTAGCCTCGGGAATGAAACTACCGACGTCTTGCTGGTGGTGCGCGTACTGCTCGAGTTCTTCATAATATGCATCATATAGAACCTCCAGCTCCTCCTCAATGGCTGTGCGCTTCCGCCCACACACGGTGCAGCTGCACGAGTGCTTCTGCTGCTCCTTCATCTTGCGCAGCACGGCCTCCTTTTCAATCTTGACGAGTGACTTGCGCTCGTCTTCACCGAGGGACAGCCAGAACTCGCGTATGCGGTCCCTCTCGTCCTGCATGGTCGTGTTCCATATGCGGTCCTGTCTGCCGGATCGGGCGACAGAATGGGCGGGCGACATGGCGTGTCCGGGTGCGGGGCTGAGGCGTGATGCGACGTGCTGCGTGTAGGCAAGCGGAGGAGGAGCGGAGGGCGCCTTCTTCTTCCGCCGAGACTTCTTGCCTGTGCTCCCGCGCATGGGGACGTGGGCGTAGCCCTGTTGGTAGTCGCGATTCGTGCCGTACGTGTGCTCGTACTCCTCGTCCGAGTAGTATTCCCCCTCGTCGTAGGCCGGCTCGTCCAGCTCCGGGTCCGCGTACTGCTGGCCTGGGGGAGCATGGTCAGGTGGCACGCCGTTTCTCGCAGGCACAGGCGCAGGCGCAGGTGGTTCTTGTGCGGCTCTCTTGGCGGCCTCCTTCTCCCGTCGCTTCTGCTTCTTGCGGTTTACGGCGGTCGTGGTGGGATCGTGGGTCGCGGTGCCGTTGGGCGGCATGGCTGCCGGGGTCGGTCCTCGTGTAGCCTGGGCCATGTATGGGGATGCAGTCGCCGAGTTGTGCTGGGAGACGTGTTAGAGCGCGGTTTCGCTATGTCGTGGGTGACAGCTCCGATGATGGCGCGGGCAGACTAGCGGACAGGCACTCGGGAGAACAAAAGTGAGAGGAGGGAGGAATTGGACGAGGGGCCAGTCACGCACAGTAAGGGCGGCAGTATGCGATTCTCGCCAGCCAGGTCGCAGCAGGCTCTGTGGGGTGTTTGGGGTCGTGTGCTCGGGCGGCGTCTTGCTTAGCACATGCCGAGATGTCGTAGCCTCTGGTTGATGGTCGACGGCCCATTGTGGTCCCGACGTTGCGATTCGCACCTGCCGCAAGTGCCACGTCTTGGCACCCCGGTAGTCTTCTGGAACGGAAGGAACCTGGGAGAGAGAGGCTGTGCAGGTGCTCAGCGAAGGCCATTCGTATCTCAACACCCACGCCCACACCCACACCGCACCACCACCCACGCCAGTGCACTCCGTCCCCAGTCCAGCCGTCTATAGCTTGAGCTCGTGCATGTCTCCGCTGTGATCGTCCCCCAAGCTTCATTATTAAAACGCCCCCGTCACATCTGCATTGCATCCCCCATCCCCATCGCTTGTCGCATAATCAACAATCCTCACTACGACACCTCCCACGACATTCGCTACTTCCGCCTGTCGGTAGTCTATCGCTTCTATTCTCCGCCGTCGCCGTCGCATTCGCCATCTGTGCCGCCATTGACGCCCATTCACACCACTCGCCCGTCGTCGCGCCGCGAGCCATTGCCAGCCGCTAGCTGTTGGGACACGGTACCACGAGATACACGTCGCTTCACCTCCATTACACTCGCAATACCCTTACAACACACCCTCACGCGGACAAGGCTACTTCGCTGTATCCTGCCCACCCGCGCACCACCGCAGCCCCGACACCCACGCCCGCGTCCTCTGCGAACGCGCTCCCACCGGCCCAACAACACCCTCGACACCTCCGCAGCTTGCGGCATTTCTCCCCAAACACACCCTCACAATGGCACAACAGCAGCAGAATGGCGAGCCTGTAATGCGCAGGTATGTTTAATCTTCACTTTTTGGACCCTGGTCAAACTTCACTTATTCCGTGTCGATCTTTCATCGCCGTTTTCCTTACCGCGCGCATTGCTTTTTCTCAACTCTATTTCATTCCGTCCGAGTCTACTTTGACAACTGCAGATTCTGTGTTCCCCCATGAATCTGCCCATAAAACCATGCTACGGAGATTTCTCCTGCAAATGCCATGCATCAACACTGGGAGCTGAGCCACCCCGGCTTTTGCGCCATAGCTTGCATTGGCGCACCCGGTCCGACGACACGTCCGACTAAAAATAGGCCACCCTACAGGCTCCCCATGTCCACTTTTTATCGACTCGCGCTCAATTCTTTCTCCTTCTGGCTATCCAGTACATGTGAATCTTCTTCACCCACTTTCGGTCACGCCGACATTGTCACACCATGCACAACGCTCGTACACATGCTGATCTTGTGCGTTTAGGAAGTTGGTCATCATCGGTGACGGTGCTTGCGGAAAGACTAGTCTTCTGAGCGTCTTCACTCTCGGATACTTTCCAACTGTACGTCCCCACACGTGACTGACCTTCTCATCCAACTAACAAAACACAGCGCTACGTCCCAACTGTTTTCGAAAACTACGTCACCGATTGCAGAGTAGACGGCAAGTCCGTACAACTCGCCCTCTGGGATACCGCCGGCCAAGAAGACTACGAACGCCTCCGTCCCCTCGCCTACTCCAAAGCTCACGTTATCCTCATTGGCTTCAGCGTCGATTCTCCCGACTCCCTCGATAACGTCAAGCACAAGTGGGCAGAAGAGGCGCGCGAACGCTGTCCAACCGTCCCCATTATCCTCGTCGCCCTGAAGAAAGATTTAAGAGATGACCCCTTGGCGCAGGAGGAGATGAGGAAGAAGAGTTTGAGGTTTACAACGACCAAACAGGGCACAGATATGAAGGAAATGATTGGCGCAAGGAAGTATCTCGAGTGCAGTAGTTTGACAGGAGATGGCGTTGATGATGTTTTTGAGGCGGCGACTAGGGCCGCGTTGCTTAGTGTGGACAAGAAGGAGAATCCGGGGTGTGGCTGTGTTGTTCTGTGAGGCCATCATCTCAGCAATCTTCTTCGTCTTCTTCTTCTCCTTCTTCCATTATCTTTCCACACTATCACACACTGCATTGGGCGGAGTAAAACAACATTGGAGTTGGCGATATATGTTTTTGGGGGTTATCAATCTTTATCTTCCATCTATTCTTCCTTCCTTTCTGGTTCTTTTTGAGCGTTTGTTTAACTGCATTACCATTTTCAAGGACAAGAAGCCAGCTTGGTTGTAAGCATGTTGGGGGTTGGTTGACGGTAAGAGCGAGATGGAAAACAGACATCTTTTATATATATATATATATTTAGATCTTGGCTAATGATTTGATGAAATGAGATCGCCATCATCATCCACTCATTTGTTTACCCTTTTTTCGAACTTGTACATGCTAGGGTTTTTTGCGGGTACTTGGCTGAACGAGAGCGAGAGAGAGATAACAAACTCTGAAATTGGCGAGCTTGCAGCAAAGAGGGCTAAGATAGAAAACTGTAGTCTTGAGCAGTTAATCTTCCAATCGAAACACACATTGGTTTGGAACCCCCTCCATTTCCTACGCAAGAGGGATTTCTTCAATTGTTTTCCGCCCGCTTGGAGTTCTGAAGGACTCCAGGGATCCTATGTTTATCGGGCCGTAAACATCATATCAACCGACTTTGCCCTTGTGCAGGGCAGCCTGTTGTGCTATACAAATATATTGTACATGTACCATTTCTTCGAAACACCTCTTGCCCCTCCACCTTCCCATGTGCCTTGCACGTCTGGAAAGGGAAAAAAGAAAAGAAAACAAGAACAAACCCCCTCTACTGATTCCTAGTCCACGCATGATTCCAGCCATCTCTCGCCGGGAAATCCGTCTGCACCCTGCCATACTCGACAGGCACACTGCCCCAAACCCCCCTCTTCAACATCGCACTCCGATATAACCTGCCCACCTCCCTTCCTTTCGCTCCAAGCCTACTTGGATCAGCGCCCTGACCGCCAGCCTCCTCTTCCTTGACTAGGTTGCCGTTGTTGTCCATTAGACGTAGGTGTTCGCATGCAGACCGCATGGCCATGTATTGTCGTTCCAACTCGCGCTCTTCAGCCCAGCGGCGCTTGCGTAGGAAGAGAAGCCAGGCACGGTGGATTGTCCAGTGCCGTAGGGAGCGGTTGCGGGAGAAGTGGAGGGGACGCGGGGTCAGTGGGTGGGAGAGGTGGTAGCGGATGTTCGCTGAGGGATTGTTAGCTTTGGCTCTAGGTTTCATGGTATGTGAGAGTAAAAGGTGGGAGAGACGCACTTATCCTAGGATCATTTCCAGGTCCTTTTTTGCTGCGCTTCTGCATTGAGGGTGTCGTGGAGAAGGCTGCTCGTTGGGTATTGGGCTGCTGTTGCGGACATGTTCGTTGTGCGGTTCGTTGCCAGATGTTTGTTGGTTGAGAGGATGAGGTGGGTTTGTAGAGCCGGATAACCGGTCGGAATATGGAAAGGTTCATTGTACGGGGTTGTGTGAGACGCGATGGTGGTTTGGGTGGTTGCAATGCGTGGTGATGGTTGGACTGGAAATTCGCGATGCGCGGAGAGACCCCTGCTCGCCAAGAGGAGCTAGTGGGTTGGGAGACGACGTCGACAGTATCCTGCCTCTCTTTCCTCAACATTCGAAAGCTGGCTGCGTTGCTTGACGGTACTTGGTCGGTGAATTCAACTAACCGATTGTCCAAGTCTGATGATATCTTTTAGGGAGTACAAGTATGCCATTCAGCCAATGGTCAATTAAAGATTAAATCCCTCCACCATTCCCACCTTTCCCGCTGACCTACTGACCTCTTTCTTGTGGACTTGTGTACGTGCAAATGATATTTAGTATCGTACTAAATGACACACAACTATGACTTCTGTCGCTGTGTGTGCGTAGTCGCGATGCCGTACTATGGTTGTCATCCATGTAACAATACAACTCGTAAATGCCATCCACTCATCCCATGGTACGGCGATAACCCATCAACAACGAGCCACTCACGACACTTGAGATTCCTATTCTCTGTATATCAAAAAAAAAGTCTCTCTGGAGAACTATTGCAAATTTAAGTCAAGCACATATATAACCTCTCTTTAATCCTCTTTCTTTCTTTCTTACTTATACACACATACTCAAGCACTAGCCATTACCACATCTACTTTGCCTTGCCTCGTCGACTTCCATCACAACGCTTACTCCATTATAACAATACTCCACTTCTCTCAAGGCTACCACTTCACGTCTCCTAAGACCACCACGATGAAGATCACATACTTCCCCACCGCCATCTTGGCCCTCCTCCTGAGTTCCCTTCCCGTGGTAAGTATCTCTGTACCAAGAGAATATTAGACATTCACTGACTCCGTCTTCCCACAATTAGGCTCTAGCTAGAGACCACTACAAGGCGGAATACAGGTGCACATTGTGGTCCCGCCGCTGCGCTGCCAACGGCAATTCGGTCTTGGAATGCGTCCAAGACGTCGACGTCTACTACTACTGGACGCAACAAGAGTTTTGCCAGCACGGGTGTGAAGACGCCCACTGTATCGACAAGGCTTGGAACGACATGGTCGACTCCTACGATGCAAGGAAGGCGGGAAAAGACTTTGTCCCATTTGAAGGTTAGAAGCCGTTTCTTAGTGATATGGTTGTTCTTCTTCTTTTTGTTCTGGTTATAGTTTGTTGGATCTGCTTGTTCTGCCTACGATTCCTCGCTTCTTTGAAGCAACTAAGCAGGAACTTGGCTCAGTAGATAAAATTGTCTTCATCTCTGCTCAATACCAATCTTGTATTCTTATTCGAGGCACTTTTTGGCTTGCTGTAGAATGAGCAAGCTGTTTGAACTTCTCTAACTGTTGTTGAGTGAGCGACTTGGAACGTCTCTGATGCACAAGCCACTAACATTGTTCCGTCCCGTCCCACAATTGAACCTCGTCGTACCTTTACCGAACGCCTAAAAGAATACTCTGGAGGCCCTCACAAAGTTTCAGACGCCTGAATGTCTTCCCCATGGCCTCTCGTAGTCCCCAAACCATCCGATAAATCATAGGCATAATCCTCATCGCCTCGATCAACCTCTAAGAACTAGTTGAGGAGGACGGTGGATGAAAAGGATCAGGTTATTTTCGATGTTTCGTTGGTGTCTTGTTCATTGAGTGATGAGGCTCGTATCCGACCTGATTGTAAATGTTGCGGTGTCGTGGTTGAACAACTTGAATTGCAAATCTCTTTGAAGACGATGTATGAATTAGGCTATTGGGGGTAGACTTTGATATGGAGATGCTTTGAATTGGAGATATCTAGTCTGCATTCTTGTCCTGAGTATACAGACTCGCGATAACGGAGGCTAGTTCGGCGACATCAATGATCATGAAATTCATCGTTACGATTGTAACTCCTCGAGTGCTGTTGTGTGGACAGTTGTAGAGGGTTATTAAATGAGACCTCGAAGGCTCGAGTAAAGGTAAAGCATGCTGCCTCCTCCACTATTCAATGCATGAAGATCTCGTCGATGCTCACTCTAGGATAAGCAGCATCATGACAGGTTTCGTTGGCTTTCGGTAAGCATACCTGCCGCTTCGAAGGCAACAGCAGGATGACTATCAATCTAGATATGTATGCTGAAGATATGGACGAGCTGCTCTCGCCTCTCGAGCGCGTGATTCGAACTTGGTTGCAGAACACATCGAAGTCGCCAGCCACACCGACACCGAAGCGACCGAAACGTCATCAGCATGAGTTGAGTTACCTCTAAACATTTGAGATCTACTGAGCCTCCTTGAAGGAAGGTGAGCCCTTTCTCAGCTTTGACATGGTGACTCTTGATATCATCTGCAATCAAGTAATCCGCGTCGTCCAAGCTTTGTTGCGAGATCTTGAGAGTGACGCACTCGGAGACTGGATCTTCATACCACAGATTCAAGAGCTTATAATGGCATCTGGAGAGGGAAGGAAGCCAAAAGTGCGGTCCATCACCTAGAGTATCATCAACTGCGCCGGTAATTGTCGTATCTACGCGTGGAGGCTCATTGTGGTACGATCAAACTCCTTTCCTGGAGTCCAAAGTACGAAGGCCAGCTTCTTCCCACTGCTGCTATCTTGGTACAACTGAACTTTCCGAGAGTTCCATATGGTTGGGATAAACTTCGGGATGTAGTTGCTGATACGAACGCGAACGATTATCATGTCTTAATTTTGGAGATGTTGTCGGAGCAGCAGAAGATTTGGGATGAGCGTCGTAATGAGTTTTTGGAGAAGCTCGTCACTATTGACTGTCAGGAGGACGACATAGCTGCAATTTGTCGACATCTTGAAATTATGTAGAGGGACGACGCATGATGAGCGAAGATAAGAGGTGCCGCAGTACGATAGGCTCCATGTTATAGACGCGTGTGGCTCTATTTGTACCTTCATTGGATGCAGTGCCTCGCATTCTATGGCAGTTCTGTAAAATCCAGTATATCCAAATCACTCGGTAACACAAATGAATGGCCAGTAGCTTTAAGATGCATGAATCAATCCGTCGGGCTCACACGAAAGGTCGGACATTTGTGGATTGGGTTTCCCAACATGATTGGAATCACCTAGTCACCACTGATTACTCAGGCGTAACAAGAACGCGACGCGACCCTCGCTCAACACATGCGTTTCGATGCTCATGAGTTGTGATGCCACCACGGAAAGTGCTTGTACCATCGAAAGCTCTCAAATAAAACAAATTGATGTGATCGGTTGCCAAACGCAAGGCAACTGATGATAGAACAACCAGTCGCAGCACGGCCACAGACAAAAGAGTTGCGCCGGAGAATGGAAATTTCGGTATGCCTGAAGAATGACCTTATGACGCCCAGAAAGGGATGCGAAAGCTCGAAGGTCATGGCTACGACGCCACGATGAAAGTGGAGGAAGAATATGGAGAACGCCTCGAGAAGGCACAAAGACACCAAACGGTCAGACTCCAGCATGAAGGGCGTATGTAGTGATCATCATACGTATGATCCTTTTGTATGATGCCAAGGTCTAGGCTCCTGTATCGTACCAGACGGATAAGAGGGGATATCCGATTAGCTACATTTATTGGGTCAGGGTCTACATACCCCACTTCCATCTCATCTCCTTCACGCCCGTATGGCTGCCCCTGACTCCTCCTCCTCCTCCGTGTGGCTCATCATATGCTTATCATATGCTCTCATGCGTCACCAAGGCATATTGTTGTATGATGGTTTTGTAGTGTGCGGAGGCATGTCCGATAGGAAGAGAATAGACCGGAAAAACTGTATCTTACTTCCCACCTTGCATGATCATACACTTTAGCGTACCACGATCTCCTCTTCTGCACACGAGTCGCTCTTCTTACACCTGACTCGCCTTAGCTCCTATTGGCCAGCCAAATCATCATATGTCCTACAATATCGTAGTACGATCACTACACAGGCCTGAAGAGAAAGCAGATGTGTGTGATGTACTAGGCGAATGGGATATATACTCTCCTCATCATTTTGATCAGCGAGAAGTTGGCTACCGAGGAGGATACGCGGAGAGCGCTTCCACTTTCGTCAATTTGAAACAGGAAACTTGACAATTGGAGACCACAACAATGACTCTGCGCCCTGTTCACCGGACGTTATTGTGTCGCTCTCACCTGCCGGCATGGAAAACTACTGGCATATTTCTCTCCGCCTCCCACAACTCGCGTCACTAAAACCTCAACCTTACAGAGGACTTCGCCACCACTGTCAGGGTGGTGGGAATGCGGAAGTTTGACTTGGCATATCTTTCCTCGCGGGACGGATACGTGAAGATGAAGTTACCAGGCACACGTATCGCCGGAAAGAGCGAATGGAGAAGGCACATGACGTTGTATGAAGTGAATCACACATATCTGCCACGATGATGGAAAAGCTCTTAGCCATTGTCATGAAGCGAAACACAGCCGCCGCCTGCAGGGTTCGCTTTCACTCGAAGAACCAATCTAGTTTGTAAGTGTCCGCCAAAGCAGAGGCAGATACTACGAGCTGCGCCTGCGTTCGAGAAATCAAGTGAACCTTCGGCGGCCCCTAGTGGCAACATATTGTCCTCATGCTAGAAAATATCGAGGTTACGCCTTTTAGAAGAATTGAATGACAGCCTGTTCATCGAGTGGCCTGATGTGGACCAGACACCGGAGCACCAAGGCCAATCGAACATCGCTGATCAACATACATCAGCACCCCCGGGCTGAGCATGCATCTTGCTGAGCGGGCGGGTGCTTCCTGGTTGTCCTGGTTGGTGTCATACTCAGCCTCGTTCGTTTATGTGCATATGCGGCGCGGTACGAATCTACGTGTTCCACTCCCATCCAATAGAGTTGCCTCACATAGATGAGAGTGGCGATGCGATATACAAGATGAACACTTCCGACCATGTACCTTGGTTGCCATCTCTTGATTACAATCCACTTCATCTACTGATACTGCAACAACGGAAAGCCATCAGGTCATTCATAACTTCTGCGACTCCTACCATACTTACTCGAAAAGATAATTTTGCACAGAAGCTATCGCAGAGAAAAGGAACCTGCTATCGCAACAACTAGGAATCTAATTCCAAGGACCTCAAAACACCGCAAGCCCAACACCTCTACTACAACCTCTATTTTGTACCAACCCTCGTAGCAATGGATGTGTGCAAAGATCTTGATGATTATACGCAGGTCATTCAGAAATATAAGCGCGTCCTACAAGACGCTAGAAAGAGGCAGGGCCAACGTCCCCGCGATCGCAAGGAGAAAGATGTGATGTTATTCGAATTTATGATGGCTTCGATGGCCACTGCAACAAGGACTGGAAATAAGGACATGCGACAGATGCATTCGTCATTCGTTCCGCCATCATATCCGCCTTGCACGGCCCCTCTGGAGAGTCTGAAACCAATCGCAATCAAGGATCTCAAGCTCGAGACACATCATCGCGGTAGGTATCTCCTCTTGCGAGCCATTACGCCGCCAAACCGTATGACAGCAGTCCTTGTTCTGGTGGAAGATGAATACAGTGACGTCACGATGCTGCAACTATATCAGCAAGAACACGAGGCTAGCCGTCCAGCTACAGATCTGGTCGACAAGAGTTCGATCCTCCTTGTCAAAGAGCCTTTCTTCAAAATCACGGCCTCCGGAGACTACAGTCTGCGAGTAGATCACCTTTCCGATGTAGTCTTCCTCGACGGAGGAGATTCCAAAGTACCACGGTCATGGCGACCGAGACTGATAGAGATGGGAAGGTCCGCGAATTCTTTGAAGCTGGAAGGAAATTCATTCATAGGAAAAGGAGAGTATTGGCGGGCCATCAACAAGTGAGCGAGTTGCAGAATGAACGATTGACTGCGCTAACATATGTAACAGGTACACGGGTGCCTTAGCGCGCTCAGCAACGCCGAATGAGATCGAAGTAATCAAGCGGAACAGATCGTTAGCTTACCTCAAAACCAAGCAGTACGACGCCGCGTTATCTGACACCGGCTTTCCAGACTTTGGTGAACAAGCCTCAGAGAAAGCGTTGTTCCGCGCGGCGGAGGCTCTGTACCACCTCGGTCGGTATGACGATTGTTGTGAGGTACTCAAAAATCTCTGCAACTTCTTTCCGAATAGTGATCAAGCAACTGCTGTGTTTGCCCGTGCTCAACGTCGTTGCGTTGAGACTAGCAGCGGGCAGTTCGACTTCAAGCTCCTCCAAGCCGAGGCAAAGAAGCATCGTCCTCCCCATTTGGATCACGCTACGTATGTCGGACCGGTAGAAGTTCAAAAAGTGAAAGGAAAGGGTCGTGGCTTACTTACAATCAAGCCCGTGAAGGCCGGGGATTTGATATTGTGTGAGAAAGCTTTCAGTCATGCTCACATCGACGATGAGCAGAAAAGCAACGCAAGTATCACTCTTTTGATGAACGTCGAGACAGACAAAGGCTTCATGGGTGGCCAAGCTGATCTCATTCGACTGATCACGCAGAAACTGTACAAAAACCCTTCGATGATTCCTCTTTTCACTGACCTTCATCATGGCGATTACAAAGCGGTCGATACGAGGTCTGTTGATGGGCAACCGGTAATAGACACGTAAGTGCGAGTTGTAACGATGAGTTGGTCGACTTGATAGACTAATATCACACCTTATCAGCTTCCTCGTCGAACGAACAATGGCTCTCAACGTCTTTGGCTGCCCTGTCACGACATTGCAAAGTCACAAAGACGTCACATCCAACAAATTTTCGAAGAAAGATGCCAACTTCCATTCATGCGGCATCTGGATCAAAGCTTCCTACATCAACCATAGCTGCCTCGGCAACGTCCGTCGATCCTTCATCGGAGACATGATGATAGTACGCGCAGCCAAAGATCTTGACGCTGACACAGAACTGACGTTCCCATACGAGGCTCCAGAGGGTATCTATACCTCGAAGGTGGAGCAAAAGCTCAGGAACTGGGGATTCGTTTGCAGGTGCGCGCTCTGCGAAGACATCAAAACCACCAGACCGTCAGAAGTCACGAAGAGGAAGAGCTTGTGGGACCAGTTGGATCGGCTATGCAAGTCGAATGCACATAATATTGCCACGAAGTTTGAACGCCTACTCAAAGCGCTGAACGAGACCTACATGCGTCCGGCGGAAGAAGTGCCTCGACTTCTGCTGTGGGACCCGCAACTGCTGTTGACACGCATCTACATGAAACAGCCTGATCTCACTAAAGGCGTGGGTTCCGTTGGCAAGACTCTTTCGATTCTAGGTTTCGTCGTTACTGGGCTGGATCGCACTCCTGCAGCTTTGGTGGTCACGAAATGGGGACACATAATGGACCATCTGGTCGAAGTTTTCTTACATGCGCGATCGGCGTTCGAGCAGTTGGATTTATGGGAGAAGTCGAAACAGGCGGATCAATATGCAAGAGTTGCGTACCGGGTACTGATTGGGGAAGATGAGTCTTTCGATCGGACGTATCCCAGGACTTCCTAGAGAGACGACGAGATATGCCATAGTTGAGTACTTCGGCACCAGGAAACATTCAATTAGTCGAATAGCTCGGTATTGAATCAATGCACCACGACATTTCGCACCGCACAAGTCCATTTTTCAGGAAAGTTAGGTGCGTGGTACGGCTGAAGTGCATGGTACGGCTGAGGTGTATGGTACGGCTGATATTTTCATGCAAAGTTCAGATGGTAAAAGCACAGGAAGAAAGCTAAACTATGACGGTACGGGACGAACCGATGCATGTAGGTATGGTATAGTTCGTGCCGTAATTTTCTGCTAAAGCTTGAGCTAGCAGAAGGCTTGTTCAGAACAATGAGACGGCATCCCCACAGCTAGCCTGAACTACCACGACTGGCAATGCGCTTGGAAGGCTAGCAAGATTGTGCATCCCACTGACATTGATGCTGATAAGAGCATAGATATGATACTGGACGGCGATTGACACGACGTTCACTCCACCACGCTCGCAAGCATGAGATCTGAACTTGAAAATAGTTGGCTTGATTGGAGGAAGCTGGCGGAAAGATTAGTTTAGAACAGAATCTGTACGGTTCTGAGAGTCTAGACGCAGCTGATATCGGCAAGCGATGCTTGGAGACGGATTGGCCCTTCAACTAATCTCGGTTTCTTCTCAACTGCATGCAGCTCGACTAATTCTTAGAATTCTCGTCAGCCAACTCTAATTGTACCAATAGAAATATAATTTCTTACACACCCTTAATTGGAAATATCTTGCATTGCTTTATGCTGTTGTAAATCTATTCGGGTTGTTTAGTGACGCTATTCAGGCGAGATAGAGTATACTAACTTTTTAACTTTTTGAAGGCAGTATCCGCGAGCTGTATAAAGTTCTGGATATCAATCAACCGTTACCGAAGTCCAAGTGTTATTTAGAGCTAGCACCCGCTTATATTACCACTTCGTTAGTGACTAGGTACAAATCTAATAGCCTTAGGAGAACTGTTATGAAATGAGAACCCTAGCTCAAGCCGAGTCAAAAGAGGGTTATGGTTTAGTTCCTAACCACTACTTAGCATTGCCACACATACGCCCCGTGAACCAGGGTAAGACTGGTGGCTAGCTGGAGTCTAGGTTCAGCTGCTGGGCTGAGATGCGAGTTCTCAGCTCATGTATCTGAACCCAATTATCGTCCAGTCAAGTGCTCATGAACATTTCTATTTAGAGAGGGTGTTTCCTGCCATCGAACGATACAGCTACCCAAGTTTTTGTCTACCGCTTTCGTTAAGACTTCTGTTACACACTGCAAACATGGGCCAAATGATCTCTGGCCTCGTGAATAGTCTGCAAAACGAGGAGGAGAAGCAAAAGTTGGCTGACGATGCACCCAACATGATGATGGAGGTTGGAAAACGACAAGTCGAAGCGTTCAAACTGAAGATCACGTTGTTTTGACCTGTCTCCCACAATCTTAACGACGGCTAACATGCTGTATAGAAACGGTAATGTCGACACCAAGCATATACCTATTGGTCAGATTCTCTACGACGACTGGCAAGTCCGCTGCTCGATTAGCAAAAACCCTGACGATATTGGCGCAATCATCAAAGATTCGTATTCTGCGTTTGCTAAAGGCGACATGGCGGATGGCATTGGTGCTGTCGTCAACTCGGGCATGGGTCTTCTTTTGGGTTCTTTCGAGGGCAGTACTTCGGAGCGCGAAATTTAGTAAGTTTCTGTCTTTTTTTTTTGCATATTTGTTCGAAAGAAGACTCACATTCGACTGCTAGCTCAATCACAACTGGAGACGAAGGCGGAATTTAGCGCGTCGACGTAAAGCTCTTCGCCTATAAATACAAGTCGAAACAGCTCACCGACATCACGAAAGACTGTATAGCTGTCGCTGTTGTCATCTCCTCGGTGGATCCAAAGACTGTCACCGACTCCTCGATCCGGGTTCTAGTACAAAATCAGTTTGGTACCTTGGGAAAAGACAAAGAGGATGAGATCCTCAAGATCCTGCTTGACGCCAAGAAGGCTGCACTTTCTGGACCGGCTGTCTGACCGATTGGACAAGCAGGAAGTAGTTCGCCAGAGACAACATCAATGGAAGGAAGTAGCTCATTCTGAACTTCGAGATCGAAAGAAACGTAGAAGAAAGGGTATAAGGAAACCGAAATGGTACAAACCCGCAGTTGGGACGTAATGTTTCCGAGCACAGAATCGGCTTGTTCAGAGAGCGAGATACGAAGAATGAGAAAGGGCGTAGTAAATAGAGATTAATTGAATCATAGTCGCGCAACAGTGAGCTGTAGTATCCCATAATTTGATGTTCGTCCATGGGCGCAAAAGCATTTCAGAGTCTACCTATGTATCGTAGCAGATTATGTTAGCCGAGTAAGAGGCACTCTAGCAGCATTCAGGGGCGCATCGGATGGCGACCAACACGCCACCGTACCTGTGTATTTGGCTAACTAACTTTGTCTATACTGGCGAATTCCAATCAAGCAAGGTGACTTGTCAATAACGATACACGACGCTCCCACATTCCTAGTATCATGATAAGCGGTCCAGGTACGGCCAGATGTCCCTCATCCGCAGACATGCCATCAATCAAGTCAATCAATCTGAGGCAGCCGATTGAGCTTGATTGAAGTTTTATAAGGTCGCGATTGAGATTGACTTGATTGAAGCTGTTTTAGAGTCGTAATTGATTGAAGATTGATGCTCTTGATCATGTTTGGTATGCGATCTAGAGCGATCTTATATAGCTACCTCTAGTCATTGTTCTCCCACTCACATATGTTGTAGATACTGATCATCTCCTGGTCAGTAAGACTATCTTCCTGGTTATGAGGAGGCTTGAAACCTGCTCTTCTCCAACTCCGGGTACATTGGATAGCCGCTAGCAGCTGAGATCCGATCTTCCGCCTGCGAGGCTCTAATAGGTCGCCAAGCTCGCTGAACAGGCGCTCACATTGACAGCTGCTAGCTGGTATAGTGAGCAGATCGATGGCCAATCGCGATAGATTTGGATATCGCGATCGCAGGCTGATCCAATACTTGATTGGATTGCCCTCCTGCTCAAACTGCTCTTTTGTCCACGGTGGCTCATATCGCCGCCAGCGATCAAGCTCATCTATCTTTGATATATCCACCTCGTTTGCGGGCTCGACGTTAACGAGCGCAGCAATTGCGTTGTTAATACCGCCTGATCGCGGCGGCCTCGGGCGCGTGATTGGCTGCGATATAGGCTTGTATTGTGCCCACAGTTGCTGCAACTCTGCCTCGTTTAAGACAATCCAGTGAGGCTTGTCACGCTAGCTGTTTGAGCAGTAGTTCTTGTAGTATGGGTGAAGGCAAGTTGCGCTATAGTAGGCGGGCGAGGCATCGAGCTTAGTGTAGTAATCGTTGGCCTTGCGCCAGGCAGCATTGAGGTTGATCGCGAGGTGATCTTCTGGAGCCTCAGGATGAGCGTTAAAGTCAACATGATCGTAGGTCCTGAGTATCGCCTCGTAAGCTCTAATTACGTATTCAAATACTGGGATGACATCATATATAGCTCCAAAGCTTCCTTGTTTGCCGCGCGCCTCAAGGCGTTTTGTGGCCTCCTTGAGCGGCTTCAACACCTCAATATACTCAGTTATCACCGCCCAATCTGCTGCTTTTAGTCCGTCAGATCGCATCCAGGAGGGCGCGTCAGGCAGCTTGTTATCGCGCGATTGCGCATATGCGTTATCGCGCGCGATGCGATTAATATGAGTGTTGGCGTATAGGTTGAAGGTTTCTGATAACTGAACTGCGCGCTCAAAGGCGTCGTGATAGCTGTTCCATCGCGTGACAATAGGCTTAATTGGCTCTAGTGTTGTTTCTGTGTGCGATCGATCGTTAACTGAGCGCTGAAGCGATGCGAACAGATCGTGTTGCTGAGGCGTTTTGATGTAGTTGATGATATCGACTAGTACTCCTAGCGGGCCGTCTCTTCGCCAGTCTCGCAAGTATCGCGCCTCTGTATCTTGCTCGTCACTGCTATCGCTGTTGTACGCCTCCTTGTCGAGTCCAAACATAATTGTCTGGCCTATAAGATTAAGCGTGTGAGGCGCGCAGCGGAGGCGGCGAAAAGGAGCTTCGAAGTCGTATAACTCGCTAAGCTTGGCGACAGCTCGATTGTTCGAGGATGCGTTATTAAGGACGAAGTAGCCTAGCTTAGAACGATTAATACTGAACTGCTGCAGCGTCTTCGCAACTATATTAGCAATCCTATCACCACTATGAGCGCCTGTAAGCTGCGGTAAGGCAATAGGCAGGTCCCTAACGTTACCACAGGCGTCAGCGTAATGAGCAACAATACCAAAGAACCCTCGTTTGCCACCCCTTGTCGTCCACCCGTCAAAGCTAATATGGATTTGACTTATAGATTGCGACAAGTCGTTGACAACCTGCGGCTCAAGGTGGCGATAAAGCCTCATAACAAAGCTCGCGACGCTGGTACGACTTACCCATAAAGCTTCTGCTGCCTCTGGATTGGCGTATGCTATCATCTCACGGAAAGCTGGAGTCTCAAACTCACGGAGAGCGTGGTTGTTATCAACTAACCAGCTAACAGCAGCGTATCGAAAGCCTTGTACATCGAAGTTTCCAATCTCATTAGCGACCTCCTGCGATACAACAACACCGCTATCGCTTAATAATCGCAGGGACGTCTGACCTCGAGGTAGCGCAGCCTTAGCAAGCTGGCCCTGACGGTTAAGGCGGTGGCCAACTCTGTTCTGTGCCATATGAGTTATCGCAGCAGTTGTTGATAGCGTCACCTCTAACGCTTGCTTCCCCTCCAATCTCTGATGTTTATAGCAATGCCTGCAGATCCAGAAAGTCCTCTGCGGATCAGCTATTAAGGCGACGCGATAACCGTGCTCAAAGACCCAGCTTTTCCTGCCCTTAAGCGTCCTCAGCGGCTTCATAAAGCGCGATATATGAGCCCAATCAAGGCCATCGTATTTATCCTTAAACCGACTATCAAGCTCGCCTCCATCGTAGCTATCAGACGCCTCGGTTGAAGCCTCTGTAGCAGCTCGTGAGCCCTCGGTTGGCGGATCGATCGCGTTGTCGGGCAGCAGGTCGCGCAGCTGCGATTCGAACGGAGCCTTCTCTGTAGCTTGACTAGCTGCAACCTCAAGGGCTTTGCGTGGTGAGGTTCGTACAGGCAGCTCAGACTGCGATTGAGAGTTGTCGTTGACTTTGACGCGTTTATTTGACGCAGCAGCGCGATCAGCAGCGCGTTTGAAGGCCTTCGGAGGCATAACAGATAGTAATAGCGCGTAAGGAGCCTTAGAGATAACAACAATAGGCGCTAATATAAGATATAGGCTGATGTTAAATGTTGATACTACGTCGCAGAGTAAGCTAGTTAGATCAGAAGGTTGCTTACTAATCGAAACTTAACACCACTAATATGTCACCCTATCAATATTATCTACTGCCTAGCAACCTTATTAACTACCTTGGAAATCGCCCTAGTATTAGTACCTGATCAATCTGATCAATCAATTCAATCAAAAAGAGGGCTTCGATTTGTTCTTGATTGGAAAAACGCTATGGGCGAATTGATCTTGACTTGATTGAGCTTTTGATCAAGAATCAATCAAGTCAATCAAAAAACTTGCTTGTTGGCATGTCTGCTCATCCGCCCTGGCGTCATATTAAACTTACTGCTCCTGCGCACAAATTCCTCTAGTAGCTCTACATTTTGTTTCTGTTTCGATTTAAAGTCTACTACGGGCATAATCCAACCTTCGAAATCTGTACTAATGATCTTCCTCGCCCACTCGTGTACCTCGTAATAGTTACTATATTCTTTAAACTGCTGCTCGTGTCGTTGCAGATCTTCCTCACTAAAGCTGATTGGGCATTCGCCTTCGAAGCCAATCTTATGCCAATTTGCCGTAAACTCGATGAGACATGCCCGGAGGGGTATTACGCCTTCTTCCGAGGCTTCTCCACAGCGAGTAAAGAGCTCTTGAAGGAATAACGGTATCTGCAAAGCCTTGTACGCTCGTATGTTCTCAGCCCCGCTGCTAAGCTCGTATGCTTTCGCTAACGTAGTTTCCTTCAATTTGTGTTCGGCAAATATCTTATTGTCAGTGTCCATCTCGTCGAAATTAGGGGGCAACTTAGGAACCCCATAGTACCAAGAGGGTAGTCTTCATCGACTGAGAGAAATTCTGGGAAGCGTGCTTGCAAGAACAACGGCGAGACTACGATGGACTGCCAGTCGATGAGTGATACTATTTTCTCTGAGCTCTCTTCGGAAACATAGATATTACCCATGTGGAGGTCGGTGTGCCACAAAACGGGTTCGGATACTTTCCCAATAAGGGTACGCTCATGGATTCTAGACATGACCTCTTTGGCCATATTGAGAACAGCGATCTGCTCATCGAGGGATCCGCGTGGTGCGCCAGGTGTTCCAGCAGATAGGCGCTTTCCAAGAGATGCAAGCTCTCGTTCGACAAGAGCGGTTCCAAAGGAGGATAAATCGGGCCCTGTGAAGAAGAATTAGCTACTATATGATTGACACGAGATCGTACTTACACGGTCCCGGGCTGAAGTGAGAACGTGAAGCTGCTGTTTCTTCCGGCGTATGCCATCCTCGCTCGCAAGAGGGGCCTATGCAGAACTCTCCAGAAGAGTCAATCTCTCGATCTAGAGCGACATATGCGTCGCTTTCTCCCATGGACTTAGTGAGGTAGAGACTCCCGTTCGCTGGAAAGCGAATCCTAGTCATCTAGCCCTCAAATTTGGTTAGTTGCACTACGACTCGCAGTTGCTTCCAGTCATTCATATCACCCCAAACTTTGAACAACTGAACCCCGGCGGCCTTTTACATAATGATGTACTCAGCACCAACTGAATTCGACGGATCAGCGTCCCATATTAGAATTTTAGGTACTGGGACTTGAGTATGTGTGTGTACTGTCAATGGCGGTATGGTTAGCTCGAGATCTAGAGGCTTCTTTCAGAATCGTGGGGTCTTACAGTATTGAAGAACAGCCACCTCCGATGCTGTTGTATACTTCGGTGGTCCAGCGATAGTAAAGGGTATCTTTGCAACAATTTCGCTACCATCCTCTTTACGCAGGACGAGTGCCTTATTAAACCCTCCTTCCATCTTCTCGATTGCACATACTGGAGAGTATTTCCCGCCAGTAGTCGCAGCAACGACACAAAGCTGATCTACGTCGAACTTTACATGTCTTCGATTAGTAGCTTTTTTCTCGTTAGCTAAAAAAACGTCCGTTCGAATACCGGAACAAATCATCGCGTTCAATGCGTTTTCCTGCTTCCGTTAGATTGCTGGCACGGCTAAGACTGCACAGTGGCTACCCCAACACGTGATTGTGAGAGTGCGAGAAGACTGGGCGGCCGCACAACGCGCACGAACGCTGCAAAGTCTTCCATTCATGATCTTGAGGAGAAACAATGATACCATGACTGAACCACCTCGGCTCGTCTCAGTAGTCGGAAAGCTGCAACCGCTTGTGGTGACACGTTGTCTGGTGGCGAGCGCGCATCGCTTCACGCTAGCCCCGCGTCACGTCAAGGTGCGCTCCGCCGATCGTAACCAGCGGCGCAGAGAAAAGCATAGAAAGTGATGCGCACATCTCAGCGTTCGAACTTCGCGGATTAAAAATGCAGTGCGCGGTGTTGTTATCCATACATAACGGTGCAACCAAAATGGGGCATATTTGACAATTGTGGGACAGGATATCCAGGAAACAAGAGCACTCTTTGGTGAAGACGCAAGACGTGACAAGAGAGTGTGATGATAAATGTGCTGATAACGACTGTGAAAAGTCGTAGGTGGAGGTGACGAAATGATCACATAAAAAGTCATCGTAGTCGTAACTGCGCCAGAAGAACAAAATATCACACAACGCCCAAAGAGACCCAGCTACCTATGCCTCACATTCGAACCCAGTCCATAATATACAGACCATCTCGGAAGTGTTGCGCAACGTGATCCATTCTCTCAGCAGTGCTCTTGACCATGGCTCAGCAAAAGCCACACTAGCGTGAATCAGGTCCACCAGATGACATTTCCAATTCTCTTGACCATTCCAATGGGACTGTGAAGTTCCTCCTGACTGAGATAGATTTGCCCGCGAGATGCGCATGTAAGACAAGCTGCTTAAGGAGATCCTTCCGAGGAAAGGTACTATCTGCGGTGCACTTGTTCGAGCAAGGTACAATTGCGTGTTGGTCCAGATGATCGATCGAGTGAATTGGTCTCAAGCAGAAGACACATTCAAACGGATATGTGAATGTTTTTGTTAGTGCGCATATCCACTCCCAGTCATGCAGCCATGGACACCGGCCTCATGTCTCTTCCATTCGGATACGTTTCTAAAGGATTGGACACACACGGTACAGGGGAATCTTTTATCCAGTTTCTTTGAACCGGAAGATGACGTGTAAGTCGATGTCGCGTTAGGCGAGGCTCGTCATTGCCGCCCTGGTTCCTCTGAGCGAGATACTTCCGACCCTTGCGCTTTGGCATGGCAGCTTTCCTAGGACCAGGCTCGCCCCGAGATGTTTGACGAGATAAGTTTCCACCAGATTCTTGGTAGACCTGGGTCCCACATGCTGAACTGTGATCTGGCCTGGGATAGCCAGCGTCGGGCGGGGAAAACCATGAGTTGTTGTCGTTCATGTTCATTTCAGGCGGCGAGATGATACCGGGAGGCGACAAAGCGTGGACCGTAGTCATAGAGCCCGAATGGAAGTCGCCCAGGTCTTCTGACATAATGTCGCAGGACTCGGTATGGGTAGTGTCCCCACCACCTTTTACGTCAGCATCGCCTTCAAGCACTGAATGTATTATCAGCAAATGCCATGGAACCAGAGTATCACGGATAACGCACAGTGCTTCTCGCTGGCACGAAGATTGCTCAAACAATTGTTGGGCTGACGTTCGATGTAGCCGGTAGCTGCAACAAGTTCTGACTTTTCTGCTGGCGTAGGATAGAGCAATGATGCGTGATCCAAAAGCCGGCGCCGGACGATTTTCAGTCGTCTCTAACGTTTAGTCTGTTCTGAAGGGATGCGACCTAGGCTGCATTGCGACGGTGAAGATCGCAAGCGATCTTCTGACTTCTCGATGGAGTTCAGATAGGGACATCCTTGATCTTGCATCCGGATGTCTAAGTTCGAAATATTTCGATGTATGTACTTCCCAGCAGCGTCGTAAGTAGCAAAGACATCCTCCGTTGCCCAGAGATCTATCAGATCCCCACACCCTTGCACGATACTACTCTCTTCGTTATGAACAGGAGACTGAAACGGCTGTGCATCGAGGCCAAGGAATTCACAAGGTTGATCGAGTGCTATGTCACTCGGACAAATGTACTCTCCGTGATAGGTCTCTTGTGTACGGCGATTGAAACATTTGTTGATTTACGCAGTGATGCCATCGGCATCAAAAAAGCTGTCGGAGTGGGGATATATCAACCGCTATGGATTACACGCGTGATATTATGCGCGAGGCCAACAGTGTGAATGTTGGATAAGAAATACGGTAATACCCTTCTTCATTGTCTTTCGTATTGTTGGCGTCGACAAAAAGTGTGGGTAAGTTGGGTGGGAAATCCTGATGCGTTGTTAGAGCTGTTTGCCCACTTTTGTGGAACAGGAGGAGAAGCGTCACTTACGCTGGCGGGGTCACCCGTCGGTGGAGAAGGGTCCATAGCCTTTTGCGGTCAACCCGAGTGTATAATCGAACACAACACAACAACAAACGTCCAGAATGTGATATTGAAAGTAGGAAAAAGGTTTCAGAGGGTCAGAAGACTCTGAGGACTATTTCCAGCCTTCCTTATGAGTTTCAAGGCGTTGTAGCAAGGAATATAAGAGTGCGGCGCGATTATGGCTTTCGAAAGTAAGGAACGAGACGAGGTAATTGGTCAGATGCATGGTTCAACCAGGGTTAGCATTAGCGTCAGCAATTGACATGATGAGGTGTGGAGGCACCACCTGCTGGCACACAGCTCGAGATTCATCTCAAGGCTGACACGGCGCCCACCTGATTCCACACCATTGTTCGATATACCTTAGGCAGGGTGTTGCTAAGTGACAGCGGTCGAAAATCAAACTTGCTTCTGGTGAAGTCTCCTAACGGCTTAGCTAGCTTTTGACGGAGATACCATAGTGGCCTCAGCTACATCGTCGGCCATTACGCATCGCTTCCCGATAACGTCCTCTGCGTCCACCCAAACCGCTATCAACGGCACAACGACGACCCAGACTAGGATGGCCTCCCTATGCCCCGCCACTTCTAGCTGCCTTACTTCGAGAAAGAGGTCTATGTCTATATACGCTGCGCATGGTCCTTCGGCTGCCCGACCGAGATCAAGCTTCAGGTCTTGCGACAGCGTCTCTTGAAAGGTCTCGTTTAAATGACAGTCTGAAGCACACACGAAATCGAGGTAGGAACAACAAAAGCAACAAATCGTTTAACGAACGTCATGTTCTTCTCATCATTGAAATCACTACATCATCATTATATACAAGGCAATCGGCATGCCATCACATCCCTTCTAAGCCTTCGTGGCAGCTATGTTATATACAAATCATTTATATTTGTCCCCCATGTACTTGCTGTGGATGTGGTCAAAGAAAGAAGACAGGAAAATGAAATTCGTGACTGTATGATCTTACGCGACCATGTTATTAGGATGATTCATCCTCTGGACCCATGTACTGATCTGAAAACCGTCCCGAAAGTGCTGCGCAACGTGATCCATCCTCACAGCCGTAGTGCCGAACGAAAATTTGCAGAAGCCGCACCAGAGACCATCTGGGTTCGAAGAGAATTTATCCTCAGTTTCCGACCATTCATCTGGAGGCTCGAAACCTCTTTTCGTATAATCGTTGGCGGAGGACAGATGCACGTGCTGTACATGCTGCTTAAGAAGATCCTTGCGGTCGAAGGCACGCGCAGTCTCATGCTTGGCCAAGCAGACTTGGATGTTGTGCTGGTCGAAATGATCCACGTGATTGACAGTATCGGAGCAGAATATGCACTTCATACCTGGCCGTAATGCGTCGTTGCCAAGTAAACAAACCCAGCGAGTGGTGCCGAAGCCATGGACTCCAGCTTCGTGTCGCTTCCATGAATATTGGTTCTTAAAAGGCTTCCGCATGCACACTGTGCAGTGGTACTGGCGGACATTGTCTCGTCCACCATCATGGGGAGTCTGCAGGGGATGTACTATCGCCCCTTCCGATGCGGGCAGCGAATATCTTGACGAATATCGTCTCTTGCCCTTGCGCCCAGGGGTGTCGACTGTTCCAAGCGGATCATGGTGTTGTGGAGCGGCAGCCCCAGAAACATCAACGCCAGCGTTTAGCTCGTTGCACAATCTGTCTAGTGCTAGATGACAATCAGTCTAGAAACAAACATTAGACATGGATACTACTGACTGTCTCTATCGCGTTTCCTAAGATTAGTCAAACGACGGCTCAACTGAAGGCTTGAGATACGTGCAGCTGCAGCAAGCTCTGTCTTCTCCTCAGCTGTAGGATATCGGTCATGGGGATGGTCATGGAGCCAGCGCCTCACAGGATCCATGGGTTGGGGAAGTACACTGCTCTTCGGTTTCTTGGACGTGCCACACGGATGTAGAATGGGCGATTGCTCACGAAGAGAATGGTGTGACGAGTCATTCGTAGTGACGGAACTTCCCAGCGGAGAAGTTGGTTGTAGATGCGTGAAAGAATTGACAGTATCGCACCAGTCCACTATAGGATTCAAATCCTCATAGTCAAGCGAAGCTGGCGTCAACTCCAACTCTGAAAGTGCGACATGTCCTGGTCGGATGGCTTGAATAGACTCATGAAACCAGGGTAGCTCGCTCAACTCTGGCACGGAAGGGTCTGCGAGCGCGGCGCTCGAACCAGACTCGTCGGTATAGGTAGGGTAATGTTCAGTGTGAGTCCAAAGCCATGGCGCTGAATCGTGCTGTTGACAACGAAAATTGTCGCTGAGTTTTAGCAGCGCTTGGTCGCAAGTGTGGTGGCTGCTGTGTCATTAGCGTACCGCCTAGGATGCTTGCAAAGCCTGATTACGAGGGAGCACGATCTGAAGAATTGCTGCATCTGATCCATTTGAAATGGGCGACACGATGAAAAGCAAGGTGCTTACTATAAAGTGGTCGAGTCCTTCGTTGTGGTGGTCCAATCACAGCTGCAGCTGAGGGGCAAGGCAGAAGGACCATCTGAAGGACCGAGGGGGCTCGTAGGGTGGCGTGCCTGGGGAGTCGCTCGATTTGTGTTCATGTTCGACGTGGGTCGGACCTTCACATGAGTATGCACCCACGTAACTCGGTTGAAACTAGCTAAAAAAGTTATGATGGTAAGAGGTCTCCTGTATGACCAATCTGACATTATTTCAGCCTTCTGAGATGAGTTTTAAGGCGCGAATGTTTTTCCAGTTCAGAAACCACGTCAACGCTCGGACCACATCGCCAAGAAACAGAAGTCGCAATGAGATCTCCGTGTCCACCATACTTCTTCATTCAGCCTGAGTTTGCTCAGCGCAAAAGTTTAGTTGAATGGTACCCTATGGTGTATGTCATCCATGTCATGTGTCTTGCAGCAGAAGAGTTTCCAATAGCCGAGAAGTGATCAACATGCAAACTATCGCACCGCGGTACGTACCTGCTTCCTTCGGATTTGTTTCCCTCGATCTGCGAACGTTATACGTGTACAGTCTGGCAATCCAACGCTAACATGATGGGTTTAGACGTGTTATCATGTCCATGAGTCCTCGATAACAAAAGATTGAAGTTTAAAACACATCATCATATTCTTCTCATGTATATACAGTATAATCTAGGCCGTCAACGCGTTGACCAACCATCTAAGCCTTAGCAGCAGCCAAGATAACATCGGCAGCCTTCTCAGCAACCATGTACGTCGACATAGCAGTGAAAGTACCAGGAATTCTAGGGAAGACACTAGCGTCAACAACCCTCAATCCAGCAGTTCCACGGACCTGGAACTTGGAGTCAAGGACAGCCATCTTGTCGTCATCAGCACCAATGGGGCAAGTAGACGAGGCGTGGTGACCCCAAGCAGTGTCCTTGGCGAACTGAGCAATCTTCTCGGGGGTGTCAGCGTCCTTGCCAGGGAGGACCTCATCGATGGGAACGAGCTGGCGCTTGAAAGAGTCACGAGCGAGGTTAACAGCCTCGGTGAGGGCAGTGAGATCCTTGTCGAAGTCACCAACACCAGTGTCGAAGTAGTTGTAGACAATCTCGGGCATGTCGAGAGGGTCAGCAGATGCGAGCTTGACAGTACCAGCGTTGTTACGGGGGTGAGCCTTGAGGATGGCCCAGGTGAACCAGTCGTGCTCCGAGGTAGCGTTGTAGGCGTAGTTAGGGAAGTAACCGCGGAAGTTGACCGGGCCACCGAAAGCAAAGATGTCGTAATCGTCGTTCTCAGCTACGCTGGACTGGTAGAACATAGTTGCGCCAAGACCAGGGGAAGCGTAGATACCGCGGTTGCCCAAAATACTGGTCTCCCATCGGTCCATGCAGGCGTCGGGCTGGCTGTTACCGAATGTGCAGCCGTTTAGGGCGGAGAAGTCGGATGGAGCTTTGCCCTGGACGTTGATCTCGTAGTGGTCTTGGAGGTTAGTTCCGACACCGGGGAGGTCGACGACAACGGGAATGTCGAACTGGTTTAGCTCATCTGCTGGGCCGACACCGCTGAGCTTGAGGAGTTGGGGCGAGTTGTAGGTTCCTCCTGCGACGATGACTTCCTTGGAGGCAGTGGCGGAACCAGCCTCACCCTTGGCACCGTTGGACTTGGGGCTGGCCTTGTAGAGGTACTGGCCGTCGAGGAACTCGACACCGGTGGCACGGGGAGGAGTGACGTCTTCGTCGAAGGTGATCTTGGTCACGTGGCAGTTGAGTCTGACGTCGAGAGGGTACTTCTTGCTGCCATCATCGGCCTTAGCATCACGGACAGCGAGGACGAACTCGCGGGATCCAGTGCGCTTGCCATCGGTGGTAGAGAGAGGGATCTGGTAGAGAGCGTTGCCCTTGTCACGGCTCTCGGTGTCGGCGTTGGCATCACCGGCGATCAAAGTACCAAGGTTGACAATGGCGTTGGTAGCGTTGCTGAGAGCGAAAGCGGCACCACCGACCAAGCTGAGAAGCTGAGGGTCAGAGGTGACGATGTCGATGGGTGCGTATGAGGTTCCGAGCCAGCCATCGTAACCGTGGCCTTCTACACCGGGGAGGAGGTAATGGTTGTTCTCGAGCTTCTCGTAGTACTTGCGCATGTTCTTGGCTGACCAAGTGTCGTCACCAGTAATGGTGGCGACGTTGTCGAAGTCGGACTGGTGAGGGTAGACAGCGATGAGAGCGTTATGCGCTGTGCAACCACCCAGGGTACCGGTACGAGGGTATAGCGTACCCTTCATGGTGGAACCCGCTGGTGGGCTGAGACCAGTGTATTCACTACCATCGGGGGTCTCGTAGGTGGTCTTGAAGTCGCGAGCTTGTCTCTCCTCGTCGGCGTAGTGCTTGACGAAGAAGTTCCAGCTCAAGTTGGCGTCTTCAGAAGACCTCGCGCTGAAAGCGGGAACGGTGTAGTTGGCGTTTGCGCCTTGGTCGTCACCGGCTTCGATGAGAAGCGTCTTGTGACCAGCTAGGGCAAGGCGGGCGGCCAGAGGCTACATAGCATGTCAGTTTGGGTTCCAGCAACTCAATCATTCCGTGACTTACACCACCACCTGCTCCAGAACCGACAACTACATATTCATAGCCAGTCAGATCGACGGCCCTCGCCAGGATAGGGAAGGCCGCGACTAGACCAATCAAACGAGGGAAGAACATGGTGATTAGGTATTACTATGCTGTTCAGGTGGGTATTTAAAGATAGAATGACAGAGGCTGTAAAGTGGCCTGCTTGATTCCATATTGTGTAGCCTTGCCAGTCTTTATATTGTTCCGAATCGTATCAGTCGATCGCATATGTCGGCTTCCCCCTGGAATAGGGGATATCTACCGGCGGTGGCCTGCAATGCCGAATGACCTCGACCTCGGACAAAAACCATTGGAAGATAGTTACCAAACAGATGGTGTTCAGTAGTTGCGGTGGTTGATCCCTTCTGGGTCTGGAAAGTAATGCTTTCAATCGGTCCGATATGTAGATCATATGGGTCCTCCTAGGGTACCCTGTAGTTCGCAATTTGCGCCACGGGTGTTCATTCATACTCTGAAGAACGACGGCTGTGCAAGTTGTTTCTGTGAGCTTATCAATATTGGAAGCCGTTGTCCTTGGTTAGCATACACGGTTCGAGACAGCAAACATCTAAACATATATCAATCGTATGCGCTCCTTTGCCGCTTGGATCAATCCATTCATGGATTTGAAAGTGGCAACACACATCCGCGGAAGGGCAACGCCTTTCCCATTCAATCCCGCACCGACCATTGAAAACCTGGACTGGAAATGATGGATTCTCCTGTCAGGGACATCTACCCTGGTCTGTCAATGTCTAATTGCCGGACGTTCCTCCCGCTTCGGAAGGGACCTCCACGGCTACAACGGATGTGGAGTAACGGGCCAGGGACAACGGGACGCTAGGGCCTAACGTGGATTAGTACGAACGTGCATTGAAAACCCTCTGCACCTGGACTTCACGATCAGGCCTGCAGCGTGCGATTATCGTGAACGGACAAAACGTGGTATCTGTAGATTGCCGATGTCATCGCCGAGCACAATGACGAATATACCACGTGGGACGATAGAACAGGCGCAGGAACCAACTTTTGCTCCCATCTCGCTCTCGCCACGAGGCCCAGAATGGAACTGACTCAACTACGACTCCACCTATCACTGCTCGCCATGCGAACGCCATGTTGAATTTGGCATCCGGCAAACTCCACAACACCTTTTCCTAATGCTCGCTCTAGTCGCATGCGTTAAGGCGTACGTTTATCCCGCTACGGTACCCGCGCCTCGCTCGAAAGCTCTCCTATCCGTTCCCAGGTTATTTCCTCATCCACGACGGCGGAAAGGAAAATGAGCCACCCACCGTACGCTTGAACCAATCACAGCCATACAGTAGCCGGCTCACTGTTTCTGTAAAGGTCTTGCATCTATGGCTGTCCAGGCCATACGGCATCGGCGATGCTCCTCACAAGTTGCAGCTTCTTTCTCATATCCTCGTAGCCAAGACTGTTACCTTCAGCATGTGATGCGAAACCACATTGCGGGCTGACACAGCACTGCTGGATGGCGTCTTCGCGAGATTGGCCGGTACCCTTTGCGATCCAATCAGCGGCCTGGTTCACCCTGGCGATCATCTCGTCTTTGTCCTCAAGCTTAGGGAACTTCGATGTGATGACACCAAGGACAACATTCTTGTCTTTGGGGAGGTGTGCTAGCGGCTCGAAACCACCGGCACGTGGTGTGTCGTATTCTAGGTAGTATGTGTCGACGTTCAAGTCCTAACGAGATCAGTATTGAGGGTTTGTGGGTATGAGAGGAGGATATACTTGGAATAGCTTCTTTGCGATGTTGTCGTATGCGCCCTCCGAGAAATGTCGGCTGCCGACGTAGTTGCCGCGGCACAAATGGATGCCGAGATGCATGTCTGCGGGACGTACGAAACACTTGTTGTAGAATTTAACGTAGGCATCAAACATCTCGTCAGCAGTCTTGTCGTTCGTTGTATCGGCCTTCCAGCCCGCGAGCATATCTTCTGAGCAGAAGTAGGCGAGGTTAGGGTCGTCAATCTGGATGTTCCTGATGCCTTGCGAGTGGAGGATCTTCAGCTCCTCCTGGTATGCCTTCGCGACATCCTCGAAATACTCCTCGTCATTTGCGTACACTTCCTTGGGGTAGGCTCTTCCGTTCATGTAACGGAAGTGGTACCACGATGGCGAGATCAATGTGATCTTGATGTTCTTCCACTCGCTCTCGGGCAGAAGGCTCTTCATAAGGTCGACTTCACGCTGGTTGCTCGACGTGCCGGGGTGCTTGATCTTATCAACGCAGACGGTGACATGATTAGGTACCTGCTTCGCTTCCATGAAAGACTTGGTATCGGGCGCATAGGCGCGGAACATATCCACGCTGTAGCCCTTCAAAACGCCAAGCTGGAGTTCCTTCATGCCATGTAGTGTTTCGAAGAAGGTGCCCCAGAACATGTGCCTGCATGAAATGTCAGTCTAGACTTGAACCAGCAGCACTCGAGCTCCTGACCTTGTGTACTCTCCACTTGACACAACCTTGAGACCGCAATCTTGCTGGAACTTCACAACCTCTGCGACAGACTTGTCCTCTAGAGGCACGAGCTCCTCTGGCTTAGCTTTGCCTGATGCGACATCGTAACGCTTCTGCACAAGCTCCTGGGGACGGAGCAATGAGCCAACGTGCTCGGCGCGGAATGGAGGGCTTCTCTTGAGGGACGACATCTTCAATGCGATAATATGAAAAGCTCAGAAGAGAATAAGTGATGGGAATGAAGCAATTGACAGAAGAAAACTTTGCCCCTCATCTTGTCCACTTGCCCCGCAATCACACGCCGCTCATTGAGGACCGCTGGACCCTTCATCAACCCCGATAGACCCATGTTCAGACGCCGGGGAGCTAGTAAGCGAGGCTTAGAGTATAGAGCGTTGATGGGATTGGAAGAGCGATCGCAAGAGGCGGGTAAGCAATGTGGGATGCAGCTCGAGCTATGGTGGGGCCTTTGATCGATAAGAGAGGCGCCACCCGATGTTTACGCCGAAAGGCCATGTGGTTACAAGGAAACTCGCATCCCCTGGGTTTCCCCTCCTCGTACAATACTCCATTGCTGTCGGATATGCGCATATAGTTTCCAAGTTTATCGTAAAGAAAAGGGATTCTGCGAATACGCTCTGTTCTGGGTGCACTGAGGCGCAAGGCGACAAACTTTCACAATTCGAACATGAAGATATGGCTGTGCTGTGGGGTGTACTGGGAAGTCCACAGTCCATTTGGCAAACCAAAAAGACCTGAAGCTGCAGACCAGCAATTATTCGCCGTGCCACGAGAAGGCGACACGAAGACGCAGTATGCCCCACCAACGGTGTCGCATCGATGAGAATGACGCAATGATCTCGAGGAAGGAGCATCATCGAGCCGCGGATATAACCACGAAAAGAATGAATTTCGTAAGCGACGGCGGCAGTTACAACGGCGAAAGAGAGTAAAATCCGAGTTTCGGGGAAGCACTACCCCGCGCTAGGTGGGATGTCGATAGCTACATATATGCTGTCATTACACCTCGCAGCTCCAAGTCCAGACCAAACGTTCGAAACACCCAAATACGACGCCTTAATCACCCACGAACAAAATGACACGAGTTCTACTCACAGGAGGAAGCGGCTTCATTGCTGCGCATACCCTTGATATTCTCCTAGACCATGGCCACAGTGTAGTTACTACGGTGCGCACCCAGGAGAAGGCGGACAAGATCAAGGAGTCGTACAAGAGTGCGGTCGACAAGGGCCAATTGAGTTTCGCAATTGTGCCAGACATTGCTCAGCCAGACGCTTTCGAGAAAGCTGTCATCTCAGACCCTCCATTCGAGGCTGTACTTCATACTGCCAGTCCGTTCCACTTCAATGTTACGGATGTACAAAAAGTGGGTACATATTGAGGCATTGGAATGGGCCCATCCGCTAACAAGATCTAGGATTTGATTGACCCTGCTGTCATTGGAACAACTGGAATCTTGAAGTCGATCAAGAAGAGTGCAGTACGTTGAAATCTACGAGGTACCATATGTTCACATGCTAATCAAACCATGTAGCCCTCCGTCAAGAATGTCGTCATCACATCCTCGTTCGCTGCCATCGTAAACGGAAGCAAAGGCTTCTGGCCGGGACACTCTTACTCAGAGGACGACTGGAACCCGATCACACAAGAAGAGGCGCAGGAGAACCCGATGATGGGATACAGAGCGAGTAAGACGTTCGCCGAGAACGCGGCGTGGGAGTTTGTCAAGAACGAGAAGCCCAACTTCTCCATTTCTACCATCAACCCACCGATGGTATTTGGACCAATCGTAGGTTGCAAGACACACATCTGAAGATGACCGCTGACAAAAAGGAAGGTCCATGCTCTTGACAGTCTTGAAAACATGAACACCTCCAACCAGCGCATCCTATCGGCGGCACAGGGCAAGTTCAAGAACGAAATCCCTCCTAGTGGTGTACATCTGTGGGTAGACGTTCGTGACGTTGCAGAGGCACACGTAGCCGCGTTTGAGAAGCCAGACGCTGCCAACAAGCGCTTCTTCGTCACAGCCGGATACTTCTCCAACAAGGAGCTATGCCAGATCATCAAGAAGAACTTCCCTGAATTCAAGGATCTGCCGAGCGACGAGACACCCGGCGGCGACTACCCAGAAGGCACGCCTGAGAAGGGCTTATACGGGTACAACAACAAGCGCTCCATTGACATCCTCGGTCTGAAGTACAAGACCTTCGAGCAGTCGATTGTCGACTCTGTCAAGTCTTTCCAGAAGAAGGGGTTGTAGATGGCAACATTGATTGCTCGAAACGGTGGAAGGGTATTGGTAATATTCGATTGGCTATGTATACTATCTAGGTGACGCGCGTGATCGAGCGCACGAGCATCACTCGCATGCATTATAATCTGGAACACATGTCAGCATGCGAAGTCTCGGAGTAATAGACAATGCAGAGTGTATATGAGCAATCAGCCTGTTGAGCTTGAATTTTTTGGACTTCATCGCTTTTACCAACTCGGAAGTTATCGTTATATGATCATCATATTGCAGGGAAACGGAATGGATGGGAATTGCTTACCAATAGAGAGTGAGTGCGACGCCGGCCACTTGGTGCTGCATGAAGCACGTTGATGGCCAGCGATGGAGTGGAAGAGCAAGCGCGGACAGCTTCGAAGAAAATGGCAGCTCCGGCAGAAGATCGGGCCGAGTCGTTCCAGGACTAGCGCGTGCCCCACCAACGAAGCCCATCGATGGCGGGCAGTGACAGCAAAAGCCCAAACACTTTCTCGAGATTTCCACGTCACATCGCTCTATCGCCGTCGCGTAACACTCAGCCAACCCCGTAATCAACTTTATTCTCAATCAGACAACTCCAGTCCGAGGAATCGCGAAGATGTGTAAGTTGCCTACCGTTACCCCACTACCACTGCTTCAAAGCGCATGCAGTGGAGGTGTGTAGCTTGAATTCGTGATCGCAAGGCTATGTTAGGAAGATCCGGAGTGTTAAGCACCCGTTGCTGTCTTCATGCTCATATTGCGATCCTATGCACATGCTTCAATATTAACGATCTTCACAGCCGACTTCAACGCCATTGCTCGTATGTACCACCCCAATACATCCAGCACATCCCCGCCTACATCTTCTCCTCGAGCGCTCCACCAGTCAAAACGCGACTGACCCATGCTTCAGAGCAGTTCGTCCAGTTCTACTACAAGACCTTTGACGAGAACCGCGCTGGTCTCGCCTCCCTCTACGTACGCGACTCAAAAGCATGTGCGCAAAAGCAGCAGTCGGCTGACAAACACTACAGAAGGAGACTTCTATGCTCACCTTTGAGTCGGGAGGAACTCAGGGTTCAGCCGCCATTGTAGAGAAGCTCCAGGTAATGATGACTCTTCATACGGAATGGGTACGGGGCTAATTCAGGGAAGAACTTGCCATTCCAGCAGATACAACACCGCACCGATACCGTCGACGCCCAGCCTTCTGCCGACGATGGTATTCTTGTTCTGGTGACTGGTGCGCTTCTGGCAAGTCGATCCCTTGCGTTACACTTGGTTGCGACTAACATCAAATAGCTTGGAGGCGAGGACAAGCCAATGAGCTTTACTCAGGCTTTCCAGCTCAAGAACGCCGAAGGCAACTGGTACGTTCTGAACGACGTTTTCCGTCTGGTATACCCCGCCGCATAGGCTATCCGCTCGCCTTTCAAGCTTGATCGCACTGCGGTAGTGACTTCAAGGGGTATACATAGAGAGTCATCGAGTCTTAGCGACTTTTGACACGACTCATGTGATTTTCGTTTACGAGTTTTGAGCATTTTGGCGGACGCAGCGTGGTTGCGGATGTGATTGAGGATCGATACTTGATGCAATCATCTTCGGGGAAGTGTAGCTACTCACGAGTCCTACACGATTAGATCGAGCCGAATCTATTAAAAATTGACATCGCCCTTTTTTCTACTCCTTCTACAGATTTCATCATAACGCATATGCCCGAGCCTTTTCCACCTGCATGCGGGTTTGTTTTCCGCTGTACTTGGCGGAAGAGAGCTTTGCCGCCATTTCTCCGCCCCGCGCTCACTTGCCGAACTGCACGCTTTCCTCGGACCTGGAGTTTAGCTTACAACAACCATGGCTTCATCATGTGGCAATAGTCAGAGCATTCTGTTCTTTGTTTGCCGACATTTGCATTACTTTTCTTCCTCTCTCCTGCTATCTTGATACCCCCAACAATTGCTCTTTCAGCGTTCGATCACAGCTCACAATCTCAGAATGGCGTTTATACAAAAGGGTCTCAAAAACATCCTCCAAAAGAACCCCCATGATGTCGTCTTCCTATCCGCCCTTCGCACACCAGTAACAAGAGCGAAGAAAGGTGGTCTGCGTGATGCGTACGACCATGAACTCCTAGGAGCAGTACGCAGTCCTTCACATTCCACACACAGGTACAAATGCTAACGACATTCCAGGTCCTCAAAGCAACCCTCACCAAATTCCCCAACCTCGATCCCGCGAAAATAGACGACATCTGCATTGGCACCGTCCTCGCAGAACTCGGCGGCTCAAAAGCCGGTCGCATGGCTGCGAACCACATCGGCATACCCACCACCACCTCCTTCAGCACCGTAAACCGCGCCTGCGCATCCGGATTGTCCGCCATAACTTCGATTGCAAATTCTATCGCTGTAGGACAGATAGACGTTGGTATTGCAGGTGGCATGGAAAGCATGACGCGGAATTACGGCAGCCGAGCCATACCAACCGAGCTCTGGCCCGAGATGAAGGACAGTCCGATAAAGGAAGCTAGGGATTGTATAATGAGCATGGGAATCACATCTGAAAACGTCGCAGAGAGATATAGCGTCAGCCGCGCGGACCAAGACGCGTTTGCCGCACAATCGCAACAACGCGCCGCGAAAGCGCAGGCAGTGGGCAACTTTGATGCAGAGATTGTGCCGGTGACGACGCGCTGGATCGAGCCTGAAGTTCCTGAGAGTACAAAGAGTGTTACGGTGACCAAGGACGATGGCATTCGCCCGGGAACTACGGTGGAAAAACTGGCCGGCATGAAACCTGCGTTTAGCAAGGATGGCACAAGTACCGCTGGAAACAGCAGTCAGGTGTCTGATGGCGCGAGTGCGGCGCTCATGATGCGTCGTTCCACCGCCACAACCCTCGGTCTTGAATCTGCTATCATTGGAAAATGGGCTGGCACACAGGTCGTGGGTTGTTCGCCCGATGAAATGGGCGTTGGGCCTGCGCTGGCTATCCCCAAGTTGCTCGATTATACCGGTCTGTCTACATCCGATGTAAACCTCTGGGAGATCAACGAGGCGTTTGCTAGTCAAGCACTGTATTGTGTGAGGAAGCTGGGTTTGGAGGACAGGATGGATCGGGTAAATCCTAATGGAGGCGCTATTGCACTGGGACATCCGCTAGGAGCGACGAGTGGGAGGATGTTGGCGACGTTGTTAGCGGAGATGGGTAGGAGTGGGGAGCAAGTTGGTGTACTGAGCAAGTGTATAGGCACAGGTATGGGTATGGCTAGTTTGATTGTAAGGGAATAGGGAAATACAATTAACTCGAATTTTTAGATCAGATAGAGGTATTCTTTGTTGTATTACAAGGTAGAGGGTATCGAAGTAAGGGAATTCCAACGCCGTTAATCGTGCATCGCTGTTTTCTGATTCCATCTCTTTCTGACTTTTATGCCTTGCCCTTTTTACTCTTCTTCTTCGATCGTTCTGCTAGGATCTCGTCGAGGAAACTCTTTGGTTTTGTTCGCGCTTTCTTGGGTACGGGCTGTGTGACTTCCGCTTCTTCTTCGTCATCCTCTTCCTTCTTGATAGGTTCCGCGTCGACTTGAGCTTCTGTGGCTATCTTCTCCTTCAATACCCCGTCTTCCTCTTTCGCTGCACTACCTTGTAGTCTTTTCGCTCTCGTCTCCTCATCCTCGTCATCGCTGTCGGCTTTTCTAACTTCTTGCCTCTCTATCTTCTTCTGCCTCTTAGACTTGAATGTTGCAGCCCTCCCTTCTTCATCGTCATCCGACTCTTCTTTCTTTGCAGCCTGCTTCCTGTATGGTTGTGCTTTGGCCGCTGCATTAGGCCTTGCAGCTTCCTGCTTAGCAGTGATATGTGCTTTTGCTTTCTTCTTTCCTATTAATTGCTGTAGGAGTTTGTCGTCTGATGTTACTATTCTTCGGGTGAAGCTGCCATCTTCAACGTCCTTGGGGAGTATGCCGCCAAGACCGATTCTGCAGAATGTTGTCAGGATCGCGATTCAACAAACACAGTTGACATGCACATTTTACCTGTCGTGAGCGTAGTTTTGTTTCAGGTCTTGGTCATCGTCTTCATCTTGCGTTTTCGCAGCACCTTCCGCAGCAGTGTTCCATTCAGGCCGCGACCCATACAGCGATGCCAAGAGCTTTTGTCCCTTTGCCTCGAGCAGACTTATGCGATTCGCGACGACATCGCCAGCGTTATCTCTCTTGGACATGTTTTGCGCGATTATGTAGAGTCGAATATAGTACAAGTTGCTCGACATTACGAAGTTCCCGGCCGCGATATTTTTGAGGACCCGGTTCATTCTCGGCGCGCTAGCAGTCCGCAACGCAGCCCTGTGAAGCAGCAACATCAACGGCAGCTGTGCACTCCAGCTATAACCCCCTCCTCTCTCAACCCCCCGCTCCATATACCCCGACGTGTGTCTGCCGCCCAGACATCATGTACAACTTTGCCCGCGCCCGGCCGCTGGCTCGCGCTGTTCGCGCTGCTGCTGTACGTACACGGGCCTACTCCGCAAAGCTGCGAAAGCCTCTTACCCAGTGTGCACCACAATGGGGGGACATGTGCTAACAACGTGCTAGGAGACACCGTTGAAGCGCTCTGTCGTCCAGCAAAGGAGAGGTCTCGCTATCCACGAATACAGGTCCGCTGCCCTGCTCGAGTCGGTACGAAATACTCCACCGCATATTCACCTATTTCGAGCATTGCACATATCTAATGCAAACTTCAGTACGGCATTGGCGTGCCCAAGGGTGGTGTCGCTACCAGCGGCGCTGAGGCAGAGAAGATCGCCAAGGACATTGGTATGCGACAACAAGAGTAAAATGCACATGTTCGGGGCTAATAATGCGCGCAGGCGGAGAGGACGCTGTCATCAAGGCCCAGGTTCTTGCCGGAGGTCGTGGAAAGGGTACCTTTGACAATGGCTTCAAGGGCGGTGTCAGAGTCGTCTACTCGTATGCTGCTTTCGCTACTATACACCATCTTCACGGCCAGTCTCTAATACAGCATGCAGTCCCCGTGAAGCTTCCATCCTGGCCGACCAGATGATCGGCCACAAGCTCATCACCAAGCAAACCGGAGCCGCCGGCCGGCTCTGCAACTCCGTCTTCATCGTCGACCGCAAGTTTGCGCGCCGAGAGTTCTACCTCGCCATCCTCATGGACCGCGCTTCCCAGGGCCCTGTTATCGTCGCTTCGTCGCAAGGAGGCATGGACATTGAGACTGTTGCGAAGGAGCACCCGGAGGCTATCATCACCACCCCCATCGACATCCACAAGGGAGTCACCGACGACATCGCCCGCAACATTGCAACCGAGCTCGGTTTCTCAGAGCAGTGCATCGAAGACGCCAAGGACACTATTCAGAAGCTCTACAAGGTCTTCATGGAGAAGGACGCTACCCAGATCGAAATCAACCCCCTCTCCGAGACCACTGACCACCAGGTTCTCGCCATGGACGCCAAGCTCAACTTCGACGACAACGCCGATTTCCGCCAGAAGGAGGTTTTTGAGTGGAGGGACATCACCCAGGAGGACCCCGATGAAGTCAAGGCTGCCAAGGTTGGCCTCAACTTCATCAAGCTAGACGGTGACATTGGCTGCCTCGTAAACGGTGCTGGTCTCGCCATGGCTACCATGGATATCATCAAGCTCAACGGTGGTGCGCCAGCTAACTTCTTGGACGTCGGTGGTGGTGCTACACCCGAGGCTATCAGGCAAGCATTCGACCTGATTACCAGCGACCCCAAGGTTACTGCTATCTTTGTTAACATTTTCGGTGGTATTGTCCGTTGCGACGCCATCGCCAAGGGTCTCATCCAGGTTGTCAACGAGATGAACCTCAAGACTCCGGTTATTGCGAGGCTGCAGGGTACTAACATGGAGGCTGCTCACAAGCTCGTAAGTTTACACCCCACATACACTGAATACAACAAACAACTTGGGAATAAGGATGATGGAAGCTAATGTTTTCTGTGTGTGACAGCTCAACGACTCTGGTCTCAAGATCTTCTCCATCGACGACCTACAGGCCGCCGCCGAGAAGTCGGTTCAGTTCTCCAAGGTCGTCAAGATGGCTCGTGACATTGACGTCGGTGTTGAATTCACTCTTGGTATTTAAGCACTTTTCAGCGAGAGCACTTTTGCTGGCTGACCGAGTGCGAGCACGCTAGGTTTATAGCGATACAGAGTAAGCCCTGGTTCGGAATGAAAGGTTGTGCGACTTTATATGAATCGAAATTCAGTCAATGCAAGTGTTGGAGCAGTTGTTTTGATGTATGATCGTTGATTTTTTTTTAGACGATGTCGTGGGGCGCTGACTACTACCTTTGCTCTATGGACGAAGGTTGTTGCTGACATGACGTGACCGATGATCGTGATGATGATTTCCACATTCTTAGCTCACGTAGGTGCAAATTGCACGTATGTGGAACATTCAAGAAGGCCACGAACATGGAAGCAACGTCTTCGCTTCTTGAGACAAGCACAGGACAACATCACGGCCAAAATACGAGGTCTTCACAACTAATTTAGAAAGAAGGGCAATACGACAGTCCATCGTTACTTTCGTGTGCCAGTGTTGGAGACAGACACAACACCAGCGCGGCATAATTCACTTATCATTTGGTTTCCAGACACTCCGTCCATGGCGATGACAGTGATTATGGAGGAAAGCACAGCGCCACTCACTCCATATCTGCACCGCTGCTACTTTTTGGGAGACTCGAGATGAAAGTGAGAATAAAGAAGCAAGGCAGAGAAGAGACGAAGATGGGTTTTTATACCCGTTCAGCGCATGTGCAGAGCACACATCGAATAGCAACTTTGATTCTTGGTACTCGTTGTCGATGTGGATGGAGGGTGGGATTGGGAAAAGCGCTTCTCATCAGGTGTAACTGGTCGTGTTTCGGAAGAGGCAGTAGCACGCACAGCATGCTCACGTCGACCACTGTCTTTGGAGGACAAAAGTCGGGTGTGGATATAATAGACAAACAAAGCGGAACAGGCGGCGATGGGGTTCTATACTGTTTCGATAGCGTACTAGACACACATGTATCCTATGGCGCTGACTTTTGGAACACTTCATGTGTCCACAGAGGCGGGTTAAGCAGAAGATTCTCACTGAAGGTCTTCTAATTCCTTTTGAGAAAAGCGCAACACCACGCCGGGCATGTACGCAAGGAAATCGTACTTTGAAGAATAGAAACCATGTGTGGATGAAGAGGTAAGGTAGGATGGAGGCGAAGACAGGATATTTGTATGCTTTCAGAGCGCGTCTGTCGGACATGGCAGGAGGCATCGATGTATTGTGGTACTTTGGATCCGCGTGAAAGGTGGAAAAGACGCATCTCATGGATAGAACACCTTGTACTCTATGTAGGGAATAATGGCGGCGCAGCATGATACTCTTGGATGATATTTTGAAGGGTTCAAGATCACAGTGGTGGTAAAGGAAAGAACGGTCGAGGAGGACATGTATTTACACTGTTTGAACGCTTGCCGGACGCACATGAGAATACTGTATCAATGATCTTGGAACTCAGCATATCGATGGGAGACAAATGGATACTTCTCATCAGCTGTGTTTTTCCGAACTTTGAATAGAGAGATGCACAGCAGCATACACCGCATAAACATAAACCGTTGCAACAGCTCTTTTTGGAGAATAAAAGGACTTGTGTAGTAGTAGAGAGAGAATTAGGAAGAGGTGAGAACGGGTTCTTATACCGACTTAGCCGCTTGCTCAACGCACATGGGTTAGACCTTTGGTCTTTTCACGGTACTCGGTGCGTCCATGCAGGAATGGAAAAGGCGTTTGTCATGGATTGGTAATCTTGAGGTTCTGGTTTGGAAAGAAGCACAGTATGTCCCGTTTTTCTAGTAATTTTCGTAAAGAAGTAAGCCTGAATGTATGGATGAGAGACGGGAATAAATGAGGACCGGTTCTTATTTCTCGTCGACAACGTGCTAGATACCCATGGAGTGCTTGTGATATTATTATTTTTTGAAATCCAGTACATCGATGGAAGCCTGGATTTCCAAAGTAGATAGCAAGGTCAGACGGCTAGCTATGTTTTCGGTCTTCGTGTCACTTTTTCGACAAATACAGCATTCGAGATATGTAGGATTGAAGAAGCGCTTTTGGGAAAGCGAAAGATTTGGCACACACGGTCGAAGAGGTGCAACGGCACATTTTATACCCATGTTGGCCCAGCCGAGCGCAATAGCCAGAGGATCATGTCACAACATAATATTGACGAACGTTATACAGAACGGTTGCTCAACACTCATACTCCGAAGTCCCCTTTCAGCGTTAGCTTGAGCATATCGTCTTTTACAATCTCTTCCTTGCGAGCAAGCAGATCTTCGACATCCCAATTCGCAGCAATGAAGCGTCCACTAAGGAATTTTGCCTTCTCCTGACATAACCAAACCGCGGTACCACCAACAAGTTCGGGGCTGTCTTGGTTGAAGAGCGAGCGGAAGGGCTCGCGTAACATATCGGTAGCGACTAGACCCGGGTGCATCGACACCGCGGTAACATTCGGGTACTCGGCTGCGACGTACGTAGCCAGAGCGTCTAGAATGAACTTTGACATAAAGTAGGCGCCGAGCGGTGGGACTGTGAAGAACGCCTGCCATGAGCTTACGTTGACAATCGTGGCAGGTGTATCAGGGCTGGGCAACAAGCGCAGGAACGAGCGGATGAGCAGATAGTTGCCTTTTCCGTTGATCTCCTACGACGGAGGTGTCAGTTCATTCGGCTCCGACTCAGTTTACTGCGGAATAAGCAACGGATCGAATCTTACAAAGTTCCTCCACCACTGATCGGGGTCTGTGTCGTGCAGTTTCGGTCCGTCTCCAGTCATGGCGCCGGCAGCGTTGATGAGAACATCAGCATGGCCGAACTTCTGCCGGGTCGCTTCGAAAGCAGCTTCAACGGCTTTGGAGTCGGAGATATCGAGAGCGTAGGTAAGCGTTTCGATCTTGGGGTTGGCTGCCTTGACCGATTTCTCAGTAGCCGCGAGCTTTTCGGCATTGGAGGCTAGCAGTACAACGCCCTTGACACCGGCCTTGACGAAGGCTGGTACCATTGCCTGCGAGGCCAAGTCTTAGCACATGCAATCATGACACCACGTTGTAGAGGATGGGGAAGTGTTCGGTCAATTGTTTCAATTCTCAACATACCATGGCTCCAATACCACGCGATGCGCCAGTGATAACTGCAACTTTGCCTGTCAGGCTATGCTCAGGTATGCTGGGATCGATTGCAGGGTATGCGTCTTGGTGTGCATTTTTCGTGAACTGCATAGACGTGACATAGAAGTCTTTCGGGAGTTTGCTGAGGTCTGCCATGGTGATTGCGATCGTGTTTGAACTCCGGGTTCGGAAGATACGAGGAATACACTGGGAAACACCCTTAATAAGATACTCATCAAATGTACTACAGACAATAGCGATAACTTATGTGAGGCTTTGGAGGTCTGAGGGCCCGCATTTGGGCCGCGATACTCGCCTCCCCGTGTTTACCCATCGAATTTGGGAGCGGCCCCGGCATATCCATGTTTCACGAGCATTGGCACGTCGTCAACGGGGAGTCCGGCAGTGGTCGTTAAGGTTGCGGAACGTCCCAAGCGAAGCCCGTTGTGGTTGCTTGCGAGAAAGAAGGTGATGATCATGTCTTCTTGAGTACTAGCGTAGGAATGGGGCCCTGCTCTTCTCGCTCACCTGAGATCGATAGAGGACGCCTAATTTCTCATCCGGTCCGAATTTCACTAACTTCTCTATTTGCACCATTCTGTTCGTCCGACAACTCATGTTTGCATGGGAAGGCTTGACCAGAGATACGCGCAGTCGTACGCAACGTTGATCTAGCAGCGCGATCTATCATGTCGGTCGGAATGCCGAGGTGTGACAGCGTTCATGGCGATGCATGCATCCGAAAACTATAGAGTGATACCGAATATCAGGGGCCATGAGACAGGTCGTGACGGTGGAGACGTGCTGCATATCCTTTTCTCAGCATGTTGATCATCAGGATGCGCATCCATGCGAGAAATTCTTTGACGATCTTATACCAGCCAGTGAATGTAAAGCGTTCCACTCCCTTGGAGTCCTGGAATACCGTTTGCAAACAGTATTTGAATAGACCAATAATGCTATAAGCTCCCTCGCTCTGGGTCCATTCAACGTCGCAGGTTGTTTAGGGGCACCAACTTCAACACATTGCAACTCAACACTCATTTTGGTCGATAGAAGATTTTCACGATGGTACTACATGAGGTGAGCTGAACCGAGACTGGATGACACTTCTGTACAGAGCTGACTGTGGAGAAGGATCTAGGCCCCAACCTCACGGCAACCGTCCTCACGACAGGACTACTAGCATTCATTACAATGGGTATGCGCACATATGTCAGAATCACCAATAGGAGCTGGGCTCTCGAGGACTGGATTATGGCAGTCGGTTGCGTACGTATTCGACCCTTACAATTGTCGAGAATCATTGAGCTCACTCGTCTTAGTTACCACTTATGACTCTTACCATCGTCACTACTATCGGTTCTTACTATGGCATTGGCGCCAAAGACAGTACTTTCGCTCGACCCGGTAACCAGAAGTATGTCGAGACAGCATACTTTTGGTTCTTCTTCTATCAAATCTTTTACTGCACATCTATCATCTTCATCAAGCTGAGCATTGCCTTCATGTTGAACCGGATAGCTGGTAGAAGGATGATCTTCATCTACATCAACTACGCCATCATGGGTCTCTGCGCGGCCACCAATCTAGCAGCCATTCTCTACATCATCTTCCAGTGTTCCCCCGTCGAGTAAGTGCACGATAGTCTAGAGCCATCCACGCACCGCTAACAGTTCGCTTTTCAGGGCCGCTTGGAGAGCTGATCTTAGGGCAAAGGGGACGTACTGCAAGCCTTCGGTCTACTTGCAGAACGTCTACTTCTTCTGCACCTCGGTCAACATCTTCACTGACTGGGCTACTGCTCTCATGTAAGTGACCACATCTTCGGCTACCAAATGCTTGCTGACGTCCAAAAGGCCGATCGCGCTCCTTTGGAATGTTCAGATGAACAGAAATACCAAGATCTCAGTTGCTGGCATTCTGGGTTTGGGTATCTTCACATCAGTATCAGGTTTGGTCCGTCTGAAATACACCGTTGGCCTGACAAGCAGCCACGACTACCTTTGTAAGCACCACTCTCCACCCTCCTCACGATCCAAAACTAACACTGCCACCAGACGGCCTCGCCAACATCCTCATCTGGGGCTACGCCGAACCCGCCCTCGGCATGCTCGTCGGTAACATTGCAACCCTCCGCCCGCTCTTCCAGCGCCTCCTCCATCTCGGCTCGAGCGGCTCCCAGCAGCCTCACTCGGGAGGGACACCGCACGGACTCAGCAACGACGGTGGCCGTTCGCATCGCTACAAGCCATTTGACCACGAACTCGAGCTAGGCACCATCGCGGACAATAAGGATGGGCATATGCCTTCGATCCAAGTTCGTGGTGGACGTGATAGCGTATCGAGTGACAGCGAGAGCCAGAAAGAAATGCTGGGGAAGAACGATCGGTTTTTGAATAACAACAAGGATAGTATTATTGTTAGTCGGCATGTGGAGGTGTGTCACGAGTGAGTAGTAGCTAGTTAGCGGCTTGAACCTTACACTGGCAAAAAAGAACAAGCGGATTTATTCTAACATTTGTCTACGATACTCTGGAACATTTCGTTGTAGTAGTTTGTGCGACTGGGAGGGAGTCTCCAGGAAGCCTTGCAAGTGCCGTTAGAGAAAGAATGGAAATACTGAGAGACGTAACGAAACTCGCTGCTAAAACACTTAGGAAGAGATGAATATTGTGCACTTGCTGCCCTCTTCTCCCAAGAACGATGGGAAATTGTTCTATGGTCCCTTTTGCGGGATCTGTCTCCTTACTTGTTATATAAAACCAGCAAAGGCTCGCGGCAAACTCTTCCAGCAGCGGTAGTACCGACTATCGCATTGCATACGAAAGCAAGTTTCGCATTCGCTCAGCTTCCGACAAGTGTTGAATGACTTCCTCGCGTATCACCATATCGCGTGCGCATAGTTCCTCATTGGTTTCGATCGTGCGAGAGCTGGCGATAAACATCCCGACAGGCTCACTGGAAACATCGCATTTGTCAGAGACGACCGTATAGGCACGACAATATCACGGAAGTGGAATAAATCGTCTTGCTGCCTGATCATAGATCCGTAGCTAACTAGTAAGATCTTGAGGCGAGATATCCACTTTCTGGAAGCGTGCCGTTGAAACATAGCGGACAACTGAGAAAGCCATGAGATCCCATGTAGATATATACTTCCCACAGCTTCCAAGTCGACAACGATGTAGTGCTGAGGGAAGCTAGCGATGGTGCGTGCTAAGAGGTCGAACCATTGCTCAACAGAATCAGCTGCACGAAACTGCGCAAGTGAGCGTTCCGTATTCATTGACATGTTGAGCTGTACGGCCTGACATATCAGCCCCTTGAGGATGTCTATTGTCGATGCAGCAGATGCGCCGTACGCCGGTACCGACTTCAGTGTCCAAAGCGTGGGGACGGTCCGATTGCGCAAGTTTTGCATGACATGAAAGGCAAAACTCTGGACTTGAAATCGCGTACTGTACTCGCCTTTCACTGTTATTATGGTTGGCGATAATGCGGACTATCGGGCGGCAAACTTCGGGTTTGACCAGAATTGCGACCCGGTATCTGACCTTGACGACCTCTTGTGCCAGCACTCATAAAGGCGTGACATTGCAAGGCTTTTAGCGGATCCAGCGCGTTGAAACCATCAGGTATAGTCTCGACGTATACGAAACAAGAAGATGATACGTCGAATAGGCATTGGACGAGTTAGAAGCTCTGAGTTTGGAAAACAAACGTTTACGACAGGATACTGGCCAAGCATCCTTTCCTATCCAGCCCCCAGTACTCGCATACACCAATAAGGTCTTCTGCCAATTCGAAGAAACCACGTATCTGAGCGAGCTACTTTGGAAAACTGCTGAAGGATCTAGTGTCGTGTTGCTGGCTAACAACCCGACCAGGAACATGGTATATCATCTAGATCAAGATCCTGAGATAGCCTTCGCTATCTACAAGCGCCATGATAGTATCACAGATGCCTTTTGAGGCATACTGTATCGCAACTGGCATTCAAAAGCGAGAAACAGAGATGCATGTACTGTACCTAGGTACGACTCCATATTTTTCGTCTGTCTTGTGAACTCTCGGTCGCCAGGGAAGTCCGCATGACAGCCCTGCCCAGCCTTTTGAGCGCAGAACACAACATGTACCCAGTCATTGTCGATTTTGAAAACAGCTTCCACGGGACACACTTTCGCAAGCTTATTTGTGAATTCCGACGCCGGCGCGAACTCCATAAAGGAGCCCAGTCGGGCTTTGAGTTTCGGTTCCGAGGCTCACTCATAGATGTAGCTGCACAACGTTGTGGAAAATACACGAGAATAATGAATGGTAAGAATGTAGGTCAGGATGGGTGCAAGGTATTATTTACACCAGGCGACGTATGAAATTCCCAAGCCAGCGTGCGGGGAGTCAGTCTCGTGACGCGTGATATCTGGTACGCGAAAAGGGTCTGTATGCGCCCACGCGTCACCGTTCCAGATTGAGGATGTTTTCCTAGTCCTGTCTTCTCAATTTTTCATTGGTATGCAAGCGATCTCTAGGGTACCTCTTGGTTTTCCCCCATCATCAAGTACCATCATCACCCTCTACTGTCCACCAGTCTGGTTCGTGCCCTTCTGCTCAATGCCTACACTCTTGCCACCAGCCTTGGTGGTGTCGCCAACGAAGTTACCAGCCGCTATTCTACGTTAGATACATCCTTTGCCACATCCTATCAAACTCACGTACCTTTAGTAGTATCACCAGCACCCTGCGTAATACCAGTCACCGCGTCACCAAGACCCTTACCACCGGCTGCGACAACGTTGCCGGTGGCATCAGTGACACCTTGGACACCCTTTCCGACGGTGTTTGTTGCCGCGCCTAGGGTGTTACCGAGGCCGCTTGCTGCGGTGCCGAAGAAGCCCTTTTGTTGGTTGTTCTGGTCCGACATGGTTGCTTCGTGTGTGGTGTGGTATATGTTGGAGGCTCTGGACCGGATTGGAGTGTAAAGTACAAGTCAGAATGTATGAAGGTGCGTATGAGATTGTATGTGAGAGTGAGACAGAGAGGAGTGTAGTGTTTATAGATCAGTGCGTACGCTTTGGTTATGTGGTCCCTACCGTGTCCTTCGTCCTTATGACGTAACCGGACGCGCCTTCCTCACTCATCCCTGCTCCCATCTACCCACCCGTCCTGCTCCTCACCTATGAGGGAAGAACGCGCAACAGCCCCGGTCGGCAGCAAAATGATCATCCAAGATCGACACGTTTGCATCACATAACATCACATCATTGGCAGGGAACATTACGTTCAAACAGAACGGTGGTCTACGAGATTAGCAAGCTCAGGCAACAACATCACAACACCAGAAGCAGAGGTACATTTTTACCACGTTCATTCTACCTAGATCGAGCTATTGCAAACAAGAAATCCGAATTCGTCATCCGTAAATCATGGTTTTCGCGCCTCACAAGATTTTTCCGCTTATCGCAAGTGACATGCCTAAGCAAGAGACGTTCTGCTATCGTCGGCGGACACCGCAATGCACCAAGCCACCACTCTTTGAAAACTGCATCTGAAAAAACTTGCAAAAAAAAGAAGAGAAGAATGACATGAACATCAAAAAAGAAGTCAGAGCGGGATTAGAGAAACCTCCACAGGTGGACACGGCAACTCCTTCTACCTCTTTTGCCCTCCCTACCCTAGGGACACGTACGCGCAGAAAAAAGGTGACGAACTGAGGAGAGGAAAACACTCGAGCCCAAGAAACCACCCATATCGCTCGTTGAAAAGCGTGTGGTGTGGGCCGTCCCCCCATCTTGCAAATCCGGAACGCCGTCATGGTCGGTGAAGCCCCGTGAGAAACAATGCGCATAGAAACAGTCGTCGAGGCGTGATCGCCCATCTCGTAAGACCCGGACACTCGACAACAAGGAAACTTTTGAAACCCGCTCCAGTCTTGAAAGTTGCAGTAATGAAACCCCGCGAAATGCATAATGCGCGCGCTGATGCCCCCTTCTATGCAACGAAACAGGCGATTAGATTACCGCGTGCGGTGTGGTCTATGGGTATAACCGTCACGCGCTCGAATGAAGAAAGGTAATCACTCGGAAGGCTTGGCCTCCGTGTCAGCTGCAGATTCATCTGCAGCGTTGGATGTAGAGCCAGCCTCGCCGGCGTCTTCGTTGCTAAGAGCTGCTAGTGCACTGTGACATTGTTAGTGAAAAGTCTCAATAGGATCATAAGAGTGAGAACTTACTCGAAAGCGTTCGCATGAGCAGTTTCCTGCTTCTTTACCGGTGGTGTGCCGGTGCGCGAGGAGGCGTTGGAGTCTTCACGACCACCCATCATGCCGGGACCGAGACCGCGACGGCCACTACCACTACGGCTACCAAGCATGGACGGGCCAAGAGATTGGTTGTTGAGGTTGCGTCCAGAAGCACCCTTGGAGAGCTTGCGGAGGTCGTCCATCTGTACACGGCTACCAGTGTCTGGAGGAGGTTGCATACCACCACCTGAGAACGAGCGAGCGTCACCGCGACCCATGGGAAGACGGCCACCACCACCACCGCGCTGGTTCGATCGTGTTCGCTCCATCTCGGCGGCCTGTTGAGCTGCCATGGCTTCTTGGTGAATCTCGGCGATAGTCTTGGGACCCTTGAGGATGTCCTTGGACTTCCAGCCGGACTTGCGCATGTCGACAGTGTCGAGCAACATGAAGTGCATACGCGACGGAAGACCCTCCATGTTCATGACCTTCTCGATGCGCTCGAAGTACATGTTGATCATCTTGGGACCAGCCTCAGCCGATTCCATTGTCGCACCGACAGTGCGGAGTAGCTTGACCAAACTCTCAATAGCGGCCTCATCGGGAAGACCCTCGAAGTCGAGAAGCTTGAGCACACACTCGTGCATGATACGTAGGGTCAACATGCCCAGCTTGTACAGCTCTCCGATGAACTGGATAAGACCGAGACCCTTTCGCTTGGCGGCAGCGGCAACGTAATACTCGTCCGAGAGAAGCTTTGCCTCCTTTTCACCTTCTGGCGCCTCGGGTAGGTTGACCTCCCAACCACGCTCGAACTCTTCCTGGCAACGGTTGAGGAGGTATTTACGGAAGAGGGCACCACCAACGACTGGCTGACCGTGCTTGTCGCGGACGTTCTCATCCTTAATCTCAGTGCTCATGGTCTGCAACATGCGGCTACAGAACTTGGCGTACATGGAAGACCAATGGCTCTCGTCACAGGCCTTCTCGAAGGTGAGCTGAATGACCTGGCGAAGGGTACGTCCATCGGTCTCATCTTTAGATTGCCCAGCGATCTCAAGAATTTGATCTGAGATCTTGTCGAACTTGTCGGGCGTCATCTTGTTGAGAGCGGCCTTGACCTTACGTTGTACCATATCGGGAGCCAAGTGGCCCGCGCTCATCTGAGCCTGGACAGCAGCGGGCTGAGTCAGCGACGTAGGTACCCAACCAGTCTGCGAACGTTTGAGTGCCTGGACTTCTTGACCGGCGGTCAATGGCATTTGCTTCGCGTCCTGGGCGTTGTTGTTGTTGCCACCGCGACGACTGCTGCCCTTACCACGAGAGCTGCCAACACGAGGAGAATCGGGTCCACGGTGAGACATGCTCTGGTAGGAGTTGGTACGTCCCGTGGTGGGAGCGCCGCCCATTGGGAAAGAACCACGACCTCCACCTAGAACGACATGAGCAAGAGGATTCGTCATAGAGCCACGTCCACCTTGGGCTTGTTGGAAACGCTGTTCGGATGTCGTACCTGGCGGGAGTGTGCGACCTCCTGGCGCGAATGAACCAGGTGCTCCGAAATTGCCCATTCCGCCGCCGCCAGCGCCTCCACGAGATCCCTGACGGGGGCCCATAGAACCGACACGGGCGGATGGGGGGCCGCGAGCCGATTGAGGCTCGTCGCCGACAGTCTCCTTGAGCTTCATGTCCCAGTCAACTGAAGGTTTCTCCTTGAAGACATCTTGGAACTGCAAGAGGAAGTCCTTGTCGTACACACGGCCCTTGCTCCGGCTGGTGTTGTTCAGAGCCGGGTTGGGGCTGGCTACGCCCTGAGGATACTGAACTTCAGCACGAACCTCGAGGAAACGCGCAGTCTTGAGCGCCTGCATACCAGCAGTTGGCTGTGCGGGCTCAACAGACTTGTTCGTCTCGAGCTTAAGAGCAGCTGGCTTGGGCTTGGTGCCAGTGGGAGTCTTTGATGGTGCAGGTGCAACGATAGGAGCTGTTGCCTCAACTGGGGCAGCCTCCTCCTCAGTCGCAGAGGCACCAGGACCGAACATAGTGTTCTTCTTCAGGCCTGCGAAGAGAGCCTTGTCCTTGGCCTCGCGTTCGGCCTTTTGCTCGGGAGTCTCTGCTGCGCGAGCTGCCTCCGCCTCTTCGGCTTCACGCTCAAGCTTGCGCAGACGCTCCTCCTCCTGCTTAACCTTCTCGGCAGCGTTGGCCTTCTCAGCCTCGGCCTTCTTCTTCTTCTCCTCGGCGTAGCGCTTCTCATCTTCTTCGCGCTTCTTCTCTTCTTCTTCCATCTCAGCGATCATGCGCTCCATCTCTTCGTCTTCAAGTCGCTTCTTTTCGGCCGCGTCCGTCTCAGCCTTCTTGGCGGCTTCAGCGTCCTCCTTCTCCTTGGCTTCAAGGGCAGCTTTGGCCTCCGCCTCTTCCTTAGCAGCAAGCTTAGCGTTGGCTTCGGCCTTGGCCTCTTCCGCAGTAGCTTCCTTAGCCTTCTTCTCGGCTTCTTCTTGGAGGCGAAGTTTCTCTTGGAACTGCTTGACGAACTCAGCCTTCTTGGATTCGCCATCAGCCTTGGTGGAGTCGTTGGCGGCACTTGGTGCGCGCGGCGGAGTTGGCGTAGCAGCAATAGCGGGAGACCGAGGGGCCGCAGGCACGGCAGATGCGACGGACTGCGGGGCAGGGGATGCACCCTTGGGCTTGAAGTCGAGAATCTCACCATCAACAGTCTTGATTGTGATGGCCTTGCTCGCCCTCTTCGGGCGCTCGAAGTTGGCGCTGGGCGCTGGGCTTGCCGACGTCATGCTAGGAGTGTGCGTGTGAGAGATGTGGTTGACGTTGGTCATGGCGGGTGTGGAAGGCTGAGGAACAGCAGATGACGGGCGCTCCGACATGTTAGAAGGAGTGCGCGACATGCTCTGAGCCTGTGGCTGATGACCATAAGGAGCAACTCCATAGGGAGACTGCATCTGAGGAGGATAACCACGACCAGGGCTAGCGGGGACACCTGGGTAGTGGATCGACTGCTGTAGTCCGTAGCCCTGAGGATAGAAGTTGTTGTACGGGTCTAGGCCTGGTTGAGGCATGCCGCCATACATGGCCTGTTTTGAAATATTTGTTAGGAATGATTCGATATTGATACTTGAAAAGGTTGAAAGAATTGCAGGAAGAAAAGCTTGCACAGAAATGATTGCCGGATCCGAAGAACCTTGGTTAGAAGGCCCCTCGTTTCTGGCTGAACCATGTTCTGAATTAGGAGAATTTTGAGAAACTCGCGGTCCAGCTGACAAAACCGGCTTGCAAGACATGGGAAATAAAGAAATAGCTGAAAAAGTAGAGGGTTTACGAACCTGTTGAGGATACTGCTGTCCAGGGTAAAATGGCATACCAGGATTAGCAAGGTGCTGCTGCTGATGCATCGTAGCTGGCGTGATAGCGGGGCTACGGTTCTGAGTGTATGGAGAACGCTGTGGCATTTGGCCGGGAGGCTGGAATGGAGCGGCACGACCAGCCATCTGAGGCATGGAGCGGTGTGGCTGTGGCGAGTAGTTTGCCATCTGTGGGTTGTAGTGGCCCTGGGGGTATCCATTGCCACGTCCTCGGCCGGCAAATCCGCCGCGACCCATGTTTGCGTTGCTCATATCGCTGTGCGCTGACTGAGAAGACTCGCGACGCAAGTGCTGAGCTTGGGGCAGCGAGTGCGAGTTGGGTTGAGGGGGCATAGCGGGGCGTGCCTGTGGGAGCATTAGTATCAGAGGCTGGAGGAGGACAATAGAAGAGAAGGGAAGGGAGGGCGCAAACTCACGTTAGACTCGGTGCTTTCACCGCCCTGGCCGCCGAAGACCAAGTTTGGGCGAGTGGGCAATCCGTCAGGCTTGGGGCCTCCAGAGATGGGCGTAGGAATGGGTGAGGGTGAATGAGCTGGTGAGGCAACACGCGGGTTCTGCACCTGCGCCGGGTTCAGGTTTCCCTGGACTACAGGCGAGGCGTGGGCAGGCGCTGGTGAACCGGCGAGCGAACCAAACTTGATGCCAGAGGGCGGGCCACCTGCAGTCGCAAGAGGCGGGGTCTGCTTGATCTGGACAGAGGACTTGCGCTCGTGGGCACTGCCGTTGGGGCCGCCACTCACAATGGTGGGCATAGCGGGAATAGCGGGCTTGATAGCGCCGTTGCCATTCACCGGGGATACAGACGAGCTCTTGCCATGCTGCGCATTCTGCGGTCCTCCCACTGCCACGGGCGGCGCTGCGCTAGACACGATCGTGGGTTTGGTCGCGTTGGCGTAAGAGCTGCGGGCAGTGGGTTGAGCCGAACCGGCGGCCACGGTGGCGGACGATCCTGTAGAGGAGTTGTTCGCGGTCGTAGACGAGGAAGCGGCGATCGGCGGGGTTTGCGAGTTCGAGGTGGGATTACTCATGGACTCGGTGGTGGGTGAGGTGAGGTGAGGTGGATGTGGGAGTGCGGTCGGTAGGCTGCGCAGTCGCTACCTAGCTGAGGTCGGATGACGTTGGTGTCGCTGGAATCTCAGATTCGAGCGAGGGGACGAACTCTGCGGAATTAATGAGTTGCTGAGACAGCGACTCGGGGATTTTGCAGAAAAGAGTGTCGTCCGTGGTGAGGAAGGGAAGGCAAGAGGTCAACTCCTTTAGGAAGGGTGTTGAGGGCTGTCCGAGCGCTTCAATGAAGGAGTCTCTAAACAGGTTCCGGATTCGGGCGGGGTGGATTTCGCCGAATAAATTCGTGAAATCGACGGGGCGGCTCGTGTGAAATTCACTGAGTCCGCTGCGTGTGTCGTGATGGATGTTCTCGCAGTGGAGAGACGGGTGTGTGGAGGGATGGCGGTTGGGCTCTTTCGAAAATTGTTTGAGTGCCAGACTAAGCCGCAACAAGGATGTTGCCCTAGCCGAGCCCTTGAAGCTCAGTCCCAACACCTGGAGTGCCCACGCCAATTAAGCCCTTGCTTGTCTGATTATTCTGCTTGCTCAGAGTCATGACATGGTCATTTCACCATTGGTTTATTGGTGGGCGCGCACAAACCGTGGTTGCCATGTACGTAGTCGTGACTTTGTCGGATACAACAGGCAAGAACGAGGGGCCGCCCACGCTGCCTCACCAACTCCAAGTCTTGAACCCGACATCACATACACAGTAAGCCGGACGTGCCATGCAATGCTGCACTTCGCCCCAATGACCTCGCCGTGACTTCAACTAGCAGGACGTTGTGACTGTTGGCAGAGGGTGGAGGCAAGGCTCTAGTACGCGGGGTGCCTTGCGCTGGGCCCGACGGCGACAGCAGATGCGAGATGCGGTCCATACTTGTAGCAAACACCATCGTTTCGCTGGCTTGTGCATCTTGCGCTTACCAAACGCCTTGTCCTCACTCGCAGCATCGAACCAGGTAAACGGGGTCTTATTATTCCCACTACTATAGCTCAGCCCTGTGCTTTTCGAGGTGCACCCAGTTGTACAGTGAAGCACAGCTGTGACTATGGTCAAGCAACAACAATAGACAGAGCGGACCTAGTACCACGATACTGCCTTAGGCCTTGGCAGGCGTATAGTGTCAAGACGCATCTCTCCTCTTGCGAAGATCGAAGAAAAAATGTAAACCCACTGACGTCTTCCTGCGCGTCTATGCACAATGACGGCGTGTTTCTGGGAGGCGACCATTCACGTGAAAGGCATCTCCGCCTTAACTCCATTGTCATGTGAGATTTCCGTGCATCATCGCCACAATCGATAACGGTTGATCAGACCACTCTGTGCACCACCTCCATGATTTACTCCAAGGCCCAATTGACTCAAGTACGGGTCTGGAGCTTGACACGGACTTTGTTCTGTTGACTGGGCGATGCATCGACAGCTTGCTCATGTGACTGCGCAACGCGAGCGAAGAACCAATGAGGATATTATGTTTGCGAATTCTCTTATTCAGAAGCATATCTTTTAGACTGCGAAAATTGTGAGTGGCTCGTCGCCTTGCTCCATCGTGGTATCATTGGACGAAGTGGATGTAGTGGAAGGCGACCAAAGTCAACGTTGGTGGACACAGTACGATGGCCGATACAATGCGGATACCATGTGATGGCAGATGCGATGGCAGATGCGATGAGATACTCTTTCAATGACGATGCTGCTGCTGCATTTTCGGGTCCGTATCCCTGCTTACTGCTATTAGCAAAAACTAGAAGTTACATCAAGAAAGACGCCGGATTCAGGGTCAATTACCGGCTGCACGCTCGCAGGGTTGAGGGGTACAGATCTGAACAACTGTGCTGCGATGTTTCTCGTAGCTTAGAATGTATATGTCACTAGTAGACCCATTCTTCTAAGCGACGCGCCTGAAAATAGTAGGATGGGTGTAGTGGGCTCAACTCCAGGCGAGCGTAGACAGGTGAGGCCACATAGATGCGATACAGCAGCAATAGAACACATCACAACCTGATCACAGCAAGTCCTGAGCTAGCCAAACAGTTAGTCATCTATTGACTACACGTCACTTACCAAAATCGACGAAAAACCTTCTGCAGGCCGTCTACTTACCGTCGCCTCAACTACACCTGCATCAGTGTAATATCACGGGCCTCAACCCACACATCCTACAGTCATCACTATCCAATGCTATCCGTCACTCATGACTCACACGAAACGGTGACACAACAACATGGCTCCTTCAGCAGCCCAATGCAGCAGCCGGAATCCTTTCTGTCATGCAGCGTGGCATTAGTAGCGCACAGCCGACGGTTTTGCGTGCGCCGGCAGCACAGCAGAAGCAACGCCGTGGTAGCAAAAGGAACCAACACAACCGATCTTGAAACCCCGCTGCAGGTGTAATGCAACGAGCCGTAATGCCAGGTACCGATGGCAGTGGGTCAGCGGTTTGGTACGACGTTTTATACCTGCAAATGGATGTCGCCTCAGAGTTGAGGTTTGTTCTCACTTGCGCACTTCAATGCGAAATGAAGCATGATGTCTAGCTCTGCTGTGCTGCGTGCTGCGACAAACGAGGATAGCCATGCCTGCTTCCCTCATCGCATTTCCTGTCAATTTCCATCAATCGCATCCACCCCAGTAGAATTTTGGGATTCCGGAGTATGCGCATTCGCATTCTGGGGGTGTGGGGGAGATGAAGGAGGAAACGAACGTCGCATCGACCGCCGCACACGGCCACCTCTGCGCAAACTTTGACCATCAGCGGCTTCGAAAAGTTCCACCTCTCATCGTCAGCCACACACCCACATGACCTCGGCGAAGTGCCACTCTTACTTTCCTGTTAGAAAAGCCGCCGGCTGTGGGCAGACCCTCCTCTTTGAATGCGCTGCCACCAAGCCTGCATCCTTGGGGGCAAGCTCAGCCTTTAAACTCTGCGCCAGCTTCCGCATGTCGTAATCTTGCTCCGGTGCCCCGATGCAGGACAGAGGCGCGTCCGAAGGTTGGTCGATGGCGCAAGCCTGCCGTTGTCCGATCGCTGACTGCCATGGCTTTCCCTCGTATCCTTCGAGGATCGCTCAACGCAGGTGCATAATGGCTGGGGAACCATCCTCGGGCACTAAAAGCGCCTCATAATCCTTTGGCGTTGATGGCATATGATGGATTCGAGTCAAAATCGACATCGCATGAAGTTGCCGTGGTAGTGGGTTTTTTGCTTTTGCTCAAAGTACCGGCCGTGGCTGCAGATGAGGACGTTGCATGTGAGAGTGGAGATAGCAATGCAGGTGGAAGAAGAAATTTGGAAGGTCGTGCCTTCCCGTCTTTGCTGTCTGCATTATCCCGTCCCGCCCTTTGCTTCTTCTGGCATGCATCGTCATGCTCGAAGGCGCGAAAGCCGGACCCACCACCACGAGCGAACTTGTCGCGAGAAGCAAGTATGCCCAACGGCTCACCTTCGTCATGCGTATCAGCCCTTTCCAATACCTTACTGCATTTCGCTTCTGGACCGAGGCGCCCCCTAGGTACCTATCTTTACATCACGATGCCAGCGCTACCAGAAGACATCGCATCCCTGCTGACCTGTGGAGCAAGATGCTGGCCATACAACTTCCACGTGATATGCGACTTCCACCAATCGCTACCTACACAGGCCATTCACTCCGCGCCGGATCAGGTAAGCGACCCTGATCTCTTTCGACCAATCGCACATGCGGAACTCAGAACCACGAACAACAACACCATGATGCAGGGCTGACTCTCTGACCCCCTCTGACGCAGTATTGTTCACCTCATCTCGCTCCACGATCCTTCTCGGCTCTTGAAGTACCAATAGGGTGTTTGGGGTAGTGTAAGCCTCGAGCCTTCTCCGCATGTCATAATGGCTAAAAGTTCCTGTCGAACCAGCGGGTATTCAGCCGGGATGACAGGTAGTTGTAGTCCACTTACTCATCTTCAGGCACGTCGTTCCGGACTCCTTGGGACCATCATGGCGCGACTCATGTGTACCTTGCACCACCACCGAGCTGACGGACAATAAAATTGGTAGCGCCTTTGCCTAAGGTCCGTACCGGTAAGCTCAGCGGTTAGACCAAATGCGAGGGTGTTTGTGAAAGGAATGCGGAGGGAAGGCGGAGGGCGTCTGCGCAAAAGCAGCGACAGGTTACGCTAGCCAACGCTCGTCCTGCACATGATGCGCTCCGCAGGAGATGAACCGTGAACGGTAGCCCGCGAGGGTTCTGTCGGAATGGCGTACCGTATTGCGGCGGCCTTACCCTATGGGTGGGCTACGATGACTTCAGCGCCGGTTTGCGTTGTCATCCAAGGTCGCTTTCGCTTGTGGTTCGGTGTGGTCATCCCTGAGTCGTGGGCCCCTCGGCGTTGACGTTTCTTTTCGTCTGGAGTAACATGTCCGGGCCCTTGTCGATAAGTGGCCGAAGCTAACGAGCTTAACTCATGATACAAGCTGCTAGGAACGTCTCTAGAGGGCGCCTATCACACCGCTGGAGAAGCCATGCACGGCGAGCCTCATCGCACACTTCGAGCAGCCGATCAACCTAGATCACACGCTCATGCTTCCGTACCCAGCAGTAGCTGCAGCATATCCTTTGCCCATTCACACAACGTTTCCGCTGAACCATGTACCATGAGCTTCTCGAAGGACACCGCTTGGAAAAAGGCGTTCTCTAAGTCACCCAATTCGTCCGCGTAGCCCTCGACCCATGCAATGCCCAGCCAAGATTAAGCCTAAGATCGGTTCTTTGCTTGCCTTGACGCAGAGCACCCGCGGCTCCTCAATCTAACAATGCCAGCAGGAGCCGTGTAATAACTCTAACAAAGTTAAGATCCGCACCTAGCATTCTGTTCCTTAGCGGAAACCACCCTGATCAGCCAAAATCAGCCACCCAAGAATGCCAACCGATGTAAGAGATTTACATCCAGTGTGTCACGCAGCTAGCTAGCTGGCCTGGTTTCCCACCCTGCTCATCGCATCATGATCCTTGACCATAGTTCCGTACTTCCATTGCTGATGTGTTGATACTGCAGCCGGACGAATACCGAACCTGTCCAAACACAACAACGTGCCATGCAACTTCCCCGCAAAATGCAGAAACCCCGGTCTACAAAAACATACGATGAACTTACATGCACATGACGCGAAAGGTGAGGAGAGCGCAAGGACCCTACTATACTTCCCTTTACCGTTTCTCTCTCTCCACGTTCTACCTTCCTGCCGTACCACCATCGTACAACCTCCACAACCCACATTAATCCTCCCGCTCTAAGGATCCATCATCCGAACCCAGCAAGCTTCCAAAATCTGGTCCTAGCTCAAGGTAAGTGGTGGTATACGTAGATAGCATGATACTTACTTGACAATGCAATTTAACCACACATGTCATGCCTTTCCCTGTCACCAATATGCAAGCTATGAATTAGTATGATACCAAGCATGGTATGTTTCTCTATCATCCAGCTTTTACTCCCCTCACACCACTTTCCGCTTGCTTTGCCTTGCTTTCACCCCACCATACACTACGCTCCCCCGTACCCTGGCCCCGTCCTGGCCCTACGCTACTGTGAACGGCACTAGAAGACACACACCTGCAGTCTTGCATATCAATCCATGTCGCCCATCGGTTCCTGAGCCTCAGAAGCCGAAATTAAGTCTGCAAGTCTGCCAAGCATCCACACACGTATGCAAAGAAGCAGGTTAAGAAAGTCTGGGGTAAAGTGTGGAGATCTTCGCTTTGACTCGCATGCCCGTAATCAAATTCTCAAACGGCCACCTGATCACCAACTTGTTTATATTGCGTGGTATGGAGGGATGGGATAGGATGGTAAGGAAGAGATCGACAGGAAGGTGGCGGTTCGGAGGGAAGCCGGCTGGGTAGATTGTGGGTGGAATATCGTTAGCTTTTCTGAAGAAGATTCTAGTGCATAACCCTCTTCCATGAATGTTTTGTGATTGTCATGTGTGCGTGAGCGTATCAGTCGTGTGTACACGAACGCCCTACGTCGTCACACACACACACACCATGAAAAGGAAATGAGCCTGCTCGGTTTCGCACGCGCTGTACACCGGAAGTATTCTTCCTATGGGCTCATCTCATCGCGGTATCCACTTCCTCTGTCTAGATCTATCCGCCCAACCCAGTCCATTTCTCCCGCTCGGAATCTCGGAGTAAGTACCACTGCGAAGAACCCACGGTCCCTCATGTGACATCGTTCCACTGGCCGTTCGGCCGTAGCAAGAGTGCTTGCCCAGTTGCTTGAGCGTAGACTCCACATGGCTTATTCCGCTAACATGCTCCGACATCGCCTCAGGTATGGGGTTTGGCTGGTTTGGCTAGCCTTCGCTTGGATATAGAGGTACATACGATTTGACGACGGTTTGCTTGGCGGTACTGCCCGCCACCATCTAGCTGTGTGTTAATCGGTCTACCGTTAGTTATTTAGTTAGTCAGGCACATGCAGGTAGTAGATCCACAGTAAGTGAGGTGTAGCCGCCATGCAAGATTGTATTGGAAGATGTGGGGTATGGGTATCATTAACTTGTTCTCATGTGTGATCGGCCGTGTCATGTGGTGAATGTATTAGTCCTTGTACAGGTAAGGAGTTTCGGAGCTTCGAAAAATGTGGCTGTGTAGATTGGTGGAGTGCAAAGGTGGCGAACGAAGTCATGAAGTGGGAAGTATGTACAGATTTATTGCCGTGGATGAAGTTTGAATTGCCACAAGGAGGATGTGGTAGTTTGTAAGATGATACACAGAATGGTAATACCAATATTGCGCCGATAGCTCAAGCTCATTGAAATGGGTTTTGGAAAAGAAGAAGGTAATCGCCTGCAGTTGCGCTGAAGTTGTGATAAAGATGTGTGATGAAATACCACCGACCAAAGGAATTTCGTATAACAGAGAGAAAGCGAGACTGGTATCGCCAGAGAAGATTGTGATGCAGGAACAGCCGTCCATGCCATCAATCCAGTCGAAAAATATATCCGTACCCATTTTTCTTTGATACGACATAAATGCGCTGGTTCATAATCTTGCACCCCCCAAATCCAGGTCAAATAAACAAAACATTGCTCGCTCGCTTAGTACTGATCATTGTGGTGGTCGTCGCTGTGTTGGCTGGCGTTCTCCATGACTTCTCCTAGGACTGAGCCGACGGCAGAATACGAGTCATTGTGCGCCGAGTCGTTCCGCATATATGAGCTTGGAAACGAGGACATGTGGTGAGGTGCACTCATTTGAGGCATTCCGTAGCTCGAAGGGGTGACGAGCGGTGAACCAGAGAAGGAGGGGAAGTGAGCGGTCTGGGGTGTAGACCCGTTGCGTTGAGGGGCGTAGTGGGTGCTCAGCTCGATGCGCCGGGGAACGCCGTTGGAGAAGGACCGCATCCTGTTGCCACTAGATGTTCCGAAGCCTGGTACTGGGGAGTCTGGTTGTGTTAGGAAAGAGAGATGACCCACGTGGGTTGAGGTGGCTTACAAGAGTATCCAATACCATAGGGCATCATTGAGCTTGAGTAGGACCGACTGTCGTGGCTATCGGAGCTGTCATGAGAGCCAGTATAGCTCATGCTAGTCCTCAAAGGTGACTGTAGAGACTCTGCACGGCTTCTTGCGATACGGTCGGCATGTAGTGAGAGGCGAGGGATACTATGTTGTGCAGCATAAGCTGTTGGATTGCTAACAGGCATGGAGAAGGGGTTCGATGTTCTGGGGCTAGTGTCGAGCGGTGCTGAGTGGAAACCGAAGGGTGATCCCTCGTGAGCTGAGACAGGTGAGATAGCATCGGTTGCTGATTGAGGCGGTGTGAAAGTGAAGCCACCAAAAGCAGGGCTGATGCCAGTTGGTGACATGTGTGAGTCGAGCGGTCCTCGTCGGAAGGTATCTATGCTCAACGGTCTCATCATGTTGCTCTCCGGGTAGCTTGGATTGTAAGAGCCAGGTGACGCAAGGGGGGTGCCGAGACCATGAGAGTTACCAAAGGGAGAGTGAAGTGCTGATGCCATGTCGAAATCGTCTGGCAAAGCGCGCGACCTCATCATACGCTCACGGTCGTCACTTGTTAATCGCTTGAGCTTAGCTCGCCTGTGAACGTGTTAATACCCGCAAGCTTCGGTAGTAGAACGTACGGCTTACCTGTTCTGGAACCAGACTTGGACCTGACGGGGGCTGAGGCCGGGGATCTCTCGTGCTAGTCTTTCCCGATGAGCTGCGTCTGGGTGGGCTTGACGGGCAAACTCGCTCATGAGAAATCGAGTTTGGTTGTGAGTGAGCCTGAACCTCTTCATCTTTCGCTTCGCCGCACGAATCTCCGCAGCAGTCATGGGCTGTCTACCTTCACCCTTTTCCTCGTCGTCTTCGCAGTCGTCTTTGTCGTCTAGGATGAGATCATCGTCCTCGTCCTCACGCTTTTCTACATTGCCACCATCATTAGTAGAAGGTGGTGTAAGTCTCGAAATCGGACTGGTAGGAGCAGAGCCTCCGAAGGTTACATTCGGGATGTCGTGCTGCTCAATCTCATCGAGTCCGGATGGTGTATTGCTACCGCTGTTTAGGTGACTCTTTCCGTCGAGCAAGTAAGGAAAGCTCTTATGTGTTCGCATCGATGGTCGCTTCAGGTCGAAGTTGTGTCCAGAGACCTCAGCCTGGAGCATGGCCATGTCGTTATCTGAATGTGGTGGAGTATGCTCCAGAGTTCTGAGTTCTGATGATTGCCACTCGTTGTCTGCTGAAGTCGTGCTATACGCAGACATGTGTGGCGAACTGGGCGGAGACAAAGGAACGAGGAAACTTCCGTCGACCATTGGCGCTTTTGAGACTGTTGTAGTGGAGTAGATGTAGGCTGAGCTCTGTGGCTAATACCTCTCCTGTGACTCGCTGTTAGCGGAGAAGGGGCCATGAACTGGACCGCTGCTTACCTAGTTGCTTTGGTCACTAAGAAGGCCTTAACTCTGGTTATGTCGGCGTTCTTGTTCGAACTTTGCACGAACCACAACGTTCTACAAGGGGTAAAGATCTGATGAAGCTTGGGGTGAACAGTTGATCGTCACCCGGACCCTGTGCGGGGTTTATGCGGATGATCAGCGAGAAAGAGTGAAGGCAATCGCGATGCTTTGACGCTGGATCCAGCGCGCGTTAGAATCGCGAGACTGTTACGAACCGACAGTTCGAGGCTGCCGTGTTGAGAAGCCTAAGGATGGCGGGTATGCGAGTAGGCTGAATGCTGATGTCGCACCGAAAGTAGGATTGGGGCGCGGAGTTTTGGTGCAACTTCAAGCTTGAAATAGAAGCTGCCGGGGAGGTGATACTGTGAGCCAAATAAAGATAGACGCTGGTGGTGGGCGCTTGATGCTTGACAAGAGCGAGGCGATGAACAGCCGACTTGCTCTAGAAAAGTGAAAGCGTCGTCCGATAGCCAGCGGTGGGTAGCCCTTTGTAAAGAGGGTCAGGAACCGTCGGAGGCTATATCAGCGATAGCGGCAGGGGAGGGGAATCAGATCATTCAGACAAGAAAGGCTTGACGGTACTCTACTGTCGACGATCCGGATAAAATCGAGGTTAAGACAAGTGCGAAGGACTAGGGTTAGACTACGCATGGACAGCGGTGCCTCTTAGGGAAACATGATATCCTTCGAGGATCTGGAAGCAGCTTGTTACACGACAAGAAGCGTGACTAACGTCGAGGGCTAGCAGACCCCAAAGGCTCAGGGCACAGGGATACGGTAGCTCGGGACGTGGGCCTACTACGAAGGAGAGACGGAGCGGGAACGGGCGAATCGAAAGGCTCTGGATCAGGTGTGCTGCATGCCAGGGTGCCCTCCCCTCGAAAGAGAAGGGGAGCGAGCGGTGCGTGAACATGGTGGGCTGCAGGCTACATGCATAGACCAGGGCCCGTGTAGAAAAATGGCCGACGAGCAAGGACTAATCCGTGGCGTCTCGCAGTCGAACGTCGAGGCAGGCGGCGGCGCCATTATTGGCCAGATGCGATGCGGGAAGTCCAAGGAACCCGCAGCGAGAGAGGACAGGGATGCTACAGAGCTCGGCAACGCTTGCACGGCTTGTTGCGGGGTGTCGCTGTCAATGCTGCTTTTAGTGTGAATTGTGCGGACGAGATGGTGGTGTGGTGGTGAAGGTCGGACTTGGTGCCGCCAGGCTCCTGTACTCCATGCTACCGTCGTCGAACCACGACTTTCACACGGCGATGTGCTCTGGCGGACCAATCCGCCCCGGGCCGATGGCTTTCAAGTGCATCTTCTGGCAGCTGTCAAGTCAAATGTTAATGTCCATGGTCCGCAAATTGCGTATGCGTCAGGAACGCGCTGCATCAGCCTTGCCAGTGGTTTGAGCCGCCCATCGCGCCCGCTCAGATGCATGAACAACGAACCTTGGTCGCCTTCAGCCGTGACCCATGATGCTTGCCGGGGACCAAGGAACCGCGTCTAGCTACTTGTGTGTTCCTGCTGCACACCTGCTTGATCAAGTGTGGTGAGTAGTCGAGCGCCTAGCAATGACGCCGTCGCCAATGAGCAGCGGGGGTCACCAATGAGCAACCGATCTGGCTGGGCTTGACAACGATCTAACGGCCAAAAGCTCGGCCCGCGCCGGGAAAATGCTGAAAGGCGCTGTTTCTCGAAGCCTGTTCTCGCTGTAGTGCGACTGTGTGCAACACTGGTGGGCTGTCGGTAGTTGGGTGACAGCGGTGATTATCGTAACGTGTTTGGAAATGCGTGTCCAAGCAAGCGCGCTGAAACTGTCCTGGAGCGCGCGAATGGCATCCGAAGACGAGGCTGCAACGACTGTCTCTCGGCCGCACTGCAGGGAAAAATTGGGCGATGCGCAAGCCACCCATGCTGCGCCGTTCCGTGGTGATCGACATTGCCCGTGTCCAAAGCAGATGAACCTCTAGCCGATACCGCGCGCAGAGCCCGCGACGGATGATGTATTGACGAATGATGTACACTGTCCGCCTCGCGCGGCCGCATTGCCTGAACCGGATGTTGTTGTTTTTGCTGTCCGGCTGTGAAGCACGCGGGTAACCGCCAGCGTTTGGCTTGTTTCGCAACGAAGAGAAGCACGTATGCTTCAACGCCTACGCAATCTCTAAAACGCAATACCGAACAGGGCGTCGCGTTCGATTTCCAAAACAACGCCAAGACCGCCCGGACGGCGGATTAGGACGGGCTGTGGAAATGACAGGAGCAAGCGATAGCGAAACCGCGGATATTCTGGCGGGCCATTGGTGGGGGACGCAACACTTCTGTGGGTTTGATGAGCGCATGGGTGCCTGTCCTTTGTCGGCAGAACATGCCTGCCTTTTTTCATCATGCTTCGGTCCATCTCGCGAACATAATGCATTGAATATGATTACGATCCGTTGCCAGCAGTCTGGGCCTGTGGCCTTGCTGTGGTTCGCAAACTTGTCATGACACGATGAGGTGGTTCCACCGCGTGCCAGACTACAGCAGAGAACCTTGGAAGCCTCGGACTGCGCTGAACGGTGGTGTCAGGTAGTACAGGTCCCTTCATTTCGGAAGGATGCAGCATCTCCCACGTAGGTGGATTTTGTGCTGACAACACACTGAATGAGCCTGAAGACGGCCCCACCCCGGCGCACCACGGCACATCTGGAATCAGAGCATTTCCTGTCAAAGGCCTGGAAGTACCGTCATGCTTACCAGGGACGAGAGCCAGAGTCCTCCATCGTTGGAGTTACATCAGAATAAGACCCGGGAATGGCGTACATGCCCACGCGATGCTATATTGTGAAGATTTCTATTCATCAACGAGGGCCCTTTCATCTCCACAGCCTTCCGACGTCCAGTCGTGGCGTTGCAAATTGAGGGGCGCCGTTGGCGACCGGCTGTACGATCGCTCAGACTGTGGGTGACCTCCGATCTATCGATACGCTGAGAGTGGCTCGGGGAGAAGAACCCCATGTTCTCTTCGCTTGCAGAGATAAATTCGATGGGAAAGCGCCACAATGCTCCCCATACTGCACAATAACGGATGAGGAAAAGCTCATATGTCTCTCAGAGCCATCGATAATTCACACCTAGCTGGTGCAGGCGACAACCTGCCCCCTGTCCCTACCACTACGCCGCTGGTTCCGCAGTCACTTGACTACGCTGGTCGGGCCGCTGCTCCTCGACGCTCTGATGCTCGTCCTGCGGAATTACCCCCTGGTCATCCGAAGTAGTGGGTGCAGCGTCAACGCCCGTCGCCTCAATGGAAGAGGTGGCCGGCTGAAGAGCCTCCAGCCCTTTGCCATGCTCGATCCTATCGAAGCAGCTTAGCTGCGTCTTCGAAGCCAGGCGAAGGCCTCGCCAGACGTAGCTAGATTTCTTCTCCCCCGCTTGCCGCTTCTCCTCCTCTGCGTCAGTCATTTCCAGATCTAAGTCGGTCATCTTGACCTTCTTTGCATATGACTCTGCATTTGGCACATTGAACCTGACTGGACGTCAGAGGCTGAAATCGAGTGTTAGTCGGACGAGCGGAGAACTGACCTGTCACGTTGTCGTAGCTGAGAGAGCCCCTTATCCGCTTCGTTGTTGTAGAGGAAGTTCAAGGTACTGGGAACGCCCATGGGTTTCGAGGCTTTCTTACCAACGACAGCTTTCTGTGCCCCAGACTTGGCTTGTTGAAAATCTGCTGGGGGCACTCTGTCTCGAGTGAATGGCTGGCAGTTCTCCATCTTCCATCGCACCCAGTTTTTGTCGCGCGAAAGCACGGTATCCACCATCCGGTAGTAGAATTTGCCATCTGGGCCTTCCTGCAGGTAATTTGCAATGGCAGTCTTGATGCCCAATGCCCACTCGGTCTGTGCTTTATGGTCAGCTGGGAAGATAATGATCGTGGACGACGAAGCGAGCACGAGGGCGTGACTGAGGCGAGAAAACGGGGCAAACGATGGGAACTTACGTCTTCCTCGCGGAGTGTGAAGCTGTACTGCATCGCTTTCTGCGCATTTTGGTAGAATGGCTTGCTTTTCGACCCCTCGGTTAGGGTCAACAGAAAGTCGATAAGTATCAGTGCTTGGACAAGGATGTGACGTTGGAAGGCGAGATCACTCAGCTGGAAATTGTCAGTCATAGCGCAGGATTGATAGTGGCAATCTTGCATACCTCGAGCTTGAAGAGATCACGGCTTGTGAGGTACTTTGGATTAAAGGAGTTGGCGAATGCATCGTAGGCGTCACCTTCTCGCGATTTTTGTCCCTTCTTCCGCTCTGAATCTCCGGCCTGTATGACTTTTGGCACCTCCCTGAACTTGGCTAGCGTCGCCTCCAAGCTCTTCTGAAATTGTTTGAAATTGTCTTCTTCGAAAAGCCTTGGTGGGTTCGAGAAGGAGTGCTGCAGAGACCAGAATACAGGGTAGAGGGTCTCAGTGTCAAGAGTGGTAGGTTTTGCGTCCTTGCTCTTTTCGGAATCTTCAGCTTGAATGACTGGTGTCCCTGATGTCGACTCTTCTTTGGGGGTAGGAACGGATCCGCCAGCATCGATTTGCATAGAATCCTCGTCCGTTTTCGATTCCTTCAAAAAGTCCTCGAATGTCGTCACATTCTCGACGTGGAAATTTCCGCGCAAATTTACTGAACTCTTATCACCCAAGGGAAAGCTCTGGAACATGAATATGTAAACACGGCCACAGAAGACTGGGTCTTCTGCTCGAGACAGCCGGCGGAGCAGCTCGTTGCATAATCGTAGGATAACAAGGTCCTTATTCTTAGAGTTGATCTGCGACGCGGTGAGAAGGGTCACCAATATTAGCAGGGACAACATACGGCGATGATAGTTTCTCTGCGCGACTCGAGAAAGTTGAATACCACGCGACATCCCGAGATCGACTGGCTGTCAAGCAATTCTTCGATGAGCAACAGTACGAGCTGCGGAGAGCAAAGGTCTGGAAACGTCAGTCAGGATTTAGACAAACTGACGAGAATCCTACCTCTATCTCCACAATACTGCAGGATATCGAGTAAATTCCATACGGTTACGAAGGCCGGCTCCTCAATCCGAGTGGAACCCTAAATATGTAAGCAAACTGGCGCGGGGTTGATGCGATAGCACGAAACTGACAAGATTGGCATAGAAGACACTCTTCGCTGCACTTTCCACCGCAAGCGTCCGCACTTCCTTTCCTCCTTCGATCTCACCGAGAAGAGGTTCGCTTTCCGGTACAAGATCGGAAACCTGGAGTGGAGGATCGATAGCGGTACTCTGTTTGACAACACGGGCACGACGCAATAAGTAGTCGAGTCTTGGAGCTACCGCGTCGGCGGGGAGTACATTAGCCGTCGCCATTGTTTGAGGCCTGGCGCGCGTTGGGCTTCGATCACGAGCAGACAACCCTTTGGCGCGAAGGCAACTGTACCACCGTAAGGTCGCAAAATACAGATTCCTAGGCGAGAATTTGCAGTCGCAACACAATATTCAACCAGAGAGATGTTAGTTGTGGTAGTATCTATGCGGGTAGTAAAGGTGGTGATTGAATACAGAAGCTGCCTTTGAAAGTCGAGCTGGACCCTTGCCTAAACAAAGATAAAGTTGCGCCACATGCGGCTAGTGAAGATATCCGTGCGTGTGGCTGAACGCGTCAAACGCGTCGCGCTCTTCACTTTGGATTTCACAATATCCTCCACACCAACTACGAAACCTGAGGAGACTTGCCATGGCCGACACCAGCCTCCAGACACGCACTCACGACTCTGATGATGATCTCGATGACATCCTTAAAGACATCACAAACCCCCAGACCATCGTTCAATCGACCGAGAACCCATCGCAGCCACAGTACCGAAACAACAAGAAGAATGACAATTCTGGCACCTTGGGCGTCGATGAAGAGATTGTAATTACAAAAAAGCGCCAGCCTGCGCCGAAGCTCGACGATCAAAGATTGTTGTCGGATCCTGGTATTCCCCGCTTACGCAAGATCTCAAAGGATCGTCTTCGCTTCAAAGGGAAGGGTCACGAGGTATGTTCATCTTGCTGATGTAAATTCACCGACTAATTCAGTCGCAGTATGGAGACATTGCCCGCATGCTGAACATGTACCAACTGTGGCTCGATGACCTCTACCCCCGCGCCAAGTTTGCAGATGCTCTAGCCATCATCGAGAAGGTCGGACACACAAAGCGCATGCAGCTGATGCGGAAAGATTGGATTGATGAAGGCAAACCACGGCGCCACACAGGGCTGGACGACGACGACGATGACGTGGCTCGAGAGAAGACTCCACCTCAACAGAGCGCCGAAAACATGGAGGGCATAGAGAACGACGGTCAAGAAGACATAAGTCGCCAAATAGAACGAGAAGGATCTGCGCGCAATCCAGCAGCAGATGCGGCAGAACCAACAGCGAGTGGTGATCCTGACGACGATGAGCTGGATGCTCTGTTAGCTGAAAGCGAACAACCTAGCTACACAGCACCCAAAACACTCCCAACACGGCCGATGCCCCCACAGGACGACCCTTTTGCGGACGAGATGGAGGCAATGGCAGATATGGACGACATATGGGATTGAATAGATGCCTGATGTAGCATTTTGATTTTGTTCGTTCATAGCGCGGCGTTGGGGAATAATTCACGAGGCAAGCGATTGCGCTAGGTCACGAAGTGACGATGAACAGTTGTTCGCAATTGGGACTGGCTACAATATAGCCCTTGCGTACCCTGATATGTTCTATCTGCAGCTTTTGTGCTGACAAGATCTACAAACCAGAGTTCTTCGGCTCCCCGTGTCTCATCATGTCTCGGAGCTATGCAGATTCTGACAAGATCCATGTTCCTCGTAATACATATGCAGGTACGATATGTTGATCGAACACCGTGTAAGCACCGAACGTTGTGTATAGTGGGGGAAGTGGGTCCTTCTCGATGCGGCTTGGCGTCTCAAACAAACAACGTCATCCATTTTCTCACTCGGCGCGCCACATTCCCACAGGCATAGTACCCTACCAAATTCGTACTCAACCCGCGAATATGGAAGCTTTGTCAGGGGAATTGGAAAGGCTGCGGCTACACAGCAGTAACCTCGATCAAGACGGAATAGACTCCATAGCTGGTGAACAACGACCACCAAAGCGACAGCGGAAAACCAAAGAGGTCATCAAAAAGGAACTAGAGCAAGAGTTCCTAACACCCTCAAAGTCTTTCAACACGCAGTGGTTGAACCAGCTTCAGCAGCGCTGGGATGTACCTACCAATTATCGCAGCCTGTTCCAAATCGCCCCAACACAAACCCGGACCATCATCCGCTTCACGCGCGAGGGGCTAGAGGGCCGCGTCACAGGATACAAAGAAGTCACGGTTCCAGCAAATTCAGCAACAGCGAAAAACTCCACTTCTCTTCTGAGGAAGCCTGCCAATAGAGCTGAATTCGTACGTGGAGCAGCCGGCTTTTTTCCTTTCGCGCCTGGCGGTCTTGATGGCGTGGAAGCAGTAGCTGCCATTGAAGATGAAGTCATCCAACAGCAAGAGGATGCGAATGGAAAACGGAGTGGTGGACTTGACAGGGTCATCAACTTCAGTGCTGAAGGAGGCTTGTTGGAGGTACCACCCGGTTTTACTCGTGGCCTCGACTTCCAGAAAAAGCCAACTACGGACGCCAAGGCTGCACAAGAGGTGGAGGACACCTTAGGAGAGGCGTCTGCACCCGCCAAGGATATCGATGCCGATGACGAGGAGACCATAGACAAGACCGGCGCAGACGTCGAAGTACCTGATGACGACCAGGAACCTGGAGACGATGAGATCGATGCCTTGTTACCAGTAGAGTTCCCTGCATTGGCTCCTCATGGTCCGCTCGCTATGAGTGCAGGAAGAAAAGGTGGACGAGAGTGGGCTCACATGGTCGACATCAATCGCGATATCACCAACTTTCGGGAGCTCGTGCCAGATATGGCGCGCGAGTGGCCCTTTGAGCTTGATACCTTCCAGAAAGAGGCAGTGTACCATCTTGAGCATGGCGATTCAGTGTTCGTAGCTGCACATACGTCCGCCGGTAAGACAGTGGTTGCAGAGTATGCGATCGCACTTGCTGCGAAGCATATGACGAAAGCAATCTACACCTCTCCTATCAAAGCTCTCAGTAATCAAAAGTTCCGCGATTTCCGCCAAACATTTGATGATGTGGGCATTCTTACGGGAGATGTGCAAATCAGGCCCGAAGCTAGCTGTCTTATCATGACTACCGAGATTCTCAGAAGTATGCTGTACCGGGGAGCAGATCTGATCAGAGACGTAGAGTTTGTCATTTTTGATGAAGTACATTACGTCAATGATCTGGAGCGAGGTGTTGTCTGGGAAGAGGTCATCATCATGCTGCCGGAGCATGTGACGCTCATTCTACTATCCGCCACTGTCCCCAACACCTACGAGTTCGCGTCCTGGGTGGGTCGAACGAAGAAGAAAGACATCTACGTTATCTCTACCCCGAAGCGTCCAATTCCTCTCGAACATTATCTCTGGGCTGGGAAAGGCATCCACAAAATTGTCACAGCAGACAAAAAGTTTATCGACAATGGTTGGAAAGACGCGAATGATATCTTGTCCGGAAAAGACAAGGTCAAGGCACCTCCTGCAAATGACACTCAAACTGGTAGAGGCGGTGGCGGTCGTGGAGGTCCACCTGCTAGAGGGGGCCAGAATCAACGTGGAAGAGGTCAACCGGGTGGCGGTAGAGGAGCGCCCCGTGGTGGAGGACCTCCAGCTACTAGGGGCCGTGGTAACATTGCAAGGACGGGCCGCGGTGGAGGCCGAACCACAGCCGCGCAAGATCGAAACATCTGGGTCCACCTCATACAGCATCTCCGGAGCAAAGATCTTTTGCCTGCTTGTATATTCGTCTTTTCCAAGAAGCGATGTGAGGAAAATGCCGAGGCGCTTTCGAACATCGATTACTGTAACGCTGCAGAAAAGAGCGCGATACACATGACCATCGAGAAGTCACTGGCTAGGCTGAGTAAAGAAGACCGTGAACTTCCCCAGATTAAGCGTCTGAGGGAGCTGCTTAGTCGAGGCATTGCCGTCCATCACGGCGGCATGTTGCCTATCGTCAAAGAGGTTGTAGAGATCCTTTTCGCCAAGACACTTGTCAAGGTCCTCTTTGCTACGGAGACTTTCGCCATGGGTCTCAACCTCCCCACCAGGACCGTTGTATTCTCTGGCTTCCGCAAACACGATGGGCGCGAGTTCCGGGACTTGCTCCCTGGCGAGTACACTCAGATGGCCGGCCGCGCAGGACGACGAGGACTGGACACAGTTGGTACTGTCATTATCTGTGCGCCCGGAGCCGATGAAGCACCGCCAGCAGCCAGACTCCGTCAGATGATGCTCGGAGAACCGACGAAGCTCAGATCACAGTTCCGCCTTACATACAACATGATGCTGAACCTTCTACGTGTAGAAGCTCTGAAGATTGAAGAGATGATCAAACGAAGTTTCAGTGAGAACGCCACCCAAGCGTTGCTGCCAGAACATCAAGGCAAAGTCAAAGTCTCAGAAGCTGAGTTGGAGAAAATCAAGCGCGAGCCTTGTGACATCTGTGACATCGACTTAGAGGCCTGCCACCAGTCTTGCGAGGACTACAAGAGACTGACCAACGAGATGCATTTGAGTTTACTCATCAACCCTATCGGACGACGAGCCCTGGCCAAAAATAGGTTGGTTGTCTACAAGAAGGTACGCCGCAGACTTCCACTCTTGGATTGACTTATTACTAACGCAATCAGGACAACAAACGCACAGCAGGTATGCTGATGCAAGATGGCACTAGCAAAGGCAACGAGCCCACCGTCAAAGTCTTGGAAGTGGCGCAGCACCAGGATCGCAAGCCTGACGACCTTCTGCCATATCTCGGTCCTTTTGCGAAGTTGTTCCGCAAGCTACCGAATAACCCCAAGGATTTGATCCTGAAGACAGCCTACGTACCCCTGAACGACATCGAGTGTTTTACCAAGACCATTATCGATGTTCCTGAGTCTGTCCAGAACCTGGGTCGGTCCAAGTCTAAGGGTGAGTGTGAGTGCAACGGTTTGGGTCCAGCGCTAACAGCCATGCCAGACACGCTGAAGTTGGCCCAAGATCAGTTCCTACCTTTGTGTGGATCTTGGGACTACGAAGACTGGGATGAGTACGATTACAGCCGCATCAAGAGCCTCAAGTTCCGCGAATTGGCGGAAGCCCGCGTCAAAGAGGGACAGAATGCGGTTAGCAAAGAATGCCTGAAGTGTCCAGACTTCTTGAAACACGTACGTGTTTGTGCATGGCTGTGATCTCAACCTAAGCTAACTGTCATAGTTCACCCAGGAGCACGATCAGTGGCTCATTAAAGAAAACATCCTTGCTCTCCGCCAGCTCATGTCAGATCAGAATTTACAGCTTCTCCCTGACTATGAACAGCGCATACACGTACTCAAGGATCTCGGCTTTATTGACGAAGGTTCTCGCGTAGAGCTCAAGGGCAAGGTAGCCTGCGAGGTATGCTTGGCATTCTCGACCAGGTCCATCCATTCACTGACAGCTTTCAGATCCACTCCGCAGACGAGCTGGTCCTTACCGAGCTGGTTTTGGAGAACGTCCTCGCCGAGTACGAACCGGAAGAAATTGTCGCACTACTCTCGGCCTTTGTCTTCCAAGAGAAGACCGACGTAGAGCCTACGCTAACAGCGAATCTGGAACGTGGTGTCGCAAAGATTGTTGAGATCTCTGAGAAGGTCAACAAGATCCAAACCCTGCACCAAGTCATCCTCTCCGCAGATGACTCGAATGACTTTGTCAGCAAACCCCGCTTCGGCATGGTCGAGGTGGTGTATGAGTGGGCACGAGGCATGTCATTTAATCGCATAACAGACCTGACAGATGTCATGGAAGGCACTATTGTCCGCGTCATCACCCGGCTAGACGAGACGTGTCGCGAAGTCAAGAACGCCGCTCGGATTATCGGCGACCCGACTCTGTTCCAGAAAATGGGGACGTGTCAGGAACTCATCAAACGGTATGTGCTCTACCCATTAGTTTCTCTTGTGTTCCGTATCCGCGCCGGCGGGTTACGCTCTGGTGTTTGGGATTGCTGGGATGAAAACTGACAAGCGTTTGAAACAGGGACATTTGCAACTGCGCAAGCTTGTATCTGTGATCGTACCATGTTAATGTTCCAGAACAAGACGATCTATCCTGGTCCTTGGGTTGGGTGGGGTAATGTGTTTCAAGTGCCAGCAGTTTCGACGGAAGGATGTGGGGCCTCAGGACATTTTGTTGCGCGAGTCACGCCATCTGGACATTGGGATCGACCGGCTTTCGCTTATCGGTTTCATACTCCGTCTTTTAGTCGTGTCTTTGGGCGTGGCATAAACATTAAGAATTGGGCAACTGCATTGTCGGACGCGACTGCATGCGGGGTAGATAGTTGTGGGCTTAGCTATGATGAGTATCTACCATTGCAACAAAGGACAAAATTTTTGGACGACTACATACCTGTGCATAACTTAAAATCTGGAACAAAGGTCCTATTGTCTTCGTCCACCCTAACAAAAGCTATAAGTCCAACTATTAGTTCCGATATCAGTTCCAAATACCTCAAAAACAGTTGGCATTACCATACGTTTTCAGAAAGTAGGACTACTACCTATGAAAGCACAGCGTCAGGCCGCTTCTACTCATCATCCACACAACTTCTGCTTATGTTTCAGAACCTTAGGACACAAAGTCGATGTGCTTGTCGGCCCCTCGCGCTTTCCCACTTAAACACCAAAACATACTCACAGCCATATTATGTTCTTGTGCTTCAAAGTCTGCAGTGATAAGGACATGTTTTGCTGGAGACCAGACTACTATCTATATAAAGTACGACCGGTCACTTCTACTCTTCACCTACAACCTTCTTTACTATGTATCAAAACCACAGAACTAGAGTGGGATGCGTGAGGCTGTTCTCCGCGCCTTTTCTCAAAATCAAATACTATCTCCAGCCTTACATGTTTTCGTGGTCTAGAGCGGCTCAAATGCACGGATATTGCGTATGCCTGTTTTCCGAAAGGATCTCAAAAAGCAATAACACCGTTCGCCAGTCTTTATCTTCATTGGTGAGCAAGAAGGCCATCTTATCTTTTGGCAGCGCCTAGCTCTCACATATAAAATGTCGTATCGCTGGATATTACTTTTCTCTTCTACGTCACACCATCTAGTTCTTAAAAGGCCCGACATGCAAAGTGCTCATGATCGGACGTTCTTCCTTAGTCTCAAAACAGACTCGAAGCTGTCTATGGTCCCGAGCACTTTTCCAGCGGTCTCAGAAACGAATCAATCATATTGATGAAACTACGGCTTGCCGGACTGCGATATCACGCAGCTCATACAACAAAAGAATACAGCGACATACCATGTTCGTGGTGTGTGAAGCGTTACATCAGCTTCAGCGTTGGAACACGACGGTATTCTTCGTGATGTGAGAAGTTCTGTGCTCGCTATCAACTGAGAGATGCGTATATAAACAGCTGCTTTCTTCGTTGTCTACTCCTTTTATTCACCTACACCTGTCTTCTTGTTCTTCAAAAGTATCTCAAAAAAGATTACATGAGACCAAGTCTTCCTTCCTGTCTTCGGACTCAAAACTGAAAGCCTCAGACACAAGATCTATGTTACCTTCCTGCGCTCCGTCTTTCTTCAAGATACTCCGTTTAACAGCTCCCGCGCTAGCTGGTGGTACGGAGACGTGTGTATAAATGACTACTTGCGTCGCCCTCTACTCTTCTCCTATACCTACAAACTTCTTTTTGTTCTCCAAAATGACATCAGCATGGGACCATGAGATCGAGCCTGTCTTTCTTTCTTCAAATTTGGACTCCAAACCCTGGGTCCAAGACTCCATGTTGCCATCTGCGCGCCAAAACCTTTTATTATTTCACAAAAATGTCAAGCCTTGAACCCATGATTCTGCGCGCCTTTCTCAATCTATCTACGGAATTTGAAAGGTACCTCTGAAACAAGAAAGGACATTTTTCATGAATGAAGACGGCGTCTCACTGTGTATAAATAATCTCTTGCTTCCCAACCTTCTCTTTTTCTATATATCCATCTCCTTTTTACTACCAATAAGAAAAGAAAAGAAAATGAGCTCAAGTCCACAAGACTGAGGCTTCCCTCCTGTCTACCGTGGCCCAAAGCCACATTCGAAAAGCCTACGAACGTGGGCTATGTTACTGTTCTGCATGGGAGCATTTCTCCGAATTACAAAATCTTCTTCTCCAAAACCCACATACTCACTGTGAATAGCCTAACTTTTCCTCCTAGTACTCTTTACGCCTCTGAAAAATGGTGCGCGATCATCTGATGTCGTTCTTCTGCGCGAAACGGTTCAATGCCGACGAATTACGCATCGAAAGTTTCTCGTTGTCCTCCACAGCCACTACACAACCAAGCAAAATCGAGGACAGGGAGAGAGAACACATATGCCAATGCCACTGCGGACATGTATCCAGCTGGTATCTTCATCTTTCCTAGTTCTACATGAACGGTTAAAAATAAATAAAAAAGACCTTTGAAAGCAACTAACATGTACACATTACGCCTTTTTCAATGCAATCCTACACCACCCCACACCACCACGACGATTCTTTCAAAATCACACTTAAACCGCAACCTCGTCCTCATCTTCAAAATCTTCGGGCACTTCTTCGGGGATGAGTACGTTTTCCGGTCGATCATCATCCTCCTCCTCATCCTCCTTCCCCCCACTATTACCGTTGGCTTCCCCCATGGTAATCTCCCGCGTGGGCATAACGCCCCCATTTGCTTTCATAACCTCCACCTTCGCCTTGGTCATCTCATAAACATATTTACCCAGGTGTTCCACGTCTTCCATGACCGCCTCACCTTGCACAGCATGCGCCTGCTCAACTGGGCGTTGCGTCTCACCGAACATTTCGTCCGTAACGAGCGCCAGTTTATCAGGCCGCTGAAGCAAGATATCGAACGCGGGTTTAAGCTCAAAGCAAGATTCGAAAACGGAGCGGCGGCCAAGAATGTAAAGACCCAGACGTGCGCGCGAGAGGGCAACGGTGAGGCGACGGATATCGCGGAGGTAGCCGATGGCGCGGGTACGCACGAGGGAGAGGATGACATCTATTTGTAAAACACATTAGCCACCCATAAAAAATAGACCTGCCAAGGGGGAAAGGGGATAAAAACTCACAGTCATTCTGCTCTCCCTGATACTTATCCACCGTCGCCACAATCCTCGGTCTGCCAAAAAGCGGGTTGTTCTTGCACTTGTGCCCCAGAACATCATTTATCAACGATCTCTGGCCAGCGTAGGTGGTAAGTATGGAGATTTTGTGCGCCGGGTACCCGAGTAATCGCATGTACATAAATAGCGCAACCGCATACTCCGCCTCTCCCAGATTAATCATCCAGTGCGGTGTGGGTTGATCTTCACCTTTGCCTTTGTAGTCCTGAACATCGATGAACTGGTACTCGTGCTTAAAACCTGGGTTGGCGACTTGAAACTCGGGTTTGCTAAGCACCGCCGGTAGATTCGATAATGAGGGGTACCGCCACTTATACAGCTCTGCGATGGAAGGCCGGGCACGACCTTGCTGATCGAGCATGATGGTCGGTACACCCAATCTCACAAGCCTCTGGAACAAAGATTGCTCTAGGTTTGCGTACTGACGGAAAGCGAGGTTCTGTATTACCGGCGAATTTTGAAGGTGGTCGCCGACTAGAACAATACGCTGGAGCGGGAGTTCTCGTTCGCCCTCCTGTTCCCGCGGGTTCTGCAAAGCGAGAGGAATGAAGTTTTCTATCTCGGTAATTTGAGCCGCTTCTTCCATTATCACGTTGTCGTAGTGGAAACCTAATCCGGCTATCTCTTGGCGCCGCATCGCAGCGTGGGTTGATGTCATGGCGATGATACGAGCTTCTTTTACGAGCAAGTAGTTTGCTTTATCACGTGGGTTGCGCAGGATCTCGAAGGGGCGGATGTCCTCAAGCTCGGTGAAGATCTTCTCGACATGGCGGTAGCAACCTTGTGCGATTTCAAGGATTTGTTCGCGGTCTGCGGCTTGGGGGAAGAGAGGTTGCGGTGCGCTGGAGAAGTAGTCCCTGAAGGGGAACTCGGTGATTATCTGCTCGACGCTGGTGTCAGAGGAGGAAACGCTGTCCCAGTATTGCGTCCATGCTGGCTTCACGTAGACAAGATTGAAATAGTCTGCTGTCTCGCACGAGCTACCATGAGCACCAGGTGCACCAAAGTTCTTTGCCAGACGATCAACTTCAGACAGGTAGTACTGTCCTCTCTCGAGGAACGACTCCACACGTCCGTGCTTGCTGTAGCTCACATCAGTCTCCAGATCCTCCTCACCATGACCCAAGCGCAAAAGGTGACGCTCATCAATGTCAAGCGCCACAATCTTCTGGAAGAGCTGGTTAAGCGCCTGATTGCTGTGCGCGACGAGCAAAGTCCGCTGGTCCGGGAAGTTGTGATATATATTGGATATAATCTGGGTCGCAACGTCCGTCTTGCCGGTACCCGGGGGTCCGAGCACCACCGTGAGACCAGGTTGGGTTCCAGAAGTGATGGCTTCAATTTGGGCTGGCGTAAATCTGACCGCATTCAGCTTCGGCGCGTCTGCAGGGTATGGCCCCATGTTCGGTGGTTTGTACGAGGATACGTGAAGCGACTCATGCAGAGGTTGTGCAACTTCAACCTGGTCACGACGCCGCTTTTTGGACGCTCGAGGAGGTGCGATTTTTGGTTCGGCTGCAGCAGCGTACTCCACTACGTATGGTGGTCCAAAGGATGTCTGCGCTTCCTCGTGGGGTTCGATGGACTTGCCAGGCATAGACTCAATCAGGTGCTGCCAGTCCAAAAAGGTATCGCGGAAGTCTATCTTGTTCAGTCGATTGGGAAGGCGCTTGTATGTTGCGGATGCAGGATCACCGTATCCTAGGAAGACCTCCTGGAGCCAGGATGGTGCTGGGATGTCCGAGAGCGTCAGGCGCTTGATGGACTCAAGGATGGGTAAGAAGTTGTTCTCCCGTCCTTTCCGACGGACAATGAGGTTGATGTGCTCGTAAACATTGGGCCTTCCTTCGGCAGTTTTGTCCATGTCGATCTTGTATTGCTTCGCGTCTATGTTGACAAGGAGCCGTCGTTGGCGTACCCGAGGTCCAAAGCCATCGTCACGGGCTGATTCGCGTAGAGGCCGTCCTTTGTCGTCCAGAACTTGAACCACCTGGGCGCATCTCATCCGGTGCAGGCCGAGCTGCTCGCCAGTGGTGACATCTTCGCGGTGACCGTTGCGCATGGGCATGTCATCTTTACCCTCGACAGCAAGAAGGAAGACTACATCATCCGGTCTGAGCTGTTCCCAGTCCCTTCGCACTGGGTATTGGAGACGACTGACATCTAATATAATTTCTGCACGAACGTACGCAGGATGCTCCTCGCCGACCTTGGACGGCGCTACGTCGACGATAGCAGGCTTCATGATAGGCAGTGACATCTTGGACACACCCCCAAACTTAGTGTTGACGCCTCTACCCTTGGGTTTTATGCGCTTGACTACGTCCTCCATGTCCTTCCGGATACCATAGAAAGATTCAGCGCGGTACAGAATGAAGGACCTCCACAAGAAATCGCCCATGGTCAGGTACTGAAGGTTCAGCTTAGGTATAGCGAGCGGTCTTGATCCGTCGTAGGACTCGTTTCGCAGGAAGGTGGTCTCATAGAGAACCTTCTCAGTTGGCAATACTGGCATCTCGCGAACGTTGTCTTTGAAGGTAGGGCGCTGTTCGACAAGGGCAATCAGGGTTTCCATATAGAAAGCTCGGTCTCGCACCAGGTAGGTTGTGGTGGGGTACTCTGTCCGTAGGCCCATGAGAGAGCAGAGCTCCATGAGCTCACTATCGCTCAGTGTGCGCAGATGGCCGTCCAACTCTTCCCGGTTTCCAATGCTGCTGTAGTTTGCCAGAGCCATCAACTGAAGCTTCTCTTGAAAAGCAGCGTAACCTGTTCGCTGCAACTTTGCCAGAATGTCGTAATGCTGTTGGTCGTACTCCAGCTTCGACAGTTGCCTGCCTGTTTGGTCTTCGATGGGGAAGTTGGTGAAATGACTCAGCAAGTCGAAGAGGTCCCGGAAAAGGCCGTTATCCTCGTCTGTATACATGGGCGACAATCGAATAGCTGGCAGCATGTTCAAGTCCTGCAGCAGCGTATTGACATATCTCCTTGTTGGCAGCTGGCTCTGCAGGTCTATCAGAAATTCCATGAAGCGCTCGCAGTAGGCCATGTTGTCCCTAGCCTCTTCCCTGACGGTGCTGTTGTATAGCCGGTCGATAAAATCCAGCAGGAGTGTGTAGATCCATGACCGCTCGAACCGTAACCTCGCCTGCAGCACTTCATCGCCAGCATCGAACCGCTTGGACGCGGCTCTCCATGCCTTGCGCAACATGCTGTGTTCCTCAAAGTATTGTTCGCGCACGGCTTCCGAATGGAGATTTTGCCATATCGATATGCCGACAAGAGGTGCGCACTCTTTTCGCACAAGACCGCTGTCTAACGATTGGAAGGCGCCGATGACGAAGGATATAAGCTGTGTCCGGATCTTGCTCGGTTGCGACGGGTCTACGGTCATGGATAGTATGCGGCGGAAGAAGGAGGAGAATTCGGCGGGTTTGCCAGCGAAATGATCTAGGCAGAGTCAGTACATGTTATCCAATACCAGCTGTTACAAATAGCAACTCACCCCAGGATGTCAGATTCTCCCTCCTCTTGACATTAACCATGAGCGCCACCAGCAGGACGTGGTAATTCGATGCATCTTCGGTGAAGCCAGGCCACAAATATCTCTCCAGAAGCTGCAGGTTCTCCAGAATTAAAAGCGACGAGTATGCGAAGTCGGCATTCTCCAGCTCATCCCATAGCTCTTTCTTCACCACTTCCGGCCGCACTTTAGGTGTCTTCTTGGCGGCAAGCCAGTTCTTCCTCGCTACCTGCGCGAAGTGATTCTCTCCATGCAAGTCGGCGACGGTAGGGCGGGCGTGTACGTTTGACGAATCGGTCGCATGCGCAGCGGACGCGCCGTCAATGTCATTCTGCGTTTCCAAGCCCGTAGGCTTGATATCCTCCATATCGTCACCTTTCATAGCCATGTTCGCAATTGTCGTCGTTGTAGTGCGCACGTAAAGGGGACCGCGCGCATTGTTGTCGCAACAAGTAAACCGAGAATGGGTGATGGGGTGTGACGCGCCAAGGAAATAAAAGTAGTTGCAATGGCGTCGGCGCGCGGAAGCTCAGAGCGCACTAGCAAGGCCAAAGCCCGCATGCGGCACTTGCCGTACCGCCGTTCGAACCTCACTTCGCGAACAACGCCCAGACATATCTCCGCAGTAGCAGAGACAAGTCAACACCAACATGTCTTCGCAGGACGCCGCTGTCAGGCACCAGGCTGTTGTGCCGGACAAGATCCCCACTGGAGAGTATCCTGTAAGTCAATTGCCGAGACAATCCACGCGCAATGGGTGGTGGTAGCTAATTCATGGGCAGCTCATCGACAATGACCCGTACGCTCCCCCTACGATATCCAATGCATGCGCATACTGACTATAGACGAAGACACTTTAATCGAGTCATGCGGTATACCCGCCCTTCGGACTGGGCCTACGGTGCCGCGCTCGGAGCCTTGAGCCCTGGACTGATGCTATACTGGGAGAAGGTCTCGCCCTCCATGGTCGGCAAGGGCGGTTTCGCTCCCATTATGCGATTGAGCGGTGCCGTCGGTGTTAGCGGAGCCTTCCTTTTCGCCTACTCGAGGTCATGCAGTATGTGCAGCACTTCCAACCACCCAAACACACAGGGCAGGCATAGGACCAGATACTAACATACTCAACAGTGCGCTTCTACGGCGCCCGTGAAAACCGCCGCGAAGTCGAAATGGACATGCGGGAAATGGTCGACAAGGTCAAGAAGGGCGAGCCTCTGTACGGAACCACCGAGATGACCGAGTACATGCAGGGTGTTGCACACAGGAACTCGCGTTATGCTGCCACATTTGCACATGTTCTTACATGGCCAAACTTTGTCAACCATCCTTACCACGGTGTGGACACGGCCAAGTACTACCGCCAGGCCGAGTTGGAGCTGGAGCAGGAGAGAGGTCAGGGCCGGTAAAACGTTGGGACAGCAGTTTCCTTTGTATAGGCGGATGTACATAAGTTCCGATAGGTCAAACATCACGTTCTGAGTGCACTATTCTTTGACTTTACCAGATGATATTTGCAACTATACAGCAACACCCAGCGCCGACCACGACACTTTCTATCTGTCAGGTGGATCTACAATTCCCATATGAGGGTGTACTGCAGCCCAAAGGTATACACTGTCTTCACGGTTTCCTACATTGATATCATAGAAGTTCGGCGACACTACATCACATAAAAGGCCAAGAACATTGCCTTCCACAAGGCCAGCGGCACCAGTCTCTTCTACTATGACAATGTGGACTTCGGAGATACCAACATGCAGAGCTTCCGACTTGGAGGCTCCGAAGGCATGACGCAGGACGATAGCCTATTACAAGAAAAGCTTTAAAGCTTAACATCATTGTAGACTTCTAGAATATCTACAAATTTTATATGTTACTTTGCTGCGCTTTATGTAGTAGGTAAGAGGGAAGAGCTTGTGTGCCAAGAGCTCGACGCCAACACGCTCGTGAAGATACTCGACGAGCATCGGCTCCACGGGTGGACTGCTTTTGACAATGTGAGGTTCATGTGCCGAGCAAGCCACCAACTCGCCCCAAAGACCGTCGCCGGCTACGCCACTTTCATAATAGAGGGTTCGCCTATGTTAAGAGGTCTTGTGTATAAGGTACTAATGCACGTAAGAGACAGAAAGCGAGGAAAGCTCCTCATCACCGAGGAGAACCCTCTCTTAGCATAGTGATGGGATCTAACGCTGAATTTGATCGGATTCCGCACTCTTACCTTCCACAGCGCCTTGACCGCAGCCGAGCGAGACAAGCGGATCACCCGATTCAACAAGCTAGGAGACGACTTGCGAGCCGTAATCTTACCCTACCGGGTAGGTGCATTGGGTAGCAATTGCCAGGGTGATTGCTCCAGGGTGATTGTCATGTCCTGCGCGGGGTGTTTATAGGACTCACGTTTCGCAGCTGACAGCCAAGCTCTAGGAATGTGCTGCTCATGACTATGAGGATATATTTTACCTAATCTCGTGAATCTACATTCAGTCCTCTAGAATAGAGGCACCTTGGCCTAATGGTAAGGCGTTGCTTTCCGGTGGCAAAGATTGTGGGTTCGAGTCCCACAGGTGTCGTTCTTTTTGACTTTCTTACCGTCTTTCCTTTTTGCACTTTTTGTCTCTTTTTGCCTTTTTTCATCTTGGACTTTTGGTCTTCTTGTCGCTGTACGACGTTCATGGACCATAAGCTTTGATCACTAGTCCAAATCTAGTATAGTTCGAAAGCCCTGGGCTTCCCGCAACAGAGCGCTTTCGTATGAGACTTGTGGCTCACGCATCCGAGGTCGCGTTCGGCGCTTGGAAGGCATACCTAAGTACCCTTGCTCCTGGCATCCGAGCTTCTTCACCAGCACCCGCAAATCGCCATATTCTTTTGTTGCACTAGAAGCTATTGAGTCTAATTACAAAGCTCCTGTGCCGCGAGTTGAATCCTACGTTGTTCCGACTCGACAATCGCATGTCATGTTCACGGTAAGAGCACTTCGGTGCGTTCATGTTCCAAATGTCGCCCGACGTACCACGCTTCATCCATCGTACACAAAGGTCGGTTCAGGCACAAACTTGAAATTGTTCAAGTAGTTAAGCAGACCACTAGGCTTCAATCCGTCTAAATTCATCATCTGCCACTAGCACGACTGAAGAGCAAGGCACTCAACATGACGCACAAACCGAGGTTCCACAGCAAGAGAAGGTTAAAGAGCTCAGACCCCTCACACGTCAACTCAACGCCTACCTTGGTGTAGAGAATATGAACAAAGCCAAGGAAATGAGCAAGCTCACTCGTAAGCTAGGCTATGAGCTCAACCAGATCTATGGTCGCCAGCGTATCCTCAATAGATGGTTGAAAGGCCCATACAGAGTGCGAATTGGAACTCAGCCCTCCTACAACACTCCTCGCCCCGAGATCCATGAGAATAAGCTCTTCGTCGGCGAGACCCCGATCCCGAATATCTGGTTGCGGGATAACTGCCAATGCGGAACTTGTATGCACAACGCCACCAAGCAACGACTTCTCGATACGTTTTCTATTCCCAAAGATATTACAATCAAGTCACACTCTGTCGAGGGTAGCGGAGAGCATAAAGCTTTCAGAATTGAATGGAGCGATGGGCATGAAAGCAAATACCCACGTAATTTCCTAGCCCAAATCACCTCCAACGAAGACTACAAGGCCATCCAGCGCCAGGGTCTGGTACCAATCGAACTCTGGGACTCATCAATCGCCTCGAACCCACCAAAAGTCCCAAACCATATCGTAATGAGAAAAGACACCATCCGCCTCCTGAAAAACTTACGCAAATGGGGCTTCTGCTACGTCGACGAAACACCCTTTGAAGACCCCAACGACACAAAGGAACTTCTAGAACGCATCTCCTTCATACGGGAAACGCACTATGGCGGTTTTTACGACTTTACAGCCGACCTAGCATCAAAGGATACAGCATATACCAACATCGCCCTAGAAGCCCACACAGATACAACTTACTTCTCCGACCCAGCGGGCCTGCAAGCCTTCCACCTACTCTCGCATACCGACGGGGAAGGCGGCGCATCCCTGCTTGTCGACGGCTTCAAAGCAGCTGAAGAGTTGAACCAAACAGATCGTAAAGCGTATGAGATTCTATCCACGGTGAACGTCCACACCCACGCGTCAGGCAACGAGGGTATATCAATCCAGCCCTACCGCGGCTTTCCCGTTCTGGAACACGACTCTGCTACAGGGGATCTACTGCGTGTAAGGTGGAATTCTTCCGATAGAGCCTCGATCGAATTACCTATAGATCAGGTCGAAACGTGGTATGATGCAGCCCGCAAATTCGACGCGATTCTCAAGAAGAAGGAGAATGAGTATTGGGAACAGCTTGTACCTGGGAGGGTTTTGATCTTTGATAACTGGCGAGTGCTACATGGCCGAAGTAGCTTTACGGGGAAGAGGAGGATTTGTGGTGGGTATGTTAATAGAGATGATTGGATTAGCAAGTTTAAGATGCAGGAATTTGGGCAGGAGAACGTGTTGAAGGGGTTGGCTCTGAACTAGTCAAATCATTTCTGTTTTCGTCTTCGTCTTCGATGTCCGTTTCCGCGTCCGTGCCGGCGTCATTTAAATCGATCATCCCTCCGAGAGTGCGATGCTTGACCTTGCCTTTCGATGTTCGAGGCTAGTTGCGCCTGATGATTCTCATCGAGTTCTCTCACGACAGCCTTCCGCAGCTGTGGTCTAATACTCCAGCAGAGTGACTTGCGGGCAGCTAGTTATTTGTCAAGCCGCTCTGCGAGTTCAGGGAGGTTATACTGTTGTACCATAGACCTAAACTTTGCGTCATTATTGGCAGAGTTCTCATAGGGTATGCTTTCCTTGTCAGATGTTACACCAGCGAGTTGCAACTCTTGAAGCCTGGTATTGACCTCCTCGTAGAGTAACGTGAGCTCCACCTGTTTTCGCGATATAGGCGGGGTGTAGAGGGAGCTGACTCTTGATGCGCTCGTCGATTACTTGTTGTAGCGATCGGTCTCCATCTTGCCTAGCTTGCCACCGCGATGTGTTTGACTGAGAGAAGAAAGTCCGAACTATGTAGTGTGTAATGGAGCATCTATCATGTCTGTACTTGTTCATATTTTTCCTTGTATAGGGTGGAACAAGAATACTGAACACCTTCAGGCTCCTATATACTGTAAGATATGACTCCAGTAATACTTCCTGTAGTCGCCCCGGCGTTGTAGAGGCGGACAACCAAGGCATAGAAACCCAAGCCATCTTCCGACCCATCCGAGTAAGTGGGTTAGAGACGACTACAAGAAGTGCTACTGAAGTTATCCCTCGCAGCACATAGCAACCTAGAGGTGTTCAGTCTCCTTATTTTATTAACCCCCGATGTAGAATATAGTGACTACCTCCTGAGTGAGTTCTCGCAGGAACGTCTTCTTATAAAGTAGCATACCCACAAATCCTAAGCACATGCATACATTACATCTTAAAGAACGGCATCTAAATATTCATATGCAAGATGCACACCACTTCTACAATAAGTTGTTGATGGGTTGTAATGTTCAGCGCGTCTGATCGGCGTTGACAGGTGCCAAGACAATCGGAGCTAAGGTCTCGCTCACCGTGCGTACCTTCGTAATCCATAGCTGCCTCTACAGCTCCACATCACCGCCGCACAACATCAACCTCACCATCGGCGTCACTCACAACAATCACTCTTATACCCGCCTATTCATCTCTGCCAGCCCTACCTTACGTAAAGTCACTCACACAACACCGCCACCATGTCCACGCTCGAAGATCTCGACGACATTGAGCGCCACGAGAAGGAGGAGAAGAAGGACGACGACAAGAAAGACGGAGGCAAGGACGGAAAGAAGGCCGATGGCGATGCAGAGATGCAGGATGCGGAGCCGGAGGAGGAGCAGCTCGACGAGGAGATCCTGAACTCAAGCACACGAGACATCGTCGCGCGGAGGCGGTTACTGGAGAACGACATGCGCATCATGAAGAGCGAGTACCAACGGCTCACACACGAGAAGGCTTCTATGAATGAGAAGATCAAGGATAACCTAGAGAAGATCGAGAACAACAGGTAAGGCATTTACGTGACCGCCGTCGGCCCCGCAGCGAGCCGACAAACGGCGGTGTTTCGAACAGCATATTGACATATCACAGGCAACTACCATACCTCGTCGGAAACGTGGTCGAGATTCTAGATCTGGACGTCACGGAAGAGGCGGCTGAAGAGGGAGCAAACATCGATCTAGACGCCACCCGTGTCGGCAAGTCAGCGGTCATCAAGACTTCTACACGACAGACCATCTTCTTGCCTCTCATTGGATTAGTAGACCATGAGAAGCTCAAGCCCGGTGATCTCATCGGTGTGAACAAGGACTCATACCTAGTGCTCGATACATTACCCGCAGAGTACGATAGCCGGGTGAAGGCTATGGAAGTCGACGAGAAGCCGACTGAGAAGTACACCGATGTTGGAGGTCTGGACAAGCAGATTGAGGAGCTCGTTGAGGCTGTAGTATGGCCCATGAAGGAGGCTGAGCGATTCAAGAAGATTGGAATCAAGGCGCCAAAGGGTAAGTAACCCGTACGCTCATCTCGAGGCTTGTACTAATTATTACAGGTGCACTGATGTATGGCCCTCCCGGTACCGGAAAGACCCTTCTCGCCCGAGCCTGCGCTGCGCAAACCGACGCCACATTCCTCAAGCTCGCCGGTCCACAACTCGTGCAGATGTTCATCGGTGACGGTGCAAAGTTGGTCCGTGACTGCTTCGCTTTGGCGAAAGAGAAGGCACCCTCAATCATCTTCATCGACGAGCTGGATGCTGTTGGTACAAAGCGTTTCGACTCCGAGAAGTCCGGAGACAGAGAAGTACAGCGAACCATGTTGGAGCTGCTGAACCAGCTGGACGGTTTCGCCTCAGATGACCGTGTCAAGGTCCTTGCCGCGACGAACCGAGTCGATGTCTTGGATCCCGCTCTACTCCGTTCTGGACGTCTGGACAGGAAGATTGAGTTCCCGCTACCCAACGAAGAGGCTCGCGCACAGATCATGCGCATCCACTCGCGGAAGATGACTGTCGACGACGCTGTCAACTGGCAAGAGTTGGCGCGTAGCACTGATGAGTTTGGTGGTGCGCAGTTGAAGGCTGTGTGTGTTGAGGCTGGTATGATTGCTCTCCGGACTGGTCACCAGAAGATTAGTCACGAGCATTACGTCGATGCTATTGCTGAGGTACAGGCAAAGAAGAAGGACACGGTCAACTTCTACGCCTAAGGTGTGGTCGGATGGTGGTGGCCTAGCTACTTGCATGCGTGCACTCTCATGCCGGGCTTGTAATAATACTTAGACCTTCAGCATAGTACCATAGCGGAAATGACGATTACGAACAACAAGGGTGGTCTCGATCATTCGCCGTGTCAAATTATTAACCTCGAATATGAATGGCAAACTCTGTCAAGAGATGTGGGCACACAGTACGTCTATTTCAACAACGATAAGATCATGGCTGAGTCAGTTTCAGGCTGGCAACCATGGCTTACAGATGCTCAGACGACGAAGGCTACAACTTCCAGTACCTGACTGTATGAAACTCCCCACGTGGCCAAGCACCACGCCAGCACGTTGCGCCTCATCGATACCACATCCAGCTCAGAATGAACATTTCCCCGATCTCAACTTCTGAGGACTCAACGGGACTCGAAGTCGTGTCGATAGAAGACGTGGAGTGTGGGTCCGAGTCCTATTGAGACCTGGTGAGTAGCGGGCGAATGCCGACATCCTCCGGATCGTCGCTTCGCCCACCAGGTAACCCAAAGTGACTTGCATGCAGGAAACAACGCCGAGCACTGTCGCGGCGTCGCGCTATGCCCACGCGTTCTCGAATGTCCCTGCATTCCCGTCAGTGATTCTAGCACGCCCTCGCTCGATCGCTCTCATTGGCTCCTGACCCAACCAACGAACCTCAACCATCCCAACCTCAACACCAGCATGGCCAGGCACCTCACACCCACGCGCAACAACACTTCCACCCGATAGGTCGACTGACGTCTTCGTCTCTTTGCGATCTGGAGAAACTCTCGGTTCTATCAAGACCCTGCATAGCCGCCTCTAGCGGGGTGTCTACGAGAGGCAGTTCCGTAGCGATTTAGCAACATACTGTGTTTCTGTGGTAGGTTTACAGGCGCTGGTTCTGGATCGCCAGAACATGTGGTGAGGGCTATTGGCTAGTAGGTGTTTGAGACATGAGGACGAAGCCTTGCACAGCGGGGGTGACTCGTCTACCATCATTTGGACATGCAGTATGACGAACCGAAGTCGGAATGATGCTTCGGAATGGCGGTTCTCTTATAACCCCTCCATTGTGTTTGTGGGGTTTCTTCTTTTGCTTTGTTGTTGTCTATCACCCCCTCTTCTTTTTTCTAATCATTGCTCCTCGTTGTCTTGTGTTGTTGTCAAGTCGCAGCTATGCTGGGCCTTTCAACTTTCATTCCGCGTGACCCGTTTCACCAACTTACGGTTACTCTGTGTGTTGTCGGTGTGTTCCTTGCGGTAGTCTTTGCCCTTGCGTTCCGGCCGAAGAGTAAAGATCAAACACCTAGTACGTTTGAAGCATACCTCAAATTCATCTATGGGTGCTTCTTGAAGCCTCATACTGGTGATGGGTCGGGAAGCCAGCAGGATGCTTTAGTATGTTTGCCAGAATAGGCCAAACTTGAATCTCGTTCTGATTGAATGTGCAGGAAAGTTTCTACAAAGCCCAGGCCGATGTTTATGACGCCACCCGCCTTAAGCTTCTCCGAGGTCGTGAGGATATGTTGGGACTGGTCGCTGCGCAGCTGAAGCACCGTACCGAAGCGGGCTTGATCTCGCAGCGACCTGTATGGGTTGATGTATGTAGGAACACATATTCTGCTTGGTTGATATGCTGACAATAATAGATTGGTGGAGGAACTGGTCACAAGTAGGCGCGCAACTGCTAACGTCAAAATGTGCCTCCTAATAATATCTTAGTGTTGAACAAATGAATGCTTTCGTGCCGGTGGCAAGCTTCTTTCGCGCAGTTTGTGAGTTGGACTAGAATCAACAAACAGTGTAAGACTGACGAAAGCAGATGTCGTCGATCTCTCTCCATCACTGTGCGAGATGGCCAGAAAACGCTTCGCCCGTCTCGGCTGGACAAACGTCAAGGTCATTTGCCAGGATGCGCGCGCCTTTCGTCTCCACGAACACGAACCACAAGCGTACGAGCGCAAGGAAATGATCGCCCAAGGCCAAATCGTTCGCGACCTCGACGAGAATGCGGATGCCGGCGGTGCTGAGCTTGTCACGATGAGCTATGCTTTGAGCATGATACCCGAGTTCTACCCCGTCATCGACTCGATTGATAGCTTGATGAGCCCTAACGGCGTTATCGGTGTTGTCGACTTTTACGTGCAGAACCAGGTCGACTTCATGGGCAGGAACTACATGGGTGGTGCTATTGATCGTCACTGCATGTGGACCTCACGTGTATTCTGGCGGACATGGTTTGAGATTGACCGCGTCAATCTTGAGCCCGCTAGACGAGTATGTTGGATACCCTTTTTACGATCACAATTTCTGACAGCTTGTAGGATTATCTTGAATACCGATTTGGTACAGTTCTTAGTATCAACGCTCGCAACAACTTCTTTGGTACTGGTATCAAACTCCCTTATTTCATCTGGCTCGGATGTTCGAAAGAGCATGGCGCGTCTACGCAGAAGCTCGCCGAAATCGATGCGGCCGCTACCGAATCGCCGTACCTCACAGCTCTCGACCTCCAGACAGGAGCTACGCAGACTGATGTCGAAGTACATTCAAAAGCTTATGAGTCGGCGGTCGTGAACCTACAGTCTAGTCTACCTCTGCCGGCGACATGGTACCAGAATCACCACTGGCGTATCCACTACGATTCTGCCCTCCCCAAGCATACCCGTTTCAACAACTCCTACATCTACGCATTCACCTGGGAGGACGATGTAGCGGACATGCGCCTTCTCAAGCCCACTTCCAACGACGTTGTCCTTGCCATCGGCTCAGCAGGCGACAACATCCTAGCCTTCTGTCTCGAGAACTGCCGCCGCGTCCACGCCGTCGACCTCAACCCGTCGCAAAACCACCTTCTCGAACTCAAAGTCGCCGCTTTCACCGCACTCCCTTATAAGGACGTCTGGAAGCTCTTTGGCGAAGGCAAGCATCCTGACTTCCACAATCTCCTTATCCAGAAACTTAGTCCCCACCTCTCATCCGAAGCCTTCCAGTTCTGGCTGCACAATGGGCCCTCTGTATTCTCCTCCAGTTCCTCAAAGGGCCTCTATTACTCTGGTGGCTCAGGCAATGCCCTCTCAATCGCAGGATGGCTCTTCCACATCCTAGGAATGACATCCGACGTGCAAAAACTCTGCGCAGCGCAAACCCTCAACGAACAACGAGAAATCTGGCAACGCTCCATCAAGACCGTTCTCCACTCCAAGATCCTCACCTGGGCCATCCTCGGCAACGAAAAGTGGCTCTGGAAAGCCCTCGGCGTACCACCCGCCCAACGCGCCGTCATCGAAGCTGATTTCAAGAAAACTGACGACTTCGCCGCACCACCGTCATCGCCGTCGCATACAAAGAGGGATAGTGCGGCTGACTACATGGCCTTCCACGAAGAACCTTCGGACGACGCACTCAAGTCAAGTTCTGGCAATGCGATTTACGAATACGTCCTCAACACTTTTGAGCCCGTGATAAACACTACTCTCCTCTCCACCTCAAACCACTACTACCTTCTCACTCTCCTCGGCCACTACACACCAACCTCGCACCCCACCTACTTATCGCCTAAATCCCATCTCAGGCTCTCAAAGCCCGCCGCGTTCAACGGATTGCGTATCCACACGGACGAGATCTCCGAGGTGATTAGCAGAATGCGACCGGGTACTTTGACGATTGTCGTTGTGATGGATAGTATGGATTGGTTTCCGCCCCAGGGAAACCAGGCGGTTAAGCAGATTAGAGCGCTGAATCGCGCGCTGAAGGTCAAGGGGAGGGTTATGTTGAGGAGTGCGGGGTTGGAGCCGTGGTATATCAAGGTGTTTGGGGAGTGTGGATTTGCGGTGAAGAGGGTGGCTGTTAGGGTGCCGGGGAGTTGTATTGATCGGTGAGATTGACTCCTTTTCGTTTTTTGACTCGAGATTGCTAATGATGGATAGGGTCAACATGTATGCATCCACGTGGATATGCACAAAGGAGGTGGGGATTGAACACGAGGATGTCAAGGCGGGGTTGAGGAAGACGAGTTTGGCTGAATTGAAGCTTGAGGCTCCTGCGATGCGTGTGGAGTAGTCGTTTCTCCTTTCCTATCTCTTTTCCCTGTTCGTGGCCTTGTCTCGTAGCGTGGGGTGGCTATTTGTCGTTCCTTCCCTTTGCACATTACAGCTGTTCGCACCCACATTAGTTCGTCTTTGCTAGATACCTAGAATCTTCTCTTAAACGCCTATCCACGTTGAGTGCATGCACTTTAGACATTTCCTGTTATTAAAGATATAGCATCTTGGCTTTCGTCCTACTACGTGTACACATTCATTTTACATCCAACGCGTTATTGTTACCAGCATATCCCTGCCCTATAGCAACTCCGAGTTGCGAAAAATGAAGCTCGAAGTCTATCGCTGGAGCAGGAAACAAGTGCCCATGCCTAAAATAATAGCAACCGCCCATGTCAGCCTTCCGTCCCAAAGCTCAGGACCGTTATCCAACGAAGTGAAAGTGAGGTGGTCTGTCGATAGCGACTTAGTTGGCGGAGTACCGTGTCTTTCCGACGGTGAAGGGGACGTAGCGGTACTTGATCATATGCTGAATCTGTCGGCGCACTACACATCGATGTTAGCCTTGCCCGCATGCCCTCAATCGCCAAGACGATCCACTTACTCGTCAACCCAAAGAGAATCAACCAATAAACCACCAATACGGGCCAGAAAACCGGCAAGTTGAATATCTCAAACCAGCTGCAGAAGAAGCCAATAGTAATTGCCTTGGTCGTTGAATACCAAAACTTGAACTCGGGCAACCTCCTCACAAACGGCCTGAACTCCTGGTCTTCCTTGGTCGGCAGGCCCGATGCGTTCCCGTCCTCCATGCCCTCATCTTGTTCGAGCGCGGGATCGAATTTGGGGGAGAGGAAGGCGAGGAAGAGGTTTAGGAGGTAGATTCCAAGCGAGTAGGCGACAATGTACCAGCCCTGTGCGAAGAAGATGCGCAACCCGAAGAGGAGGAAGAGGGTTGCAGTTCCTCCCCATCGGTAGGGTGTGTATGGCGTTGACTTGTCAAGGTAGGTCTGGAAGATGCGGCCGTACTTTGTCGTTTGCGCTGTCACGGCGCTGAAAGGGGTGTCTGGTTCGGGAGAGTCCATGGTCGCGGTCGTGTTCCACTGGGGTGCAGGGATGGCTGTGATGGGTTTGATGGAGATGGGCGACGGTAATGGTTGTGTTTCCGCGCGGCAACGTGGGAAGAGGCGACGTTCTTGTTGAGGGAATCGTGTCAAAAAGTTGAACGGAACATCAATACGTCGCAAGGCTGGGGCTTAGATCGCCGCCACGACACGCTAGGACCAAGGCAGCGGTCCCCCCTAGCGTAAAGTGGGATGACGGGCATCTTTTGGCGGGCGTTGCGCTCTTTACCGAGGTGCCGATACTACCCACTTTGTATGGTAGCTCTCAGCTCATCCCTACTTCCCCGATGTGAATACACTTTACGTGAGCTGGACTACAAGTCGAAGCTCAATTGATTACACCCAAGATGCAGGCCTTACGATCAGCACCGAGAGCGGCTTCTCAATTCCGGTCAATGGGTTTACCCAGACTCGTGAGGGGATATTCGACGGAGAGGTCATTCGAGCATTTGCTTGTATCGGTGGCTAGGCCTGGTGTTGGTTTGAGTATGTTACTATTGTCCCTATTCGACTACCATCATACTCTCTCCCGAAAAGAAAAGAAAAGTATTAGACTAACGCCCCCAAGTCCAGATCAACCGCCCCAAAGCCCTAAACGCCCTCTGCACCCCCCTCATCCTCGAGCTCAACCAAGCCCTACGCGACTTCCAAGCCGCAAAGTCCATCGGCGCCATCGTCCTGACCGGATCCGAAAAAGCCTTTGCAGCAGGTGCCGACATCAAGGAAATGAAGGACCTCACCTTCAGCGACGCATACGGCAAAGATTTTATAGAATCCTGGTCCGACCTCGTCACCTTCCTCAAAAAGCCCTTGATTACAGCCGTTAACGGCTATGCACTGGGCGGAGGCTGTGAGCTCGCCATGATGGGCGATATCATGTACGCCGGACCCAAAGCCACGTTCGGACAACCTGAGATCAAACTAGGCGTCATACCAGGCGCAGGTGGCTCGCAGCGTCTGACCAAGGCGATTGGAAAGTCAAGAGCTATGGAAATCATTCTCACTGGCGACAATATTAGCGCGCAGCAGGCTAGCGAGTGGGGTCTTGTTAGCAAGGTGTATGAGACGGCTGAGGAGTGTGTTAGTGGTGCTATTGCAACGGCTGAGAAGATTGCGGGGTATAGTCAGATTGCTGTCAAGGCGGCCAAGGAGGTTGTGAACAAGAGCCAGGAGCTTGGTATTAGGGAAGGTGTCGAGTATGAGAGGAGGGTTTTCCATGGCCTGTTTGGCAGCGAGGATCAGAAGATTGGTATGGCTGCTTTTGCGGCCAAGGAGAAGGCGAAGTGGACGAATAAATAGATTTTCATGGTTGAAGAATTAGTGCAACTCGATGAATCGGCTTCGTCTTGAATTACAAGCGTGTTTTGGCGTGATTTGCTTACCAAGAGGCACACTTTCCAGGTTTCACCCAACTACAAGCAGCTTTTCTCGGTATCCTCTGGTAACACAACATGTAATCCATGTTCCAGCACCGTCGTCTCGCAAATATGCATCCCATCTAAAAGAAGCTATGCGTGCCTCGGCACCTCCCGATAAGCTTATCGGCCCGCCACATGATAACCCGCGCGCACGCGTGCATAGATGACGCGAGTCGCATGTGGGGAACCTTGAACACTACTACCATCTGACATGCTGCTGCGAATCCAAACATCTTCCACTCCGCATGTACATGTTGCAACATGGATACGACACCACCATGGCTACGAGACGCCCTCAGATTCGCTCTAACAGCGACCGCATCGACGGAGACCCCATGGTTCGCGCACGACTACGACGCCCTCAGCGCCGGCGGCGGAGGTGACCTTACCAATCCCGACGACCCCGGCAAAGACCCGCGGTTCCGCAAACTGGTCGAGGCCATATTGTTCAGTCGGAGGTTTCTGAATACGTATAATTTGGTGTTGTTGGCAGTGTTGCTGGTTTTCACTGTGTGGCATTGGGGGGAGAAGGTCGTGTTGCACAGGCGGAAGAGACTAAGGGTTGGTACAGTGACAAGGAATGACACAGCGAAGAGAGACAACAGGATTACGTACGAAGAAGATGAAGTTTGGAGTAGCTCGAGTAGTACTATTGAAGGGAATGCGACGCCCCCAGATAACACCGCTGCGAAGAATATAAACGATGCGGATGAATCGAGTCCTCTACTTCCCCCTTCACAGCGATCGCGACCGCAACGAAAGCGTCTTGGAGTATGGCGACCTTACTACATACTCAAATCCTCCCTCCAATACCAACCTCCACGCATACCCATCGTCAACAAAACCCTACCTACCAACGCCGTCTCGCTACTCGTCCTCGCTTGGATTGGCCTCAACATCTTCTACAACCTCTACCGCATGCCGCTCTCCTTCATGTACCTCTTCGTCTTCGCCGACCGCTGCGGAATCATCTTCATTACAAACCTTCCTCTCCTCTACCTCCTCGCTGCCAAGAATCAACCGATAAAATTCTTGACTGGGTACTCTTACGAGAGTCTGAATATCTTCCATAGAAGAGTAGGGGAGCTTGTGTGTTTGGAAGCTTTCCTGCACTTTTTGGGTATGGTGGCGGTGTGGTACGGGTTGTTACGCCATCTAGGTTTCACACTAGCCAGATTCCTCTTCAATCGGGTTGTTCTGCTAGGTTTAGCGGCGCTGATTGCGTATGAGGTGATCTACTTTACTAGTCTTGGGAGCTTTAGGAGGAGATGGTATGAGATCTTCCTGGGTCTGCATATCGTGCTTCAAGTCGCTGGTCTGGTGTTCCTGTGGTTCCATCACCATACCTCTCGACCCTACGTTGGTGTTTCTCTCGCCATCTTCCTGATCGATCGAGTGGTCTACCGGATGTGGTTGAAATCTAGCACTCACCCTGCAACACTCACTATTCTTGCAGACGACGAAACACTTCTCTTATCAGCGAACTGGCAAGTCGACACCAACACCAAGAAAACTGGGGTACTGGCGAAGAACATGATACAAGGTTGGAAACCAAACGAACATATCTTCATATCCGTTCCGAGTCTATCCCGTAAACACGCTATCCAATCACACCCCTTCACTATCTTCTCTGCGGCACCAACAACAACACCGTCAACCCAGAACGGTCAAGATGGAAAGCATGCATGGTTCTCCCTCCTAATTCGTCCTCAAGCCGCATCAGGTTTCACACACTCCCTCCTCAACCACGCACGCACCTCCTCCCATCATCCAACCCAGCAACTGCGAATCCGCCTCGACGGACCCTATGGCTCGTCCCATGCACTCGATGTCCTAGAGTCTTCTTCAACAGCTATTCTAATCGCAGGAGGGTCCGGTATAGCAGTCGCCTACCCCCTCCTATACGCACTCTTACAATCCTCACCCAACGACGATCCAGAGACTACTCTCAAGTCTCCCAGGAAAGTCAGGTTACTTTGGATAACACATTCACCCGACCACCGACTTTGGATCCCAGGGGATAAATTAAAAGAGTTGGAAGATTGGGGACTTGATGTTCTGATTCCGCCGCCGACTAGTCTTGCGGGACGGCCTGATGCTGGTGGTATTATTAGTGAATGGGTCGAGGAGGAGAAGGGAAGGAGTGGTGTTGTGGTTAGTGGACCGGATGGGTTAGTTAAGGATATTAGAAATACGTGTGCCGGGTTGATTGGGAGGGGCGCGGATGTTGATGTTCAGGTTGAGAAGTTTGGGTGGTAGATGTCATTGTTGTTTTAGATGCATGGAGTTGGATCTCGGTTTCGTACACATGGAGTAGGATGGCTTTCGGTTTCGTCATGTATGATAGTCGGGGTATGTTGAGTGCAGTAGCGACTTGGTGTTAAGAGTTTGGACTAGTGCAACTCTCGGGAGCGTTTGCAGTTACTCTTCTGTGCTGCTTTGTTATGGCTCCATCTTTTCGTCCATGACGTCGCGGTTGTATTGAGGTAACTGCTTCGTGCCTTCCGTATCTACCATCTCAAGAATAACATCACCTGCAACAACACCGAGTGGGTAGGTGGTTCTTCTCCGCACACACCACGCACCACGCTACAGTCATGCTAACCTATCCAGATAGACAGAAATTCGTGCAAATCCGCGCTCGGTGGGAGACGATTCGATCAGGTGAAGACGAAGTAGCGACAATGGTAGGCTGGAGAGAAAAGCCGACAGCTCACCAGCCGGTGAGTGGTGAGCCTCAAGAGAACGGCGGCAGCAAATTCCGGAGGAAGCTCAGTTATGGTCTTGCTTTCATCTCAAACCCTCTCTCGCAGCTAAAGACGACTCCGGGACGTCATCAGGTGAATGTGCCGTCATTGGCTGTCACCAAGCCCTCCACGACCGACATTGTTACCACAAACCCCATGTGCGAGACTCTACCTTCCCCAGTGCTTCTGTCTACACCACCTAGGCGCTCCAACGACGCGTCTGAGAAGCCTGCAACAGTCCCTTTGACCAGAATTTTGGCCAAGAGCGCCGATGTAACCACCACACCCCAGCCATTACCTCGATCACGCACACTAAGCTTTATCCCACTCCCGGTCAGGACTGAGCCTAGTTCGTTCGCCGCAGATGTAGAGGGTGCAGTCAAATCCCATTCCCTCGCGGCGATACCTCAACTAAAGCCAGATGTCGTACCTTCGAAGATTCCTACTCCCAGTCCGCCATCGCTGGAGCGTCGTCGCTCTAGTCCACGTCAACATGTTCATCAACACATTTCGTACCGCGCTTCACAGCAAATCAAACACATTGCGACTGCCCACGCGTTGGTAGCCGCCAATAACGGTTCTCCGGTGAAGCACCCATACCAAATGCGCTCACGTACAACACCGAATCTTGTGAAGGCCTCCAATCCATCACAGCCAGCGCGATTCGTTGCCCCAAGACGGCCGGGACCTAGGAATTCTCCAGTATGTCCAAGAGCTCAGAAAACAGTTCTGCAAGAGAACATACCGACGGACATGCGTATTACACACAGGCGGTCACAGATTCAAGAGAGAACGCTAAAGAGGGAGTCACTTGCAGTGCCCGGTACTCTGAAGAACAGAAGATCGTTTGGACCAGGAACACCACTCCCACAGAGCAGGCGACCAAGCTTTGCGACACCACCCACTGCAAGGAATCGGATGAGCTCACAATTTGCACAAAAAACGCCGGTCACTGTAAAGCGCATACAGTCGGAAGAGCAGACAAGGACACACGCCCATGTCTCACCTGAGGCGTCGAAGGTCACAGTGGTGCAGTCTCACGACATGGACCCTCCTATATCAGTTCCCGAGACTGTCCGTGCTGCCAAGCCAGCCTTGCCCCGATCAAATACGGACAGAGACCTGCAGAGGAAGACACTGGGTACACCCAATGGTTTGGGTGGCGTGTGGCGGTCATCACGCGCTTTGGCAGTCACGACACATGAGGTGAGCAAACTTCCTCTTTCACGTACCTTCCACGACTTTGGAACCCAGTGGAAAGTCACTCCACCAGTGCCTCGCATCCCGGAGCAGTACAGGATTGCATCGTTGTCGAATCTCACACAGCCAGTTCGCATGGATCAAGAAAACATCATTCAGTCTCGCCATGACCGTGTTATATCCGATGCGAATTCGTGCGAGTCGATCCCTGAGGAGACCGAGGAAGAAGGGATGGGCTACACCCCCAAACACACATCTTACCAGCCTGGTGGATGGCTCACATCGTCGTTGCAATCCAGTGGATCTAGTGTCAGTCATGCAGCATTCGCCTTAGTACCAACCACAACACCGGAAACTACGGAAAGCGGGTCGGATTCTTCATCCAAGAGGCCATGGAGTGTCATGGATCAGGAAGTATTAGACGTTGCTGACATTGAAATCTTCCAGGTCAAGGATTACATGCCACCCCTTTACTGGGCTGGACGGTTCCAGTCCCGATACGATCAATGGCATACCGATGCGATGGAAGCCGAGCTGAACCCGAATTACCAACCTTCTGGCCCCTTGGGAGAATGCAAACTGAACCAAGACAAGCTCGCGGCGTGCTTGATACAGGGACAATTGCGCGATCTGTGCACTTCTGATCAAGCAGCAGACAGCCTCTGGGTATGCGGCTCCTGCTTTGCGTCAGTCCTTTTACTTTTACTGACTGCACCCAGGAGTTTGAGTACAAATACAGGAAAGACCATAAGCTTCTCGGCAATCCATTTGATATCCCGTCAACGCCATTCCGTAAGCAAGACGACGATGCAACTTCTGCAGGAACTGGAGTTTTCGGACGGGCTATGAGGAAACTGACTCCTCGTAAGGCTAGTCTGGTCAATCTGATGAAGGGTAAAGGTTGGAACAAATCTGATGAGGCGAAAAGCGGCGATGTGTCCGAGCGAAATCAGGAGACGTCCTCGGATTATTCGTGAGTTTTTCTCGATGTTGAAGAATATGAAAGGTTGACGACGATGTTACAACTGAATGATCAAACACGACTATTGAAAGATGATGTTACAATGATACGAATCTCCTGGGGGACAAACGATATTACGATACGCAATGATGAGCATGAGAAGGCACGGGAGCTCGAAACCTCGTTCATAGCACAACGATGTCAGGGTGTGTACAGCGTGATCTGCACAAAACGGACATATTGTTAGATACGCGCTGGAGGAGACAGTAATGTAATTTCGAGCGTAAAACGCGACTCTACTGGACAAAGCGAGAAGCATTGATCGAACAATTTGGCGGCTATGAGCGGCGTCAGCCACCTCATGTATCCATAGCATATGATCAAACGTCTATGTAACGATATGATAATTCATACGAAGTCTTTTTGGTTTCCGATGCGCCTACTCCTTCTTCTCGGGTTTCGGACTCAGTTCCTCAACGATATTGTTGGGATCTTTCCAAGCCAATGCAACGTACTTGGTATGGCTACCTCTAGCGAAAACTTCGCCTTTGCTGTTGCTGAAGTTGATTGACGTAAATGCAAGGGTTTTGCCGACTGTTGTGCATGTGATCAGCGAAGACGTAGTTCAGATAGGGGCGTGTGACTGGAGAAGGGAAAAGGGGGAAGGGGACATAATGGGCAGAAGACAAGGGGAGATTTACATTTATCACACGTTACTTCAGCTTTGATCAGATCTCCGATTTTGCCGCCAGAAGAGAGGTAGGTTACATTCAGGTCGGTGGATACGCCGGTTGCGAAAAGGCCGCGCGAGGCTACTGCTAGAGAGCCGCCGAGGTCGACTGTAAAGTATTAAATGCTAAGCTGCCCGTTTGTACATGGCTATGTCTTACCCATGCTAGCTATGGTGCCGCCATGGAGGATGTTCAGCCGGTTCTGGTGAGGCACGTCAGCTGCTAGTGATGTTTGAAGACAAAATAGATGATCATTCAGTCTGGAGATGAGAACGAGGTATGGGTACTTACTGTATGTTCCTTCTGGATGTCTAGCTCAAACTTGACGCGTCCTGGGACTGCCGAGGTCACTCGTAGCTAGACTGTATTCAGCTCAATTCGAACACGAGACTTTTGGAACTAGCTGACATACACCGTCTAGTAGTCTTTGCGTTAATTTATCAGCTATGTGTATACAATTGCTAGGTGATTGCAGTACCTTGGCTCCAGGCCGGAGTTGGCTCGGAATGATTCCCAGACCTAGCACTGTATTAGAACGACTGCCGAGATTGACTGAATACAAATTCATGGACTCACAGATCTAACAAACTTCAGCGCCGGCATGTTTACAACCTATCTTCTTGATGTGCGAAGAGTGATGTCGTTATTTCCGCTCGGCAGTTGACGATGTACCTCGGAAGCTAGACAGGGGTGGAGCGGAATTTGTGGGGGGAGCTTTCCGCTTGCTCGGCGCGTCATCTACTTTCTTTGGCTGCCTACCATCTGCGACTGCGACTTTACTTGCGCAGACTAAAGGCGCGACGCACGCGTCTCCTTCGCCCGATATCGCGATACCTGGTTCTCCGAACATGATAATACGGCGGTAGACCGACAAACTCTCCCCCACATCCCCCACGATGTCGGCTTCGTCTTCTACTCAAGCGCTGGAATACCTTGAGGGTCTGCCTATTGCTACACACAAGAGGCTGTATGAGCAGCCGTCGACTGTGTTGGCGGTGTTCCGCTGCATGCTTCCGCATCTCGGTGAGTGTGATTGTCGTAGCAGGTGTGAGCATGGCTGACAAAGTCACAGCCAAATCTATAGTCATGGCGATGCTTTACAGGTCCTCATCCTTCCCCGTAGCCGACCTTGACGCCTGGTTCAAGCCTTCTGCTCGTAGAGAGAAAGAACAGGCGGTCTTTACCCTCGAACGTCTACACATCATCGCCTCCACGAAACAGGACGACGGTACCTTGTCATGGACGATCAGCACAGGCTTCCAAAAGAGCCTGCGAAACGCCCTCGAAGGCTCCGGCACACATCGTTCGTTTGGTGTTCCAGCGACTAGAGAAGAGAGCGGCGGAAAGCGGTTAAGCATAGACTTTCTAGACGAATACTCGAGATCGCAGTGGGAGGGTATACTGTACTACCTGGTGAGCGGTGCGGCCGGACTCAGCAAGGACAGTATCTCAAGAGCAGAAGTTGGCCCTGGAACGAAGAAACTGTTGCACACTGGAGACCTCGTGAGGACTGTGCATGGGAGTCCAAGGATCACAAAGGATGGTTTCTCTTTTGTGCTACAAGAGACGAATGCGCAGGTCTGGAGTTTGCTGATTGTCTATCTGAAGATGACGAACGAAGTAAGTATTGAACCTGATCCCTTCGACGATCATCCTCTTTGAGACCAGCCGATACCTATGAGAACCGATCCTAACATTACTACGTAGCTCGGCATGTCTGAAACCGAAGTCCTGTCCTTCCTCTTCATGCTCGGTTCCCTCGAACTAGGCCAGGACTACTCCACCTCCACTCTCTCCCCCACCCAATCCCAAATGCTCGAAGACCTCTCCTCAATGGGCCTCATCTACCGCTCGGACAAGAACGCACGAACCTTTTATCCCACGCGCCTCGCCACAACCCTTACCTCAGACTCCGGCAGCGCCATGTCCGCTTCCTCCAACGACATTGCGCAAGCCAACCAAGGCAACGCGGGCCCTTCGGCAACCGCAAACAAAGGCTTCATCATAATCGAAACAAACTACCGTCTCTACGCCTACACAAACAGTCTGATCCAGATTGCTATTCTCAGTCTCTTCACAAAACTCCAACACCGCTTCCCCAACCTCGTCTCCGGTAAACTAACCAAAGAATCTGTCCACAAAGCCGTTCAATCCGGTATCACCTCTTCTCAAATCATCTCCTATCTGACCACGTATGCGCACCCGCAAATGCAAAAAACCATTCCTTATATCCCGCCGACTGTTATGGATCAGATCCGGCTTTGGGAGTATGAAGGGGAAAGAGTGGAGACTACGAATGGGTATCTAATGAGGGAGTTTGGGTCTGACGCAGAGTATAGAGATGTGTTGGGGTATGCGAGTGCGCTTGGTGTGCTGGTTTGGCAGAATGATGCAGGGAGGTGCTTTTTTGTGAGCCATGTGGAACAGATAAGTGCCTATCTGAGGAAAAAGAAGGAGAACAGGGAGAGTGCTAGGGGAGGTAGATAGGGCGGCGTGGAGACGAAAGGGTGACTGTTAGCTGGTTTGCATGGACATGGGCGTTTTTAGAAGCAAGGTATTGGCGTTTGGTTGAATATGGCGAGATTCAGTCACTGAGGCTTTTAGGATACTCAAACTGGTGTTGATACTCCTCTGGTATTGCAACATGATATCACTCATCTGTCCGTTTCCTCTGATCAGGTTAACGCCTACGAGGAGGCCGCTTGTGCTGTTATTTACTCGACGCATAAATGGGTCAACACTGTTCTCTGCCTTCACTTTCAACGTCTCTCACCTTCCACCTTCCACCTTCCACCTTCCACCTTCACTATACCAATATACCACCATATACATACTGATTGATTCTGCATTCTTCCATCACAACACGACTCTAAATAATCCTATTAATTACTGGATGCGCGTTGGGGGTTGATCTCATCGATACCGCTGTCAAAAGATTATTCGGATAAGCAAGGTCAAGTCTCGCAATCATTAACTGTTGTGGTCACCTCTTCTTTGTACTTGTTGTCGTCCTCTTCATTCTTCCAGGTGGACGATTGTAGACTCGTGAGTGTGGTGAGGTACTCGCGGTCGCCGTTGTTGGTCAAGGCTTCACTTTTTCACTCACCAGCCGACGTGGCTTAATCGCCGTTGGCATCCCTCCTGCAAGCAGGCCTCAGGCTTTACTGTCTCCGTCTGACGATCGCTCGCATTCTTCTCGACAGCCATGTTCAGGCTTAAGGACCGCACGCCATGTACGCGAGCATGGCCACTTCCCCGTCGCTGCAGGCCAATCGATAACCATTATCCAAGCCGTCTTTTGGAGATACGAAACTAGTTCGCCGCCAAACGCAACGCAACGCAACCTCAGAGCGTTGGAAAAGGCAGGAGACGAAGGGAATGAGGACGACATTGTTATTGGTACGGAGCGCCAGCGCAAGGATACTGGGACAGCTTGCCGCGTCCATAACACCGTGCAGAACATAAACGATGACGCATAGACAGGCTAAAGAAGGGTATTGACAGCGATGTTAGGATTGGCTTGAAAATGTTTATACGAGATATTGCAGAGGATAATCTATTGCTGTTGGAGCGGGCACCATACGTGGTAATGTACAAGTATAAAAATCAGAGTCCTTACCTTCTATCCATACTTATCCAAAGAACAGCGATCTCAGCGCCTAGGTAGATCCTAAACTTAATGATACAGCCACAAAATCTCTGCCATCAACATCACACACCATCGCTTCTGCAAAATTACCATCCAAAGCTCAAGCGCGCAGAATAGAGGAAGCATCTGCTTTCGCGATTAGAGAATGAAGTCATGTTTCAGCGAAGACGTTCCAGCCCAAAGCTCGTGCGTTGAGAAGATGAGATTAAGGAACGCAAGCAGATATTTGAAGCACACTTGGAGCATGTCGCTTGAGACAAAGAAGATTACTGTGATCCCCGAAACATGTTCTGGTAAGAGGCGAGAAGACAATGTTTCTAGCGCCAAGGTCGTGCCTCGGGATAGAGATAGCCCGCACAGCGCTAGCGTGATGTGTAACATGCATGCCCAGGCACGCCAGGTGATCTACGCATCCTAACCTCGTCATCCACCGCCATCAACTTACCTTATGACCCACCAACAACAACCTCCCGCACGAGCGGAACACAGCGGAGCCTCATGACAACAATGCCACGCGCACTCCCGTCGTCGGCTCCCCCTGAACTGCCTCGGGCCCAATTCGTCCGTGCCAGCCAGCCACTCACCCATGTATTTCCCCGGAATAATCTACACCAAACCTAACCTTGCAGGCTTGCATGAGCCCTAAGTGCCGGTCTCGGTACCACGAGATACAATATAAGTGTAGCTAGGCAGGAAGCGGTCCCGTATCTGGACTTGCCCCCGCAGTGCTAGTAATATAATCTGGGGTACTTAGACTTCATGTAGTATGTTTCATGGTGATCACGGTAGTACTTCGTTGCTTATGATACTATGGTGGAATGGCGGTTACGGAGAATCTTTACCTGCGTCCGGCTGGATAACACTTAATATAGAGGGGAAGAGGTGATTAAGGGCAGGTATATAGACAGAGTGTTTGGGCACTGTTGTTTGGCTTCATCAGCTTTGCATCGCTCCCGCATTTCTTACTTCGAGGTCAACAGTTCGTGATATTCTTCGTCATGCATACTTCAAGTCTTCTATCCGTAGTCGCGCTAGCTGCTACGGCATTGGGTGCTCCAAGCAGCTCTATTGAGAAGCGCGCGCAGACAGTATATCTCGCGGGAGACTCGACAATGGCGAGAGCAAATGGTGTGACGACAGGTACGCAACATCAATCGTCGCCACGTCGAAGTGCCATTACTAACTATCGCAACCAGGCTGGGGCGTCTTCTTCCCATACTCCGTCTCCCTCCCGGTAGTCAACAAAGCCATCGGTGGCCGCAGCTCGCGCTCCTACACCGTAGAAGGCCGCTTCGACGAGATTGTCAACCTTGTAAAACCAAACGATATCGTGATTATGGAATTCGGCCACAACGATGGTGGCGGCCTCGGAAGCGGCGACAACGGACGTTCAGTCTGCCCCGGTACCGGTTCAGAGACATGCCAGTCCACATTCAATGGCCAAGCAGTTACCGTCCACACATACCCTTACTACCTTACCGAGGCTGGCAAGAAGCTTATCGCCAAGGGTGCCAAGGTCATCGTGAGCAGTCAAACTCCCAACAACCCATGGGAGAGTGGCAGCTTTGTGTACACCGATGGCGGAAGGTTCGTCGGTTATGCGCGGGATGTGGCTAAGGCGCTGGGCAGCAATGCTATGTATGTTGACCATGGAGCGTACACGGCGAGCATCTTCAAGAGCTTGGGCAAGGCGAAGACAGATGCGTTGTTCCCGCAAGACCACACCCATACCAGCCCAGCCGGTGCGGATGTCGTTGCGAAGGCCTTTGTCAAGGGTCTACAGTGTGGAGGTGGCGGATTCTTGGAGGGATTCGTGAAGAACGCAACGGCGAGCATTCCCGGCACTTGCTTGTAGAGCGACAAGGAAGAGAATTAGTGTGGGCATCAGCGCTAAAACCTATAGTACGCATGTTGTCTCAAGCATAGCTTTCCATGTATATATTCAATTACCAAAGAAACGAACAACTGGAACCCAACAAAGTTTTACCGCATCATAATCCCACCCTTCCATTTACAATTCCTCATATCCACTTCTCGTTCTTGCCAAGATGCGACAAGAAAGCACCACCGTCTCCGTTGGCAACACTCGAAGACTCGACAACATTCAGTACTGCCTTGACTGACTCTTCTGGCGTAATAGGTCCCTTGAAGTCTGGTGAGTATTCTAGGAATTTTTGCGACATTATTCCAAGCTTCTGTTGATCTTCTTCCGAAACTAGTCTTTCTGTCAGCTTATGCAATCTAATCGCTTTTGTTGAAGAGATAAAGACTTACGATCAGCATAGACATCTGTGCCTACTACTCCAGGAGACACGCTTAGGAATAACACTCCGTCTTTGGCGTACTTGGCGCTGAACTTCGCAACGGCCATGTTCACCGCCGCCTTGCTGATCGAATAAGGCCCATCTTCGGATATGTTGTACTTGCGCACCAGCTCCATATCGCCCATGCCACTTGAGATAGTAACGACCTTCTTGACATTACCCTTGAGAACGAGTGGCATGAACAGGTTGAAGAGGTGGATGTTGCCGATGACGTTGACGCTGAAGAGCTGGACAAGGCTGGCTTCGAGTTTGGCTGGGTCTTTGCCTCTTTTGTGTTGTTAGAAATACTGGAATTTGGACTGAATGCTAGTGGACTTACAAGACGGAGAAGTCGTCAAAGTCACCAGACACAAGACCCGCGCTTGCGATCAGGTAGTCAAGGCTGCCGTTGGTGATTTTGGATGTAGCATCAACGGCATTCTTTAGCGACTCGTAGTTGGTGAGATCGCCTTGGACGAGGTGGATGTTACTTCTGCTCCAAGATGTGATCTTGGCTTCAGTGTCTTTTACGTTGCGGACGAGACCGATGACGATGTTGTCGGGGTTGCTGGAGATGTTGTCGAGGAATGCAAGACCGATTCCTCGAGAAGCTCCGGTGATGAGATAGGAAGGCATATTGATCTGATAGCGAAGACTGCTTGAAGGGTTAAAGTGTCTGGAAGACTGGAATGTCTTGAGGATTGAAGTGTTTGACGATGGATCGTAAGTTGATGCCAATACTATCGAGGTTGAGTGAGGTCCTTTATACCAGCTTCGTAAGACAATACTGTTCCTCCGTTTTGGAGCGGTGGAAGCGTTTCTACTAGCATGGTTTCATAAGCAGTGAGACTGAGCTCGCGGATTTTGACCATAGTTCTTTTTGGAGATATGCAGAGTCGACGTTGTATGCTTAGTGGTATACAATGCTGACAAAGTGCTCGCAGATTATTGCTTCGCGTCCAATTCGGGTGTAGGGCGGTGTTAGCGGCTCTTGTGTGATTCGCTGGTAACTGCGGGGCGGCCGGGTTGAGGCGATGGGTAAACTGGGTCAGTCTGAACACCCACCGGCCCCCATCACCAAGGATTTCCTGGTGTTCCGACTTTACCAGATTTAGGCCATCGTGGCAGCTTCCAACTACAATTTCGGACTAGTTCTTCCAGTGGTTTGCTTGGTTCACCTTGCGTTCTTGATTTCTAATAGGATGCATCACAATCTCTTCGCAGCGCTTACCCGGAAGGTACACGTTGACGCTTGTTTCGAGCTCTACACGCAATAATGACCGCGATCAAGGGCTGTTGGACATGCAAGGGTAGGAACTGATTTCGTAAACATCTGCATATTACGCGATACTAACATCGCCCTTAGATCGCAAGGTCTCGTGTGACCGCGCTGTTCCTATCTGCAACAAGTGTTCTAAATCTAAGCGCGCGTGTGGTGGTTATGGCGTCCGTCTCTCATGGGTTAAGAATAACGACCAGAAGTCGCTCCTCAAATCTACACACCGGGAGATACGGCACATGGTAATCCGACAACGATGCGAGCAGTGGATCAACGTGTCGTGTACCGATGTCCGCCTCCACATCCTTGCTAAAGGTGTTAAAGACGGAGGTATGGTCTATGGGAGGGAGCCTTTGGAAACGAGTTAACTAGTAATCAGTGGAGGGGGAGAATTTCAAGAGGCACCAGCTTGCATTGCCCAAACCTACCCGGGCCATGTCTTCGACGTCAACAGAAATAGCGGCTAGCGAGTGGGAGTTAGTACAATACTGTAGGTCTGCTGGCAAGGGCATGAAAGGCCCAATGTTGACTAGCTGCAGTTGAGAGCGTAATCGTCGGCATCCTACCAACGCTAGGCCGCGATAGAACGACTATCGGACGCTTGTTGATGCGAATGGCCTTGTCCGAGCGTTCAAAAGCCTCAAGAGCCGTGTTACTATCATTAGTCGCGTTTGCTTCACGCCATCGAGGAAATGATATGACGTATACAGCTCGCGCCAAAAACGCAGCCATAGATGCGCTCATAAGCGCTACCGGCCCTGAGATGGAATCTGATGCTAGTATCGAACACATTGCCACCGGTCTGATTCTATGCTTGGTAGAAGTAAGTACTCATTCTGGAGAGAGTAATGCAGGACTGACGTGATACCATCATGGTGATAGACAGATCTAGACTGCGACTGGATAGGTCATTTATGTGGCGCGAGAAATGTCGTTCCTACTGTCGAACAAAAAGCACACCAGATTGGAAGTGATGCAGCTGTCATACTCGACTGGCTTTACTACTTTGTCACCTTCACCCGCTTCAGCTTCCGTCATTGGCGCACTTACATGATCCGATCAACCTCGCAAGAGCTTGGTTTCAGGGCCGCTAACGACACATGTTTGATGCAATACCGTATCGCTCGCACCACGTTTGCGGAGAAAATGTCGCATATATCAACATACGCTCATCCCGTACTTCGACTTCTCGCCGACGTTTTCGAAACACGGCTGTATGCATCTGATCCGCAGTATCATTCGATTGAATATCAACAGTCTTTAGATGACCTCAAATCTCGACTAAGTGACGTTGATTTCGTCACACAGAAAGACGTGGAAGATGGCGATGATTCTTATTGCTTGGAGTTCACTCGACTAGCAGGCCTGATATACCTTGAGCGCGTATCTCGAAACTTCTCCGGTCAATCCACAAGGCTAGACATGTGGAGGAAAGACGCACTATCTATACTCGCCAACTTGAAAGTATACCCGCCATCGTTCGCTATGTTTATCGTCGGCTGCGAGACTCACACAGACGAAGATCGAATAGTCATGCTTGACTTCTTTACAAGACTGGAACAAGCCCCTCATCTCAACAGCTTACTGGAAACCAAAGGACTGCTACAGGCTGCTTGGATTCAGCACGATCTTGGGTCAGAGGGCGAACTTGAATACATTCACAAGATCAATTTGGTGATGAGCTCGCGGAATGTGATACCCAGCTTCATGTAGTCAGTTAGCCAGTCACGGTTTTGGGTAAGTTATGGGCACAACAGACAGCAAAACAGACTTCTCATTTAGCTATTCGTCAACGACATCACACCACGTCTCCACTGCTCGGATGTCTCTTCCTCATATGTCTTAACATGTTGTCTTTCCTTGAGAACTTCTCTAAACAAGCGTGTACCATACACTTGATCTCGGCTTTCCCTCTGGTACTGTGCCTGGCCTGGATGTGTCTCTGCAGATCTGCCTCGAAACCGAAAGGTTTTTGCCTACAACCCTCGTGCGGGCACTTGGCACGTTTGTTGTGTATTCTGTTCGTGTGTTTGCTTCAACAATTTTAGCAATGGGATTTGGTATCAAATGATGGCTCAACTCACTTCAGGTCGCAACGGCGAAGAAAGACTTCTTGACAAGGAGGACATGCGTAGTGAGCCCCATCCGCTGATGAATCAAGCTGAGAGGTTAACGGAGAAAGCGGCGATGCAGTGGATAGAACACTAGCAGGGGTTTCCAAATGGCCAGCTGATATGGTGCCTTGCAACGTAAGCGGGCTTGAGGGCGCAGACGAAGTGCCGATAGCTTCGAAGAGTCTCGATATACGCGTCTTCTTGTGATTGCGTATGGGTCTCGTTTGGCAACGGATTTTCCACTATAGTGTCTGCAGTCCCCAAATGATCACGTGGCTCCGAAGGCTTCAGGTAGGGACGGTGTATTGTTGGGTTGACATCGTATTCGAAAGCAAATGGCGAAAAGGTTTGGAATTCAGGTGCGATAATGAACCGAGAAAAGTCATGAGGGAACCTACCGCAGCGCGGATGGCTGGTGGTCTCGCGCTCACTTACATAAACATTGGTACGAAAAATAACGACGATTAGAAAGGCGAAGACGGTGAAGGCCTTCGCCAACACTTGTAATATTGTGGGGATGAAGGCTGTCGCAAAGCCAAACACCTCGATGGTGCGGCCGCGGGGAGTATCGAGGCTCGGCTGTGCAAAGGTGGCTGGACTCGGGGGACATGTTATTGATCTTCGTGGAGAATAAGAGGATGTGTCCCTCTCCACAGACGGCCAAAGGCCGCTATGAAAGTAGTTGCAGAACAATGAGAGAAGGCTGTTGCGTGTACCTTAAATGCCGGGCCATTCGAGAGGCATGCTATGAGCGGGATGAGAGACTGCCGGCGCAATGAAGCGCCTCGCTACACAGACCAACCAGATAGTGTGCTTGTCGTTATGCCTCTCTATGTATGCAGCCAAGTCTTGTGGCTGAGGCTATGACCACGCTTGAAGTGAGGCTGAAGAGGCTGCCGGAATGCCTCACAACATGCCATTCACCGAGAATCCAACGACACCATTCACTTTAAACCGCTTCTCATGATATTTGACCCAATTGAGTGTTGCAAATGAGCTCATGCTTATGGAAGTTAGTATTCACGCAGAAGGCGGCATGCCTCTCGATTGCGACAACAACACTGTAGCTAGAATGTCTTGATCGTGACGTGCGAGATGTAAGCCCAAGCGGGCCTTTCATGGTATATGTGGTTTGATTGAAGCACTTAGTAGAGTTGGAGTTGGAGGTACTTGTGTGGTTGTGCAAAGGCAGCGCTACATTCATTCCATCTGCTCAAGCCCATGCTTCCAACCTACCATCAAACCCAATGACTCCTTGGCACCGTCCCCCTACTCGCATGGACTGCCCAAAATTATTGTCAGCAAACATCTATATCCCCATCAAGTTTGCATCTCGGCTTACTAACACCCAACATCACTCCCAACAAATCCTACATCCTCTCTCCTCCCCAACTTCCTTCCACTCTCTTTATGCTCCTTGTCATAACTCATCTCGATAATCCCTTCACTCCCCTCGCCCATTTCCACTCTCACAAAAAGATCCTTTAATCTCCTACCTTCCAGTACTTCGCCCGCCCTCTCCACCCCACTCGCTCTACCCACCCAGTTTCCTTCACCAATCTCTGCATCCTGAATACCTTCTTCCTGTTTCAAAACTTCCGCAGCGACCACACCCGCGGCTAGAGAATCCCAAACACCCTCACGACGTCGGTAGTTGAGTAGGAGACGCAGGGCGCGCCGACGGACAAGCGGATCGCGGCAGCGTGTTGCGATAAGGAAGAGGGGAACGATGGGGGAAAGTTCGAAGGAGGGGGAGAAGGTTAGGGGGTGAGTGTGGCTGTGAAGGAGGGGGATGAATGTGTGGGTGGAAACCGGGTATGTGGTGTTGGAGTGGAAGATGATTGTTAAGTGGCGGGGTGGTGATGGCAATGGCGAAGAAGATGCAGATGGCTGAGGTCGAAGTTGCAACATAGGCAACGTTTCCGCAAGTTCAACAACCTCCCTGAAATCCTCAATATAGTCATCCCACGCCATTTCACTCGTGAGGCCCGCCCCAGCTGCAGCAATCGTCCGCATGATAATAGCATAAATCCGCAGGAGTGTCCTGCCAGCTCGCGCCCTCTCTTCGTCTCTCCCATCTTTCGTAACCGCTTCATACATTTTACTCACGTTAGCCTCCTCACCCCCTCGCCCTCTTCCACTGTTCTTCTCAAACCTCCCAAACCGCTCTTGCCATACCCCTAACCCTCTAATCATCCCCTCATACATCTCCTTAAACCCCTTCTCTCCCGCAACCTGCACTTCCTTGTCCAGAATCCCTGCCACCCACAACATACACCTACTCAACCCTACGAGATCGTCTCTCGCGGCTTCGTTACTGCTATAAGCTCCTTCTGCTGGTATATCCGGGACTTCTGGCGCGGCGTCTAAATTCCATTCATAGGGGCTCGTATCGTCGGAGAAGGTCATGGCTTGGAGGTCGAAGCGGAGGAGGACGTTGGCGACAGCGTGTTGAATCGAGGTCTGCGTTGCCGTTATTGTCGTCGATGTACCTGAGTAGTTGGGCACGACCTCTTTTCTGTGTTGTTTCAAGATACAAAGGCCGTTACGCAGATGCATATTAGCAGCCTTGTAATTCCCAGCCAGGTTCTCGAAACAAATAAAGATGATACAGAGGATTAGTATCTTTTCAATGATAAACCCATCATGCTTGCTCTTCTTCTTCTTCTTCTTCTTCTTCTTCTTCTTCTTCTTCTTCTTCTTCTTCTTCTTCTTCTTCTTCTTCTTCTTCTTCTTCTTCTTCTCCTTCTTAGCTTCGGAAAGGAGTTTGTTCGTCTCCCTTACGGCGCATGTATATTGTATGAGCGCTGCATCGCTCGGCACACTTCCCTTGGCACTCGCACTCGCACTCGCACTCCCAGACTGCTGACTACTCTCAAGCCTTTCGTGCAAACAACTCAACGCCAGCACCCCATGTGTAACAGCGGGTTCATGCCAAACCAGTTGAAGCACAATCTCACTCCAAACCCTGGAATCAAAGAATTCCGTCCACTGGGGTAGGGTGTGGGTTCTGAAATAGCGGAAAGAACGGTTTTCGTATGACTCGGGGCTGAGGCTTAAGGAAGGGGTTCTGGATAGAGTAGGGGTTGGATGGTGAAATTGCAGTTGGAATTGGTGGTGTGGTTGTGGTTGGCGCCGTTTTCGCTGGGGAATAACGAGAAAAGAGGAATTGCGGTATGCGGCAGCAGCAGCTGGAGAGGTGGAGTTTAGTCGCGATATGTCTCTGTAACCGCCGCATGGTCGGTTGACTTTTGTGCAATTGTTACATGCTGGTGATCTGTCAGTTTCAAACCGATTTTCAAAGTGCTAGAAAGGAAGAGTAGATTACATGGTTTTGTTTCGTCGCATTTTACACGCCGTTTCCTGGTGTATGTTCAGCAATTTGTCCTTGTAAAGACATGATCAGTGATGGTATATATGGAGCGATTTACCGGCAAGTCTCGCAGCCAGTCTTACCACGCAGCTTCAAGCTCTTCTCCAACTGCCGCAAGTCCATCTCATCCTCCATATTCGCCTAATTCCCAAGTAGAGACTTCCAAAAATGATGAAAGACAATCGGCCCAGCTTGGACGCATACTAAGCGATATCGCTGCATAATGAGGTTGTCACTCTGACAAATATTAGAGAATGAGTCTCTACGAGCGACCCGAAGAGCGCAACATCTAAACCGACTACTTCGAATTCAGCATCTCGTCTGTATGACAACCACGCGGCTAGAAGGCTGAGTTCTGCTTGCTCCGCGTCCGATCCTACGTACTCGACTTCAGGAATTATGTTAGAAGGATGCGCGGGAGGCCTCACATGCATAGTAAGGCTCCCAATGCTACCTTGCTTGCGTGGACAGCGGTCTTTCGGCTACCTTACCCTTGCCACCACCCTTGTCAACCACGCATGCAGCCAAGCAGAGGGCAGCTTCGCGAAGCTAAACCAGCTCGCTAGATGTGAGGATTGACTCGCCAACAACGGATAAATCCTCCAGGATTGCTTCACTGACGTCGCGACTCTATTTCGGATACAAAATGGAAGGATGCGGACGGATTGCTGGAAGGGGACGAATTGGACGTAGCAGAGTGGAGAGAAGAAAAAGACGATACAATTCATATATCTAATATTCGGCCCATCACGGGGAGCTACAGTACGTGCTGATATCCATTACTCGCTCGCGCGCCTACGCCAAGAAAAAACAGACACTGGAGAAAAGAAGTATCAAGAAGAGGGGGCAATGCAAGAAGCGCACTGCCATGCATGCCAGATGTTGTTAATCAAGAGAGAATGTGCTCGCATGTTGTGAAAGAAACGCCGCCAGGGGATGCTTCGCATTCGAGCGTCTATATGCAAATCGTCAAGGTATCTGTGCGTGTACGGGTGGAAGTAATGCTAGTGTGTTGGTTATCGAGCCTGCCGATATGATGGCTGGTACGACTAAGTTATCATGCCAGGTCGAAATATATACGAGATCTTGAGGTGAGTGTCGCTGCCTCCTCATGCAGCGGCTCAGCCAGGTCGCCTAAAGGCCTCGACGTTCAATGTGGGTGTCTCGACCTGTCGGTTTGTCGGCACGCCTTCGTTCTTTCTCCTATCGAAGAAGTTCTGGCACTCGTGGCTGACAAAGGTCCATTCTGCGAGAGCGCGACCAGCGTATGTGCTTGACGTTGCAGCCTCGCCAACTGGTGGCGTACTGAGAACGGGTTCAATGTTGATGCCCTTTGCTTGTAGAAGGCTTTGTGCTGGAGCTGGGAGTTTCGGAGGTTGAAGGCGCATGTTGTGGTAGGTGCCAAAGCGTTTGTCAACCCATTCTAAGGAAAAGCGGAAGTTGTATGCCCGGTGGGTGGAAAGTGCTGGTGCTGGCGTAGACACAGAAGCCTCTACGGCTGCAGGTGCGTTGTTGGGGAGTGCTTCGTTTGATGACTTGGTTACCAACGCATTCGATGTCTTGCCGGCATTCTCTTTTTCCTTGATGGATGGCGCAGGACTCTTGGCCTTGGCAGTCTGCTTGGAGCTTCCTCCCATGAGACTTCTCAAAATGTTCCATTTACCCTTGCCGGGGTCTTCGTCCGGGAAGTCGCTTGAATCTGCGGATAGGGCCGAGGCTGGGCGAATCTCAGCTTCTGGGATGGTGGTGCTGGTAGGAGTTGGTTTTCGCTGGTGGGGGTTTTGGACGACGCCGTCGAAAGAAAGGAAAGGGCCGTTGTTGGCCACAATAGGATTATCATTACGTATGATAAGGAAACGTCGGCCTGGCGCAGGGTTGCATGCTTGTGTCGACGGGTATACGATCTGTTTACGTTCAGCTTCTTCTTGAAGCCAGAGGTAATGAGACCAGATGGACCGGAGGCGGTCACTCAAAGCCCGTTTGATGGCTCTACATGATTGTTAGCCTGCGTCATTGTTGTCAAGCCTTAACGATACCTACATTTCAACGTCGGTCTCGTTTCCATCGTAACGTGCAACCCGCCAGCAGATCAGCCGCATGAAGTAGGACCGTACCATAGGGCACCAATGGTTGAATCGGCTCTCGAAGAAAGCTGGTTCGAGAAGGAAGTCAAGGCACAGTCCAGCCTTTCTTCGCTCGTCCATACACAATGTGCACCAGCTGCTGTAAAGGAATGCGTACAACTTAATCTCGGTAGCGGTGTTATGACTGGCGGCCATTGCCTTGAAGACGGTAAGCCAGAATGGCCAGTCCATTACCGTGTGTTGGTCGCTGTCGTGCTGTTCGTAGCGGACCATGATGATGAGAGCCTCCTCGAGAAAGTCACAGAGAGTGTAACAGGCGCTGTTATCGTATATAGAGATTTTCCGCGCCTGCGCCTGAAGAAGACGAGCAAAGCTGTCGGCGAACATGCGTCTGGCAATGTGAAGATGGGAGTTTCGCTCAGAAAGGAAGTCCCGTATTAGCATAATGAGTCGGTTCTCCTGCATCATTCTGGTAGCGTTCGCGGGTGGAAGGGCAATGTTCGAGGCTGAAGCATCGGGTTCCAAGACATCATCGAACGTAATGTCTGCCGCCCTTGATGGATCCTCGACGGGCTGTTGGGGTGCAGTATTCCTGTTGATGGTCGCATCAAGGTTGACCAGAATCTGAGCATGTACCATGATGAGCCCCGGCACGCAGATGCGCTCTGCTTGGCTGGGCTCGACAGGCAGGAATTCGCTGACCAGGATATGAAAATGTTTGACGAAAACATAGAAAAGATCGCTTTCGGCGCCAGACCATCGCTTCGTCCAAAGCCCGTACCAGTCCAGGTTCGCCATAGCCAGTGGAGGTAGCACAGGCTTGTGCAACTGGCGCAGGAGCCGGTTGAGCGAAAGCAACTTCAGTGAGTGAAGCATAGGAGGGAAAGCAGCCACGACTCGATCAGAAACAGCATCCAGCCGATCAAGCTTGGATACGCCTGATTCCTCCATAACCCGCTTCATCATGTCAAGAGAAGGACTCCACAGGCGCACCAGCACATCAGCGATACCTGGGCAGAAGCAGAAGGCGTACGCGCACGTCTTTCCGCAAAAGGTTACCAAGCTGGCTGCGGCATTCCGCAACGACATCTTCTCTACAACGAAAGCCATCTGAGATTGTAGATTTTGAGTAAAGATATTTCGAACGTTGTGGTAGACGGATTCGGCGAGGAAGTCGGAAGAGCTAGACGAGGCAGAGCCGGCCGTAGATGTGGACAATGTCTCTACTCGGTCTGCAAGCGCACAGAAAGGCGACGGGTACAATCTCCATTCGGGTCTCTCCATGACGGCAGCAATACCCTCTAAAATAACTGGGCGATCTGTACCAGATATCGATTGATTGTTCCGCCCTGCCACAAGTTCCAAGAGGCCGGTCCACCATCCATTGAGGATGTTCACACGCCGATCTAGGTCTTCTGGCCGGAGCTTGTGGTTCGAAGGGTGGGAGGTATATTGGCGGAGAAAGGGTAGGAGGGCGGTTCGGACCACGTTTGCTTTGAGCGAACTGGACTTGGATTGGAATCTGTTTTCTGTTAGCTCTGGTTTCACTGTCGAGAAGAGGGAGTCGTGCTTGCGCAGATCTGCGTCAAGAGTCCTAAACGCGGTCCATAGCTCGTCTTTCTTGCGAGGCTCCGTCTTGACGCCCTTGAGCTTTTCTGTGGATACGTTGCGTGGTAGCGGAGGAACAATGTGGGTCGGGCTGACTGGATTGTGGTTGTGCGGATAGTGGGGAAGCTTTTCTGTCGAGAAGGACTTGGGTACAGAGGGCAAGTTGGAGGCACTGCTCGACGCGGCAAAGAGACCGCTGAGGCGCTTGTTCTTTTTGTTGAGAGGCACCGGCGGCGGAATATCTTCTTTCACAGTGTCTCTTGCTTCAGACTCCTCTGGAATGCTGGTTGTGGTTGTGGTTGTGATCGTCGTCGTCGGCGTCTTGCGCTTGTTTGGCTCGATAATGGGCTGCTCCTTGTCGGTGGCACTCTTCTTCTTGAGTTTCCTTTCTTTGACTGGCGACGAAGAATTCCGCGGTTGCTGCGACACAACCCACGACTTCCTCCGCAGATTGGTGAGGGACCGCGAAGGGGAGCCCACCGGGGAATCTGATTGTTTCACAGCGTCGGTCCGGCCCCGTTCAGCCTTCTTGTCCATCTTGCGTTCAGCTGACGGCTCCCTACTCCTGCTGGAAAAGGGGAGAAATCTGGAGGAGCGACGCGAGACGTTGTTGGGCCTGAGTTGGGGCATTTCCACGCCAGCCATGTCCGGGGCTTCTTCTGAGGAGGGGCTCGATCCATCCGAGTTGCTCTCAGATGTTCGCTCCTCGCTCTTGCCGATTTCGACATCGTCTTCGGAGCCTCTTCTCAGCTCAGCCACGGGCGATTCGGTACCGATGTCTTTGACTTGTGGGAAGTACGTGTATGACGCGGCCTTGGGTAATTGGGCGCGTTGAGTTTCCAGGGGAGGCTGCTGGCCGACCTCTGACGCAGCCCTACTCCTGCCTCGAATGGCATTTGCAAGGGAGTAGTGGCCGCGCGGAGCCGGAGCAACGGCGATGGGCATGGCGACGGGAGGGTTGGATGTGGCAGGGGAGCAGTAAAGGGCCGGCTGTTATTTTGTTCAACGCTCTTCTAGAAGGTTATGGGCTCATGGCGCTGAATTGGGATAGGTGCGGCGTTGTGCTGTCAGGCGGGCCGTTGTGCAGGCAGTGGCAGTGAACGGGCGAAAGTCCAGTAAAGTTGCGTAGAGGACGCGAAGACGTCACAAACGAGGCTGTGGTGCCGGGAGCGAATGGAAGCCGCTCTTGGAATGCGGGGGACTGGAAGCTTGGTGAAAGCGAGTGGTATAGTCGGACAAGAGGTTCAATAGCGAGTGGTAGGCCTTCAGGTTTGAGATTCAGCACTCGCTGACGCCGCTGGGGGCAGGTTAGAGCTATTACTTTGACGCTTTGCAGGCGGACGAACTGGGACTAGCAGGGATCATGGGCAGCTTTCGCCTGTGCAGATCGCGTCGGAGCGATAATTCTATATTAAAAACGGGCGTATTCTTGGTATCATTCGCCTTTTGTCTACTGACCCGCGCCGCGCCATTCCTTTACATTTCGACGCTGGATACGAGTTTTAGGTAGCTCGCCACCCGCTGCCAGCATGACGCCTTTCGTCACACAGCCAGAGTACTGCGGCGATCCGATAGTGTGCCAGGTATGCATCGCATAGATATGGTCGGGTCAAGAGGCGTCTGCTGCGCAGTGGGCCCCCGGCGAACCAACTTGTTTTTCCCTGACGTGAACTGTGAACACTGCAATCTCTCATGGCTGCAATCTCCTCAGTCCTGGTCATGACCTGGATATATTGCAAACCCCCGCTACTTACCGCATCGTTTCAGTCCTGACGTCTTTGTATGATAACCACGACTCAATACTGGTCGACTATCCACGACGACTGGTGGGACAGGTGCTAGTGCCTCAGGGTAACGCTCTCAACCAAAAGAAAAAGTCCATTTTCCGCATTGCACTAGGACATCGGTATGCATATGCCGCAAATGCAGATAGGCGACCGTGCCTGCAGCTACTGCGGCAGAGTCCAACCGCGATGCCTCTGCAGCCCCACGCGCATCTTGTGCTTTGTCCGAGGTTCCGAACACATGAGGATTATCGGGACGGGACATGCCAGACAGACGGCTATGCAGCCCGGCTTACCTGGGGGGCCACGGGCGCTGCAGTCGCGTGTGCATGTATGTAGCGATCATCACTCTGCACCTGCTTCTCGGAACGACGTGCATCAAGTCGGTCAGAATACGACGCGTCGTGTGGGTAGGCGTGTGTATTGTGTGGTGGGAACAGATGCGACAATCAGCGACCACTCCCTTGTTACAGCCTGGCACGTAAAAGTAACCCAGCTTCTGCCAGAACCTCATCATGATCATGGCATCCCGCAAATCCCTCAAATCCACGACCCCCTCTCCTGAACATCCATCCAAGCATGTGCCAAGTGGTAGGATACTTGCTTCTCAAAAGAAGATGCACATGCACAAAAAGTATACATACTAACGACTGCGCACCCGTCTTAGTTCCCAGTCCATCGAGACAAAGCACGGATGTTAGACCCTGAGCAGGGCTAGTTGTACAATTCCCACGTCTCATGTACTTGTAGATCGCGGCGTGTATCGAGTCAAAAAGAATGGCTGTCCATGAGTAGTCTAGTCCACTGTCGCTTTGAGACACGCAAGTACGGGTGTTTTGGATCAGAGCACGCAATCACCTAGGCCTAGCATCGATAGTCACAACTTTAAGTGCTCTGCATCCCACGTTGAACCAATCCATAGTCACAGCTTTGGATGCTTTGCACCCCCACGTTAGACCAGAAGTCACGTCACGTGATTCGCATGTTTCCGAACAGAGGTCCAGTCGGCTTCATCGCCCAACGGTATTCACATAGTCGCTACTGTTCTGATACGTGATCTCCCACACCCAGTGACGTTCTTCTAATGGGTGGCACCAGCAGTGGTGATGCTCTCGTCCTCCTCCTCGAACCAGTCCTCCTGGGGCAGCACAGCGTCGTCCTCGCCCTGAGCACCCTCAACGTCAACTGCCTGTGTCTCGTATGACTTCAGCTCGTTCGCAATGTCGGTCTCCTCGGGAGATGCAGGGGCCTTGGGGACGGTGAACTTCTGGACGTGGCCCTCGGCGTCGGTGGCCTTGACTTCAGGAACCTTGTAGTTCTTGAGCTCGCGGAGGTACAGGTCCTGCACTAGGTCGGCTGAAGTACCAATTGGGTCAGTACTATCCCATATTCGAGCGCTTGGGATGAATCACCTGATCGGACGGCCGAGGGAGTGATGAAAGTGCGGCGAGCGACAAAGGCAGGTTGCTGGCGGGCAACGCGGACGAGCGCCTGGCGCTGTGGCGGGTCAGTACGTGTCCAGATTCCAGCAGCGAGGGGAGCGTACCGAGGCCCTGATGGATTGCGCGATCATTGTGTAGGTGTAGTGACGTGGGGAAGCTGGCAATGGGAGCTACAGTGAAGGTCGATGTTGGGGAAAAACCGTGGACCGCCGCAGCTTGAGCCGCGACCCCAAACGGCTTAGCGCAATGCCAAGACTAGCAATGGCCGCCTGCGGTTCCAACTACAATCTTCCTCCGTCTGGTCTTTCCTCAGTCTCGCAGCCTGTCTCATACCACCACACTCACTCGACCTGCTCCACCCCAGAAGCAGTCTGCAAGTGTCGTTGGTCGACCGCGCGCAATAGCTAGAACTCAATACAATCCGTAGCTGACCCGCAACTGCTCCAACAATGTCGTACGCTCCCGATGGCCGCCTGCTGTCGCCTGGCGAGGTTTATGAAGCCGCGCCCGCGCCCGTGAAAGAAGATGAATGGCAGGAGGACCTGAACGTTGCCATGATCTGCCCGGACTGCAAGGAGAACCCTCCAAACTTAGTTGAAGAGTTCAGCGCCGGCGACACCATCTGCGGTTCTTGCGGTCGCGTACTCGCAGAGAGGACTATAGACACCCGTTCTGAGTGGCGCACCTTTTCCAACGACGGCAAGTACTTGCCTGCTTGTAGGAAATGCAAGTGAGACATATACTAACACTGCGCCCTGTATTTAGATCAAGGAAACGACGATCCTTCGCGTATCGGAGACGCCGCGAACCCGCTGCTACATGGCTCTCAACTCCAGACGGAGATCGGTTTTGGCGACGGCGGCATGCGGGTTCGCGACTTGAGCCGCGCCCATAACAAGAGCAATCACGATAAAGTCAACAAGGCGCTGCAGTCCGCATACGGACAAATCTCTGCGCTTTGTGATTCACAGAACATCAGCCGCCCTACCGCCGAGACAGCCAAGATGCTGTTCAAGATGACCGACGACGCCAAACTATTCAAAGGCAAATCACAAGACGCTATCATCGCCGGGTGCATCTTCATTGCATGCAGGAAGCACGACCAGCAGCGCAGTTTCCGCGAAATCTTTAAGATGACCAACGTCAGCAAGAAGGAAGTTGGCCGTACTTTCAAGGTTCTCGAGGCCTTCATACAAAAGTCTCAGAACAGTGGGCCCTCGGTCGCAGGAAACGGCGCCGTCATCGACACTGTTAACCTTCTCAACCAAAAAGGCGGCACTACAGCCACCAGCGCCGCAAGTCTCATGCCTCGTGCCTGCGCCAAGCTCGCCCTCGGAACACAAGTACAAATGGTCGCAGAAGAGTGCGCGGATCAGGTCGCCCATTACGGAGTTGCAGCTGGACGTTCGCCTCTCTCTATCGCTGGCGCGTGTCTGTACCTCGTCTCCCATCTCATGGGTCAGCCCAAGTCGCCAAAGGAGATTGGTCTCGCAGTCGAAGTCAGCGACGGAACTATTCGCACGGCATACAAGCTCATGAATTTGGAACAAGACAAGCTCATCAAGGAGGAGTGGATCGCAAAGGGTGGTGACCGCTCCAGGATTCCGCAAGCATAGGTTTCTTGCACCTGGAAGACAGGTCGTGATCAGGATCTTCGAGTATTTCTCTAAGTCGTCATTTGCATTTACAGGACGGGACTGGGCATTGCATGGTGTTTATGGTCGGGATTTGTAATTCTCTGCCATTGATAAGGTTTGAAGGTTTCTAGTTTCCTAGCATTACTAGTATGGTTTTCTGCTTCGCCTCAAATTGCTTTGGCAACAACACATGATACCCGGTAGATAGACACACATCGAAAAAATTGAAATGGCGTTGGGGTTGGAAAATGCGTCACCAATTGATGTGAAGTTGACCCCTAAAACTTGAAGTTTGGAAAAACAGTTTCCCCTTCATCCTCAAATGCAGGTATCCAAACATATTGACTTTTGCCTCCACTGCGGGGTTATGAGATCTTGAACCAAACTTTAGACTCCGGTTTGAGGGGCCCTGAGTAGACCCTGTTGACGGCGTATTACCAGCACATAGTCTCAACACAGCAATATATCTTAATCTGCCCACCTCTCTAACCTGGTGGCCTTCGTTACTCGTCTACTTTGAGTCCATGTCGTAGTCACTACTGCCAATGCTTTTCGTATTCCATGTTGGCAGAGGTAAAGGATCTCTTTCTACGAGCGTTTATGTCTGTGCTCAATTACGAGCATACACTGCCAAGTATTCCATATGACACTCAGATAATCATCGTTGGTAGCATGATGCTCGATGCGCCTTCAATCTAACCTCCATGGACATGTCTTCACGATTCCTTGAAGACGTAAACGAATGAACTCAGCAAAGCCACGTCACTCCCAATAAACCCCGAGAAATTTTAAACGAAGAATAACCAGCAAGAGCGGCGTGTCGCTCTTCCTACAAAAAAAATGCCTCCTTCTTGCTTGATAGTCATCAAGCATTCCTCCTGTCTACCACGAAGCTTACTGGGAGTTCCTCCCCAACTCTCCATCTCCATCTCATCACAACCACTCTTCCTACCTAACCACCCATCATGAAGTCCATTCATCTCCTGCTCTTCTCTCTTCTCGGTTTTTTCTCCCTCATCCCTCTCGTCTTCGTCCCCCTTGTCTCAGGCCACAACATGGTAAATTCCTCTTATACTCCATGCACATTCGACATACACTGACCCCGTACTTCCACCTCCACAGGTCAAATTCATCAACCACTGCCCCTACAATATCTTCTTCTGGCAAGTAGGACCCGCATCCACGGACCCCACAAAGCAAATCGACGGCAGTGACAAATATCGTAACATGGTCCCTGGTAACGGCGGCTCCGTCATCCACAACATGCGGGATACAGAGGCGCTGGGTGGAGGATTGAGCCTCAAGATAAGGGATTTGCCTTATTATGCGGTGGCGCCGGCGGGTATCATCCAGGTTGAGTATCATTTGGAGCAGAGCACAGGGGCTATGTGGTACGATCTTAGTGCTGTGGATTGTAATCTTATGGTTGGGCCGGAGGATGCGATGTATTGCCGTAAGTGTTTACATCTCCTTCTGAATTCCTGTATAAAGAGAAGAAAGAAGGAAAGAAAAAACTGACAAGTTGTGCAGCGCTCATCCAAGGCGGTATCCGTCTTTACGTTCCCGAAATTCCTGATGACAATTGTCCACCGGCGAACTGTAACGAAACAGGTTGCTTCAACGCTTATACCAAGGAAGGCGGTTATCCTGGTGAGCCGAGCTGGAAGTGTAGGGCTGGTGCTGATCTCTTCCTCGAGACTTGTAAGTTGATGGCGAGACTGGATGTCGGTGTTGGGGGTTGTTGACGAAATCATTGTAGGTACGGAGAAAGCTGGCGAGAGGACGTTCTACGGAGTAGATCCAAAGGCTCCTGTTCCAGTCCACCAAGGTATTCCTGAACCTGTCGCTCGGCCCCCTGTTTCCCTCACAGAGCTAAATATCTCGCCCAATGGTAAATGTAAGTCTTCCGTCAAACTAGCTTCCCCTTCATCACTCCACTGACCAACCTCCCACAGGCGGTCCTGATGTTGGCTTCACCTGCAGCGGCTCCCAACATGGCGTCTGCTGCAGCGAATACGGTTACTGCGGTAACAGACCCGAATACTGCAGCGCGGGATGTCAACCCATCTTCGGTTACTGCCTCGGAGAAAACGAGGCTCACCCCCAAGTTGCGGCTCCTGCGCCTTTGGTCCTCACCACTGTCACTGCTACGAGCGTCCTCACACAGACTACTACCGCGACGAAGACCGAGACGGTCACACGCGCCGTCCGAGTGGTGACTGTGACTGTTCTGAAGACTGTTGGTACGACTGCTGTGTTTACGCCTCCTCCTGTGTCGATTACATCAGCTGTGTCTACACGGTACTACGGCAAGATGTTTACGGGGTATCCGAGGATGTATGCAGCGGCGTACGTGGATATGTAAAGAGAGGAAACTCCTTCAAACTTGGGTATTCCTGAGGTTCCGTGGAAAGAGAACGGTCTATGGACGACTTGAATGCCAACACCTTCATTATCACCGCTATAGACCCACTTCTTCCACACCAGGAATACAGAGAGTATGAACTCCATGAAGACTCGATGACATGCGACCAAAAATACAGCTCCAATCAGTCATCCGTCGGCCAAACCACTCTCAAGGAGTGGGCATCAGAGACGAGACGGTTACAAGACGGATTGCATTGCTACCATTAATTTACAAGAAGGCCAGTCCTCGGTACGGCTACGTTGGACGCGGGCGAACCCGGCTGGAGATGTTATTGAAGACCGGGTGTTTTCGAAGGTGTTAGGCGCTTTATACCCTGGGACCTATTGGGATTGTTTAGTGAATATGTGTAATAAAAAAACGTCGCCAAAGATCATTGTTTCTTGGGAGCCGTGAGAGATCTGTGACAAATAGAACTATCTTTGTTGTTGCGAAAAAGAGTGAGCGCCTTCAGCCTAGACTGCTGCCTCAGCTCTCGCGCTCGTCACTGGAACTGTACTTTGGTGGGCGGGAAGGTTGTGATGGCTTCTGAGTGCTTCGTTGACCTCTGCACAAACGACTAGAAGCCTACGACATGGTCTCTAGTTCTAAAAGAACTCAGCACTCGAATGACTATCGAGAACGACTGGGTACGGTTTTGTCTATGTTGGTGTTGATGGTGATGTGAGTGGACGATGCACTAGCGCATCGGACCCCTGCTCGCCTAGCTAGCGCACTTTGCAAAATTGCCCACCGACGGCCCTCACGTTCACCCATCGCCAGCTTGACTCCATCCCCGAACGCCTAACCCAGCTCTTCCGTATACCGAACGAACCGACTCCCGTCGAAATTCACAATCGCACAAAATGGACTCTGCTAAGGCCCCCGTCAACCTCGTCAAGGTCACCCGTGTCCTTGGCCGAACCGGTACGCGAAATTTCCGAACTCCCCCACAAGAAGAAGCAGAACAAGGGCGCATACAGGAAACAGAGGATGCAACATGACAGAGAAACGGAAGGCTGACGGATTATATTACAGGCTCCCGTGGTGGTGTCACTCAGTGCCGCGTCGAGTTCATGAACGACCAGACCCGTTCCATCATCCGCAACGTCAAGGGCCCAGGTACGCACCACTCGCTTTGCCTGCCTCCCTCTCTCTTGAACCTTCGCATACTAACATGGAACCCCAATAGTCCGTGAGAACGACATTCTCTGCCTCCTCGAATCCGAGCGTGAGGCCAGGCGTCTGCGATAAGCCCGCAAACAACTCTCGGGGAAAAAGGGAAAGCGGCATTTTCTACATTCGGTTACCGGAGTTCTTTGCGAAAGCTATGGGCATCTATACGGACTTCACGAGGATGGACAATATGATGGCGTAGTGTTTCTTGCTAGCGCTGCGGAAGCGGAGGATGGGGATGAGGATCTGTGGGGAGATACGATTACGACGATATATCAAGAAGTCTGGGTTCTCTCCCTGAATGAATCGAAAATCTACCAACTCCCATTGAGTAGAGGCGTGGACGTGGATGTGATACATGGCGGCGACTTACAGAACTCGGCACGAGTGTTTGGGGTGTCCAATGAGAACTGACTTACTTCTAGGTACGCTTCGTGAGACTCCGACTGGTTTCGAGTCCTTGGGCCGTCAGAGACGTTCGTTGTGTTGCTTGACGTATCATACTTTTCTCATCCTGAATCAACTCATAGCCTCACCAAATGACACGCGATACCATTGGACGAGCTTGATGAATATATCTGTCGGCCCTGCGAACATATACTTATAAGTTGTAGGTCGAATATATCTCCAATCATGATTGTCATACCCATGGCATCCACCCCCCACATTGCGACTTTTACTTACTATACCGACTTCAGCCCTTCCCACCACGCCCTCTGTCCATGTGGTGATCTCGTCCCGCAATCGAAACCGAACACACCCCTATCACATTCTCGAGTGCGTCCTGGATTGGCATTCGTGAACAGCGACTGAATCATTGAATGTCGTGACTACTTACTGACCTGTAGCAGCTTTGTTTCTTAATTATTCCTTCGATGCACCCTGAGCTCGACGATTTTCTATTTTATGCTCAAATACTGGTAGTATATCACATCGTCGTCTGGTAGCACCCCCTCACTCCTGATAGCCGTAATGATGGTAATCGTCATCGCTAGAGTGCAGGGGGTCCGGTATCTCCTCGCGTGCCATTACAATAGCACCGGGATGCTGTGATGCTCTCCTATCCTAACTGTCTGTCCTATGAAGCCATTCACCGGAGTTCTAAGACATATTTATAGTGCAATGGTGGGATTTTCCTGGCTCTACGGTCACCGTTATCAAGAAGTTCCAATTGAGCACTGATCCTCACTCTTGCGCTTTCCCATTTCCTCTGGCTACACGTACAGCAAACACTCACTTTGTTTCCCTGTACTCTTCAACCACCATGATGGAGGACAGCGAGGCCGCAGAAAGTCTACGTGAGATACTGGCAAAGTCCTCTCCGAAGATCCCTGTACAGTTCCCATCGCAGCATTCGAGGAGCATCACGCCTGCAGTATCAGAGCCAGCATCTCCAGTGTTGTGCTCAACCAGACTCAAGCCACTGTCACTAGAATACCCATCCATCGATGTCCCTGGAAGTTCACCAAAGTCAACCCCCCAGCAACACCTCCTCGTACACCCAAATCTATCTTCAGCCCTGCCCTCTTCGGTTATCCCAAGTCCGCTTCAGGGAAGACGCTATCGCGTTCGCGAAGCAACAGTCATGGTGGAAGCCTGTTTAGCTCCCTTTGGGGTCGGAAGTCATGGGATCATGGTGAAGACGATGGAAAGTACGTCACCGGCACGCCAAAGCATGGCCGGTCATTGTCTTCTTCAAGCTCCCCATACTCTATCGTAGGAGGTTCTCCGAAGGTGCTTTCGGGGTTGGCATCAATCTTTCACTCCGGATCACCGTCTAAGATTGCTGATGAAGGTGCACTGATGCGCGCTGGTGGCAATTCACCAGACATACCATCACCACACCCTTTGGCTAAGCAAATGCGGACGATCAGCTGGGTGAATCACCTCGCAACCCGAGCCGCAAAATCACCGTCACCGTCACCGTTATCTGATGTCGACCTCGGAGGAGCGCAAACAACGCACGGTTCCGAAGCCGCACTACTGTTTGTGTCGTCACCGCAAGACGACTCAGACAGCGACCCCAGTAGCTCGACGCTTTCCCTCAATTCGCCTTTCCTTTCCTACCTCAGCCTCGCCGCACAACCTCCTACAACCCAAACTCCAGGTGCCAACCAAGACGCAAAAAACACCATGCCAGCCAGTCTACGCGACATCTCTCCTTTCAAAGACAAACCACTCTGGGAACCCGACGATGAAGAATGGGCAGACCTAAACGCTACCCACATCTCCTCCACCTTCAAAGCCTCCTTCAAAGACCCAGGACAATACAGTCCCCGAAAGACAGCAAACGGCAGCACATTATCCCGCTTGAACAACACCATCGCATCTATCCTCCCATCCTCCCCTGCAAAACTTGCTTCGGAAGTCCGTCTGCGCGAAGAAGAAGAACTAAGAGATAAGTTGGAAGAACTAGGTAACTCATACTACTCCGACCCCGGCGGCGACATCCATGATACGGTCATGTGCTCCGTCTTCCTTTGTGGTTCTCGGGACTTTCACCACAGCCAGAGAATCCGGCGTCCATATGTCATCGACCTTGAGCGGTACTTCAACACACAAGATCCTCTGGTAGAAGCCGCGTATCCACGTCTCGGTGACGCTATTGCTACATTACTCAGCCATACGAGTAGAGCGTGTGTAGAAGATTTTCTAGATCCGCGAGTAGAGGAATTTGTCTACAGGAGGGAGTTGGACAGAAGCACAGCGGGGAGTATTCTCGTTGTACGAAGAAAGGGGAATGCGGTTATCGTGAGTTTCTTTATACACACTCTTCTCCTTCTTCTACTTCTTCGGACATTGATACAATGGAACAGGCTGGCTAACAGACATAACAGGCGGGTTCCTACCGCAACCTAGGCTTCTCCCTCTCCTGGACCCTTTATGTCAAAGCTTCGTTCAGCCCCACAGGCCTCTGGTACGAAACCTATGCCTCACCAGTCGCAGGCTCAAGTCCCGTTGTAAACGGAGTACCAGATTGGGATACTTTTATGCCTATTAATACCCCCTTTCGGTTCCCTTCCCCCTCCCTCCCTATGTTACCATCTTCCGTGTCTTTGTTCCAACCTACCATTCTGCCGGATATCTCGCCCCGCAAAATTGTCCTAACGACACCACATCCGTCAACGAAGGAGATGAAAGAGGCGAGTAAGGCAGAAGAAGAAGAAGAGGTAGAAAACAACAATATCAGCCCCACAGACGAGAAATTTGTACTGTATCAGAGCAGGGCGCTGGCAAGGTACTTGCTAAGAGATGTCTAGGTTAGGTTTGAGAGGCGGTATGAATGTAAGGCTACGTGGGAGGTTGATGCAATGGTGAGGAGTGTTAGGTTGAAGAGGGCGGTTGTGGGGTTTGCTGAGGATGATGGTGATGATGATCAGTAGGCCTCTCTGAATGTTCTCTGCGGATATATGCCCCATCTTACCCTTTGCCTGCAAGCGAAATGACGACATGAGATGGGGCGAGATGAGACGATACAAGAACGAGATTGGTAACGTCAACAAGATAATGGGTATTCAAACAACATTACAAAAAAGTATATCCAAGACAACCACGCTATGCAACCTTAACATTCCAGATGACACCAAAAAACCCTGCCTTTAAGCTTACTCCGAGTCACTGTCAATAATAAAGCCAGCCCTCGTGTTACGCGCCGCTGCCGGTCTACGCGCTACCGGTACATCATCTTCATCATCGTCATCCGAATCCGCGTCTGCCATTGCCGCATCTGTGCTTTTCGTTACATTACTTGTTGATGGTTTCCTAGGAGTATCCGTGTCACTAAGTGCCGTCGTAGCACCAGCGTTCTGCGACGAAAGCGGAGTATCTGTATTTTCATCGCCGTCTTCGTCTTCCTCCTCATTGTCATCAGTCAGGATATTACCAGCAACAGCTTCAGAGGTCGCTCGACTGCTCTCCGCATCCTCCATGTCGTCGTCACTATCGTCGAATAACGCTTTTCGTTTTGGTGGGCTCTTCCTCCTCTTACTCTTCTTCGCCGGTGCATCAGCTTTCCTCTTCTTGGAAACAATAGGCTCTACCGTCCCGAGCACAAGGGACTTCTTGAAGACTTTCAGGTTCTCCTCGCGGATGGCTTGTTCTCGCGCGAAGAAAGCGGCGTCCTTTTCTGCGTCCCAGTCCTCGTCGTCGGAGTCATGCACATACATGGTACTCAATGCCTTAGCTTGTTTTTCGATTTCCTTCTGGCGACGCGCCTCAGCTCTGCGGTCCTTCTCTTCGTCATCAAGCTCGACCGGGGTTTTCTGTCGGCGCCGTCGCTTCAATGTCTTGCGAGGGGCGTCTGCATCTCTTGTGGTGGGACCACCCTTGGCATACTCTCCATGATCCTCTTCTGAATCGCGGTCTATGCCATGATCTACGCCATCGGAATCGTCGTCAAATTCGGCCCGGCGAGTAGAGCGTCGAGCTGCTGCTGCCTTGCTACGAAGCAGGTCCTCTGGTGCTTTGCCATCCTCGTATGTGGGCGGGTCGAACTCGAACTTGCGAATGAGATCGATAGCTTCTTGCAATTGTGTTGATGTGAGAGATGAGGGAATGATCCATGCAGCATCTGGATCGTGATGTTCTCCTAGTCTCTCGAATCCGACCAGATTCATGAGCAATCGTAGTTTGTTGTCCTTGAACATAGCTATGCGGCGCTCTTCAGTATCGTGCTTGATGACTGGACTTGGTTAGCAGGATGTCTTCTGGCGATGAAATCATACATACAAATTGACGGCGGCTTCGACGTCTCATCCTCTGGATCTTCAGCCGCTGCATCGCCCTCAGCGCCTGTTACCAAAGCCTTTTGTGCTTCGGCTGCCTCTTCCCACGCCTTGCGCTCTTCAGTTGCTGATGCAAGGACATCTCTTACCCAGCGGAGAGCATCCGACTTTGACTGGTTAACAAGTACACCAACAGCGACACCGATCTGATCAGGCAGCTCCATGCCAGGTTTAACTTCCAGCTCCGCCGGCGCTCGTGGTGCTCGAGTATGTATTTCGCGATCATATCCGTGTTCAAGGAAGAAGATGGTTGCGGGGATCTTGCTGAACAGCATCTCAACTACCAGCTCGGGCCTGTCCTGTACTCTCTTGACAACCTGCCTGAAAAAGTGTTTGACAAAGTCATCCCACTCTCTGTAAGTAGGAGACTCAGGGTCAAGGCCGCCTGGACCTTTCATCATCTTGTTGAACAGCTGCAGAATGTCCACCCGGCACAGGAGAACACCAAGCTCCATCTTGAAAGCGACACGGTGGAAGAAGCGATGCGCACGCTTGAGCTGTTCTGTATCAAGATCGCTGAAGTACTTGGCAAAGGCCACGAAAGTATTCACGCTGCTTTGGTTGACAAACTTTGCCGAGAACCTTGTGAAATCGAACTTGCGTTCCGAAACCGTCTTTTGCGCTTGTTGAAGGTCTTCGGTTTCCGAAACATTACCCTCTTCTTCTTCCCCATCTTCGCCCTGCTTCTCCGCTTTCTTCTTCTTGATCTTCCGGGCTCGTCGCTTTGAGCGGATTTGCATGTCAACGTTCTGCTTTGCATAACGCTCAAGCATCCGCAAAAAGACGTGGGAAAGCTCTGTGACTGCGTCGAGATAACCAAAACCTTGATCCTTGTATGACCTCAGGATCATGACTATCCTGTCGTGTGTGGACTCTTCGTAGAAGATACGGTTCTGGATGTTCTCAGCAATCTCTTGATCCTCTTCAAGTGCCGATTCAGACATTTCGTGCACAGTAAGCAAGATCTGTGTGAAGCATTTCAGCCCGGCGTTTAGGTCTCGCCATGCCTTCTCATCCTGACTCTTCTGCATAAAGCGGTTGAGCAGAATGAAGGTCTCCTGGTTCATGACTTCGGCTACTAGTCCGTAGCTTTCATCCTCGGCAGATAGAACCTCAGGGCTCTTCGGATCTGCGGCCCTCTCCTTCATTGTCCGCCGCCGTGCGCACTCTGCTCGCAGGAACCACGAGATGAGATAGAAGAACTGTCTAGAATGCCGTGTTTCCACACGTTCAGTCTCTCGCTCAATAGCTTTCCGAAGGTGCAGAAATAGAGGGTTGAAAGACGAGTCGAGGAACTCTTCAACGAAGGCTTTGATATGCTTCCGCGCGGAGGAGTTTAGCGATACTGGCAAATCAAACTCCTCTTTCTCTTCACTGCCATCCTGCTTGCGCCTGCCTTGTCGAGGTTTATTCCACTTCTTCGTATCGTCCATCTTTTGCATGCTAGCTTGCGCCTTTCCTAGCACATCCTGCCCAGATATAGTCGTGACCTTCTCGTCGTCCCGCTTCATCCATATCATTGTTCCAAATCGGTTGTGCCGGGTTGGTGCGTGGCGAGCGTAGCCTGCGAGCATGGCCTTCTCCTTTTGCATCAAGTCCTTCAGCTCATCTGTGTTTTTGGCACTGAGCTTCTTGTCTTCCATGAAGAGTTTCTCGGCATCGATACCCTTGAGTAGGAAGAACAGGATTTCGAGGATAATGACATCTTGGGTGACAAAGTCCTCTCCGATGCTGGACGCAATACTTAGAATGACCTGGAATATGTCCTGTTCTTGGAAGGTATCAATCGTTGCAGATCGAGAGACTTCGGCTTCGTCGGCATCCATGTGTGCATCGTTCGGTGGTGCAAGCATGGCAATGTTGCGTATGAAGTACAAGGCGATTCGGATGATGCCCTCATCTCGCGGTGTTCGTTCTCGGAGGGGTACTGCCATTGAAGGTAACGCAGTCTTGACGGCAGTCTGGAGGGTTCTATCTCGATCGAATTGCAGAATAGCACGCTTGTATCCGATCTGAGCGAGCCCGATGTAGGGCCCATGCCGGTGGTGGTTTACGGTCGCTTCGGTTGGGTCGATTTCGTTGGGCCATGTCAAAGGAACGAGAAGCTCCACTGCACTTGTCAGTACAGATTCCATCCCTAGGGGGTACGTGCATACATGTTGCAACTGCAATCTTGTGTTTCCATGCGCTTTCTACTACAGTCGGTGATATTTTGGCAAGTATCTCTAATAGGTCGCCCTTTACGAGATTTGCTTCGGCCATGCATCGTGAGACATCGCGTCGATTGTACTGCCCGTCGGCGAATTTCAACCATTTCCGTAGGTCCTTGAGACATAGTAGGGCGTCGTGTCCGAGTGCATACGTGCCATCGTCGCCAATACCACCCAGCTGTGTACATGTCAGTAACAATTCTGTTGGTAGAGAGGTATGCGTACAGCAGAAATTAGACTAGAGACATGGGCGCGAACTTCTGGATTCACAGTATCCTGCGCCCAATCGTCCAGTGTTGTCTGAGGCATTGTCGTGGTTGATGCTCAAACTGCCCACCCGTGTCGCGATTACCCAAAAGACGCGTCGACGCGTAAAGTGCCACATGCGGGACAAACCGCTCAAATCCGCCAAGACAAGGCTGATCCTCGCGCCTTCCCGCCGCCAGTCAACGTCATGCCTCGGTTAGGCCGCGGCGGTTCCCATCGGCCTGGGGGACGTTGTTTCTCATCACATGTTGTGCGGACAACCTCCACAATTTCCTTGCAATCCCTCCAGAAATACTTACGATGTTTTCCGTAGCCTCAAAACAGGTCGCACGATGCGCATTGAAACAGCAATGCCGTGCCTTCAGCTCAACCCCCACTGTTGGAGCTGCTGCTGAGGTCAAGAAGTTGGGTGTTATTGGAGCAGGCCAAATGGTGTGCAACGACCGACCCGATTATACAAGCAAGCCCTCAACACTAACTTCTTCAGGGCCTTGGAATAGCTCTCGTAGCAGCACAAAAAGCCTCAGTACAAGTCCGGTTAATTGACAACTCCCAAGCATCAATCGACAAAGGCCTAAAGTTTGCGGACAAGCTTCTCGAAAAAGATGTCGGAAAGGGCAGAATCTCGAAAGATGACGCCACCGCAGCAAGAGAGCGATTGACGTCCAGCACATCACTCAACGATCTGTCAGACGTCGATTTCGTAATCGAGGCGGTACCGGAGATTCCAGACCTCAAGCATAAGATCTTCTCGCAACTCGCACAAATCTGCCCATCACACGCTATCCTAGCCACTAACACGTCTTCTATCTCGATTACCAAGATCGCGGCGAGTACTACCACAGACCCGACAGATCTCTCGGCCTCGTCACGCGTCATTAGCACACACTTCATGAACCCGGTCCCCATCCAAAAAGGCGTAGAGATCATCACCGGCCTCCAAACCTCGCAAGCCACCGTCGAGACCGCAATCGCCTTCTGCGAGAAGATGGGAAAGATCGCTTCCAAGTCTGCCGACAGCCCTGGTTTCCTCGCAAACCGCATTCTCATGCCGTACATCAACGAGGCCGTTATCTGCTTGGAGACAGGCGTAGGCGCGAAGGAAGACATTGACAGTATCATGAAGAATGGCACGAACGTACCCATGGGACCGCTGCAGTTGGCAGATTTCATCGGTATCGATACATGTCTGGCGATCATGCAGGTCCTGTATCATGATACCGGTGACTCCAAGTACCGACCTGCGGTGCTATTGAAGAAGATGGTAGATGCAGGATGGTTGGGAAAGAAGAGTGGAAAGGGATTCTATGATTATTAGGAAAATAACAACCCAGACATTATTGTTCATGACTGACAGCTCACTTCGCAAAGGCACGCCTTCAAGGTCCTCGCACTAACGACCCTGACAAACAGTAGCGCAGATCATATAGCCTGGACGTCTTCACCGAAAATCCCATAACATTTCGCAGCCCCGATAGCACACCCAGGAGGCTTACTACATTTCACTAGCTAGAACTAACACCAATAATCTATTTAGCTACATTGTTTGCTTTGACCTTGAGCACAATCTTCTCAAGATCTTCATAGGCCTGGAACTGATCTTTCATAGCGACCAACTCCATCCACATCCCAGGCACTCATAACAAACCTCCCATGCAAAAAGGCGGCTTGCTCACTCGCCAACCACACCACGAAGCCAGCTGGCAAGCTTACATCATCCCACGCGTGCCGTTTGTGGCGACTTTGAGGATGGTTTTACCGGTCGTTTTGAAGGTATCGGCGTTTTTCAGGAACGCGCAGACGACGTTGTTGGGCAGACCAAGGTCGAAGCGTGAGGAGAATATGGGGACGCCGTGTGGGGGCTCGCCTGGTGAGTCGACCCTGAAGATTTCGGTGGCGGTAAAGTGGAACCAGTTTAGTTTGATGACTGTGGTGAGCGCCATTGTGTAGTAGTGTGGTGTTGTAGTTTTGGAAATGCATTTCCCACAACAGGTCCCGGAGTTGTTCGCCGTGTCTTGACTCATCGCTTCCCGAGCAGATTTGGCGAGTCGACCAGCTTTTGCCAAACACACTACATATCACTGGTTGAACATGTCAAACTAGAGAATCATACGGGCAGTACCATAGTTGGGCTTATCAGACTCCATTTTTTTCTACCTAACACCAAAACACACAAACCACCCCTCAAGCGTCATTTGCAATACGTCTCTAACAAGAAGATCTTGAGCCCTTCGCCGCATTCTGACCCATCTCTCCTTATCCCTCTTCATCCAGATTTAGCGAATCGGCTAGTCTTAGTCTTCCTCCACTCTGGCAAGTCGTTGGGTACGCCCAATTTCTCGTTCGCAAGGTCGTCCTTCTCAAGGGCTGATACCAGCATCGCCTCGCGTCCCCGGTCTATGCGGCCCTTTTCTCGTGAGGAGAAGGCTTCCCATGCTAGTCTCTTGGCGTAATCGCTGTTCGTGATCTTCTTGTTATCCTCTAGGAGTCGTGCACGGTTCCTCGCCTCGTCGCGCTCGGCTTGTGTTCTATATCTCGGTCTCTTGGTGTTCGTAGTTGAGAGATACGGGAAGACTCTGAGTAACTTGTCGACCCGAGCAGATTTGTTGATATGAGGTTTGATGAAACCCGACTCTGATAGCACCGAAGTCTCATTTGTGGTGTAATGCTTCATGTGCTTAATGTCGGACGCTACTTTCATCTGCCTTTTCCTCGGAAATGGCCTTTTGAGTTTGGGCTCGCATTTCTCTGGGGCTGCTTCTCGCAACTTGAGCTTCTCAGACTCTTCGTTAGAGACCACTTGCTGCGGTATGTCGAGCCTGAGATGCATAGTACGCACGGTTGAGACCGGCGGTGTTTCGGGCGGCGTGAGCAAGCTCACGTGGTCGCCGCCGGTACTCATATGAGTGTTGGTTCTTGCGCCTACTGGCGATAGACATGGCTTTTTGCCTGTTGTGAAGATGTTCAAACGCATGCTTATGGGTTCTGCTTCCGTTTCTTCGGAAATGCGTTTGAGTGAGTTTGCCGTCGTCATAGTTGAGCTGACGGTATGTGTTTCGTCTGCGCACAAGGCGTTTAGACGTTGGTTTAAGCGCTTCATGGCTGCGTCTGCGCACAAAGCGTTCAGACTTTGCTTTGATTGAGTGGACATCGTTATAGCTTTGCTGATGTCGTAATTTTGGTATTTTGGCGAGTTGTTCAGTATTTGCTTTGAGAACTTGGTAATCGCTGTTTGTAGAGAAGATGTGATGAGACTGGGAGGAGTATCCTTTGAGAAGGGTATATATGCGAGTATGGAATCGCAGTAGTCCAAGTCTGGTAAAGCGCAGTGTTCATGATGGCGGATTGTATTACTGGAGTACCAAAGTGTAGCGGCTCCGGCATTTGCAGTCAGTGCCGGTTTCCTTATCATCCGTGAGGCGCCGCGGGTGAGGTTAGCGGGTGAGGTAAGACCCCCTAAACCACCCGCAACTGCTCTAGTATAGCTTGTCTACATCCAATTAACAGAGCTCATATACTAACCTTTTTTTTTCGCTTACCTTTGATGGTAAGTCGCACTGTTGCAGCATATTGTGAAGAGGTGGCTAAGACTTTTCCACATCAAGAAGAAGCCTGGTGGTACTCGCTGTCTCTCACACCGACAACTCAAGACCCTATATGCGGCGAATACCTTTAGCATCAGGTCTCCGCTACATCTCGATGGCTTGAAATACTACCGTGAGTAGGTGCCCTGGAGTTATATATTGTGATTCAATATTTTAGTCGCTCAGGGCCTGCGTCCTTATTATGCTCCTGGCAACTGCATGGTGATCGCAGGACGTGCTCTTTGACTCACATTTGGGTGCAACGACACCTTGCTTGAATCCACTCCAACCACTGGTACTGGCATGACGCATGGTAGACAAGCCACTCACAACTTCCGCAATCTATACCATACCCATACGAGAAGATACTCTCGAATGAGAGATGTTGCAAATACAAGGAGCTTGCCGCATGCAGATAGAAGACTCCTTCATACTTATTCCTCCTCACTCTCATCCTCGTCACTCACCTTCTTGCAGCCACAAGGCCAAAGGTGAGCGACGGCATATCCGGGTACTTGTCTCCGAATTCGGCATACCACCGCTGCCATTGGTCCCAAGCATACTTCGTCTCGGAGTCAACTGATACCCCTTTAACCAAATGCGGATAATAAGGAAACTGCTCATAGAGCATAGAATGGAAGGCTTTGAACTCGTCCCACTTGAGCTGGTCTCTCGGTTGGATCTGATGGCCTAGGCCCGTGCGTTGGTCCTCGTCGGCTTGGAAGTCGCCGCGGCGGCCGTGTACTCCTTTCTTCAGGTACGGGACGGAAGGTGACTCAGGAGGATCGGTAGCATCACGTGGAACTGAGTAGGTAATTAGTAAGATGTACTGTAGGCAACAAACGAAGAGAATTTCCGATAGAGGGTACGTCTTGACTACTCGGGTAGCCATGATACACTATACAGCATTTGAAAGCAAATTGGAGTACACCAGGAGTGCACAAAAGAATGCTACAACTTACTGGTAGTCTCAAAGAGGTATGTCACGACCCTACGGAAAGTCTGGCGAGAGGTAGCGGTAAGCACGCGATCCTCACCATGACCTCGAACAACCAGCGAAGAGCGGTCGGGATCAGAAGGATGCATTCCAGTGCTGCGGAAGAATGCGTTTTGGTGATTTACATCGTGATCTCTGTCGCTATATACGGCTGTTTGCTCGCCCGTTTGCGGAGGCGTTGGTATAACGTCGTCAACTGACTTGTCTATAGAAGCAACCTTAGCCGAATGTCCAGTACTTGTAGCAATCGAGTTTTCTGGTAGGTCAGACTTCTGGAGCTTCGTCAGTGGTTGACCGTCCGGTGGCCTACCAGGCGCGCTTCTCTTCCGATCACTAGGCTGATCGCATGTACCATTATTTCTGGCAACAATCCGCGACTCTTCTTCTTGGTCGTTGGAGGTGGAACTCGTAGCGGTATTCTTCTTGGTCTTTGTCCCGGAAGATGTCAGGGCAGCGGGCGTTGAGAAGGAAGCGGCCTCCTCAATTGACTCAGCTTCTTCCTCGTCATCAACTGCAACTAAGATTGTGAGTATACTTGCGCGCAGTTAAGGCGGTAGGCATGAACTTACTAGCCAAAGTCGACTTTGGGTTGCGTCCAAGAGCAAGTGTTTCCTTCTCTTCGATCCAGTTCGCAAGCCTTGACTTTGATAGTCCCTTGTTCTTTAGCTCTTGCCTCCTGTCTGCGCCTGCGTACTGCTCCACGATGTCAAGTAGCTGGTCTATGTTGTTCTTGAGCAAAGTCTTAGACAAGCGAGCGTACTGCCTCTTCCTGTTGCCTAGGCCGTCTTGGTTATAAAGAGGAATCTTCAAGCCGTTCGCCTCGTAAAACCTAGATTCGGAAGCCTGCACCGGAGTGGGAGGAGTCGTCGATGTCGCGCTTCCAGTAGCCCTTGTCTTCACTCTTGTCGTTGGTACACTGTTGGGCTTCTTCGGCTTTGGGGGACTGCCTGTGCGGGCTTGAGCCGCCTTTTGTTTACCCCTGCCTTTGCCCTTGCCTTGTGAGGCCAAAGCCATCGCACACGCGACTTCGTCGGTGTCGACGATGTTAGTTCGACCCATATTGTCGCTGAATTCGACGGAAACTGGAATTTCTGTAAAGGTGCGGAAATTTGGAGATACAATGAGAGAATGAGAAAAATTGATACTGACTGAGAGGCGAAAACTTCTGTTTGTCTCGGACCTTGTTCACAATGAGGTGAAAACGCGAATGTATCGCAGCAAAGTTGAAGCCCCGCACAAGAGACTCCTTTACCTTCGAATTGACCAAATACCACATATTCATGTCGACTACGCAGACTGCCCTTGACCACATCAGTGGGGAATTGTTTGTCTGGCGAAACCGCAGTACAACAAGCAGCCCGAGGTAACCAAGAGGCCTTATGTAGACCATGTGAGTATCAAGTGATTGATGCACACGATGAAACAACGGATCTGAATGTCAAAGAAACATATAAAGGGTGCATGTTAACAATGTGCGATGATTCGAAATATCACAACACTTGATGTACAGAAGACGTAGGTCACTGTAGGAGATGTGTAGTGGCCTTGACAGCTTTCATAGTAGCTTACTCTTTCTGGTCGTGCTCATGTCCTAATCGTAAAGGAAAACAATGGCGGTATAAAGACGAAAGATGCGATAAAGGCAGATGCCAACTACTATATGTAGTCGCGTCACTCGATTACCAACAGGTCCTGCCGAGATGTTACTCTACCTTGGTAACCCCCAAGAAATGCAGATGCAAGATGAAGGGACGGTTGAGAAGAAAACGGAAACAGTTGGAGAAGAAACAGCGAAGAATGGTAGTACAACTGAGAACAAAACTGGAGACATGATGCTTGCAGAGAGACTTTACAGGACCGTGTCGTAATTCTGGACGAACGCGTTATCCAGTCGTGTTCTATACTGAACTTGGTGAAAGTCTTGACCAACACTAATAGGGTCAGCCTAGTGAGCCTATGTAGCATTAAGTGAGAGGTGTCAGGAATGTTGCAATTAAAGGTCGCAACCTGATGTTCGGGCGTCTCGCATTGCGGTGTCGAAGTCGGAAAGAAAGTGCGGCGGCTGGTGCCACGTGAGACGCTGCGGAACCGACCGCCGATCTAAAGGAGCAGGAGCCGAGGCATACCCGCCTCCAGCTCTCGGATCGTCATTTCGCGACTCTCCAGTTCCATCATCAACCCACAACCTGCGCGTGCTACTGGCATTGCGTAACGTGTAGTCAAGATGGTCCGCGAGGATATCATACAGTCTGCTGTGTCCTGTAAGTCGATGCATGGCGCGCTCTACGCGACGATACTAATCACCCTCGTCAGTCCTCCAGGATCCGTCCGTTGCCAGCGCGCCCCTTGAGAAGCGCATCGCATTTCTCCAATCGAAGAACCTCACGCAAGAAGAAGTCGACGTATCGCTTGCGCGTGCAGCCGAAGACCCCAGCCTACCTTCATCTCCTCCACCCCAGACATCGGCAGTAGCCAGCAATGCGTACAGACCACCACCTGCAGCCCCATATGCGAGCTATCCTCCTCAAGGATACTGGCAACCACCTCCGCCACCTCCAGAGTAAGCATAGACATTGTATATGACTGTGGTCGATGCTGACAAACCTAGACCGCCGAAACGCGACTGGCGAGACTACTTCATCATGGCGACGGTAATGGGCGGTGTAGGATACGGCTTATACTTTACCGCGAAACGATACGTCTTACCCCTGATACAACCGCCTACGCAGCCTCAGCTAGAGCAAGACAAGGCGTCCGTCGACGAACAGTTCAAGCGCGCATTCGATCTCCTCGAGCAACTCAACACCGACACATCCGCTCTCAAGGCATCGGAAGAGGCAAGGACGACAAGACTCGACGACGCGCTCGGCGAGGTAGAGAGTGTCCTGGCAAGTTTGAAGGAGTCGTCAAAGAGGCAGGGAGACGACAACAGACGTATCGAGGACGACGTTCGAGGCTTGAGGGACCTGATCCCCAAGGCATTGGACTCTCAGAAGGAGTCGACCGACAACAGACTCAAGGAGCTGTCAACCGAGCTGAAGAGCCTGAAGACATTGATCGGAAACAGGATGGGATCCGGCGCACCACCACCACGCCCGCAAAGCACCTCAAGCCTTTACGGTCAATCGCAGACGCCCAACACCAACGGCACACCCGCTGCTTCGGCATCAACACCCCAGCCATCGTCTACTCCTGCGCCTAGTGAGCAGACAAACGGCACGAGCGCGAGTGAGAGCCAGACAAACGGTAGCACAACACCTGCGCCTAGCTCCATTCCCACTCCTAGCACAGAGAAGCCCCTCCCTGCGTACGGTAGGCCGTCGCCGGGACGTGCCGCTATTCCTGCATGGCAGATGGCTGCCGCGAAGAAGACCGAGGAGGCCAAGAAGGACACGAGTGATAGCGGAACTGCGGTAGATGCCGGCGCAAGTGCGTAGAATGGCCGTGGCTGTGTTATCTGATAATTGCTCTGCATCTTTGGCGTGGTTATTCTGTATGTGTATTAGGGACAAACTTGTGGTTAACTTTGGAATGCAATTCTTCCGATATATATGCTCGTGTTAATCTGCGCGCAGGGAACTATGCACCTATCAATCGTGAGAGTTGAGGCTCCATGTTTCCGGCGACTACTTTAGGTTTGTAACAAGGCGAGGAAACTAATGTAGCATTCAACTTGTTTACTCGATTTGCATTGTAGTTGTCCTTGTGAGGCAGTGACATCCACCCAAATCGAGACGGAACTTTCAAGGTTGGACAACGTGACTAGGTACATGCTCGGAACGTTCCGAAAATCTTCACGGGCAAAAAGGCAAAAACATCGTTTGACGCACCACCACACCACTCTTCTACTAAAAGAGGCGCAAAAAGATAATGTCAGCGGTGGGATTCGAACCCACGCAGGTTGCCCTATGAGAAACCTCTTGAGAGTGCGTCTTCCGGAGAAGACAAGCTTTCGCTTGAGTCACACGCCATAACCACTCGGCCACGCTGACTGGTGGTGATTTGATGGAAAAATTGGTGGGAGCAAACATCAAGTCTTGAGGCATGCAGACTCGTCTCGTCGGGCGTGCTGCGTGGAGAGATTGTGAAGTGCCCCACCCTGCGTCCCACATAATGTGGCAGCATCTGGAACATGAGAGACTTTACTCTTTTCAGGTCCAGCGTAACTCATCAGATCGCAGGCGACGTGTTGGCTGCAGAATGGGCGGGCATCGGAAGATACAGACTTGGCATTGTTTCTTTCAATGTTGCGTTCCTCAACAAGGCAACTCAGATTCGGGTCAAGGAGACAATTCTGCGCGCTCCAATCAGCAAAGCCGTGGTGGTAGTAACATGGGTGCCATGAATGGAGGAGAGCCGCATTTGCGACTCAACTGAGATGCAGCGTTGCCAGACTGCCGTGTCTACCGTCTTGCGTGGTCTGAATGGCTTCCGGGCCAACGTCGTGACGTCGTGACGTCGCGATATCGCGTTTCGCGTCAATGCTCTCAACGTCAACCCAGCCATCGCAAAACAAACTTCCAGGTCCCCAGCCCAGCGTCATCCACATCACAATGGCATCCGATATCTCATGCACGATCGATCTCGCCAATCTCCAGCCCAAACAAAGAGCTCCACACTCCCCTGACGCTACGCTTGTGTTGACGTCGACTGTCATCCTCTTTCGGCTGCAGGTGCGATGCTAGCTCTGTGCGGATGGGCCCTCATGTTGTCCCTTGCATAGCGGTGTTCAGGTGCTGTGCCGTTGCGAAAGCATGACGCAGCTCCAAAGTATTGTATGGCAGACCGTCGCTGACGTCTATATGGCTTCACATGGCATCAATGGCACATCAGAAACGCTGGCACACAGCCGCTTGGTCATGAAGAGAAGGAATATTGGATGGCTACTTTGAACGAGCTCAATCTAGCTGCATCACCTCATGGTATGACGCGGCGACCCTCACATCCAAGCTAGTCACCGTAACGCACCTTTCGACCAGCTCCCGCCTCTAGTGAAGGATTCCGCTTGCCGGATCGCCCTGCGCCTACCCACTCAGGGTGCACATCATGCGAATGCTGGCATGCGCCTTGTGGAGGTCAGTATCGTATTGTCGATTATGCTGTCATAATTGTGATCGCAACATGGGATCTAGATTGCGGACCCTGCCTCCTTGTTGTTTCGAACGTCTTGTTGCATCAGAGGCTTGAGTGGACATGGTCAATACCATGACGTATAATTGCTGTCAACATTGTCTACTTAAAGAGGTGATCCCATCCATGTTTTTCCACATTAACACATCGCAACATCACATCCAACTATTTACGTACTCAAGCACTCTTATCAAGCATACATCCACCAACCCACACCGCTACCATCACCATGAGTTCCAGCGAAATCCCCACAGGCAACGCTGTCGACAACGACTACAAGTCCCGCACCGGTCAGTCCGAAATTCCCGTTCAGGCCGACGAGGCGTCCGTCGAGGCGACCGAGTACGACAACGGTGGTGATTCCGACGCACAGTTAGGTACGTACCTTGCTTACTGATAGTTTCGACAATTCTGACCTGACTTAGCACGCGACGAGAAGGATGCCATTGATGAGAGCAATATCCTTGACGAGCGCACACGCGGGGCCACCAAGAAGTCTGGCACCTACACCGAGCCTGGTGATGAGGAGGGTCTTGGAGCCGCTGCTGATGGCTCCGATGGTACTTCCGCTACACGATAGAGCATGATACGATGTATAGGAAGTTGGGTTTTGATAGCGCTTTTCAATGAATTTGATATACCATTTATTCTTAACGATCTCATAACCTCTATCATGTGTTGGTATCGTCATCGTTGTCATCAGTGTCTGACACTGCAACAGTGTAGGCATATTTCCAGCTCTAGCCACGCACGTTGATAATTTTGTCCAGGTGTGTGGGAAAACGCCATTCACTTCCCATCATTGCATCCACTGTGTTCACGCCTGCTTCTTTTCCCAATGATTCACAGGCGCTGACCATCACGTGCAACTCTATTTCATGATTCCGTGTCGATTGGTCTCCATACTTCCATTTGAAGCCATTCTCCTTCCCTTTCACTTTCACTTTCACTAAAGCAGGGTTTCCTACCATGGTCTCGGCTCAGCTTCCGCTTGCTTTCGCGTACGTTGAACATAAATCACGCGCAATCGCCTCTAAAACGCCTAATCGTAACAAAGAGAGATTCTCACAATCCATCTGCATTACTTGTGCGTTACATCCGCGACTTGCTACGATCGGTGTCGTTCCCAATTCCACCTGCGATTGTCGCGACAGTGCTGTGACATCACGTACGACCTCACAACCAACGTATACAATTGCCCGTTTCAGCGCGCGAACATGACTGGAAGAGGATGTGCGAAGAATTTTGCTAATGGTAAGTTGAGTGTGGGATAGCTATCGCGACTTCCTCGAGTGATTGATGAGCTCGCGAATATCCGCGCAGATGGCTCAAGATTTATATACTAAGTAGACAACAGAGCACGCAGCTCGCATCAAAGCCACTAGACAACATGTCTATATCTCTGGGCTGAAAGGCCACCACACACTCGAAACGGGGGTCGCGTACCACTACCGAGGACATTTCATCTACGCCTTTCCCGCAGGTAACCCCATCGAGCCTGTTCCGTTCTCAACAAAAAAGGGCATAAACATTATAGGAGTCGTCTATGATCATGCGCCGCTTTACAACCACAAGGACCCAAATCTTGTACTCGAACACAACATCGCTGCCTTGGAGAGATCATGTGTTCACGAGCGAGAGCTCCAAGAGGAGCAGGAAGAGATCAAGAAGCAAGAGATGAAGAAGGCACTTGAAGAGGAGGAAGTCAGAAAGGCAGAGAAGGAGAATGGGGGCGAGAGTATAATGGGCAGCGCAAAGGATAGTGATACTGCTGCGACACCCAAGGCACGCGCACAGGAGTCCTTACCCAGTCAAGTACCCTCACGTGTCCCATCGTTCACAGCCCTGCTAGTCCCCTCGCAGGTGTCTCCAAACATCAGTCCACGTACCGGCCCTCATGCATCTCCTCACGCTCGACCAGCACCCGGTCACCAAAGCTCTTCGTCATCGACCAACATTCCACGAATCGGCGCCGTCGAAGCTCCTTCCACGCAAGCCTTCCCATCAATAAGCTACACACCCCACGACCGCGGCCACTACCTCGCATACTCTGCTCCAGGATCCCGCCATGCATCTGTAGACAACACGCCCTTCGTCTCACGCTCCGTCTCCCCAACCCATCTACATGGTCTCAGCGTGCGCGGTGGTCACAGTAATGGCCATGGCTCACTTCGACCCATAGCGAGCACCTCGCGCTTAAACCAATTACTCGCTGAAGAAGGGTTTCGTCGGTCTTCAAGTCCCCTTACAGACGTAACAGAAGATGGTGGGCAGGGAGGTGAGCCGCCACACTGGGAAGAACAGGATGAAGACATGGTAGCCAACCTCTCCGTATCACAAGGCTGGATGGATCCAGATGACATCTCTGCGTTTGTAGGAACTGTTTCACGGCGACCATCTCCATCTCAACCTTCCTCGCGCTCGCGGCCGTTGTCGAGGGTGAATACCTGCAATCCACGGCCCAACTCACACTCGCCCAATAGTGAAGAGATGACGGAGGGTGGGCTATATCTCCATGGTCTGGGTCATCCGGACGTAATTCGTGATGCCGTGTCTAAGGCTCAGACAAGGGAGTCTAGTCCGTTCCGCGTGCCGAACTATCAGTCTGCAGAGAGCGCAGCGTATTTGAGAGGTCTGGCGATGAGGCATTATGATATGGTGAATATTGGGCTTGGATTTGGGTCGAATACATCAGCCAGACAAGGGGGCAGTAGCTATCCTGAGGCTTCGTCTACGAGGAGTCAGACTCCCATCGGACACCCACCCACTGGTTTATTCGGAAGTCCAGTCTTCGCGCCCTCGCAACACTGCGACACCACACCCGCGTTCACCTTCCCCGCTCCCAGACAACCAGATTCTTTCCCCTTCCCCGCATACATCGACCCGGTCCCTTCCCCTAGCTACATCGCCCACACGGACAAGAAGTCGAAGCCACTAAACACGGGCCGTCCACGCGCCGCTTCCAAAGCCCTGAATGAAGCCTACAACGCCGCGAACCCATCGCCAACGCCCCGTCCCGTTTTCCCTTCTCTCTCACACCCGCCTGACAAGCATACTGAGATCAACAACACCGCCACCGATACCGAGGACGTGGTATTCACATCACGCTGTCCAATCCACTCGGAGTCGTGCAACGGCCAGGATGTGGTACATGAACATATGACAGAGCGGGCTAGAAACGGTGCTGGGTTCAAAGACTTGTTTCCTACGGTTACGTGTGACGATGGGAGGGTGATGGTAGATTGGGCAAGGATGAGGGATGAGGAGGTGGAAAAGCTGAGGGAGTGAAGGAGACTTTGGCTTAGGGGATGAATCGGGTACGTTAACACGAAGAGTACTGGGGGAAGGAAGGAAGGAAGGAAGGAAGGAAGGAAGGAAGGAAGGAAGGAAGGAAGGAAGGAAGGAAGGAAGGAAGGAAGGAAGGAAGGAAGGAAGGAAGGAAGGAAGGAAGGAAGGAAGGGAGGGGGTTGGATGTGGTAGGAAAACACATTTGTACTATACTAGTGGGAGAAACTGGGTAGTAATGAATGGGTCATGGACGACCTGCTCGGTGTGCTACCAAAATGGAAAAACGAAAACAAGAGCAATTACGGTCGTACATAATCATGCTAGCAACATGAAAGGAAGAAAGACTAGCTAGTGTGCATATAACACTAAGAGTGAACTCAGCCATACTCAGCCCATGCACAACAACTCTCATAATCACGACGCTTTCCTGGGTATCTCAACTCCGTGAAGAATACTATACTCCACATGACACCCCCTAACGCCTCATCACAAACGGACTACATCATCCGGTAACATATGTTGCTTGTGGTACGTGAGGTAAGCTTACTCGTCGACAGCGGCGGCCTTCTTGCGGCCCCTGTGTAGCATTAGCCATGAACACAATGATCTCTTGAATCGATCCAGACGTACCTCTTCTGGGGAATCTTCTTGGGCTCGGGAGCTTCTTCCTCGACATCGCTGCCGTCCTCAGGCTCAGGCTTGACCTTGGCAGCTGCGGCCTTCTTGCCTCGAGCCTTCTTAGGTTGCGGGACATCCTCTTCGTCATCCTCGTCTGCTACCTCTTGCTTGGGCGCAGCCTTCTTGCCTCGAACCTTCTTGGGTGCGGGCGCTTCCTCCTCGCTAGCCTCGGTGTGCTGAGGAGCCTTCTTAGTCCTACCATTAGCACGAGGCTTCTTTGCTGGAGGAGCAGTCTCTTTCTCGCCATCTTCTTCGTCAACTTCCTTCTTGGCGGGTCGACCGCGCTTCTTAGGGGCGGGGGCTGGAGCGGGAAGATCGTCCTCTTCTTCATCTTTGACCTTCTTGGCCTTGGTGGTGCGCTTCTTCGGAGCTGGTGCGGGAGCGTCCTCAGCGTCTTCGTCCTCGACCTCATCTTTGACTTCGTCCTTCTTGGCCTTGGTTGCGCGCTTCTTCTTAGGTTTCTCGTCAGTTGCTTCGTCGTCATCGTCTTCGGCGTTCTTCTTGGTTTTCTTTGCCCTGGGCTTCTTGGCCCCCAAACGATTCAGCTCAGGGTCCTGTTGAAGTTAGTAAATTGATTGAGCGAGGAGTTCTCCGGGAATATGTGGAAATATACTTACGCGTGTGCAGTCTTCATCTGGAATATGGCCATTCTCAAGCGCGAATTCGATCTTCTCTTGAAACTCGGCAGGCAACTCGTCATAGCCGTCGACCATGTCAGTGTCACCTCCGCACGTCTCGACCAGGTTCTCAATCTGCTTAGGAGTGACGCATCCCCTAAAGTAGTCATTAGACATATTGCAAGTAGACAAGTAGTACAAGGACGTACCAATGGCGGTATTGCCAGCTGACATGATCCTTGATGGTGACCTGTGTCGCATAGCGCAACTCGCCTTTCGTGATCTTGGTGCCAGAATCTTTGCATTCTTTGACTTGACAACCGGCGCGGTTGTTAGGACACACCTCTATAGTATAGTCAGCATGATTCTGATTGGCGTAAGAGACGGCTTTATCATGCGGCTCATAGCTCATTGGCTACAACAGTGTTCAGGTTAATTCAGGTACTCACCGACGCGGTAGACACCCATAGTCGCGGTTGTTAGTGTATCGGGTGATGGATGGACGTTGGTTCGCGATGTGTTTGGCGGGCACGCGCAGAAGTAATCACTTATATATGCAAATGTCCTAGGCTGCAGCGGGTGAGAGTGTTTTGTCTCGGTTCAACTGTTGAATGTCGCGAAATGTTTGCGCCAGTAGACGCGTGAGGTCACAGAGGAAGCGCTAGTGGCAGGGCAGCCTTGAGCACGGGTGCTGATCCCTGTCAGCCACCTTAGCGCGTCTCGGATCTGGAGAGTGCAGTTCGTCATGATCCTAGTCAGAAAAAGTCAAGAACATGCCGCTGGCACGAGCATTCACTCCCACCCCTCATCCGCCACCCCTCAATGAGCGCTGCGCATACATGTTTTCGCAGCGCCCTCTCACAGGCTTTCCGTCCGAACTCTCGTGGAATCGCTGCTCCCTGTTCCGTCGCCGCCTTCCTCGTTCCCGCCCTCGGTAGACCCTCGAAACGCACCTTCACATCTGGGAAACGCCGCCCCGCAGATGCACAGCCACGTCTCCAGCCGTCGACAGAAGATAGAGAGGTTGTGATTACTCGAGTAGTCCCTCCAAAGCCCAAGGAACGGATTCATTCATGCATACCCTACCCACCTCGAGAGGCTCGTGGCGATGTCAAGGCATGGCTTAGTACCATTGAGCCATTTCTCCCGAGTCACCTGCGGCAAGAGGCATCTGATGAACCAGAAAACCCGACAACGTCACTTGACTTCGCCTTACTCATCAACAAAGCCCAAGATGCCTCCGTGGATATCCTCAGCTACCTCGGGGTAAAGGCGGGGAAGTGGCAGACAGTAATCTGGATAGTAAAGAAGCTCACTGAAGATGGAACACGCTCACAGGATCTTACCACCCACTTGGAACAGTACGCGAACGCCATATTGCAAGGAGAAGGACACCGGTCTTTGAAAGAGCTGACTGAAAGCCCACTGCACCTCCAACGAACATATCCAAACCGCAAGCTGCAACTTAAACTTGATGTCGTAACGTCCGCCCCCGAATCGATTCGCTATTCGCACGTCATAGTCAAACGAGCGTTGGGACAGTTATGGAGGAGTCTGGCGGATATGATATTGACAGCCGCGGAGCAGAGCCGTAGCGAACAGGACATCATCATGCCGCATGTCTTGGAGATGATTGCCTACCTGCATCATCTGGGCTTGATGCCTGACTCAGTCTACACATATCGAAATCCCCAGGACAAACATGCCCTCCAACAGCCTCCGACACTTCACATGCTTTCGTCCAAGATTTTGACGGCTCTGTCTGACGCGACCTGGACCGCTCACGAAGCTTCCGTCAAGACTGCCAAGGATCGCGCAAACGCCCAGTACTTCCTCGGCCACGAGATACCCGGGTCCCGTTACAAGGTTCAGGTCACAGAGGTGGCTCCGGAGCTGTGGCTAGAGCTTGTCCTGTGGTCATGTTTGCATGGTGGCTGGACACTAGATGGCACTGCTATCCTGGAGAAATTGGCGGCCAGGGAAGGGGAACACAGCTGGGCGCTTATCAGCTGGCGAGAGATTATGGAAGCGGAGCAGAAGAAGACGCCAGCTCCAACAACTACCTGGAGCTTACTTCCAATGAGCGGGGATGCTGTTGCAAACGCAGAAGATCGCGCACGAACCCGCAGAACTATAAGTAGCGAGATTGTCACAGCCTTCGTTGATGGGCTTGTCAATCAGATGCGACTGGGGGTAGGAGCTCGCGGTGCTACGCCAGAAAGTCTGGTTGCTTCTATCAAGATCTTGAAAGGCTTTTTAGACAAGAACAACTTGAGTCTTGGTTCCTCAGCTTGGGATTCCATCATGGTCCGGCTTATCGAGTCCGGCGGCTTCGTACCCGAGAAGCGACCAGAGCTACTCTTGCGAATCTTTGAGTTGGCTCCAGGATTTGGTGGTGAGGTTGGCGCTGCGAATACTTCTGCTTCGGCTGATACCGAAGTGCCTTACTTCTTCGAGCCCACCACCATACCTCTCAGCTTCTTGCATCGAGCTATGCGTGCTTTCATTAGTAACGGAGATATCCAGGGAGCAGTGACCACATTGTCTATGCTCCAACAACACACTGATGACAACAAACAAAAGTCTGTACAGGAGTTTTTCGAGTTCCTTCGAAGCAGTCCGCAATTACGACCAGATGAACCTTTCACAAGCCGCCTGCCACCAGTTGAATTCCCAGCCTTCGACATCAAGCTCCCCCTACCTCTCCTTGCACGGCTGCTGGATTTAGTCACCGAGTCAAAGCTGTATGATCTGGGCCGTTGGCTACTGTTCTCTGACGACTTGGATGGTCCCCTGGTCGATCGTGAATTACACAGTCATCGTAACATATCCGCGTCTGTTGTTCGTTTCGGTACCATGGCTGGAGAGAACAGGCTCGTCTTAGATGTCATCAAGAAAGTCGGGTTGTGGGATGAGAAACACCAGCAGCAACGCATGCCAGCCGAGATTCTGACAGCCTTGCTATGTGCACAAATCAAACTCCGTCGATGGGACTCCATCAGAGGCATGCAGAAGTATGTGGAAGAAACCTCTACGTTCAGACCGCGACCTATTATCATCTCGAGCTTTGCCGCAGAACTCCTTCGAACCTCAGTTGGACCCGAGGAAGCCAAGATACGTGCTCAAGACACATTTACTGGACTACTCTTTGCGTGGGAGAACATGATACTCCGCAACATACGCGGTGAGCTCTACTGCACACTATCCGTCATGTCTACCGTAGATAGTGAGTGGAAAGCATACTGCTCTCGCTTCCTCGCATTCTCCTCCCGTCAAGCGGTCAGTCTCTCCACAGATGACTTCAACCGTATACTAAGCGGTGTACTCGATGGCTACGGCAGTGCCAAGGGCAAACTTCTTGTCGAAACCTGGTGTCACAAGTCGCGAAAGAATTTCGAGCCATATAGAGCGCCAGGTGGGTTACCCACTATGCCACAATACCGTGTCACGAAGAGCAAAGAGTACGAGGATCGACCAAAAGACATTGAAATTGTCCAGGATTCCGGCGCCACGCTTACCTTACAAGGGCGCATCACCCCTAACCGACAGACGATCTGGGCCATTATTCGGAAGGTCCAAAACGAAGTGGAGACTGATGGAAGAAGTGGCGAGGAAGTGGAAGAGGCCACGCGTAAAGAGAGGCGCGATACGCTCAGGTGGGCTGCGCAGATGCTCTACAATTTGGGCTTCGATGATGAGGATATCATTCGTGGTCTAGGCAGTCTTGCAGACCTTGCCAAGCTTGAGGCTCCTGCCTCGCCTAGCGATGTCGACATTAGGAATGGAGAAGGTGCCAAGCAGTCGAACGTTTAGTTCGGTTGAAGCCCGCTATTTCGGCCACTTGCATATAGTCTACCGGACTTTTGTACATACATGTGCGAAGGGAAGCCAGGCGGCAGCAGTCTGAGCTAAAGACGCTTACTCTTCTTTGTACATACACTTGTGTAATCACGTAATGCTAACTACAAGAGGTATGGGGGCTCCTGACGATTTACCCCATTAAATATTGTGAATGAGGGGCTAGCCATAATGAAGATATGTTGCGCGTGATCCGGATTTTCAAACCCTGAGTGTGTTCGTGGCTTCTAGGCTCCACTGGCACTCCACCTTGTACCAAGCCAGAGATAACCAAGGACGGTCTGGCCGAGCGACCGTTGACAGTTCTTCCTTGAATGTAAACGTTGCAGCGAACAAAAGAAAACTGAGAAAAACAAAAGGAAATGTGGCCTTGTGGTAACGAGCCATCCTACAGAAAGTTTAGATGGTGTGTAGCTGCAACGTAGCTGTATTGCCTCCTAGGATATACATGTATGTTCCGGCCAATGAAAAACCTGCCATTCATGTATGTACGTATCCGACGACCAATGAGGAGCATATACACATATGACATGTCGAAGATCTCGCATCAGCTTGAGAAAGAAACTTGACCCAACCGGCGCACTGTGGGTCGACCCACCAATGCACCTCAAGCAAGGTAAAGCTCAGCCTCACCCAAAAAAAAAGTTGACTCGAGGTTTGCAGAGCAAAGAGTACGGTTGAGTATAAACGGTGTCAACGGCAATTCCAATGGAAATGCCGATTTAGAGTAATGTCGTTTCTTTACATGTCCTATAGTAATTAGATGATTTACAAGCGAGTGTCTCAGGGCGGACACTGCTGCATTGTGACAAGCAGCAGCGGCCCGCAAGTTGCTGTACCTTTACTGTTTGAGGCGCCGGGCTACGTTTGCACCTCTTCACCGCTTCTTCGCCTGCGGGCGCCAGCGTCAATACAAGCCCAGTGCGTATCGATATGAGATGCATCTGGAGGGGTACAATGCCGAGCGACGTCAAGCGTACTTTTGGTAGATCCACGATCGCATCGCGAAGTCGGGGTTGAGTAGGCGCAAGTTTCCATCTTCGATGCTTTTGCTAGGGCAGATATTAAAGATGACGATGTCAGGAGAGCGAGGTCAACGGTAATCTACTATTCGTGCCCTGCTGTTCGTCGCAGCATATGCAAACCCGGGGCCTGCGTCTCAGCAGCAACCAATAGGCTGAAGCCGTTACCGTGTATTAGCCCCGTGTTGCCTCATCGCTGCACGCACTGCGCACGTCCAGGTTAGTTTCAGTGGGGCAGTTCGGCGAGAAACCAAAATTTCCTGATGAGGGGCACGCGACAGGCGCTGGAAGACTGCAATGAATGGGGAACTGAAGAAGAAATTACAAAATCTGTTGCACTAGGGTGTGTAGAGCGCCGTGTCTTTGACTGACTGGTATGTCGCGTCGTCGCAGCTAATTGGTGTTGGATATGGAGTCATCGCTGCAAAGAGAACTAGCCGCTCGGACCATGCGATATGTCGCTAGGGCGGAACTAAAAATTAAACATATCCTCTGCCCTCGCCCGCATTCTCTCTCCACATCAGCCCAAAGACGTCAAAGTCACACAGAAACATACCAGAAACACACAATAACCACATCCATACACCATTAATCGTCGAGACAATGCCGCAGGCAATCGCTGAGCTCTAAACTCCTGGTGCAGCCCGCCCATGGGCTGCATCAGCCCGACAGCTCACGGAATTTCAACCTCTACGACGATACCAATACTACGACTGCGTGCAGTATCCTCTGCGCAAACTCGTCTCAACCAATTGGCAATCGTCTGGCCTGCGCTGCAAAACAACATCATTGTCGTTTCTACCAGCTCAACGCTTGAAGATCGACGAGACACAAAGGGCTCCGCATACTTCGCCAGCCCTTCCCCTCAGTACACCAAATATTCAGTCGACGAAACGCTATCACCTCTTACGAAGCCGTATTCCGACCTACCACTCACCCCGATATCCCCGAGTCTCCACCCATCACATCTCATCACTACAAAGACGATCTTCAAAGACACGCAACCATGGCTCACCTTACGCATGCTCGATCGCCTACTCTCGGTGGACACAACAACCAAGATCGCAAACTCGTTCATGAGGCTACCACAAACACCCATCGCAATCACCAGCGATCTGCCTCTCCAGACACTGTTGGAGGCAGCACGCCCCACACCAATGGACGCGGTGGTGACCAATCGGCTACCGAAGGCGCTGCGGACGAAGACGACGAAGAGGACAGTAGTACTGCCAAAGACAACGAACAGGACGACGACGAGACCGATGCAGACGTGCCGGCCTTACCCTATAGCTATGCTAGGGGAGGCAAGGGCAAGGGAAAGCGTCCTTCTATCCGCATCGAGCCTGCAGATGACGATGAGTCTCACGCTGAAGACGATGACAATGTCTCAGAGCTCATGCCCAACAAGCATCCAGTAAACCAGCTACTAATGAGTAACAAGAAACGTACCTTTAGCAATCTCTCGAGCACCTCAGTCCTGTTCGGCGACGACTCCACAGACCAAGAGTCGTTCCCCAGACGCAAGATGGCTCGGAAACTGAGCAACGCTTCCAGCATACCGCTGCTAACATACAAAGAGGACGAAGAACCCCAAGTAAGCTATGAGAACGCTATTGAAAGCGACGATGAAGACTACAGCGGCGTTATGAACGTCCCTGACGATGACGAATCCGACATGGAGATGATGGAGCAACAAGAGGAGAGTTATATCCTCCAAGAAGAGCAATCAGCTACCAATCTTCTCAATGAGTATCGTGATGCTCGACGACTCAGTCTTGAGAGTTGTTTTAGCGACAACATCTTCGATGTTACTGCCCCACTAGACGATGCGTTCATGTCAGGTCTTCCTGACTACGGCTTTACTCCTTTCTTCGAGCCAGATGCTCTGCCTGCATCTCCTGTCCCTATGGCTAAGAGGAAGTTCTCAGACGGCTCAGCTAAGCGCGTCCGCTTTGACGACGACGTTCAAGTATCAGATAGTTCCAGTTCGGAATCTTCAGAACTCGACAGCAGTGTCTTCCCTGATCTCTTCTTGGATCAAGATAAGATTCCTCCTAGCTTGCATCAACTTCTTGATATGGACTACGATGATGACAACGGAGACATGGCTTCTCCGCAGTCCGATGCGTCATTCTGGGACTTTGAGCAAAACGAATCACGTATCACTCAAGTCGATAATTCGGATGAGTCCGATGGCGAGTCGTCTGGCGAATCCAGCGGTTATGAGTGTATGGTAGTGCCCTATATTTGCTTTTACTCAATGACTAACGTTTCTCATCAGCTGACATGGGTGATACCACTGATGAAGAAGACTTTGGAACCGACATATTACCACGCACGCCTAAGCAGTCTGTTCTACAACGACCGGCCTCAGCACCAGGCTCACGTGCTGCTACGCCCAAGCCCTTCCAACGCAGCTCCCGTCCGATTGGCCGCCAAATCCCGCCAACCCGTGGCATCTTCATTCACGACGAGACTGACCAGGCTATCGCAGTCACTAACAGGGCTACCAAGGCTGTCTCATTCTACCGTCCTCGCACGGTGATGATTCCGTGGATTCCTTTGACCGATTACCAAAGTAGTACGAGCGGCACTGTCAACAACAGTCCCCGGAACTCCATTGCTCAACTCAACGCCTCCGACAGTGAGAACAGCAATGAAGTTTTCAACAACGGTCTCAGCACCGACATCATGCTTAGTGGCATCTTTGGATCTGCCTCGGGCAATGACTTTGCTTTTGGAAACGAAAGCATTGGTCCTCCCGAGGCTTTCTATCCCTTCGTAAGCATATCTTCCAACGGTAACATGGGCCTCGTTGACGAAGATGAGGAGGGTTCTTCGAGCGACGAATACGATGATGACCTCAACATCGCCGACTTTTTGGAATTTGGCGATTCAGGCGGAGATACTGATCTAGACGAGGACGATGAGTTCGACGATACTGATGTACCAGCTACGCCGGCAACTTCCAGTATGGCACATCATGGCTCCACTCCGGCGGCACCAGCTACCGTCACGCCTGCCCGCAAGAGAACTACATCAGACGTCATGCTTGAGCACTTCGATCGCGGTGTCGTTACCGCTTTCCGCAGCAACCAAAACCGGTACCGCGATGTAGCGTCTCTGCCATCGGATCCTGCGGCGCGCGCCTCCGTTTCCCGTCCTGTCCGCTCTGGCAAGTCCGCCGAAGCTTTGATAACTCCTCTCCGAAAGCGCACCCGGTCAAACAGAGTAGCCAAGTCACCTCTGAAGAACGGCACGACCATGAACCGCAGCTCACCTCTCTCGGGTGTCACCAAGGCTACATCGCGGCTGCAAAACTCTGTCATGGGCTCTCCTCGCGGACCCCCTAAGATGGGAACATTTTCCTGAACTCACCACGACACCACGACGTCATCAACATGGAGCGCGGCAGATCAGAAGATGGAGCGACGAGTATCTGGAAGGAAGAATTAGTAGTCTTCCATGGGGATATACCGACGACGTTACGATACCCACGGCCTTTTATCTTCTAGCTGTTTCGGCAGCTATGTTGTTATTACGAACTTTACATGCATTTGCATACTCACAAAAAGTCCTTGGATCCTTTTTAAAGATGGTCCCGGATAAAAGTTGAGCGAGGTACACCTGGCTTTAGAGCGGAACTTTCCTTTGCGGCAACGCAGCGGTGGCGTCGTTCGGGCTAGTGCAGCCTATCGTTGCGTCTTCACGATTTTCCTTTGTTTGGGTTGGAGTTCCTTTTGCTTTTCTCAAGTACAACTGTGTGTTTTTATTATCTTGACACTTCGCTATTCCGTTTTTCTCTAGGGATGATACCACGTGTTTCTACGAGTACGGATCTGCATGGGTTTACTAGCTTCGGCTTCCTCTGGCGTTTGGGTTTTAACAGTTTGGCAGACTGTTGACCTGATGGCGTTGAGGTTGACGGATGGCTCACAGGCATACCGCGTTTGGTTTTTTTTGTCTTCCTTTCCTATGTCTTTGATTTGAATTGGCAAGGTGTGTGTGTGTGTCGTGTAGGATTATTGGTATATAGTATGGGTGGGAGTACTTTCTTGCTTGAATGAAATACGTTTACCAAACTGTATCTTGAACAATTGCGTGACTTGCACCCGAAAGAGATGTGTCCCTGAGTCTGCAATGGTTGTGTTACCAGATTACAGGCTCATCATCCTGTTCCTGCACAATGGCGCGATCATCGTTTTGCGGGATGTCAGGATGCTAGCATACTGGAATGCTTGCTTAGTGTGGTGTCTATATCGTCTGTGCTCACTACGTCACACGCTCAGCCCGAAGCTCGCTCCCTGTGCATGTGAAGATCGCCCGTGCGACAATATGCCAACACCACAACATGTAGCCGGCAGTTTCCCCCAACTTACTGCGATGGAGGAACTTAAAGATGATCTTCGCGAAGATAGATCAATTCTTCGGATTGCTACGGTAAGGGATACACGAGATCTCGCTTGGATTGCTGCGACTGCCACTCCCTGCGTGCACCCCACGACGCGTGCTCATGTGCTCAACAATATCTAGGATGCCCTGCTTCTGCCCCTCCGAATAGCGACATCGCCAGCCCTGATACGAACCTACCTTCGCACCGTCCTCCTCTTCATCACCTCTACCATCCTCTTCGCCTTCGCAGTCGTCGCATACTCGTCCTTCTACTACAACTACATACCCGTGCGCGGCATCTCCGTACCCGTATACCTCCAATTCGACCATGGCCCAATCCTTTCTCCCACAACTACCACACGTTCAGATGGCAACAGCCTACCGATCGGCAAGCCCGCAAAGTGGCCCTACGGCCTCGCCAACATACCGGGCCTGGTAGACCGCCAGAAATACGACGTCGTCGTTGAAATGGAAGTACCCAGGAGCGAGACCAACTTGAAGGCCGGCAACTGGATGGTGGGACTGGAATTGCGGGGCCCCACGACAATAGGACAAGGCGTCAAGCATCTCCTCGGCTGGGACGAAGAATGGAGCGTCGAGGACCATAGCCAAGGTGGTATACCGGGTGCTACGGCCGAGAAGGTCGTTACAGAAGGTACGACGAGCGAGACGCCTACCGTACTAGCTAGAAGTCGCAGACCGGTTCTCCTAACGTATCGGAGTCGGGTGCTCGAGATGGTGTATAGGGGGTTGAGGCTGCCGCTGTATCTGGTGGGGTGGCATACGGAATCTGAAGCTGTTGAGATTAGCATGATGGAGGGTGTCATGTTTGAACCGGGCTATCGTAATGTACCGTCGAGCTTGAGGTTGGAAGTACGAAGCAAACTTCCAATCGAGGTTTACCGGGCTAGTGTTAGGATCAGTGCAAAGTTGGAGGGGTTCAGGTGGTTGATGTATCGATACTGGATCACCAGTGCGATTGTTGGTATTCTCGCGTTCTGGGGCATGGAGATGGGCGTTTTACTCTTCACATGGGGCGCTTTTACCTTGCTGTTTAGTTCAGGTTCGACGACGACGCCACCTGAAGAAACCCAGCGACGACGGAAGATCAAAAACGAGCAAGGCGAACCGTTTCCTAAACTCGAACCTAGGGATGATAATTCGGAACCAGGCACACCTTACAGCGACACAAGTCGTACATTTCCCACACTACCTTCCCAGCAACCTCTCTCGTATAGCTCACCGAGTCCGAAAGAAGAATATGGATCCCCCAGGCTGGAAGACATACCTACGAGAGAGGACATGGAGGCTGATGACGAGGAAGATGATGATTTTATCGTTGAAGAGCCGGTTCCTAGGGGTGTGGAGAGGGAGGGTGTGTTTACGGATTCGGGGATTGGGACGAGTTTAGAGAGTAGTATTGAGAGGGGGCTGGCTAGGAGGAGGAGTGGGAGATCAAAGGGCAAGGGTGGTGAGGGTGGAGGTTAGTTGCTGCGGGATACGTAAGAGAGAGGTTAGATCGGTGGTGAGGTGTGTGGTCTGTGATAGGAAGGGTCGGACATCACGGTAGATATAGTGTGACAGAGATTTTATTGGTACGTGGTAAAGCTAAGCTTACTTGTTAATACCTATGGCCTTCACAATACCGTTCTTCTGTCCGTCGCCGATACGCCCTCGTTGTGTACTCGGTTCATCATGTTTCAACAGGCTTCATTGTGTAGTTGGCTGATACGATGTAGGGGTGGCCGGGGACGAGGGGAATACCATGTGAACCCATGGGGGGAGGAGAGACGCCTATGGGGCAGCGGGGCAGCTATATGGCGAGTTATAGTCAGAGGACTGAACGCATATGCGACGGCTGGGAGGATACTTACATCTTCGTCTCCGCCGCAAAGAACGCGGCAAGCCTCCAGGCTTCTTTGGCAGATTCGACTACAATCGACTTGCGCGCAGTCGATGCTGCTGTAGGAGCCCTCGAAGCCGGGCATAATGGTTCGAGAGCAGTAGTTGGTAGTGCAGTATTTCCCATGGCCTGAGGGAATTGTGTTAGCATAAATCTAGGGGGATATGGGAGAGACTATGTATCAGTGCAAAGAACTGGCTTGTTGCACTCACTGTACTCGCTTGCCATAGCGGCGGAGAAATAAAGGAAGATGCTGGTGTGGAAGTATCTCATCTTGTGTCTTTGTATCCTTGTAGATGAATTGTGATGTTGAAGAAAAGGAGGAGGTATGCCGGCTAATATATATACATCTTTGCAATTTGATTCTTGAATTTTGATGTGGGACTAGGAAATATTTGCAATACGGTACTCTTTGGAACTATATGGAATGCAGAGCTTCTGTATGGTGGGCAGGAGAAGGTGTGTTGAAGACCCTGGTTTACCCGAGCGCTCTTGTGGATAGGATCACGCTACAAATGTGCGGTAATGCATAGAAATCAAGGAAATTACAAAAAACACGGAGATTTGCCGTCATGGTTCTGGAAAGTATCAAGCACGCTGTTGCAACCATTACGACACTTGACTTTGGTGTACTGTTGGAAAGAAATCTATATACAAAACCCTGAGATCCATAAAATCTATACGTAATTTCTTCAAAGGTAGCCATTCAACACGGGCCTGGGCCTAAATCCAACTTACAGCATAGGCCTTTCACTCGCCGGATCCATCCCCCTCCTGAACTTTGCTTCAATCCTCTCCTTACCCTTTTGCATGTACGCCTCGACCTCGTCATCTCTAATCTTCGTCAACCCGCTCTTGACATCCATCTCACTCTTCTCTAGTGTCTTCGCCTTGATAAACACGCCATTACTTTGCAACGTCTTTCCCTCAACAACTTCTTTGCAGAACTTGCCATACTCGTCGAAATGCACAGGACTGCTTGGATTACTCTCAAGCAACATGGCAAAACAATGCGGCATGGCTTCGAAATCACGCCAAACCACCGTCACACCCTGGGCTACGCAGCGCTGAGCGATGACGGCGCCTTCATCACGTAGCATTTCCTCGCCAACGGAGAAGAACAACGGGGGGCATTTCGACCAATCTTTTGCGGCGAGAGGCGAGACGAGGGGGTGCATGAGTGCGGATGCTTCGCAGTACAAATCAGCGCGCGGTGGGTTGGCGGGCCAGACACCGTCGTCCTTTGGGAACTCGCGGGAGTCGGTTTGGCTGGGTGTGGGGAGGTAATCATAAGTCACGCCCCCCTCAATCGACGGTAAACTACGCGTGATGTCCACCCAAGGGCTACTCAGCGCCACACCAGCCGGAAGCGGAATCTCAACGTCCTTGCCGTGGAACCGAACACGCGGGGTTTGGCCAGCGGGTGTACTACGGTGGATTTGCAAGAGTAGTTGGAGTAAAGCGGTACAGCATGTCCCACCCGCTGAATCACCTCCAAATACAATTTCAGAGGCGGGAACTGGCGCGTGGAACGAGCCGGGTGGTGGGGAGAGCAGGGTGAGGTACGCTGTGAAGCAGTCGAGTAGTGCAGAGGGGAATGGGCCTTGTGGGGAGAGGCGGTACCGGACGGAGAAGACGCGGCCGCCTGTTTCCTTTGCGAGGCGGCCGGTAAGGGGACGGGACGTTGCTGGGTCGAGGAGGTACATTGCGCCGCCGTGGAAATAGAGGAGGGTTACTTTGCTCTTGGTCTCTTTCATCAAGCTCTGGTACTTGGCCTCTTCGCTCATATCAACTGGTTCTGGCTCATCGTCTTTTGCATCGGCGCGGTAGCCGTTCCACTCTGCTTCCAAGGGGCGCTGTTCGGGTTTTGTCCATGTCTCGTCGCCTGTGCTCATGTCGTCGATGGCCTTGAACATCATCTGTCGTACATCGTCTTCTTCTGGTACATCTAATTTGACTTTGCTGACCCAGACTTTGCCCTTGACACCCGGATCTTTGCAGGTTAGACGCTGTAGCTTCGAAATGGGTGTTGGTGTTGAATTGGGGCCCATCATGTCGCGAAGCATGCTAACCGTGATTTCCGTCCTGAGATCCCACTTTGAACTCGTCGGTGACATGGATAGAGAGTGCCATAGTGCTGTCTTTACTAGAAACGGTGTTTTGGGGAGAAGGAACTTGATCAAGCCGGAAGGTGAAGAGTCCATGTTGGCGGTGTTCCGCGGAGGGAGTTGTACGACTCAGGTTCGACGACGGTGAAAGCGAATGTATGGCAGAGTTTAGTCCAAGCCAATGTAAGGATTTTTGTGTTTCGGGATGTCCAGGGCAATAGCAAAGATTAAAGGAGAGAAGGAAGTCACTTTTCGTGGCGAACAGAGTGTTGACGTCGCACTACTAGGCCGTCGACGCGGCATGTAATGATGCCTCGGTACGTAGCTCCACGAGTCATGCATAGACTCATGCAAGATATACGGTCCATACGCTCGTGTGGGGGTCGGTCATTAGCAGCAGTGAAAGCGAATCAAGACATGTTGCATTCCTATGCTTACTCTTCAGTTCGTGAGTTACAACACAAAACATCGCATATTCCAGAAAGCAGGTAACACACAGCCATGTTGTTTGATCATCAATAGTATTCAAGTACTATGCGCATAGTAATAATAGATAATGCGGGTTTGTGGTATCTTCCCATCCATAAGCCTTGTACCAAACGCCTGTTTACTCAATCACCTAAAAAGGTAAAACTGCAAGCCATACCGCACATCATCAATCTCAGGCATCGGTAGTGAACGCAACAATCCACCATCTAACGATCCAACTGTCCCGTCGTTGGCCATCAAACCAGGACGCAAACTACCAGAATTCTTCGATATACTGGCGTATCCACTCGTGGTCAGATGGGTATAGCGCCTGCAACATGTGCAGGGCGACAATGCGTTCCGCAGACGGAAAGCTATCACGTGTCGCTAGATTGTAAATCATCAATCTGTGGAGGTTCTCCTAGCCATCCAATTCACCCTCTTCGCTGCCCCTCTCCGTCGCGTTACCATCGCCCGTACCATTAGCAGGAGGCTGGCTATGGCTGGTTGTTTGTACACCTTCCATACCCTCAGGTGTGTCACCAAAATCGATGCCATCCTCTGGTGTCCTGAGCCCAGCGTACATGGACGGCTCTCCATCTTTGTCTGGCGACTTCTCGTACAGATCCGCCATGAGATTGCATGCCCTCCTAATGTCGCGTAATTGAACATGTTGTATTTCCCACCACGGTTTGCCATCGTCGTCCCCTAACTCTACTTCAGCCATGCGTGCGCCGGCATACAAGGATGCTGCGGCGATGGCTCGCGACGTGAACAGCAGGCACATTTGTGTGGATGTCGAATCGGAGAGAAAAGCCCAGGCCGAGTTGCGCAGTTTCTTGTTGTGCTCGACTCCGTAGTACTTCATCATGTCGTACATGGTCTTGTATGGTGACTCGACGTTGAGGTCGAAACACAGGGCCTCGAGTAGGACGTCTTCGCTGTACAGGATTGTATCCCGCCATTTCCAAAAGTCTTTTGTCTGCTCGTCGACGAGCTTATTGGGATCCTTGAGCGCGACTCGGACGCATGAAACGACGAGTTCTTTCATTTTACGACAGTTTTCTTCGACTTTCGTAGCGAGGAATAACGCGGTTGCGGCGATTTGCTGCTGGAATTAGATGCGCACAAATTGCACGTATTCGGAGAGGACTCACATAATGGTGAAGCGGCTTGTACCCTGGCCGTGGCTTCAAGCTCATTCGCATCAGATAGCGATTGAAAAAGACTGCCGCCGTACTGAGAGTGGTTTGTGGTAACTTGAGCATCATGCCGACTTGTAGAATGAAGCCGACGCCTTTCCGTCGCAGCGTGCGCTCCTCTTCAGCGGGCATCCCATCGGTTATGGATGGTGCCAGTAGTAGTTCTTCTTCCGTGAAAATCCATTGCATCTCGGCTTCGATGACAGCCGGTGGGGGCGGTCTTGGGGGCTCGCGCTGCGGCGGCATTGCGCTGCTTGTGGTCGATACCATCACCAGAGGCTGTAGCGGTAAAGGCTGTGTTCCGATGCGCGATGGTAGTTGTACAGATGACGGGTAAAATATATGCTCTGGTTTAATAGCGCGTCCAAGTTGTCGATGGCGACTATGATAGACGACAGTTGCAAAATGCGAAAAGAGTGGCGTCCAGGTAGCGAGGGGGCTTGGTGCGTGGTGGAGTGGATAGTGGAAGTGGACAATAGCAGAGGTATTGTTCGTCAAGGCGCGGCCATTGAAGCTTGAGAGCTGCAAGGGCCAACGGCTCTCTTCCGCGGCGAATGCAGGGATCAGTGCCAAGTCAACCCTCACCACCCTACCGCTCACCAGAAAGACGTTTGGCAACCCCAGGACCCGCGTCGTTCCCGAAAGCTTGTACTCTATCAGATAGTCTGGGCATGAAACAAGTTGAGCATGTTTCAGGAGCAAGTCAAACGTTGTTTCGACCTGTCAGGCCGCACATGAAACTATGATCAAATGTCAAGCGTGAGAGATGTATTGTACCTCGTTCTCTGCTATGCAGTCGAGAAAATGCCCTTGACCGTTTCCAGTCATGCCGTATAAATTTGCAGGTACAATTAAAATTACATAGGTAAACCAACATGAGATAGAGATAGTGATAGTTTGAGTGTGAACCGGGATCTGTACTTCCACCCCGCCATACGCGCCGTGTAATGCTGGAATTTGTGCCTCTTGCTTAAGAGTAGAATGCTTCAAATGTGTAGATGATGCCGAAGACGAGGAAAGCAATAGCACCACCAAGCGTGACTGTGATAAGTTAGCATTGAATATCAGAGGCGTCATGATGTGCTTACCATTGCGCATACTGATCTTTCCAGCAATAGCGCGGCCACCAATGACGGCACCCGCAGTACACAACCCATGGCCAACTACAGCGCCGGCAGTGACCCACCAGTAGTCAGAACCAGCAGCCATGGCAACAGTCGCAATCTGACTGCGGTCACCCCACTCTCCGAGGAAAGTCATAACAAACGTCTGTACCCAGGCGGGGCTAAGGAGGAGAGAAAACAGGTTGTTCACAGCGCCCAAAGTGCCGCCCAGAGAGCCTCCGCGCGGTGACGGTGATCGATCGGGCGAGGTAGAAGGGCTACGTGCGGGGGCAGGTAGTCGCGAGTTAGACCGTGAGCGTCGCACACCACGACCAGATTCTAGAGCATAAGGAGAGATGGAGGATTTCCGCCCCTTCTGGTGTCGAGCAAGCTGTTCCTTCTCTTCAAGTTCCTGCTCAACCTCAGCCATCTCCTCGCCAACACCGTCCTCTGGGCTCATGGCAAGACCCTCTCTGATGAGCTTGACACCGAACACGAGGAAAAGAGCGGCCGCAGCGAAGTGTGTGAAGCGTTCCGAGAGGAGTGCGGGGACGGCATGGCCCATCACAGCAGAGAGGACTGTCATGACGACCAGAGCGGAGAAGGCAGCAGAGAAAACGAGGAGTCGGGGGTGTCGCATAGCCATGAGGGCTGCAACGAGGAATGTCTTGTCTCCGATCTCTGAGAAGATGATCATAGTGAAGGCGAGTATAAAAGAATGGAAGGGTTGTATGGCGCCTTCGTCAACATCGTCAAGTGTCGAGGAGGGTGTCTTGGGCGGTGAGCTTGTGTCGAGGGGATCTTTGGTAGAGATGGAGCCTGGTACGGGAAGGGGATTGTCATGTAGGGAGTCGGGAAGGTCGGTAGGTTTCTGTAGGCTGGTTAGCACTGAATCGACAGCATGAAGATATTATCACTCACCTCCAGTCCGCCAGCACCGAGTATGCGAGTGGTGCTCGCTGTCGCTACAGCCTCTCCGCCTAATTGCTTCTGATCAGCGGGATGCGGGTGTGCCTCCTTTGGCGACTCGGGAACCATTTCCTTCTTCTCGCCTGTCTTCTCCTCGTGTGCCAATCGCTCCTTGTCTTTGGCCGACACTCCACCCTCGGTGCCTGTGGTGCCCGTGGCAGGTTTCCGCGCTGGATCCTGCATGACGCTCTTATCGCCATCTTTCACGTCGTCTACTAGAACGGTTTCTGGAGAAGCTCCAGGCTTCTTCGCGGCCCCAAGATCTTCTACAACATTGGGAGCTTTCTTTCCTTGGTATTTTGGGTCATCGTCCACATACGGTCCAGCATGCGGCTTGCCATCTAGCCCATCAAATGGCGCATCTTTGGTGCCTTTTACGCCAGCTGTCGGGGCAAGTGAGGCATCGGGCGAGTATGTGGCTTGAGTGTAGGCAGGCACAACGGCCCGCGCGGGCAACCTGTCGTCCGATGTGTCTACTGCGACGGATGTGGCGAGAACTCGTAAGGCGGGGAGGAGGAGTAGCAAAGTGTGCGGCCGTGGCTGTCGTAACCTCATGGTGAATGTGAATGAAAGGTGAGCAGGGGTGCAGTGCAATGTCGAGAACCGTCAGCGGCAAATTGAGGCGCCCAGGAATATCCCAAGGGCTGCAGGGAGTGACGAGAATGGAAGAGGTCGTTGTGAAGGAATGTGGATATGTTGTTTAGTTTATTTAGAACAGAACGGTGTAAGGTTCACTCTGTCGTTTGAGCGTAAAAGCAAGTTGAAGACGACTGAGATGCGCGCAAGGGGTGCGTGCAGACAGCCCACGTAATATGTCCAGGGCTACGCAAACACAATGAGTGCTAGTTAAGGGGTCTTTCGTCCAGGAAGCCTGTGGAGAAGTACGGAAACATCCTGCAAATGCCGTAGTTCCGTCTCGAACTTAAACGCTTCGTATTCAGCTCTTGTTTGCACTCTGGCCCCTTCTCCGTGCTGATTACTGAGGCCCACCCGCAGCCCGCCAACGGCAGAGGCCCGGGCGATTATTGAGGCTGATCACGTGAGCGCCCGTCGAGTATCCTTAGTCAGCCACTATCGCGGAGCATTGGCGTAAACAAGCCCGCATCAACGCTACTGACATCACATCTTCGCCCACCCTACGTCGCATGTAATACTAGTCGACATCACGCGTTTTTACCATACTATAATGGCCGACCGCAGGAGTGTGCGGTCTGCAAGCCGGCGCAAATCACCTACTCCACAACCACCATCCAAGGCGACCGCTACGCAATTGGGACGCGCATCGCGAGCAAGGAGTTTGCGCAGTGTGAGTCGCGAAGTTGAGGATTTTATCGACATCCAGAAACCCACCCGCCGAAGCGCGCGACAAGCGAGCGTGACTACAAACGACGAGAGTGAACATGAGCTACAAAAGGCGCGCAAGACAAAGCGCAAACCCGCAAAAGAGCTGTTGGGAGGTTAGTAGTCGCTTATGGTCACCTCATCACTTGCGCAAACCCCGTTCCTGGCTAGACAGATCCCAGGCTAATTCATGCACGCGCCAGACCTCACAGTCGTTGAGGAGATGGATACCCATATTGACCTCGAACAAGACGAGGCCCCAGGTACGCCTACGCGCACCGAGCCCGAACATGCGCCTTTCCAATCGCCGGGCGCCGCATCGCAAATGTCTGGGACCACCGCGATCTCCTCCTTCAGCATGGTCGAAGCCGAGTTCCTAGAGCCTAGATTCATCTTGAAGCATCTGCGCAAGTTGTGCGATTCTGCTGAGGAGTTTTTGGAGCACATTGCGCCTGACGGTGCGACGATGCGAGATGACCTGCAGAACATACAAGAGATGCAAAAACCAGGCTCAGCCTACATGGAAGAATACCTCGATTTCAACGACGAGTTAAACCTGCACTTGAAACACTTCAAGAGCGAAGAACACAGCTATATACATGTCAGAGCGCTTCACCGTGCTCTCTTCGGGACGAGTGATGATGTTGCAGCATCACAAAGCGGCCTGGATCTGATTCTCCACCTCACCAATTTACTGGTATTGGCAAAGCAAATGATACACTCAAACCGCGATGATAAGAACACTTGGGACGTGCTGCGACAACTCGATAACACGTTTCCAGCCCAGTTCATGCAGTCACTCGATCCGGATATTCAGCCAACGGCTGCAGGCGAAAGTGCGCTATACAAGGATACGTTTGATCTTGCGCTGGAACTGCGGACACAACTAGCAATACTTGTGCTTCAAAAGTCAGCCGATAGCCCCAGCTTTGATGCCCCAGGAACGATCGATGAGATCTTCTTTTACGATGAGTCGACCCGGGACCTACATGCTGATTCGGACATTCGAGGGTGGAACATGCCAGCCCTAGGAGGCGACGGCTCATCGCTACCCCAAACATTTCAAGACCAGGTTATGAGGCGGGTGGACGAGATTTGGAAATATCTCCCAGAGCATAAGGCCGTGCAACGTGCTGATCTGGAAGAGTTGAAACCGGCCTTTCCTTGGGAGCCAACTATTCTTCGCCTATTAGACTGGGTGCGTCTTCGACACAGGGAACTCAAAACTGTCATCGACAATCTTGGAGGACCAATTGCAATTACACGTAATGTCAAGCAAGCTCTAGAGGAACCCCAGCCTGTCGTTGAAAGAGTTCTACGGGAGTCGCTACGCAAGAAACGGACTTCATTAGGACGAGACAGGCGTCGTAGCAGCCGTAAGTTCGACCCGAATGCCGAGGTAGATTTGCGCGCTCTTGACGTATTGAAAGCGAAAGAACGGGATTCTGGCGTATACCTGGGACCTGCAGCTCGTATTCGGCAAACAGCTGAAGAAGTGCAAGAAGAACAGTCAGAAACAGAAGACCAACAGCAATATGAACGGGGCAGCGTGGTTGGGAACGATACCGCTTCTCAACAGAATCACAAAGGAACCTCTCAAGCAGTCGAAGAAGTGCAGGAAAAACAGCCAGAGATAAACGACCAAGAAGACAATTCGGAATGGCAAACGTTGATCGGAAGCGAGGAAGAGCACTCGGAAAAGCACCTGGAAGAGCAGCAGCTTGACCAACAACCAGTGGAAGACATGGAAGAGGTTGAAGAACCCCAAGCCTCAGGCCCACCACAGAGCTCTGCGGCTCTGCTAAAGGCCCTCAAAGATATTCCGAAGCCGCAGAAAGAGAACCGACCAGTATCAATATTCGATCGTCAGACCACAGCGCAACGTGTCGAATTCGGCGACGGCTTTGACGACACACAGCCAACGCCAGGCCCGTCAAATACAACCAAAGGAAAGCAACCCGCAGGACCTTCTCCACGCAAACGTCGGCGCCCAGTAGACTCCGACTCCGACTCCGACTCCGACGCCTTCGAAGCAGAGGATCGTGGCCACCATGCCCCAGAGCGTCGTCGCAAAGCCCCCATCGCAAAGAAACAACGCACTACCGAACCCCTACCCTCCTTCGCACCTCCCAGCCACCAACCCCTCCCCGTCCCGCACAGTCACGCCCCCGCCCATCATCCGAACAAGACGAATCCTTATCTGAAGTCTCCGCCCCTCCATGACAGAAGAGGAAGAATTTCCACCTTCCTCCACCTGGCGCGACCAACGCAAGCTCGCCCAAGAAAACCGCTCTCTCGACCTCACTCAAGCCCGAAGCAGCCGCACCGAACGCAAAGCCCGCGAAGCATGGTCAAATGAAGAGGAGGAAGCGCTAATTGAATATATGAGTATTTACCCTAGCAAGTATTCGAGGATACTGCAGTACGATGAGCAAGGGCCTGGGGTGCTGAGGAATAGGAATCAAGTTAATTTAAAGGACAAGGCGAGGAATTTGGCGATTAATATGATCAGGTGAGTTTCTTCCAACAGAGGGGTAAAGAAGGTGGAATGGTATGCTAACGAATTTTTTTTTCAGGTCTGGGGCTGGGCTTAGACCAGGGTTTGAGAATATTATACATCCGGGGGAGAAGCAAGGGAAGGCTTTAATGGCTGCTGGGTGGGTCATGCACGAAGACGGGTCGTGGGAGAAAGCTCGATGATTGCTTCGGAGTTGTTACTGTCCAGAGCCCGCTTGGGTATCTGGGAACACAGCGTTATCTGTTGAATATTTTTTTGATACCCACCGCCGCTATATCGGCGCTTTATCCAATTATACAGTTTCAATTCTCAGACTCTCTGCTTAACCCGGCGAGGTACCCCTTTCACACCCGTTGTCTCCCCATCTTCCATTTCTACACCCTCTCCCTCCATCTAACCCCCCATTCTCCCTTTGCAAAACTACTCTCCACAACAACACCCTTCATAACAGCCTCACACTTCCTCTTTTCTGCTTCGTCAGGTACAGTAAAACCAAACGCACACCCCCGTCTCGCAGCTTGCCTTACTCTTTCCCTCTCCTCAGCCTTCCTCTGTCCTTCCCTCCTCTTCAACTTCATCTCGTCGGTCTCGTGAATGCGCTCTGCCCAGCCCTTCTCTCCGCCTACGCTGCCGTTGACGTCATTTTGGGCTTGAGGTGGGCGAATTTTGCCAGAGCCGTAGCCGTATTCTACGGTGTCGGGAAGGGCTTGTGAATCAGCTTCTGCGGACCCTCCTGCGGACGGAGTTTTTGTTGGCTCGAGAACAACGCCGCCTTCGGCTTCGTTATCGGAATCTGAGACTGTGTCCTCGTCCTCGTCACTACTCACGGGATCTGGTGGAGGTTGTGTTGATACGGTTGTTGCACCTGGGGCTGTAGCAGGCGTAGTAGTGGACGCAGGTTGATCGACCATATCTACGCTCTTCCAATCCTCGGGCTTCTCAACGACGAATCGCGCTTTACGGTTTTTGCGTCGACCGTAGACTTTCTCTGGGTCTTTCTCGCGTTGGAAGACTATGTCTTCCACAGTACTGCACTCAATGATGATCCTGTGATCTCCTTTGATGGTCTTGGATGGTTTCTTCTTATGTTTTTTCTCGCCCTTGCCACCTTTAACCTCTTCATGCTCATGACCAGTCTCCAAACTATTCTTAATTGGTTCTGCACCCGCGTTCTCTTTTAAGGACTCTGGAGATGCGCCGTTGAGTAGTGCGGCGAATGTAGCTTCGATCTTGCGGTCGATGGGACCTGGCTTGCTGTTTCGACATCGCGCTGAACAGTACTTGACTTCTGTTGCACTCTGTGTCTTGCGGCGTTCGCCGATTACTCGGCCGCAGCTGTGGCAGTAGGGGACTGTATCACCAACGGTGAGGTAGAGGGGTGGTGGGGTTACGGCGTGTTTGCTGGGCCGGGACCAGGAGTCCATCCATGACATTTTGCTGAAGTTTCTGGTCTTGTGTAGTGATGGTGATTGATGCGTATAGTTAAGGAATAGAGTATGGGTCTGGTGCCGCGAGGATCGTGTCTGGCAAACGATGGTTGTGCTTGTGAGGTTGGTAGATTTGGGGGTACGAGCGCACGACGTCATCGGCTTTTACCTGGTACGTGGTATGCAGGTACGAACTGTGCCTCACGATGGCGCAAACTGTGTGAAGCTTGAATCATGTGCATTTTCTAGCTAAAATGTGATGTCTATAATGACGTACTTGAAGTCACTACTCACTTGGTGTACGCAGCACGTGTGCTCAAGACTACTATAGATGCCCATAGTCGTATCTGTCTCCTAATTCCTGCGACAGATGCAACTGAACTATCCGAGTTCACTAATATGCATCGACGTTTTGTCAGCGGTCTTAGGCCATCTCCACAAACTTCCCCAGTCGGTCCTCGGATGTACCCCATCAGGCCTCATATCAGTTGCCGAGCTTAACACTGCTTGCCATCTCGGTAACCGACACGCAACCTAAGATAAACAGTTTCCATTCCGCCGAAAAGCATGGAGAAGATATATGTTCTTCTTTGGCGCTCCACCCTCCGCCGTTTACATAGGGGGACCCGGAGATTTGCTTAACCTTGGGCTCTATTCTGCGCAGAACTTCAGGTCACGTCTTCCCCAGGCCATAAGGTCCGTTACAAAGCGGACAAATGGAACGTCTATCGCTATCAGCAGCGGCTCCAGTGCCCCATTCCCCTTTCGCACAGTCACACCAACACCCAGACTTCTTTGTTAAACGCCGTCCCTTAAGAGTGCGCCATCGCTGTAAGAGGGCGAAGCTGCAGCCAAGACCCAGAACATCAGAATCCATGTCGCTTGCATTGGACCCCGCGACGGGTGAAACCGGCACCAAAGGATCGCGTGCGCATCCTATAGAGACATCGTCGACCCCGGAATTAGGACGCCCTAGACGGACTACCGCGCAAAGCGATATTCAGGATACGATACAACATCCGGGTAATGTGCGCATCAACGTTCAGGGGGCTTTCATCGTAGATGAAGAGCAGCCAGGGACGCCGCAGAGCGAAGACTACGAACACGATCCGCACGACATCAGACTGCCGAACCACACTTCGGTAGTCAGCCATGTAGCCGTCGATGTGAGTATACACACATGGTCGTATGCTTGATTGGTTGTGGCACACGACCATCTACAGCGACCAACCCCTTGCAGAGTCACAGCAGCATGCTAACTCATTGCGCGCCTCGTAGATTGGAGGCTCCCTAGCCAAACTTGTATACTTCTCGCGCGAACCCGGCGACGACTCGATTGGCGGACGTCTAAACTTCTTCAAATTCGAGACAGACCGGATAGATGCGTGTATAGAGTTCATGCGCAAGCTTCAAGCCGACCAGAAGCAAGACAATGGATCCAAATCGCCAGACTTGTGTATTATGGCGACTGGTGGTGGTGCGTTCAAGTACCACGACAAGATAAAGCAAGCACTGGATGTAGAAGTCATAAGGGAAGACGAGATGGAGTGCTTGATCATAGGTACGAGCATGGCGCTGTCTATGAGCATGGAATTGGCGTGCTAACACCGACTTGTATAGGCCTTGATTTCTTCATCAACGAGATACCAAACGAAGTCTTCACCTACAGCGAAGACAGCCCAATGACCTTCATGCCCCACCCTCCCGACCCGCCGAACATCTACCCTTACCTCTTAGTCAACATCGGATCCGGTGTATCCATGATCAAGGTTTCAGGACCCCGGCAATACGAGCGTATAGGCGGTACATCACTAGGGGGAGGAACACTCTGGGGTCTCTTATCGTTACTCACCGGTGCCCGAAGCTTCGACGATATGCTACGGCTAGCAGAGAATGGCGACAACTCAACCGTCGATTTACTTGTCGGTGACATCTACGGACAAGCGTATAACAAGATCGGGCTGAAGAGCACACACATTGCATCTTCGTTTGGCAAAGTTTACAAAATGAAGCGTGCAGCGGAGCGGGAAGCGGAAGATGGATGTAACGGCGATCTCAAGCGCCGGGAAGAAGCGGAGCATGTCGAGGGCTCTTCAGAACTATCCCACGATCCTGGCTCCTTCCGCCCAGAAGATATGGCAAGATCCCTCCTTTACGCCGTCTCAAACAACATCGGTCAGTTAGCGCATCTGCATGCCGAGAAACACGGGCTGCCTAGAATATACTTTGGAGGTTCCTTCATTGGCGGTCACTCGCAGACTATGAACACTTTGTCCTACGCTATTCGCTTCTGGTCGAAGGATACGCGGCAGGCTTATTTCCTGAGACATGAGGGTTATCTGGGTGCTGTTGGTGCGTTTTTGAAGAGGCAGCCGAGGAACTGGGGGAGAAGGGAGAGTGTTGTGGGGGCTGCTAGACCTACTTCTAGTTCTTGACCCTTGATGTTTTCCAAGTGAGATGTCATAGCGAGCATATACAGAGGTAGCGGTTTTATTGTAATATTGCTAATATCAGTTATTACTTTGTTCTAGCCAGATGGCGCCACGCTTGATTGACTATTTCCCAGGTCTCCACTCACAAAAACTACAAGAACTGCCGCGTACCTACACGCATCCAAATCAGCCACGCGTCTCATCATGTCACCGCATTTCAAGAATACGTACGCTGCCGTTGCCGCAAACAGTTCTGCTCTCCGCGCATTCGTCAGCAACCCAACACTTCCAGCAAACAAGGTGGTGAAAGTCGCTATTAGCCCTAATCTCCAGTCTGGTGAGGTTACTTTGTAGAGAACGACGATGGCGCCTATGAGTAGTAGTGCTGCTAGGATAGTGCTGAACCACGCTATGAAGGAGCTAATGGCACGGTCCGAAGCGTAGGCTATGCCATGGTGGGGACGCTTGCGGTCCTGCGAATTTTGTTAGTGACAGCGACATTGATTTGCGATGACGAATTGCCTGCGCTTTGGTTGACAACCGCTGCCTGTGACGCTGGGGTTGAGATTTTGAACTATTTCCGACGTTCGAAAGCACCGGAGCTTGAAAGGGAGGTCCACTCACTGGGAAGAAAAACGCTAGATGCTCTTGTGCGAAAGTCGTCAATCGATCCTGGTCATCGTGGACTCGCAATGCGACTAGGTCGTCGATGTCGTCGTATAGCCCGGCGCTGTACCCACCAAGTGTAGGAAATGGCTCGCCTTTGCCCTCAGTCTGGTTATAAAACTCGGTTTGGAAGGCGCGTAAAACGCCCTTAGACGGTCTCGGAAGAGTTGCTAATGTGCTTTCGAACAGTAAAGCTTCTCGATATTCCTTCAAAGTCTCCCGGATATCCTTCATCAGTTTCCATCGATCTTTCTGTCTCGCATCATCGGCCTGCACTGCCAATTTAAAGTCCGAATAGTTGCGTGCGCATTGCTTTGTGCTTAGATTTGACATCAAGTCCTCTTGGTCGAAAGCGCGTTGCTTTCCCTGAAGTCCGGCGAGCTCGCTTTGTAAATAAAGCAGATTTCTTGCGGCGAGCTCATCGTATCGTTTGAATATGAGGGTTGTGCGATCGCGATCACTCGCGATGAAATGTGCAAGAGATGGGAATCCAGAGAGAAGATGTATCCGTGATTCAGCATCAATCTTGCCTGTCGGCATATCTGCACAGGCGATGCTGAATGGAAGTATATGGTCATGCCCAGAGGTTGCAGCAGGCTGAGCTGGTGCTGATGCAGCTTGAGCAGCCAGTGGTGGCTTGGATTATCTTGTGACCCCGCCATCGCGTGCACAGCCCAGCCCAACTACATACTCGTCGTTTCCGGATTCTATCCTCGAAACTGATTCTCTATGATGTACTAACTACAAAATATGGAGTATTATGGCGACGACGACTACATACGCGCCTCCCCAGGGCTTACTCCATCAAAACCCGATCTGGGGAGCTACTCTCCATTGCCATTCGCGCCTTTATGGCTACCTCAAGACACTTACGAAGCCCCTCTGGTAAATACCAGGGTCACCTACCTAGCGTTAGACCTAACATCAAACTAGGATCCTATTCACGTCGAACGCACTGGTAACGGCCTAGAAGCGCGACGAAAGCTGCATCGGAAATACCGCAACCAGGTCCCTCAAAGTGAATGGGAGTTCATGGATGCTCTACTGCTTCATCAGATGGCTCCTACAAACCCACAGCTCACACTCTCACTTGGCTTGAGTGATGCGCTAGCCGATGGTAGAAGTGACAAGTCATTGTCTGACGACGAGAACAGGCTCGACTTAGATTATCTTGCTATAGCTGAGGCTGATTCTCGGAGATCACAGATGCCACCGCTGCAAGTTTTCGCTGCACCCCCTCCAGGCATAACACGTAGACCAAAAAAACCTCGCTTGGGTTTACCTATTACACTACACAAACAAGGAGTTTTAGCTACAGTTCTGGCATGCGCAGACACCGGTGCCGATGTCAACATCATTTCAGACGAAGTAGCAAAAACATTGGGATATTCTGAGTACGATGCGTTACCAGAAAAGAAGGAATTTGCGCTAGCTAATGGCAAGCTTGTTGAAGCTATCGGTCGGATTGAATCGATCTGTTCCTTTGGAATAGAAACAGAGTCGGTGGTAACGATGTCTTGCGCGTTTTATGTCCTACTAAAAGCTGCCACACCTATCATCATGGGGTTAGGTTTCTTGGAACAGACGAAAACTATGACCGAACACAGAGAGAGGCTCGTACGCGTTCCAGCACCCGCTTTCCAAGCTCTCTCTGTTTGCTCTGTGGACAGACCAAAATGGTTGTTGACCTGCGAGCTGGACAGTTGGAAGACTCTGGCAACCCCAGACTCAGGTTCGGAAATCGACCTGATATCGCCCTCCTTTGCATCCGAACGAGGTCTCGTGGTCTATCCGGGAGAGGAAAAGATCCAGCTAGCAGACGGTAGCATAGCAATTACTTCCGGATGGGTTCGCGCTGATATAGCTGTCACTTCGACCATTGCACCAGACTCGTTCAATTACCCGAAAATCCAAAAAAGCATCATTACAGTCGACTTATTCTTGCTGGACAGTCTGAACCATGATCTCATTGTGAGCGAAGATTCACTCGAAGAACTCAAAGTATTCACAGATCACCAAAGTGCTCTCATACCTGCGCCTCACGATTCTGGTCCTTTGGGGATAAACCGGATCCGGCACCTTGGAGCAATAGATCGCATAGTCTCCTGGATCCAGACGAAGATCAGAAGCGCTGGCCCTGGCAATGAGAACTACAGTATGTAAATGAACTCATGTAGAAGAGCATACAGAGTTCGCCAGCTAATCAATAATGCCACAGCAAACGTGGACACATCCTTGGTTTCTCAAGCAATAGATCAGCGTGAGAATGACCGCAGAGAGCGCGAAGCAGCTCGGATTGCAACTCTGCCAACTGACGAACAGCAAGCCGCTATAGAGGCTGAGGCGGTTATGCAGACAGCCTACGAACAGCGACCTCGACATATGGGCCTGGATGGCGCTCTGGCTTCAAGGGTTTTACCACCTCCGCTGAATTCGGGTCTCACCAATGTTGCTGAGAGCGCTTCATATGGCACATTTGCGTGTGAATATCCAGGTTGCAACGCATTACCCTTCCAAACGCAATATTTACTGAAGTATGTGATTCCTATGTCAATTGTTCGAACTGACAATCTTAGCGCGCATTCCAACGTCCACTCTTCGAATAGACCACATTATTGCCCAGTTGCTGATTGCCCAAGGAGCGAAGGCGGGAAAGGGTATAAGAGGATGGGTGAGATGATACGACATGGTCTTGTTCACCAAAGTCCAGGATACGTTTGTCCATTCTGTCCTGATCGCGAGCATAAGTACCCGCGACCAGACAACCTCCAGCGGTAAGTAAAACAAAATAACCCTGTTGTACTATATCAGAAGCTTATCACTAATCCTCTCATGCTAGACATGTGCGCGTGCATCATACAGACAAAGACAAAAACGACCCCCAGCTTCGAGATGTATTGGCGCAACGCCCTGAGAGTGGAAGCCGCGGACGTAGAAGAAGGGTACCAGACAGTTGAAAATCCCTATCAGAGCGCTTGTGATCAGTAACAAAGGGGTTGATTGTTGACTAGACTTTGATCAACCCGCCTAATACACTGTATCGAGGAGTGGAAACCTCCAAGATTGCTTGACTGACGTCGCGCGACGATTGTATTTCGAATCCTAGATTGAGAAAAGCGCCAGAATGCGGAAAGCGGAAATCGGATGTAGGAGACTATGTTAGAGATGACAAGCAAGAGATCACATTCACACGTGAAGTGAAGGATGAACAAATGATGTAAAGAGGTAGAAGACTTTTAGAATTCATCGTAATCTATAAAAGGAAACCCCGAATCCGTGGATCCAAGTAGTTCGTTAATCTATAATGGTGCAAGCTTCGCTATGCAAGGATATAAACCCGTAAACGCCAGAAAATGCTTATATACAACAAAGGAAAAGACCTTTCGTGTCAAACTGAACCATCACACTTAAGCGATAGCAGAGACACCACCCTCCTGCATAACAGGGTTGATCTTCTCGTCGAACTTGAACTTGAAGTCCTGGCCAAGTTCCTTCTTCATAGCAGTGGTAACAGCTTCGAAGACGTTCTTGAAGACACCGAAAGAAGCCGGGTTGTTCTCGTCGTTGTCACCACCCTGGAAGACACCAGTGCGGACAAGGCAAGTGTTCCAGCCGTACATGTTACCACCGACGATGTCAGAAGCAGGGTTGTCACCAATCATGTAGATGTTGGCGGGCAGCTTCTCGTCGTTGTGGATGGTCTCCATCCAGCTGGCGATGACCTCGTCAGCGTACTTGTAGGTAGCCAATTCGGGCTTGCCGTAGACGACACGCTCGAGTTCGACACCAGTGAGCGACTTGTACATGGCCTCAAGACCGATGCGGAAGGCTCCCTGGGACATACGGGGGAAGGGGTGCTCGGTGGGGCACAGCATGTCACCCTGGGAGAAGTAAATGGGGATGCGCTGGGAGACGGGGTCCGCAGCACGGGTTCCGAAACGGCCGTTCTCGGACTGGAGGAGATCCATGATGATCTGAATGTCGGTGGCGTAGTCACGGCTGTCGGAGAAGACCATGATAGCTTCGATGTTGGTCTTGCTGAAGTCGCGAGGACGGGAAGTCTTGCGCTCCTCGTCGGTGAAGACACGGTAGGGGGCGATGGTGGGGTCCCAGGCGATGATGTCGTTGGGGACGACAATGTCTTGGAAGCCGTATTGCTCGGCAACCTCACGGCACTTGTAGCCCTCACCACCAACAACGAGGACGGTCTTGTAGTACTCGGCCAAGGCACGCATGGGAGTGTGCGATTGGATGAACTGCTCGGTCGAGATAGGGTTGTGGAGGATCTTGGAGAGCTGTTCGACACGGGCTTGCTCGGGCTTACCAGAACCGTTGGTAAGGAAGATGTGGGGGATCTTGATGCCGAGCTCGTTGTCGCCGTTCAGGATCTCAAGAACGCGCTGACCCTCGGGGATGAGGCGGTCACCGTGGACAAGGACACCGTCAATGTCGAAGACGAAGGCCATGTCCTTGGCGGCACGAACCTTCTCGCCAGCGAGATCCTGGAGCTGAGCAGCGATGATGTCGCGGGATGGCTGGATCGGGGGCATGCCAGGGCGCTGGGCAGCACCACGGCCATCGGGGTAGTGAACGGATGACAACCTTGATTGCCTCTTGGAGCGAGGGATGGGCAATGAGGTACCGAAAGAGTTGCGGGATCCTCTCCTCTCCTTCATTGAGGGCTGGAGGGAAAGGTTGTGCATGTAGCCAGTGGTGTCGGCCATGGCACTTCGGGTTGCGGGTACTTCGACAGCGTTCTCGGTGCCATCTTGGTTCTCAACGGGAATAGGAATGTCGTGGGTGTTAGACTTGGTCTGAGCGAGAGGAACCTCGTTCTCTTGGACGGAGGGAGACATGATGGTGGTTGTAGTTGATGTTTGATATAATGGGGGTATCAAGGTAAGAAGGTAGGATTAAGCTTCACAGAAGCTGAGTGTGACGTTGAAGATGTGGAGTTGTTGTGATGATAAGAGAGCAGTCTCAGGGTCCTGGGGGAGGGGCTATATATCACATCACTCGTCACAGGCAGTGGCTTCCATGAACCCCGGATGTCATCATCATTCGCCAATTTCTTCTGGAAACTTTCGCAGGAGCTTTTCGCGTATCCCGATTCAGGCCGGCACACCAACCACGTTCTGGCACGCAGAGCGTTCAACAAGTACCTCTGTACCCACAATGCGACATCATTACCATGCGGAAGTGGCCGTGCATGGAAGCACTAGTGGAGAAGTTTGCTGAACCAGAGAATGAGAACTGGATACCGTCACCGCCGTGTTATCGCCGAAAACTGGGGGCCGATAGCAGTGTAGTGCTGTGAGTCGCCACAACACCTAAAAACAGCGTTGTATACCTCTCGCCGATGCCGTCAAAGCTTAGCGCAGAGCCTCATTTGACCGGATGCAGAGCGCGGCCGGAAGACAAGACACGGTACACCGCCTCTCAGAAGAGGTTGGCGTGCATATGCGAGACGTGGAATCAGCAGAGACGAGTGTAGCAGGATGTGTAGATGGTGCAGGTAGCTTGCAGACAGACACGGCTCTGCTTCCAGCAGTATCTGGTAGTGACGAGCAATGGGTGGGGCGAGGTAACCGCGGCTCGCCGAATTAGGGCGAAGGCAGCTAGTGATCTGCTTAAACGAGTGGCTGACAACGGCAGAGCCGCACGACTATTGGGACTACATCGTTCCACATTGGAAGAAGAATTCGGCAAAACTTCCACGCCAGAAATTAAAATGGTTTCGCTCGGCCCGTGCTGTGGACCCTGAGTCCACATACGACGTCATTGTTGATGATGAGGGCCATCACCAGCAGGGTCTATGTGAAACTGTTGGATGGGACTATTATGGAGTTTTTTCCTCAATGGCACCGATACCTGCGAGATGGCTCTGCGATCGGAATCTCTCGGTGTGAGGTCACGGCCGGCAGCATGGTTGTTGGGGCTGTCCATGCAGATGGATGATGATGATGAAAGAGGGCAGAAATTTCAGACGAACCAAGGTCCACGCTCGATATATGTAGCTTCATAGTCCCAGCACGCGCTGTTGCCGCTGATTAAACCATTTGAAAAGTTACTTGACAACTTTCATCTTTCTTACCTTACATTTGCATACTCCAACAATTACAGCATCGCAAACATGGCTCCCCTCGCGAACCAAAAGACCTTCAAGCTCTCCAATGGCGTCATCATGCCAGCCGTCGGATTCGGCACCTTTGCTAGCGAAGGCGCATCTGGCGAGACATACGCTGCCGTAACCACAGCGCTCAAGACTGGCTACCGCCATCTCGACTGTGCGTGGTTCTACCAAAACGAAGGCGAAGTCGGCGACGCCATCCGCGATTTCCTCAAGGAAAACACAAACGTCACACGTAAGGACCTTTTCATCTGCACAAAAGTATGGAACCACCTGCACGAGCCCGAGGAGGTCAAGTGGAGTTTCGAGTCGAGTCTGAAGAACCTGGGTCTTGACTACATCGACGCGTTCCTTGTCCACTGGCCCATCGCCGCAGAGAGCGATGCCAACCACCAGCCCAAGATCGGTGCCGACGGCAAGTACATCATCAAGAAGGAGCTCACAGAGAACCCGGAGCCGACATGGCGCGCCATGGAGGAGATCTACAACTCCGGCAAGGCCAAGGCGATTGGAGTTTCCAACTGGACCATCCCCGGCCTGAAGAAGCTCCTCAGCATCGCCAAGGTCAAGCCCATGATCAACCAGATCGAAGTCCACCCTTTCCTCCCCAACACCGAGCTCGTCAAATACTGCCAGGAAAACGACATCCTCGTCGCCGCCTACTCGCCGCTCGGCTCCCAGAACCAGGTCCCCAGCACCGGCGAGAAGGTCCGCACCAACCCCAAGCTCAACGAAGTTGCCGAGCGAAGCGGTTACGACCTTGCGCAAGTCCTGCTCGCATGGGGTCTCCAGCGCGGCTACGTTGTCCTGCCCAAGAGCTCCACCCCCAAGCGAATCGAGAGCAACTGGCTTATTCCCGAACTGAGCAAGGCCGACTTCGACGCTGTCGAGGAAGTCGCTAAGGGAAGGCACACACGTTTCGTCAACATGAAGGACACTTTCGGCTACGATGTCTGGCCAGAGGAGACTGACGGTGGTGAGCTCAAGGCATAGATTGTGGGGCAATGAGATCACGATGACACAGTATTTTCGTATTTTTGCTTCTTTTTAGCGATACCAAAAGTCAATCCAAGACTTAGTTAGATTAGCTCGTAGAGCAATGAATCGATCGTGAGAGATCGTGAGATTTATTATATCATGTTTGCATATCATGGTTTGCAGATCTTGTGTTGGCGTGTTATGACGCTGTTGTAAGCGTTTCCCCGCACGCCCAGGCCACCGGTGCACTACCATCAGGCCTCTATACAGGCGTTCGTATATGTGACATCTTCAGGTTCCCCGCCCGAAAACAACTGCGAGCCGGTCGCAGCTACATAAAATTTGTGTAGTGGTACGTAAGAAATCGTTCAAGTCAGGACCAGGCGATCCAGTAGTTCCAAATTCTTCCTCTCTCTGCGTACTCTGATCTGTTCTGCATTTTGCTGTTCCACAACTGCTTGCTTCGGTAGAACAATATCTGGGAAATTCTCTTTTGTGAACTCCATAACGATCTGTGCTTCCGCAAACTCTTCCTGTCCCATCAGCTGCCGGGCGACCCCTAGGCACAACTGAACCAGGAAATTGCGTCTACTACGAGATGATTTTACAAATTTGACAGCGCCGGCAGGGTCCTGAATGAATTGACGTCCGGGAATTGCACTAGGTTCTGAAGGGTGGTGTAACCAGAGCATCGGCTCGACTGCTCGACTCCACTCTCCGAGCCAGCGGGGTGATGACAGCAGGAAAGACTGGTATAACGGGGGTGAGAGAGATTGGTCGGTATTGGAGATGATCCGGTTGACAAGATGGCCACCGGCGGGTCTCAGAATAGCATAAGCTGCCTCATGTCCTGCAGTTTCTACCAAGCGGGATGCTTGCATGAAAAGAGACAGACCACTGGTTAAGCTTCTGTCTGCCTCGAATACCACCATCTTCGCCAGTAGTTGTTGTCTAAAAATCGCTATTTGTGCCACATCCAGTCCAGTGTCTTTTGCGCGTTGTTCGTTTGATCGAATGAGCCAGCGCCAGAGTGCTGTAGTCTCACCCTCGGCTACTAGTAGAGATACCAGTCTGTCTAGAAATCTACTGCCACGCCCAGATTTGATTGACATGTCGAGAAACTGCTTCGATGTATCCGAGCCGCTGGTTCGGAGCCATTCGGCGAGTACAGTTCCCGGTGATCTTCCATTCTCAAGTCTCGAGGGGGTTTCATTTGTGGTCTTCTCGAGCACCTCGAGACATAGGGCGGCTTTTGGCAGAGTGGCAGAGCCGGCAGCTATCTCGTCAACGAACCAAGCGATTGGGTCTCTCATGATATCAATAGCAGCAGGTCCTGACCCTCTCCGGCGAGGCTTCACAGCGAGAAGAGGGTTGTTCAAGATGGAGTCGATGTGCTGAGTCGCCGAGTCGTACGATGACACCGGGCGGTTTGGAGAGGAATTGCGCCGACCATTGCTGATAGTCAACTCACGTGTCGGTTTCTTCGGGTTGCTCTCGGAGGGGGCGAGGGGGTGAGCGTGGTCGAGATGGGTACGGAAGGAGTTGGTCAGCAAGTTGAGCAGTTGCTGAGACTCTCGCGGCGAAAGGGGAAGCTGCGGATGGATTTTGGAGGCGAGAGTACTCAGTACACGCTTGCCTGCGGAAGACTGCATGGCTTGGTGCGTGTGTGTGGGTGTTGTGGTGTTGCAGTCAGACGTCGTCGGCGGTGTCTGGTCGGGTGGAGTGAGGCGGATGACGAGGGTGGACCAGGCGGTTCGGGAAGGTGCCGCCTTATGCGCACGTGACAGGTTTAACGCGCGCATCACGGCAGGCTGGGACAATACGCTCAAACTATTCGTAGATCAATTGACCTTCAGCCCTCCCCTCACCTCTACATATACGACAGCCTGCCTCAGCCCCAGTCAACGCGACTCTGCCGCGTCCTTAGCCACTGGAAGCTCTAGCGCCAAGCCGACGTGGTCGCTTCCCTTTAGCTGTTTCCCCAACTTTACTCCTCCCTCTACATCATCACCTCGCCTGTCCACCAATCCGCCCACATACACACACACATAAGTCCCTCGCGGCTTGCCCACACATCACACAGATCCAATGTCTGAAGCACCATCTCGGCCTGCGCGAGGCAGGAGCTCTGCCCGCGGTGGCAGGGCATCATACGGCTCTCGAGGCCCCAGAAAGACCAACGGCGACGGCGCATCCTCCAACATTGACACATCAGCAGACCAGGGCGAACTTGGAGAGCTTAAGAAGCGCTACCAGTCACAGCTATCCACACTGAAGGAGCTATTCCCCGACTGGACCGACGCCGATCTCGTCCTCGCAATCGAAGAATCTGACGGTGACCTGCAGACCACCATCGAGAAGATCAGTGAGGGTAAGCGCTCCACTTCCACGTGCATTGCGCCTGCATGCTGCAAGATATATACACACGAATCATACAACTAACATGCTACAGGCGCCGTCTCGCAATTCTCAGAAGTCCCAAAGAAAGCAAAGGACAGGTCCCGCTCCAAGGCCAAGGAGAATGTCGTGCCCATCGATGGCGCGTCCAGTCTGCGTGGCCGGCCTGACGGAGCCCGCCGTGGAGTCGACAGCGGTCGCGGAGGCCGTGGCGGACGAGGCACCGATCGTGGTCGCGGTGGAATTCGAGGCGGTCGTGGAGGTGCCGCCAGTGGACCTCGTGCGGCTGCTGGATCAGTCCCGACTACCGAGTCCGCTGCGTGGGACACGCCCACAGTTCCAGAAGAGTCCAACGAGACCAAAAAGGACGATGAAACCGTACACGCGCCCGAAGCGACTCCAGAAGTCATAAAGCCTGTTGTAGAGGCTGGCCTGACAGCCGCAAAGAAGACTTGGGCGAGCATGTTCGCCGCACCCAAGCCTGCTCCCGCCGTTCCCAAGGCCGCTCCAAAGCCTGCCGCTGCTGCAGCCCCCGAAGTGCCTACACAAGTACCCGACGAGACGCCCGCACACCAAGTTGCCCAAGAGCCAGCCGTGCAGGCTGAGGAACTGCCTATACCCCCAGTCGCAGATGAGGCTGTCGAGACGCCGCCCATCACTGCCGAAGATACGTCAAAGATGACGCCGGACAAGAGCGTGGACGATGCTGCTCCTGACGTCACCCTCACACCCTCTGGAGATCAGCTTACACAGGAGAATGTTGAGCATCTGCCTGACGAGTCCCATCCGCCACCGACCGAGACAGCTTTCAGCACTGTTGCAAGCTCAAAGGACATTGGAAGTGCTGTAGCCACCCCATTGAACGGTCCTACACAAGCACCTATCGGCCGCCCCGCCATTGGAGGATTCCAGACCACTGCACTAAAGGCGACTTCTGGTACCCCACACCGAAGCGCAAGTTACCAGAGGAGATTGGTGGAGCAACAGGAGGCGGTAGTCATGCCTGGAAACCACGCTGTGGACAGGGCTGCAGTCCAATTCGGTAGCATGGGATTAGGCGAAGGCTCGGATCCAGATGTCGACGAAGACAGGGAAGAGGCGGAAACCAGGACTCAACCGCCCCAGCACTCCCCTGTTGCGCAGCCCAGGGCCTCTCTGCCTCCTGCTCCTCGCCAAGCATCCCAAGACGCTCCCCAACAGGAGTCTACCCCCACCCCAAAGCAGGCCCCTGGACTCCCTCCCGTTCCTCAACACCAGCCCAGCCTGCAGCAGTCTCCCTCGAACCCGATTGGATCCCAGGCTATGCAAAACCAAGGATCTCAGTCCAACCAGCCTTACAACCAGTTTGCTAGGTATGGTCAGCCAGGCATTCACTCAGAGGCTTCCGCCCCAGCGCAGAAGCCATACGACCCATTCGGCCAGCAAATCCCACAGTCGAACCACTCGCAGTCGCAAAACTACGACTACCCTGGGCAACAAAGCCAGGCCCCCTCTCAGCCTGGTGCTTTCTCGTCTGCTCCAGACAGCTACCCCTCCAACTACCTCACCTCCGAGCAACGCTCGCAATACCAGAACTACTATGGAAGCTACGGCCAGCCCATTGCGCAGAGCCAGCAGGAAGCAGGTTCTGCTCAGCAGCGCACTGGTAGTGCTTTCGGCTCCGGACCTACTGACTCGGCTTATTCGCAGAGTCAGCTCCCACAGGTAAGTAAATTAAGTGAACTCGAGCACGGGCTTGCTCAACTCCTGGCCGGTCATTGGGTCGAACGATCTGGATCGTCTCATGTGAATGAGTCGCTCTGGGCGGAGATGGCAAATGACACGGACAGAGTAAGGACAGCAGCCAAGGCAGAATTCCATATTCCTCTATCATCGTGTACTAACAACCTTCTCAGTCTCAGAGCCGTTACGGTGACGCTCAGAACAGCGGACACAACACCCCCAACCCAGCCGCCATGGCTGGTCAGGGACATGGCGCTCAAGGCCAGCACGCGCAGCATGGACACAACGCAGGCTACCCATACAACCACCCGTACTACGGTAGCCCCTACTACGCTAACTACATGAATCAATTCGGTGGTTACGGCCAGGGAGGAGCAGGCTATGGATCATTTGGAAAGGGCATGTATGGCCAGCCCCAACACTACGGCATGTCTCCTCAAGCTTCGTTCGACCAGCACTCGTCTTCTCCCGCCAATGCAGGAGGCTTCGGTGCTTCTTCGCTACATGATCGTGGCAGCGGCATGGGTGCAGGCTTTGGTGACTACGGTCGCTCAGCCTCTGGAACTTCTCAGAACCCCAGCGCCACTGCCGGCTCCGCTGCTGGATTCGGCGCCATCCCTGATACTTTCACCCGACCAGGAAACTTCCACCAAAGCTCCTACGGACAGTCAGGTAGCCAAGGTTTGAACGATGACGCCCTCAAGCCCTCCAACGACTACAAGAGCGGTGGACCCAGCCCATCGGCTCTTGGTGCTCAGCCCGGTCGCCCCGGTTCCGCCAACCAAAGCACCCCTGGACAGGGCGGACCCCAACACCCTCAGCAAGGCTACGGTAACTACCCGAACCACCTTGGCAACAGCCAGTATGGCGGTCTTGGCGGTCTGGGCCACCAAAACTCTGGAAGCCACCAGCAACAGAGTGGCTATGGCAACTACGGCGGATTCGGAGGATACGGCGGCAGCTACAACCGCGGGGGCTGGGGCGGAAACTACGGCCAGCACTAAATCCGTCTCCTGCAAATGCAAGACGTTTGAGAGACTTGACACGTTGTTAAGGAGGATATGGCCTACCCATATCATCATGACGAGCTTGTACGACAAAGGGTCATTGTTTTCTTTCTCACGTCCACTTTGAGTTGACTGATGGCACGAAAAAGCATGTTTACATGATACGCTTGATAGGCCTCAGATTTTGTATTATGACAATCTCCTTTCTTCTCTCTCTTGTTCCTCTCCTCTTGCATCCTCTCTTTTTCCAGGTCCAGGTCATGCCATTGGTTATTTACGTGCTCAGTCGCGAGGCGTTTAAATCCGCAAGGGAGGGATAAACTCAAAAAGATTCTTGTTTGTCTGATTTTGCGTGTAGTCGGCTTTTTTCCTACTCCGGTACTTTGAGAAGGAAACTACTGTATTAGGGTATGGGTAGGGACTTAAGGGGGCAAAGAGCAGATCAAGGTAGCTCGATGGCGTTCACGATTGAGCTGCTACTACAGCTGAGCAATGCATATCATTGAACATGAAGCAAGTTTTCGCTTCCTCTTGACTTGGGTATTCCATGCATGTGTGCTTGTCGTGATCGTTAACGATCAGGATGCTCGAGCACTTCACATGTTAGGCTTGAAAGCTTGGTACAGGGTTTTAGCGAGATGCAGGTACGTATCTTTTTCTGGCCGAGAAACCGGCGATCCTGCCTCCACTTATTTTCCTCCAACAACTTTCTCTTGCCTGCTCGCGCAACGTTGACACAAGTCTGGCGGCTTCCCTAAGAAATTTCTCGGTTTCCTGACCATCCAGTCGCGCTATGACACATGCAAGCAAACCAGGGCATGTATTCCGAGTCGTTTCCGAAAGGCCCGATAGAAGGTTGTTTATGCAAGCAATCGCGAACGGCTCGGCGTTCAACCGGCAACGTTATCAGGGTCTTGCGCGATAGCATGCTTTCTTGACGGAATATGACGGCAGAGTGGTCTGGAGGACTGTTGCAAATTATCCTAGTAGGCGAACATTGTTGCTTGGATCAGCACCTACTGAATGTAGAGTTTGGCGAAGACCACCTTTCATGTCTTGAATACAACGATGAGGCCGCATCACACGGCCACCGGCATCCATAATTGACACAACACTGCTAATTGCTCACCGCCAACATTATCGACGCGATAACATGCCCGGAACGTCATTCCACTCAAGACCTTTATCTCCGCGCTATGGCCGCCATGATCCACGACTAACCCGTTTTCAAGGATACAGATCCGCCATCTTACTCTTCTAGGCAAAGCTCCCTCGACTCATGCGTCAAGGTCATCATGGTGCTTTCGGAATTTATTTTCTGGCGATTGCACGCGTGGTCTTCCCAAGCACAACTCGCGATACCTTGATGGTCCCTAGATCGCTCACAAGAAAACTTGCCTTTACACCTACTTGCGCGCTGATTGATTGTATTTTTTCTTTTTGAGTCGAGACGTATGCAGGGAAGAACATCTGTCTTGCCTGATTGGAACGACGTGTATTCAGCTTGACCGGTACACCGATTAATCGGAGGAGCTGAGAAAGGCCAAGTTACTACACTTGAACAAGTGAACAGTACACAGTATCCGGAAGCGATCCGACAGACTTCTACGCCCACTTCACCCTCCGTTCATATCGCGTCAAACCTCAAGATTCTGGTAAACATCTACTACCATGGAGTCGACGTCCTACCAAGCCGATGCACTTCCAGCATCGCCGCTACTACGTCTGCCTTTCGAGATACGTCTTATGATATACGAGTACCTACTCCTACCGTCGACGACGCCCACAATCGGAAACGGAATCTCAGTCGCGAACTTGATTCCGGATTTCCATACCTACCTCTCAGACGACACGAACAATCATCCATGTACGTTGAGCGTACGAACTATGGATCCATGGTTAGGAGCACAAGGTCCGAGGACGTGGAGACGAAGGAGTACATACCATATCAGAACCGGTACGTTTACAAACAAGTCTTCAAGATACCTGGGGAGGCTGGACTACATACTAACTCACCCCATAGGCCCCTTCTTAACAACCACAACCCCAACCACCTACCGCGTCCTCCTCTCCCCCTACACATCCCACCTCCGCTACACCGTCCCCTCCCTCCTCGCACTAAACCACCAGATTCACGCCGAAGCAAGCAAAATCCTCTACTCGACCTACACATTCTCCTTCCACACTAGCATCGAAGCCGCAGTGCCTTTTTTATCAGACTTGACACCCAGAAGTCGGGCTTCTATACGTCATTTGAGCATAACAAAGAAAGCGCTACCATATAGCAAGGAATTCGATCGCGCAGAATGGGCAAGTCTGTGTGAATACCTTGCTGCACCACCACAATCTGCTCTCGATGGTTCCGAGATACCCGCGCCCGTCTCCTCCCTGCGCAGCCTCACTCTTAATGTCATCTCGGGAAAACCCGATCACGGCTGGGATTCCATCACGCCCATTCTCCCCTCGGATTTTGACACTATGCTACGCATGAAGAACGAGTGGCTTGGCGGTAATGTGACTGATTTCGGGGGCGTGGATCTAGAGTGGGCGGAGCAGGTTATGGAGATCAGGGGATTGGAGATGGTTAATGTGAAGGCGATGGTGGAGAGGTGTGCGAATCCAGTGAGCGAGAAACAGGCTTTTTGGATTGCGTTCAGTAAGAGTGTTGCTGAGGGGGTTTGGTGAGTGGGTTAGGGGGAGAATGGTGGTATAGGTGAGCGCTTGGGGTCGTTATGCGTATGCGAATTCTACAACTGTCACTACGACTACCATGGGCTCAGGAAAGTGGGAATGGTGTTTGCGTGTCTTAAAATTCGACTATGGGCTGAGCCACTTTCGAGTTCACCAATCGTCAGATCGCGTATCGTCCGTCCAATCAAGTTGCGAAAGCTCAGCCGCCTCAGCTGTGCATCCGGCCTTGGCTGTACGACACCGGAAAGTCATCTTCAGCCTGGTGCATCGCAAGTCCTTCTTGACACTTCTATTCTTCCCATTCTATCCGCTTGACAACATGGAAGCTCTGGTCGCCGTTGGCCTCGCTGGGAATGTTGTGCAATTCGTGCAATTCTCTGGCCAGCTCCTATCTCTCGCCAAGGAGATCAAGAAGAAGGGCGCCCCCTCATCTCTGGTCGATCTGCGTAAAGTCACTCAAAACCTCACGCATCAAACTCGGGTAATCGTGACTCGGCTCAAAGCAAATACAGCCACACTTCAGCAGGAAGAACAAGTATGCCGCGAAATCACAGTAGCTAACAGTTTGGACAAGCACTAATGTGAGCAGCATCTACTCGATGTGGCCATAGACTGCGAAAAGGCTGGAAAGGAGTTCGTCGCATACATCGATAAGCTCATTACGCCATCGAAACCATCCTCACCCTTAGGGAGTGCTCAGTCTAGTGTAAAGATAAAATGGCATCATAAGCAGATTGAAGCGTACATTTCTAAGCTGGACAAGTTTCAGGGGTCTCTTTTGCTCGCAACAGTGCTTTCCCTACGTACCAGTGAGACTGGCAGCCACTACGAAGTCCTTGAACATCTCAAATCAATAGAGGCGGGGAATGATACATCCCAACAGAACGATAACGAGCTGATCCGAGCTTTAAGCCTCTTACGGGATTTAGTCCAGCAACAATCTGGTCCGAAGTTAGACATGTTGCAAAAACGGATGGACTCATGCATGGAAGAGATCCAGGAGATTCGGTCCTCGGTCACCAACACCCGAGAGGATGAGATTCTACGCTGGCTAAACTTCCGGCAAAGAACATGGCGGTTCGAGGAGGTCGAGGAAGCACACCGAACAACGTTCGATTGGGTCTTCCGAAAACCACATGCGAACACACTCTGGCATGATTTCAGTGCTCATCTTTCCGGGGCGGAAGTTACCTTACCATACTTCATAAACGGGAAAGCAGGGAGCGGCAAATCAACTCTGATGAAGTACATCGTATCGCATCCACAAACGAAAGCAGAACTCCGGAAATGGGCTGGCCAACACAAGCTTCTCAGTCCACAATTCTTCTTCTGGAATGTTGGGACCCAGTTACAGAAGAGCCATACTGGCATGCTCCGCTCTCTACTACACAGCGTACTCGCTCAATATGACGATCTCATACCCGCTGTATTCCCAACCCTGTATGCCGACGGATTTCCCATCAGCAATGACGAGCCGCCCTCTTACATCGAACTCAAGTGTGCTTTTGAGCGATTGAAGATTAGATCCGCATCTTTTTTGCACATGTGCATTTTCATTGATGGTATCGACGAGTTTGAGGGAGACTATCGGGACATGTCAACCTTCCTCTGTTCCATAACTTCTTCGACGGTAAAGGTCGTAGTGTCGAGCCGACCTATCAATGCCTGCCTCAATGTGTTCAGACACTGTCCAACGCTCAGGCTCCAGGATTTGACACAAGACGATATGAGCGTCTTCATTCGGGACAGACTGAGTTCGCATCCGATGATGGCAGAACTCCAAACCGAGTCACCAGAGAACGCTGCCACACTAGAAGCGGAGATTCAGGAGAAGGCTGAGGGAGTATTTCTCTGGGTTCGACTGGTCACTGGACTTCTATTACGGGGGCTAGAGGATGGAGACGACTTTGATGATCTTCTTCCTAAGCTTCGTGCCTTGCCATGCGACTTACGGGAGCTCTATACCCGGATGATGAACAAAATGCCCTCGGATTATCAGGTGCAGGCCTCGCAGATGTTCCAGATGTTTGAGTGGTGGAGGCTCTATGGCAATGATGAACCTCTCGAATTACTCCTGCTATCCTTTTCCATCCAACAACCCTCTTTTACGCTCGAATTATGCACAGATGCCTGCAATACCCAGATGAAAAAGTATTACTCTGAAAGAATCGAGGCTCGTATTCGAAGCCGTTGTTGTGGACTGCTCGAATTGCGTGAGATCTCGACTGGGAACATATTTTGGCCTCGTACTCCGATGGTGGCCTATCTGCATCGCTCTGTAGCAGAGTTTGTAACCAGCCAAGAAGTGTGGGACCACATGCTTTCTCTCACCAACGACACGAAATTCAGCCCCAGTACACATATCGTATGTGGAATCCTCTCCATCTTGAAGACTTCGTACCCTCCACCAGACGAAAGTAAATATCTAAGAACGCCCAGGATCTCCGGTCGAACCGACTACAGCGAGGGGATCTTGGATCTCGCCATGGACGTATGTCGCCGGAGTGCCGATATTGGAGACTCGCTCATGCTTAAATATATGGAGGCTATAGATAAGACCATGGTTTCAATATCCCAGAGTTGGGCTGAGAACTCAATCGATCAACAAGATTGCCAGATCTTTGCGCACTGGTCTCTTCGAATGGCCCGGAACTGTTTGGTATCAAATATTCATCATCCCAAGCTTGCCAATCATATGCCCCTCTGGGCTCAAGCCAACATTCGTACTTTCGCAGCTTACAACGGAGTTTTTGCCTACCTGAAAGCGGTCAATCGAAGCTCAAAGCTTGTAGATGTTGATTTACTCGTTCTTTTCGCATTAGGCAGTTGGGCGGATGGGAAACATTCCTTTGCGGGCCGGCAAGAGACTCTTTGGTTCTTGCTCCAAATTCTTGACGATTGTTCTGAACTTGGGATTGAGTCACGGATCAGAAATAACACTTTGTGGGAGCATGCGGTGATGATAGCTTACGATTTGTTTAGTGCCTCGCGCCGTTGGAGGTGGTCAGATGCGCTCTTTACGTATAAAACCCGGCATTCCAGCGGTAAGAGCCACCAGGTTCAAGTGCGAAGCCGGGAAGACGCACCCCGGCATTACCGTTCGTATGCGGAAAAGCCAGGACTAGATCCTTCGGCTGGAGTGCATCAGCAAGAACGAGCTCCTAGAAGAAATGAAACAACGCTCGCAACAGATAAATGGCGAAAGTGGCAAGGGGGGACATGGTGTCAGGAGTGTGATAATCCACTACTCCACGAGCATGAGGAACACACATCCACGCCTGGGTGGAACCGTGATGTGCTATCCGAGCACGCAAAGGCTGGAAGTGAAAGCCACGGAGTTGCCGTCTCGAGTACACAACAGGCTACCGACATATTACGCTTGTTTCTTTCTATCACTGACAAGCCAAGAGAGTTACTCAAGAAGGACATAACGACTCCAGAGCGATCGACCTTCAAACCGCTCGCCCTACTTCGAAAGGCACTAACCCGGGGGCGTGAACAGACAAAAGGGTGGGGGTTCCAGTCAGAATACCAATTTCTCTATGAGCTAGCCGACTTACCAGGAGCTTTTCAATCTACAGGTGAGTATTCCTATAGTCGTATGTAGAAGAACTGAGCATCTTCAGACAATTTGATTTATAAGGATATGTAGTCAGACTCCTGTAGCCATTCCTGCAACGTGGCCAAGGGTGCCGATCTGCATGGCAGGGTCGTCTGCTCCGGCGTGCCCAAGGCCCATACCATTATTCAAGTTGTAGGCACTGATAATAGCAATGGCTTTGAAGCAGTGGTCGGCAGTTGCTGCAGCAGTAGCATAGCCACCACCCGCGCAAATGTCTAGCAGATTGATCTTGCTGGAGTCGACACATTCAAGAGTTTGCAGGTAGTCTGCTACTGCAGATACATCGGAGACGCGGGTTGGTGGATGCTCAAGGTAGCGAGGGAGACCCCCGGATTCGTTCTGGTGGGCGGCGCCGTAGGTGATTATAGTGTAGCCTTGCTTAACAAGCTTTCTCGCGTAGTAGCTAGGGTGCCTGTTCCTTACTTCCTCCATATTGATGAACAACGGCAATCCCTGGAAGTCTGCCGTAAATGCTTGCAGGCTTAAAGAGAAGACCAGCTAGATAGATTGACCCCCTTGGGGATCGTGATTGCTGACATGTTGAGAACTCGATAGAGGTAAAATCGATATGGTGGTGCCCAGATCATTGGGGTCGGAACTCTTACAAATGTTGATGTAAGGAGATGCTTGTCGCGATCGAAAATGCTATGCCCCGAAGATGATCGGATGCGCAGCCGGGTGATTGGTACTGCATCACAGGGTCCAAGACATCGGACCATAAAGTCGGAGAGACCACCTCGACGCACCAGACAAGCGTAGAGGACTTAAGCAAACTCGGACAAGACTGAGGTTGCTGCGACGTGTGACGAATTTAATGTAAGGAATCAAATGTTAAGCCCCATAGCTCCGTTATATGAACCCTCATCGCGCTACGGTACAGGTTCCGATGTGGAGATGTTAGACAGTACTTGGGTCCGTTGTGGCTATGTAGTGGAGCGACCAACGAACTAGTTGGGCTCACTATAAAAGATTGTTGGGAACGGTACAAGGATAATGTTATTGTGGTAGACCTTAGGATAGGAAACAATATGGAAGACACAGAACCTTGCATTTGAGCTTCTTCCCCACTTCATCTTCTAGCATTAGATTCTAAACCTTCCTACCTGCTTCCTATCTATCAGGCTAACCAAGAGTGTAAGAAGAAAAACAGAAAGGCACGTTTTGTGGAAACAGAAAGGTGCGTTTTGTGGAAACAGAAAGGCGCGTTTTGTGGAAACAGATAGGCACGTTTTGCAGTGCTTGTCTTGTCGACATAAGGCCGGGCCCAGAGAATGGAATCAGTCTGAGACCACACGGCATGTTGTATCGATCCCTTTCTTTGCGTGATGTCGGCAGATGCCGTGGTTTCGACCGATTGGACGAGACACGCGCCACGCGTCGCTGTCGGCCGTCGAGAAGAAATCATGCATATGTAAAGATGAACCCTACAGCAAATTATTTTCAACGTTGCTCTGGAAGCATTAGGATTATCTAGTGTCTAAAGTTGAATTACTAGTGAAGCACTGATTGCGAGTTGAATGAGATGTGCAGTCGGAGCTACGGTTCTTGTTGGATGGTTTCAGAGCCGGGTCAGTGCTCTCTACGCCCAACATGGGCATCGTGAATAGACTTGTGATGATGAGTTAATTTCGCATATCAAGATTTACTTCCACAAAAGAAGCAGAACATGGTTGCAAGTTCCTGCGAAAAGCACTCCAAGTGTGACAAGGATCAGTCTGTATGCAAGCCTGAGCATATTTCTTGACAACTGCTGGACAACTGCCCTCTATGAAACGTATAATGTTATAATGTGACTGAGTGACGAACACGCGAAGCAGACGACTCGGCGTGTAGTCTGAAGAGACTGATCATAGCTATTGGAAGACCATGATCCCCCGTGGCTGACCTTTCCACCAAGTGGTTAACTTCTGCAGCATCTTCGATCTGGTGTTGCTTCTTGACATGTTTCTTGAAGCTATCGAGACGTAACCATACTTTGTGGACCTTGGAACATCCTGCAAACGCGCACCTATAGCCTCTGCCTGCTACACCATGTTGTGTTTTCACGTGTCTAGTCAAATCGGCACCGTAAGAAAATTTCTTACGGCACCGAGAGCAGGCGGATCGAGAATCAGCCTCATCGATCCCACTCGCGTCGAAACACGGTTGAGGTATAGCTTTCATTTGAGGAATTTGAGCTTCAGGTTTCGCATCCCGAGCGTGACTTGTTGTCCCATGCATCGTATCAAGCTTATGAATACGGAGGAAATCATCTCAATTTGGAGAGGTTCGACATGGATCTTCGCGAGCTCCAAGGCTGGCGTCGGCGAAGCATGGTCTCCCACCAAAAGATCGGAGCTGTTATACGCCACTTGAAGATGCATGCTTCTGCTCAGCCGGAACAGCGCGCTGACGTGGATCTTGTGCTTGAGGACTTCGAAGTCATCAATAAGAATATCGAAGACGCTGGTCGCAGACTTGAAAACATGTTACCGGTTGTTACATCATTAGTGCAAATCATCGATGCACGGCAATCCCTTGCAGAGACGGCAAACATTAGTCGATTGACTGTGCTTGCGCTTATCTTTGTTCCTCTGAGCTACGTATCGAGCTTGTTCAGTATGAACACTACCAACATGCCGGGCAGTCCTTATTTCTGGGTTTATTTCGCAGTAGCTATTCCGGTCACGCTCATTGTTGTCCTTATAGCTCGACCACCGACTAAAGATAAACTGCAACAGATACTCGTTCGGACACGGACCGCTTACAGAAACGTGCGCTCGCAAGCGTTGCCCGCAACTGTGAGAGAACCTACGCAATCCACGGCATGAGTAGCTCTTGTTGTTTGCCGCTTCTCAGAGACCTTGGGTTTGTGTCTTTTGGTACATTCGTGCGCATTATTTCCAATCCGCTCTAAGATCGAGAGCGGACCCATTTGCAAGGAGTAATATTCATTTAATAAAGCATGATATATAATTATTCACGACATGACGAAGAGTTAAACCGAGGCCGCTTTTCCGAATTAGATCACATTATGGGAGACTGGCTGCAGTAACTAAAGGCGAACACCGGTTGATCAATTCTGACACAGCACCTCGTATTTTAACGGATCGTGAGGGGGAACTTGTTCCTTTCTTTCTGTATCACTCGTTACCATCGCAATAGCCTTAGCCCATTACCCAGAAGTTGTCGCGCATGTATAATTTTCCTCTTGAATTACACCTTCTTGTCATTCATCCGACTGCCGGCAGAATTGATGCTACCTTCGCCTTCGCTAGCCAAGTACTGTCGAATTACAGGGCGCCATTAACAAGTTCTGGTTGATATTGTCGCTAATGCTTGAGCCTAGCATCCGCGTACCTGATTCGGTCGCGGAGGAAAGCACTACTCCAAGCGAAGTTTCACTATCCTTCCGGGGTACTAAAGCACAACACACGTTATTCTCTGCTTGTAGATGAAGTAGCAACCGACTCACTCTTACAGTAAACCAATCGTCACATCTCCCTTTACGCGCGCATAAATCTCGACCTGGGCTATATCAGCCCAATTGTCACATCACCCTTGACTCGTGCGTATAATTCTACCTCGACTTCTAGATCCAGCTCGATCTTGATCTTGAGTGAACTATCCTTTTCACCTTCTTTCGCGGGCCGGTCCGCGATGCGCGATTGGTGGACGGGAACCATGCGACGGCTCCCCTTCCTGGGTTTTGCGATGGTGGGTTCTAGTTCTTCGTCTTCGTTGTCCGAAGCGGAAGATATTTGTGGTGGAGGAGCCTTGTCAATTTCATTGTTCTTATTTTGTCCTACAAGCTTAGAAGGTTTCTTCCTAGGAGTTCGGGGTGCTTCTGTAGTAGTGTTGTTGGTTGGGTCGTCGGCGGGGGATCTTGCTGCGAGTTAGCATGATGTTTTAGGATGGAACAAGGACAATCGAAGGTGAACGTTGTGACTTACTCTGAAGACATTTCGATACCGCTATTTGACCTTCTTATCGGATTTGAGGAAGTTCTTGGTAATGTTAGGTTCCTGCTCGAGGGGAATCAAAAACATAGATGGCAAGCTTGGAGTCACATTGGACACTTCTTTTATGCTTTATGTACCTGCTCGGTTCCGAGACACAATAACGGCACAAGACTTATCAACTCCACTCTGAAACCTGAAGTTGTTCTTACAACAACTCTCAATCAGGTTTTGTTCCTTTAGGGGCAAGGACGCCTGCCAGATGGAGGATCTCACATCCCGTCCCGAGCTCCGGGGTCAAAAGCAGGTTTAAATATGGTCAGGCCACAACTCCATCATTTTCGTACTACTCCATCAGGGACCAAAGCTGTCGCTTCCGATATCATGGTGCTGGGCATTCTGACTGCCATCGCTGCTTGTCCCGCAATCATAGGCACAACGGAAGCAGTGCGCCAAGGCCAAAGACAAAATGCCAGGGAGAAACATCGGGGCCTAAAGACAAATCTCTCTATCTCCTGCACTCGAGCGACGAAAAGCGGTCGCGAAATTGATCAGTGCGAAGTGGTACTCAGCAATAACAAGGTGCAGCATCCCCTTCCTGGCTCGTGATCGGCGGTTGCTTGATCCATCTTCAAGCTCTAGAGCTAATAAGACGACACCAGCTTTATCTCAATATACCGTCAGAGGAGTTTCCGGACGGTCATCCCGAAGACCATCCATTTGCAGGCTACTTCCTGCCGTTCCCAGACCAAGACTGGGGACGACAGGGGGAAGGCATGGTATCGACTATCTCGGACGACCCGCCACAGTTGAATTGGATTTATGTGGATCGCGACACTTGCGAAGTCAAACATGGCGATCGAATTGCTTCGGAACCTCACATCGTCGGCCCATGGGACGTGACAAAGATGGATCGCAGGGTCATGTTAATGGGGTGGGAGGGGTTTGTGGCCGTCCAGTATGGACCTGGAGAATGGGCGCTCTATTTCGATGTCGACGATGACGGGTTACAGGGCGTTATTGGAGATGATTTGTTAAGAGTAGAGGTTGAGCTAGTGCGAAAAGAAAGAAGGCAAGGACGGATGTCGAGTGGTCCGGAAGCCGGACCCAGGACTAAGGTCGAAACTCCGAATAACGATGCTTAGCGTTCGTTATAAATGCACCTCCTCGGCTCCGAGGTTTTGTCGTTCGACCTCGGAGCGCAAACTACACAGTAGCAGAGTAGTTAGAGACTCTTAGTGTTGTCTAATACACGCGTGTTAGGCCGTAAAGGCTAAAAGAATGGCTACAATCTTAACATTAACCTAAATAGGCAGTTAAAATAATGTTTAGATTGCGCAATCGTCCACATATTTAATGCTTGGATATGATTTACTGTATGTTCTGATGTTATATCTAACTCGCAAGATGTGGTCTTCTCCAGTTTCAGGAAGGATGTTCGGTGCGTTGTGTAAACGGTGTTGGTGTAATAATCTAGGATGAGAGAATAAGCGGAAGATACAGCACTCAAAGTCTGTACCCATCCCCACACTCGAGATTCTACCACTTCATCTGTTAGCGTCACCTTCAGAACTTCCTTGACTCCTCATATCCACAAAAAAAGATGAGCAAGTGATGCAAAAAACATACAACAGCGGGGATTCGCTAGTGGTCACCCACCTAACTACTAATCCGCCGGTACACTGCTTGTATATGGCTGAGCGGACGGGAAGCCTAATTTTCAGTGTCCTATGGTCGTATGTGCAACAACAGAGAATTTCATCCAATATATCCTGGTAAAAAACATGCCAGCACTTGGCATTCGAAAACTAACTGTAAATCAAAATGGTATCATGCCCATAACAAGAACGCCCGCAAATGTCAGTATGCTGAACCAAACCGCCACCTCTTCCACCATCCCTATCACTTTATCTTCTATCTCCCAACAGTCCCTCTTCCCGCCGCCGGCGTCCTCCACTCATCCTTAAGCACCCACCTTCCCCTCTGTGCACTCCCACTCACTTCAAGCGTAGCAATCAACTTGAGCATCTCCTTGAACTCCTCATTCCTACCCGGCTGCGCACGGCAATAATGGTCGAAATGATCGACCAGCATACGACTAGGTACTACGCCGCCATGCGTAAGCATGAAATCGCGGATCATTTCTAGCATGCGGCGACCGCGGAAGGTCTGTGGTGTTGTCGGTGCAGTAGCGGTGGGAGTAGAGCCGCGGGATGAGGTGGCGGATGTGGTACCTGGATTCAAGAGGGAAGGACGACCTTGACGGGCGGCAAGGTTATTGAGGATAGATGTTGAAGAGGGGGCGCCGCCGCGTCCTCCACCCCGACCACCTCGACCCCCACGTGTGGATGTGAGACCGCGGGGTGCGTCGGGCCGTCCTGCTTCGCCGAATTGACCGGTCCATGTTGGTGTTCCGGCGGGCACGTTCCTGGCTTCTTGCATGCTCTTCTTAAGTTGCTCGGCTGCTACAGCGGCTTGTCGTTTTGCTTCGCGTTGGATGTAAGCTGGGTCGGCTTGGACTTTGCGTTTGCGGCCGCCGGCTGTGGAGTTCATGATTGCGTCATGTTCGAGGACGGAGTGGACGCCTGTTTTGGCGAAGATGGTTGACATTAGACGAGAGTCTGTTGGTGGCTTATCTTCAGATGTTGTGCCTTCTTCAGTGGTGGTAGTGGCGTCTTCTGTATCGGATACAGGAGCCTTGAAAGCCTCAGCTCTCGAGATACCCTTTACTGCAGCGAGCTCTTCTGCTCCTGTAGCGTCTGTCGTTACCGCTGCAGTCTTACCGTCTTCCTCAAACTTGACTTCCGAACCACGGAACAAGTTGCCTGTCTCGGTTTCGCCCTCGACATTCTCAACACCCAGTGTGAACAAGTCATGAAGATCGCTCATCTGAAACGATTGTCGCTGTTTAGGGTCTTTCAACACTTTGTTTGTAAGGAACTGCTTGAAAATCTGACGATGATAAATCTTCTCTTCAATGGTACCTGCAGACATTAGACGGTATATTTCAACCTCTCGCTTCTGTCCAAGACGCCACGAGCGCTCTCGCGCCTGTATATCGGTCGAAGGGTTCCAGTCCGGATCATAGATGATGACGCGGTTAGCGCCTGTCAAGTTGACACCAAGACCACCGACCTTGGTTGTGAGCAGGAAGACGTGTAGGTTCGGATCGTTATTGAATTCGTCGACAAGGTTCTGTCGGTCCTTGATCGGCGTCTCGCCGTCCATACGACGCCAGTTGATGTCGGGTAGTTGACTAACAAACTTCTGCAGGATGTCCAGCATGATCCGATGCTGAGCGAAGAGGAGGGTCTTGTGCCCGCCCTTCTTCCACAACGACAGTAATTCTTTGACGACTTGCATCTTGCCTGATCTATTAGGGTTGCCATAGTCGTACCCGGGCTTCTTTGATAACGTCTTATGCTCCGTCAGATCAGGATGATTGCAGATCTTGCGCAGAAAGTCGACACCGTATAGCATCTGGCGCTTGCCGCTCGCGATCGACTTCATGTCCTCTGATGCTAGGAAGCCTTCGTATGCTTGACGCTGTTGACGCGTCAACTTGCAAAACAGCACCTGCTCCTTTTTCTGTGGCAGATCAGTCGCCACATCCACCTTAAAGCGCTGCAGAAGGTATGGGCTGATCGCATCCTTGAGAGTCTCGGCACACTGTACTGCTGTCTCGAACTCCAAGTTTGAAGCATTTGCGTATCCACCACGCTTGATCGGAAATTCGAACTGGTTGCGGAAGTTTACCAAAGTACCTAATCGCATTGGGAACACGAAGTCGAAGAGTGACCAAAGTTCTGTCAGGTTGTTCTGCATTGGCGTACCAGAGAGAATGATACGGTTCGGTGTTCGCAACTCCTTACAGTGAATTGTGATGGCAGTATTTGGGTTTCTAATCTTATGACCTTCATCCAGAATGGCGCATTCCCAGTCAGTAGGAATCAAGAACTCAGCGTACGTTTGCAGTCCCGAATAGGTGGTAACAAGCACATGGCCGTCCCGCTTGACCTTCTCGAGGATCTTCTTGGCAGCCTTTCCAGCACCGGTTAGAGTTGTGTCGTAATCGCCGTAGTTCCGAAGCTCAAGTTCTCGCTCCATACGATCTTCTCGGCGAGTGTCCAGCATCCCGCTACCAGAAGTGTGTAGAATGGAGACTCGGAGTGCAGGCCACCAACGGTGAAACTCGTTAACCCACTGCTTCATGACAGTCGCTGGACACACTACAATGACAGGTTTGGTAAGTTTCTTGGAATAGTGTAGACCGGCGACAAAGCCGATGGCTTGAATGGTTTTACCCAGACCCATCTCATCGCCGATAATACCACCTACGTTTTGCGAATATAGTTCCCAGAGCCACTGCACGCCGGTTTTCTGATAGTCGAACAAGGCTGGGTAGATATCTCCAGGAATGCGGAATCCGCTATCGAACTCGGTGTCAGCCTCAGTTGGATGAGGCTGGTAACACTCTTCTTCACCATCCTCATCTACAGTTGCCTCACCGCTGTTGGCCTTGGCCTTCCTCCTTGCAGCTGCGCGACTCTTGGACCAAGTCTCTATGCGCTTCCGATATACCCTCTCATTGCCATCGTCAACACCTGCTAAATCCTCGACGACAGCTTCTTCTGCGGGAACAGCTTTCGCTTTCTTTGTTTTCTTTCTTTTGGCTTTACGTTTACGACTAGTAGTCTCCTCTGCGTATGAGTCGTCTTCAGCCATATCGTCCGAAACCTCGTCGGACTCATCCAAAGTCGCAAGCTGGCGATCTGACATACCGGGCTCGAAGGCATCGTCGGAGTCAGGATCGGTGAAGCCAGGTGCCGCGCTAGACTCGCGCGAACCTAGAGTATCGCTGACAGGAGTGACTTTCCGTCGCTTTTTGGATCTAGCTGTAGGCTTTGGGCTCGGAGCCTCTGAACTAGACTCGACGTCTTGGAAGCCAGGTTTCATTAGGTTGCGATGTGACACTGGTTCTTTCGCAGTGTCCACTACCATGTCCTCTGCCTCAGCATCTAGCATAACCTCGCCCAATGTCCCTGAGTCTGGCTGATTCTGCGCCAACTTGGAGAAAGGTGTGATTTTGCCTGTGCGAATGAGCCACTCGCCCCGGGTTTCGTTGGGTAAGGGCCCTTTTGCGCCCTCTTCTGCTGCCTCACCAACTCCAGGCGCCTTGTGACGATCATTGATACGCTGTTGTATCCCATCCATCTCTTGGTCTAGGTTATCGATCTTGTCCCGATATGCTGCGATCTCGCCACGAAGTTTAGCTTTCTGCGTGTCCAAAGCTGGCAGAGCCAGGCGGTTCTTAAGTTTTTGTATAGCAGCTTCGGCGCGCTTGGCTTCAGCTTCGAGCTTTTCTATGCGCTTCTTGTCGCGTGCATCGGCCTGTTCGGTCATCATCTGATCCGCCTGCCTGCCAATATCACGCTCCAAGTCATCCTGCGCTCGTGTGCCGGTCGTGAGCATCTTGAGTCGTGCCTCCTCGTCGGCATCTGACGGAAGTTCCTCTGCTGAGTCTTGTGCGCCATCGTGTGCGGTGCCATCACTCGGCTCGTCATGATTCGAGTTGTCTGTAGTGGTGACGGTGATCTCAGGTGTCTCGACGGGCGCAGCGTCTTCGGAAGGCAGTGGCGACATAGTGACAGCTATGCGCAGTCGGTAAGGAAGTCTGAGACGATCTATCTATACCGCAGCGGGTACTAAGCGAGGTTCGTGGGCCGTATGCCGTGCGCTTCGAACTACCCGTGGGTGGAGGAAATTCGTGAAGAAGTTAGGCCGAAGGCAACAGCGGCGAGTCGCGGAACGTAAAGTGAAAGGTCAAGCGCTAGAGGGTGGAGGAAATCATCACGAGACAGCAGACGAAAAGCGGAGGAGCCGCAGGATACAGCGTGGAGAAGAAGATGTCGTGGGCGACAAAGGCGCGACCCGCGTGGTGGACACTTTCATCATCTCTCACTCACAGCGATGATATCACTAAACGCGCTAACGTGACGCGCAGTTTCCGCGGTATCGCGCCACCACCACTCTAGACATGTGCATACAAGTTAAGTCAAAGAACACTTTTTTCCGGATACCCTATTACTACGATCTACGCGATGCATTTTCGAATCCAAGGAGCGTTTTCTGTCGTTGCTAATAGCGCTATCCCTATACCTGAATTTTGTCAACGTCATTTAGCTAGCCTCCATCCTTCCGCTTGATGCTCTTTCTACGAACCGTGTCTATGATCCCCATCCCATCCCCTTTGAGCCTGGGAGCTGAATTTGATCATTCAATGCTCGTGTATCGAGGTTTGGTCAATGGTGCACCTGCATGGCCTGGATGTCCGCTTCTCCATTCCGTGGAAACGACGATCCAAGAGATGGTAAGCGCGATCCTGTCAATCTCTGCCTCAACGGCGCCTACGCACCGTCTGACTCGCTCCACGATATCTCATCGCGATGCATTGCTTCCAGAACATATCTTTAGCAGCCGCATGTTTCTTGATCCTAAGTGTTGATCCTATCGAGAGTTTTACTTGCCCTGGATGCTGTCCTATATTCACCACATTCGGGCCTTCCAGTGTCGATATTGATGCGAGCGGCCATCAGCCCTATGCAAGTCACGTCATGATGGAGGAAGCCACCTTCATCTCGCGTGCGCACGTTGAATCCTGCGCCCAAGTCCGACGGCCTCAACATGTCAAGCTGACTCGGATTCGTTCTATCACCACGGTCAACGGCTCCCTTGAAACTTGCGATGAGTCTCCATGGGCTCGATCTCTCATGTGAAAGCAGTCGCATGAGGTCTGCAGTGAGTGCATGTGAGCCTGTGTCTTGCCCCCCGAACTACCGGACTAACCGGTAGCTGTAAAGTGGACACTAGTTTCAACCTCAGGGTTATGAACATGGCGCGCCTAATAACAGATGCGACGCGACGTAACCGTGTCCAGCGCAGGTTGAGCATCTACGCCTCAACCGGAGTACGATACAGCCACCCGGAATAGGAGACAGCCTAACGAAAGAATGGCAAAGGTGCACAGAACATCAACAAAAGAGCTGTGATCAGACTTGGGCGGCTATCCCTGGAATTATCGGTCGCAGGAACAATTGAGTTGGAACTTGGCGGGTTGTCTGAGGCGTGGTGGGTCCAAGCTTCACTTTGCAGATTTATCCATTCCCTGCCAACACCTGGCGTATAAACGGCTGTTGAGATGAATGTCGCGTGGTACGAATGCGGGGAAGCGAGGACGCAAGACGATTTGACAGCCATGCAGCGCTGGCTCATATAGGCTGGAGTCGCATAATTCATTGTATGATATCGTCTGCCGGCATTCCCCGCCATACCCATTCAGTCAGTTTGGGCGACACGACTCATCATCACCCGCTCAAGTCTAGACAGTCTGGTACTGACTCGGATCCTTGTGTGGGGCTCCCTCCCGCTGCATGATTGCGTTAGAGAACGCCATCTTTCGCGCGATTGGCATTGTGGATATTGCCGTTAGATGTTTGATAGTCAGTGCCTGCATCTCCCTTACGCATCACCATGAGCGTCGCTCCTGTAGTTTCTTTCTCTTGCCAACCTCCCATTCTATCCATGTGAACAATCTATTGTCGAACTCCAGAAGCGTTCCAGATGGTCCCTCATGGCCGGCTCTCCATTGTGTTGGCCTTCGTGCTTACCTCTACGTCGACCGTAGTCGTAGCTCTCAGGTGCGTCGGTCGTTTGCATGTAACATTGAGTCTTGGATTGACAGTCCAGGTTTTACACTCGACACTTCTATATTGGAAAGCTTACGTCGTCTGACTGGGTCATGCTCTTGGCTCTCGTGAGTTGGTTTTCTTTTTCATGCGATGCTACTGCTAACTAGAACCAGATCGCCACATGGTATGAAAATATCCGCGGAGACTAGATGAGCTGAACTGACTCATCACTTCCTATACACAGGCTATCGGTGGTAGTACATTGCTACATGATCCATTTCACTGATTTTAGCGGTCTTCCTGTAAGTCGCTACTGACTGTTTGAGAAACGAAGCCTAACATTACATAGTGGGATGATTGGGAACCATGGAAATCAGTAATAACCGGCTCGATGCTATCGATTTGGCTCTATCGGATAAACTTCGTTCTCGATCTTTGTCTCATCAAGACCTCGATATTACTGTTTTACGATCACATTGCCGCATCAAACAAACGCTTCCAATACGTCATCCGCGTGCTACTCGCTATCATAGTCCTTGGCGGGATATCGCAGATCATCGCATCCATCTTCATGTGTTATCCAATCACTGATGCCTTCGCATGGCACATATGGTACCGCGGCAATATCCTTCATATCTTCGATGCTAAATGTTACGACCCAAATCCATTCTGGCTTTTTAACGCTGTCTACAATCTCATCACGGATGTAATCATCTGGACGCTACCGATATTGTTCTTCTTGAACCTTCCCACAATGCCACTTCGACGCCGTCTTGAGCTCGTCGCCATCTTCTCCGTCGGTATCATGGCTGTCATAGCTTCCGCCTTTCGACTCCACACTACGATCCTCTGGCTATCCGACTACGTACAGCAAGCTCTAAGCACGGCAGATCTCCTATTGTGGAGCCAGGTGGAGCAAAATACTGGTATAATTGCGGCCTCTGTACCATTTCTGCGACCACTCTTTCGCAAAGCGTTGGGCAAGGCGAGGAGCAGAGAGCAGCCAAGCCCTGGTCCAGCGTTGCCTTTGGTTGGGGACGATACATCAGAGTTTAATCCGGGCATGTTTAGGACACCGATTATTCCATCACCTAGCCCGACTTTCAGCAGGTGTAGCCGGGAGTTTAGGCCACCAAGGAGCAATCTCGAACCCATTGAGCCCATCAAGAGTATGTCGACCTGGGGCTCAGCGATCTGGGATGGGACGCAGGTTCGGCAGGTCCTTCCTACTTGATATGTCGGTCACTGGTTGGCCCTCAGATCTAGCCAGGAGCTAGCAGGAAACTTTCCATGGGTTTCGACGAGACAGGGACGGTTCAGAGCGCTGGTCAGTCGGTGAGGAGAATGGCGTCTCTGCGCCCATGGACTTCCGTAAAGTGAAGGTAAGAGCGGAATTTGGCCACTCACTATTATCGCTCCCCGCCAACTTTCGAATTTGACAACGCGCTTTATCCCCGAGCTCCACCCTTACTTAACCTACGCACTCAATACTTCGAGTTCTCTCACCACTTCCACATCGACGACGATGGCGACCATGGCCGGCAATCCGACCGACGCTTCCGCTGCGATGCCATGCGTTCCTTTACCCCCGCCCAAGCCTGCACTCGATCACCTTCCCATGGAGCTCATCGTAAATATCCTCCAATACATACCTGGCTTACATCAACACGAACTATTCGCGTTACGCAGCACATGTCGCTTTTTTCGCTCGGTCGCCACCGATTTCCTCGCCTCGGACATGACTTCAGACTGAGACACATTCGAGTGCTTCTGACAAAAGACGGTCTGACAGCGCTTCTGGAGCTCATGTCTGTATCGAATTTAAAATGCTTGATACAAACCGTCCAGTTCATCGACCCTGGTGTGGATGCCATAGTTCATGAGAAGAAGGGCGAGCAAGACAGATACTCTTGGCTCGGCTACAAGCATACGTTTCCTCAGCTAGAGACAATCAACAACAAGGCACGTTGTATATCTTGACTAGTCACGATCGGCGTTAGAACGCTCCGTTCGCAGGTCACATCATTAGATGATCGCAGTGTACTGATGAACTTCAGATTGCACCAGCACAGCGCTCGTTCTGGATCGAACATGCACCGAACCTTTTGAAAGAAATTTTCGATGCGTTCATGACCATTGACAGGCTTGAGGAGATACACTTCGGAGCAGAGTATCACCCCACTGGACCTGTGCTCGGCTCGAGACATTTCGTAAAGGATATGGGGTTCAATTACGCCAGCACCTTTCTCGCTCACGAATATTTCCGAAAGTGTGTTGGCAACAGCGAAATTGGCACATACATCCTTCTCGAATACGTACCTTTGCTACATCATGTCTTGTCAAATACTGGCTTTGATAAACGGATCGTTCACTTGAATATGCGCAATCTACCTCACACTTGGGGGTGGTCTGTACCTAAGGTTTGGGCATATTTAGATCACACGAGCATTCTCAAGCTCAACATCTTCGATATACATCATACGCCTCCGCCAGAGAGCACCATGACACCATCGACCATGAGCCTCGATCCCCAACTTCGGGAACTCATCCCAGCCACAACGATGAGCATCAGTCACCTCCGGCTCGTTGGTGGCCAGAGTGCCTACATCTGCGCAGACGATACCGAGACCTTATCTCTCTTAGCCAACACAGAGTTCCCAGGCCTGAGACGGGTTGAGCTCATCGACTACGCCATTACCAGCGAACAGCTTATAGCTTTCCTCCAACGCCTCGGTCCAACAGTGCTTTTTGTGTACTTCACTCGTATACACCTTACCTATGGTAGTTGGGTGTCGGTTCTGAGGAAGATCCGCGGGATTGGTGGAGTGCGTAGGTTCGAGGGCAAAACTCTCGGAGATGGTGAAGCGTGCAGATGGATCCTTCGAAAAACTTGAAGTTTTCCATGAGTGCTGGTAAGGCGAGCGACTGATGGGTTTCGTGTCTGGCGGGAGATGGCTTCACGTGAACAAAATGCCACTGTATAGGTGCGCAACACGTTGGGTATACTGGAAAAAGTAGCTGCAATAACTAGCTTCAATGACAACATCAACCACGCGCCGATGTCAAGTGCCAACAGCGTGGAGGTGGCTTAGTAAAGCGTCGTACTCGTGGTGTTGTGATTCGTCGCGGGCCGACCGCGTCATGCTCTCGCCATTGGTCTTGCCGAAAACCTACAATGCGAACAGTGCCATGCCGCAATTCTAGAATTCGCAGGGCGAGCGACTTTATCAGCATGCGGTGGGCTCACTGTGACACGATCCACATTGAACTCGTAGGGCAACGCTGGTGTGATCTGGGTGCCGGGGACGCTCGAGCCGTTGCCGAAGGAAAGCTCAGCAGGCGGTGAAAGACAAAACGGGCATAGACGGCTAAGGGGGCGTTGGTAATTGGTTTGGCGCATTTCTCGGCAGGCACTAGTGCATTTCAACTCAGGCGTAGCCTCTCGGAACAGAGTGAGCCTTGAGTGGCAAAAGTGGTACGAACGTCGATCAGGGCGTCTCCAATCTCCAATTTAATCCGCCTCCTTTGCTGCTGCTTTGTTCCCTCTTCAGCTGCAGCACCACCGCCAATCGCTCCTTCACCACTCTGCAACCTGCAGTCGTTCCTTCATTCTACAACTGCAATTGTTTTTCTTTTTGGACACTGAGCACACTCAAGATGTACGCCTCCGAAGTACACCGAATGCGCAAAGCCCGTGACACTAACAGATGATAGGAACAACGCAACCTCCATCCTGACGCCAATGGCGCAGGACACCTACTGGGGCTCCTTTGAGGAGATCTCCAAGTACAATGTACAGCTCAACTACCTCGAGAGGATGTGGATGACCTGGTACGCATGGATGGGCAACGATGTCCTGGCGACGGGAATCATGTCCTTTGTTATCCACGAGACGCTTTACTTCGGACGCTCGCTTCCCTGGATCATCATCGACTGCATACCCTACTTCAACCGATACAAGCTCCAAAACGTACGTCTCCCTGACTGACCAGCTTTATTGCAACCAAAGCTAACTTGTCGCAGCAAAAAATCCCCACTGCTTGGGAACAAACACAATGCGCATTCCTTGTCCTCCTCTCCCACTTTACCGTCGAGCTCCCTCAAATCTGGCTGTTCCACCCCATGTGTCAATACTTCGGCCTCGAGACCTCCGTTCCTTTCCCTAGCATCTACAAGATTGCCTACCAGATCGCCATCTTCTTCGTCCTCGAGGACGCATGGCACTACTGGACCCACCGCGCCATGCACGCAAGCTCCTTCCTGTACAAGAACATCCACAAGATTCACCACCAATACTCTGCCCCCTTCGGCCTGGCCGCTGAATACGCCTCGCCTATTGAGGTCATGATTCTGGGTTTCGGTACCGTCGGTGTCCCAATCGTCTTCTGCGCCCTCACCAAGGATCTCCACATCCTGACCGTGTACATTTGGATCCTGTTCCGTGTGTTCCAAGCCGTCGACGCACACAGCGGCTACGAGTTCCCATGGAGTCTGCACCACTTCCTGCCCTTCTGGGCCGGCGCCGAGCACCATGATGTTCACCACGAGAAGTTCATTGGTAACTACGCTAGCAGCTTCAGGTGGTGGGACTTTGTCCTTGACACCGAGGCCGGTGCTGAGGCCTCCAAGAGGCGAAGGGAGCGCAAGCTGGCTGCCGCCAAGCTCAAGAAGGCCAACTAAATGACTGCTGGCATGTTATAATTTTTCGGAGATTTGTCGGTTTTAGCCGCATGCTCATCAGATGGGAGATGGTAGAACCACTTCCCACTGACTTACCCACACCCGCCTCGATGCGGACCTGGTATGAGAAACGGCGTTCGGATTATAGGAAACCGCAGCCATGCATGATGGCCGCGGCAATAGACAGTACAGACCCTGGATAATGGGTGGCAGAGAGGTGTTTGTGTAAATAGGAGCTGGGTCATTATAGAATATCTACCTAATACTATCACGGTCGCTACGTTGAATGTTATCATTTATCTCACCACTTTCCAATCCAATCTTCTCTGTTGAGTGTATATTCTGGACGCAAAAATACGCATATGGAGAATAGCAGGATGTAGGGAAAATGTCTTAGGTGAACGGTGAACGGAGAACGAGGCCCCTGGTGATAGCGCGGAACGTGTCTTGGCGTGGTGAGGCCTGGCGCGTCCATTCCGAGCTTCATCAACTTTCTTTGACCTGCGTCAAACCGCGCAATCACCACAACCACCTCAAATCAACGGCGCGCGAAAACACGGCATCATGAGCTCCGGGCGCCCTGTTGTCCACCAGGACTACATTGCGAAAATCCGATATTCGAATGCGCTACCTCCTCCACCATGTCCGCCAAAGCTGCTAGACATCCCCAATACCGGCCTTTCGAGCGGCCAATACACATCAGCGGGCTTTGCGTCAAGACTGGCGCGAGAGCAGTCGCTGAACATTGAGGCTGATGCTGAGCTGGGAATGCCCATCGACTTGGTGGGTATTCCCAAGGTATTCGATGGAGACGAGTCTGGTAAGAACAAACCCGTGGCGCAAACGTCTTGCAGCGACTAACGCGTCGAATAGCTATTCAGGCCATGCCTCACCCGCCACCGCTCAGCACAGCAGACAGGGCGCTGATGCGACCGCCAAACCAGCTCGGCAAGACCCAGACCAATGCCTCTGGCGCGACCTTCCTGCGACGAACAGAATATGTCACCTCAAGCACAACGGGCGGCTCCAAATTCGAGTCAAGTAACTCCTCTAACACGATGCGCCTGCGAAGGAAGCGAAAGCAGGTAGAGACCTCACTAGACGATCCTACAAACATCGCGAGACACATCTTGAAGAGCTTCAACATTGCGTACCCAGCGGACGCCTACAACGGACAGGATGGTGCCGAGAACCTTAGGGCGGCTGAATCAACGCCCGAAGAGCGCCTAGCATGGAACAAGCCCAAGCACCCCAGAAACCCCAACCTGACACTGGTCGACTCATACCCCCTTCTGCCAGACTGGGACGCCATGCCAGACACAGGCGGCTACATGGTCTTCAAGTTCACCGCACCCCCCATCAACAACCCGCTCGACCCCTCCTACGACCCGCGTCTCGACGTCGCCCTCCTCCGTCCGGCCGGCCAAACAATCCAAGACCAAGAGAAGTACATGGAAGACCGCGAAGCACACAGACTGGACTCCACAGTCCCCCCACCCATCCCCCGCTGGCAATTCGAATACTTCCTGCCGTCCGACAAGTCCAAAGTCCGCGGCATCAAACGCAACTTCACGACGCACGACCCCAACAACGAAAACGACATCGACTTTGACATTGCCGAAGACGACGAGGGCCAGCCGCGCAAATGCTTCAAGTACGACAATGTGCGTACGTACGAGACGAGTCAGCAGGTCGGTGATCCGAGTGATACCTATGGCGATGTTGTTGCGCTCGCGCTTCATGACCCGGACAAGCATCAGAATGAGCAGTTGAGGGATAGCAAGATGCAGCGCGCGGCGTACTTTTACCCGATCACGCAGAGGACGCAGTTGAGGCCCAGGAGGCCGGGCAGGATTGATATGACGGAGGAGCAGCCCAAGGTTGATATTATCGAGGCGGCGGGTAAGGAGCCCGAGAGTGTGGAGAGGAGGGAGGGGTATAGGAAGAGGGCCGAGGGTATTGAGTAACGTGCGATGAAGATAACTGAGGCTATCAAACTGTGAGGCCGTGATCACTCTTTTCAGCATTGAGGTGGACAAGTCCAGATTGAACCTATTTTGGTATTTATCATCAGCGTCGGCGTTAGTGAGGTACCGAGATGTAAGAATATTTATCGTGGGCCGTGGCATATAGGGGGATGTACTCAAGTACGTTCATTTTTTCGCGAAAACAAATGGATACAAAGGTTGTCTATCATTTATCTTCTCTCTGGTCTAACTCTGCAACGATTCTTCATGTTCTAACCCTTCCAAAAACTTCCAAACCAGAACTCCGATAACTCCCACTCTGCTTGAGCACTCCCAGTCAGACTGGACCATGAGACGCTGCCCGCTGGCCCCACGCGCCCACCCTAGCTTTGTATTTGATTCTATATATCCAACTCTTCCTCCTTCTCGAGAAGCCTCAGTAATTCTGACAACTCTCGTATCTCTCCTCGACACTTCGCCTTCAGCCCGGGTGGATGTGACCCAGCCTGCTCGCTTGACTCGGTCCTCCTAGTTCACCCGCGCACGCAATCACTGATGAAGGAGCTGATCTGAGCAATGTTTCCAAGGATGTCCAAGATCCAAACAGCATAATCAATCCACGATTTTGAGCCAGATTCGGGTACAACGGAGGGTAGAGTTATTGGCTGTTGATACCCTGATGGTATCGTTTGAGTGTAGTGTGGATATAGGTTGCCTGAAAGAGGTAACGTGTTGGCGCGTCGTAATCCGTGGTAGCTGGGCAGCAAGGTGTCCATGTTAACCTCGTCGGTTGCAGTAGTGTTAGAGTAACGCATAGCGACGCTTGGACTAAACCACACGCGCCGATACTAGAGACCTTCCGTAATGCACCTTGGAATAACCAGTAGTAAATCTTGAAGCTAGGATAAAGAAAGTGTAACCCCGTCTCGCGTCCTTCTCTGTGCCTCCTTCTCTGTGCCTCCTTCTCACAACTCCTCGCGCCACTTTTTGTATCCCAAAATTCTCTTTCGGGGTTGTGGTGTTCACCCAGCGTCCCCCTCAGACTGCTCAACTTATAAGCCCATGAGACATGGATGTCTTTTGCAATGCGGGGCTGTGCAGGTCAGCAAAGCGTTACCCACTCTATACGTGCATCTATCTTCCAATCATAAGTGTCCATTGGATTAACAATCAACCATTGTTGGGCTAGCCTTCATTCAATTAGCTTGTTAAGCTAGCCTTTGTTGGATTAGCTTGTTGAGCTAGCCTCTGTTAGATCAGCCTGCTCAGACGGGGCGTGTTCTGATTGGAGGCCGTACTGCTGACATCTTGGCTAGGATCACGTGAAGCGACTCATGTTGTTCTTCGAAAAATATCGTAGTATATTAACAACAATCCTGTATATCTTGTTCTACAATTCAAAAGGCCGCTCCGATAACTCCCATGTCTTTTGCAACTTTCCTTGGTCCGTCAATCAGCATTGCGACTACGCCTGTGTATGCTAGAGTCGAATGACCAGGAAATTCGGAAGGGCATGCGAGATCATTTGCCCTGCGCACAAAAAGCTACCGTTGATACCTGTCGGTCGCATAGTCGTCTAACTAGAAGCAGCTGATGAGGTATACGTCAAGTCAGCCATGTGTACAGTGAGCTGACCGGAGGTTTTCCATGTTCTGCCAACGCCTGTCGTGGCAGAAATCCGATCACAAAGCACAGCCTCAATCGCACGTCCTCTGCTTTCGCTTGCCGAGAACATCCAGTAGGATGGCCACAAATCTCGCACATTATCCCATATCTCGCACGCCGTCCCAAGCTGGGGACCGCTTGCCGATTTCTGTTGTCGAACTGCAATGCCAAACTCCAACGAGAGACCAGCCAGCCTTTGTCCGCTGAGGCTGCTATATGGTACTTCACCACAATCTGGAGGCGTGAACTCTGATAACAAATCTCTAGCTGCTTGTACACCGCATCTTTTCACCGAGAGTGATCGTTGTCAAGACTGCATCAGCAGTCTCCCGTGCGCGGGCAGTAAATGGCAAAGTGATTGGCAAGTCCCACAACAGCCATCATGATATACAGATGGATTCGACCAAAGACTTTTCTCTTACGCAACACTTTCATTGGGTATCTCTCTAGTCTATCCTACCATCAATCCTTTCTATCCTATTCCGTAAGACGTTTCAAAGAAAAGTCAACTCCGATAACATATCTTCTTTCTTTTCTTCCCCCTTATCTTAACTCTTCTCGTCAGACCCGAAGGATAAGTTACAGCTTCCACCGTTTCCACATTACTTAACCGCAACGGTAATGATGGCAACAATAACTCCGACGATAGTGGCAGCGAGTCCAATGACAGGGGCGTATTCCACTATGTAAGTGAAGCATGTTCGCTCGGTAGGCTTATTTGTAATGATAGATGTAGCCATTGAGGATATCGTTCGGTTGTTGTAAGGGGGGAGGTCGAAGGAAAGGGGTAGAGTGTGGGCGCGTGGCGGTGGTTTATGCGTTTGTAGTGCATGGTCGTCATTGACCTGTTCGGCGGTCGTCGTGTAAGGACTCGGCATGGCGATGGGTTGGATCTGTCACTTCACTGATTAGCAAGATGGTACAGCCAATCAGAGGTTGAACGCTAAGCCGCACATGATAGTGTCGATGAACTGTCGTAGTATTTATCAAACACAGAAGACCGTAAGGTTTGCGGGTATAGTTGAAAATATTGTCCTTTTTATGGAATTCGGTGAGCTCTTCATCCTTCTTCCTTCATGATTTTCTGCTCCCTTCGAGGAGTTCATATACTACCTGACAGCCTTGAATTGCCAGTTCCTGAGACTGGAGGAGCTCCAGCTAAGCTCCATGCAGCATAAGCCAAGACAAATATCCCTTGGCTTTTGCCATCGCTTTCTTGGCTTTTGGTGAGAATGGAAGGAGACCTCTCAAGTAAGCTACACTCAAGTAGGCAGGTCCATTGTACCTTCGTCCGCAGGCGTAACTTCTAAAGATCACAACACGAATGCTCACTTTCAGAGACGGCACTAATGCAATATGGCTGTATCCAGATGCAATTCGCTTATAATAGGGTATATTTCTCTCTTTCCCTCGTCTATGTCATCAACAGTAAAATCTACTTCGTTCCGCAAGAGATTCTTTGTAGTACCTGATAACTTCTCATATTCCCTTAGATACAGCTTTTTATACTGCACAGATTAGGCGCTGCTTGTGACTCCGAACAACACCCCCTTTGTAACCTATCTGGCCACTGTAATAACGACGCCAACGACGATTCTGATGACAGTGACGACGATTACAACAACGGCGATGACTAGTCCGATGACTCTGTCGTTCTTAATAACGTAAGTGTGTTAATCCTTTATACCAGGCGTGGTTCTATTATTGCTGGTCCTTGGGAGATTCGTGCGGTTGTTGGGCGGACGAGGATGTAGGCGTGTCGTGGTCGGAGGTATGTGGGCAGCAAGGTGTCTATATTAACCTGCTCGGTTGCAGTGGCGGTGGAAGAAGACATGAGGACGGGATGATACTTCGATTGACTGTAATGTGTCAGCGGGGTAAACTCTATACTATGGCGGAGGTGAACTAATGTAGTTGGTGCAACGCGGTATGTTCAGTCCTAGTCCTCGAAGCAAATGGCTCTGGTTGCTTGAAATGAAATGCACTATGCACTTGGAGAAGACCTGTTGCTAACTTTATTACGGCTGATTTGGCGTAGTATATCGACGGTTGCAGTCCGCTAGGCGGAATAGCAGGCAAGTATTTCGCAGCCATTGTGCTGTTCGAAAAGTTACAAGTTTGGTAATAAGGACATAATATAGAACTGTAGTTGGATGATCTGCTGCAGGTATTTTGGATGCTGCGGCGCGCTACCTATCTTGCAGCTCAGTCTGTTCTCCATGGCTCCTAGCGCTGCCGGATCGCGCAGTAAAGTAGACCGCAGCTGCAATAGTCATGATTCGTCAACGCAATAGAACATCTCTCGTACTGACTAGTCCGATGCGGGAGTACATGTACAATCGGTGTGTGCCAAGCACGTCCGCTCTAATAAGCCTAGATAATTTTAAGTACCAACACGTGATCCGGTGCCCAACAACTCACCAATGTCCCTTACGTCATGCCTAGTAAAACTCCTAACTGCGCAATTCCGTAGCTACCATCGCCATCACCATCACACCCAACTGTTGGCTCTAAAGAAAAGAGCAACTCTGTGCTTGTGTTGTCGAAATGTGTGCGCTGAGTACTTTAGCCAATTTGTCCGCGCGACCAACGGACCACCCACGCGCTGACTCAAGCGACGCGATGATATAGCGAATGATTGACGGATTTATTTGCCGAAGATTCGCATCTTTATCGCCGATTTAACTCCTCTGATGTTTTCTCTCATCTTTTCCATCGCCTCCGTCCTCTTTCTGTCATCTAATCCATAATTTCTAATTTCCGGTCGCTCCAACATCAGTTGTCGATGACTTCCACGTCGGACATGTCCACTCACAACTCTACCAGCTCACTACCCAAAGAACCATCGCGACTCGACACATCAGTAAAACTCCACGACGCCCATGAAGTCCCATCCTGGTACGCGCATAACGCCTCCATCACCACCGGCTATCGCCCTGTAACAAAATCAATATCCCTCTGCATCCGCAGCTTATCATACGTGCACAACGAAACGGTCAACATCTACTCACACCTCATCCCCGCCGTAATCGTCCTTCTAACCAGCTACTCTTTCGATCGTTACTTCACCGCGCGATTCCCCAAAGCGTCCTGGACCGACGAACTCGTTTTCCGTATCTTCCTAACTACCTCTGTGATTTGCTTTGGTACCTCAGCTGTGTATCATACACTGATATGCCACTCGGAAGCTTACCATAGTTTGTGGGTAAGACTGGATTATGTGGCGATCATTGTGCAGATTGTGGGGAGTTTCGTGCCAGGGATTTATTTTGGTTTCTATTGTGAACCGGGGTTGCAGAAGCTGTATTGGTCTATGGTATGTATACAAAGGTATGCGGTGATATAGTGACTAATTCAATTCTTCAGATCGTTACTCTGGGGACATTGACGGCGACTACAGTCATTAACCCTAGCCTTCATGGCCCAAGATGGAAAACTTTACGCCTATCGGCTTTTGTCGCTACGGGCTTTTCGGCGTTTGCACCCATCTTCCATGGCGCGTTACTCTTTCCTTATAGTCAGTTTGACAGGCAGACTGGGCTGCGGTATTATTATCTTGAGGGTGTTTTGATAATGATAGGGGTGTGGTTCTATGCGGTAAGAATATCATGCTCATCACCACGTCCTTGTCTAGAAACGAAGCGGCAGCTAACATATGTGACAGACTCACTTCCCAGAGTCTTGTAGGCCGAAGAGATACGATATTTGCGGCGCATCGCATCAATTGTTCCACCTCTTCATCGTGCTAAGCGCCGCGGCTCATTATTACGGTGTTATGAGCGCGATGGAGTGGAACTACGTGAATCAGCGCTGTCAGTAGTCTTGAAGACCCACGTGTCTAACTAGAGGTATTCCCTCAAACCTTCTCTCACCCTTAACGTATATGCTGTCCCTTCTCGATCACCAACTCAACCGCTACGGTCTACCTCACAATCGCAACAACGACAAAAAGAAAAGGCAACTGGACACAGCAAGTTTCGAACTTGCATGTCCCGCATCACGACCAATATTGATGTCCTCGGCGGCGATAATGGAGAAGGAAGACATGGCGATGCGGTGCGGTATATCGACTGACTATAAAAGGTTAGCGAGATGGCATATCAAATCAGAGGCTGGAGGCTAACCTACACTCGGTAGGAGTAGTGAGTGGTTGTGACGTTCCCTAGTATATACTGTAGTAAATCGTAAATCTCGTTCCGAGAACATATCCAATCACCGGCTCCACCTGCGTCGCAGAAGCCAGCCTTCGAGCTGTGGCATTGGTCAGCATGGAAATTTGTGGCAAGTTGTACATCTCATGCGGGTGTCTCGTGCGAGCGCCGCATGGATACGAAATACTCAAGTGTCTATTATTGGGGGCCATTTCCGATAGTTGTCCGCCTGGAGAGAGCACACGGTCAGCTTCCCTCTCACTTTTTCATCGCTGCAATATCACTTCTCTTGCTTTCCCTTTCCTGCTCCACGTCGTAGTACTGCTTTTTTTTTCGTTGCGACACCGCGTCTTATACTGCCTCGCCTAAGAACTTGTGTGCCACCTATGCCACTTTCTCAGCGGTCTCCGCCGGCGGCTAAAGGTTTCGACAGCCCTGCCCCGCGTATCGAGATAGACAACGTCAGAAGAGAATTGATGCCTCCTGGTACAGCACCTAAGCTCCATGGCAGTGACCAGGTACCGCCGTGGTATGCACACAACGCATATATCCTTACGGGATACCGACCCGTAACGCACTCAATACGGCTTTGCATCCGGAGTTTGACCTACCTCCACAACGAGACCGTAAATATCTACTCGCATCTTCTTCTGGCGGCTTTAGCACTTTTTGGAAATTACTCCTTTGGAAGATACTTCACTTCGCGTTTTCCTCACGCATCAGGAGCGGATAAACTGGTCTTCCATGTATACCTGACGACTTCTGTCCTCTGTTTTGGCATCTCATCTGCATATCACACACTCATTTGTCATTCTGAACGATATGCAGATCTTTGGGGTCGTCTCGACTATGTCGCTATTGTCTTCCAGATCCTTGGTTCTTTCGTCTCTGGTATCTATATTGGCTTTTACTGTGAGCCAAACCTCCAGAAACTATATTGGACGATGGTAAGTACCCGGCGATCCCAGCCCCGAGTTGGCCTAACTTCTTTTCTAGATTATCACACTAGGAGCGTTAACGGGTTTTGTCGTTATCAATCCTCGGCTCCAAAGTATGAGATGGAAGACACTTCGTCTTTCAACATTTGTTGCGACGGGTCTGTCAGCTTTCGCACCAATACTTCATGCAGCCAGCATCTTTCCATACGATCAATTAGACAAGCAAGCTGGGCTACGTTATTATTATCTCGAAGGGTTCTTGATACTAATTGGTGTTGGATTCTACGCGGTATGGTTCTCGTGCTTGTATTGTCTCATACACTTGGTACCACTGCTAACGCGCAAGATAGACCCATTTCCCAGAGTCCCTAAAACCTAGGAGATTCGATATCTGGGGCGCATCCCACCAGATATTCCACATAACTGTAGTTCTTGGCGCGTTAGTCCATTTCTATGGCATACTGCAGGCGTTTGAATGGAATTATGTCAACCAACGCTGTGACTGGCACTAGTCATTAGGCAGAGATGCGAAGCTAGCACGGTGTTTCCATTACTGTAAAAGATGTCCCTCTGATTATAGTTAGAACAAACGTTGCATGGCTAAGATCTTCCTGGTACCTATATCTCTTTGCTTGTCCGTGGCAAAGACTAGAATGTTCCTATCACTTCTCCAGTCTGCTCTTACTCTCAACCCATATAGTATCCTTCCGCAATCGCTATATTCCAGACTGCCCAACTTTACCTCTCCACAACCCTAGTCTCTATTGTTAACAAAACGTAAAAACTAATGAACACAGGAAGACCCGAACTAGCATTTCCCGCATTACGACCGCCAGGCGAACGAATTATTACGTATTCTGCTACCCAGTGTACACCCGACTATCACATTCATGCGAATGAGTGCTGGGCGACGCTAGGCCAACGTGTGCGGACTCTTTACTATTAGGCTATGTGTCCTGGTTCTTCCTTGATGGGAGAGTTAAGATATGATAAGTACGTGTACAAGAAGTTTAGATGAGGTGAGAGAGATGGTGAGATACCTGAGGTTTAGAGGTGAGAGAAATTAGTATGGGATATCCGAGAATTTGATTCAAAAAGTCATATAGTTCTGCAAACCTGATCGTAATCTATGTGTAGTCATGTATGATTGTGAACGTTGGAGTCAATGGTGACTATTGATGTCATCAATGACGTTCGTAGAGGGCAGACTGTACCAGAGACAAGGAAGGTACTACGTCTGAGACAAGCATATCTAAGCATCGAGTACATGATTAAGGTCAATGGAATGGATAACACTAACTAATATGTGCTCATTACTAGGAGAATTCCTCAATCTCAATATCCTTAAGTGGACTCTTAAGCATATCAAAATCTGCAGTTTTCGCGTTTGGAGAATAAACCGTGTCGAGATGGGTAATGAAACCGGGGTTCATAACCGTTGGGAACAACAAAGTCGAGGTGACTAGAGAATTCTGTGCTGCAACCTTTTCTCTATAGGGTGTTGTGTGGATTCTCGCGGGTAAGCCATTGTGGTGGCTCTTCCCATAGGGGCGGGTGGAGATTTGCTCCCAGGGAAGATGAAATATCTTTTGGCCGTGGTGGCGTAAGCCAAAAAGATCGGCCGAGACGCCTAGAAAATCTTGCGCTGAGTTGTTATCCCCTTTCTGGTGTTGTGTAGAGCTCCATAAGGAGACTCCACGTGTAATAAGTTCGACTCTTAGTTTGGTAACGGCAAAGGACGCTTTTTTTAATAGGTTGATTCAGTTTAGGTGTATTTTTGTGATTTATGTCGTTTTTTTGTTTTGAGGAATCGGTCGTACAGTTGACGAGGCTCAAAGATTCAGCAGGAATGCTTCTTAAGGTGTTTTAGTAAGTTATCGTATCGCGTGAAAGATTTTTGACAGCCTGGAGCTTGGCAGGGAAAGCGTTCTTGTACCGCTCGATGTGTCTTGATGTGGCGGGTTAGATCTGCTCGGAGACTGAAAGTTCTTTGACAGCCGGTCACGGTGCACTTGTGGCGTCGTTGGTGCTTCCTATTGATGTGGTCGCTTTTGAGATGAAGTTAGATGGCGCATCATTGAGGGAGGTGTTGGTACATACTTGAGGTCGCAATGCCTTTTGAAGGTACCGTTGCAGAAGCTACAAGATAACTCGTGTGTCTTTTCTGTCTTGTTGTTGTTGTTGCTATTGCTGTCTTCGGGGCGTGTTGATTGTCTTGGAGCCGGCGGGGTCGATGGGAAGCTATTGTCGAGACTACTTCTCAAAGTAGTAGGCGTATTCGAATTTGACTGTTCGTCGAGTGTAGACGAATTGTTGTTGTCGTCAAATAACGGGGGTGGTAATTCGTTGGCGAGAGTAGTATCCCTGGTAAGGTATGGAGCGTGTATAACTGGATTGATATTCAATTCGAAAGCAAACGGGCTGAAAGAAGAAACTGAAACGTCGCAAGAGAGTCCAAATCTCGAGAATGACGAAGTACAATGTGACGGAAGGGAAATAAAAAGTCGTAAAGGCGAAGACTACACTGGCCTTCGCCCAAGGCTGTCTGGGGAGTAGGCGGATGGGTGAGGGTGCTCGACCCGAACGCCCAGAGGCGTAGTAGTGATGATTTTGTGAAGCAGAGATTTGGGGTGGTGCAGAACTTGATTGAGGAGAGTATCTTGTGGTGAAAGGACTTGGAAAGAATTGATTGTTGAAGATAGGGTTGGAAGAAGAGAGCTCGTACATGGACTTCAAGATTACCTTATATGTCGGAGCCGTGTCTTTGGAGGCATGGAACCTTCGGACGAGGCTGAGACTCCGCCATCGCGCTCACCGATAACATGCATGCTTATTGCTCGGCGGCTGCAGTCTGTCCTGTCATGATTACATGCCTCCACATCCTATTGGACGAGGCTACTGGAGGCGTAGAGTAGAGTGTCGTGGAGGTCGGAGGTCGGAGATGTCAGGGAGCTAGTCGTCTTCTCTCTGCCGGGGTCACTATGTTGTCTTAGGTCAAAGTCTCCATGGGTTTGAACAATTCACCAACCACTTTCACGTGCATAATCTGATATTGGGGTGCTTAACAAGTTGTTTTCCTTATGTTTTCTCTCCTTTGAATCGGATGAGGATGCTAATGTGCCAATATATCCCCATCATATCAAACATGACCTTCCACATCCATCCACATCTTGCCGAAAACAGTCCAAGTATTACTACTATATTGTCGTCTCATTCCAAGCAACACAAACACTATCTTTCCACTTCCCAATCAAACCCCTCACATAGAACTCCCAAAACACCAGATGTCCCATATGCCCCAGAAAGGATTGTAAACATGCTCCGTATATACCTTCCGCCAGAAGCGCCAGATCTTTTTATAAGGAGTGAAAAATATGGACAGATGTGAAGGAATGTAAATAAATGCCGTTATCGTAACCGCGGTGAAGCGTGCGAGTCTTGACGTTTTTTCTTGTAATTTGCGTATCGTACATGCGAAGCTTTCTTCATCTACCAGATACCAAACTGGTACGTAAAGTAAAGCATGGAGCCGAGTGTAGTTCCGGTAGTCAAGAGCATGGTTCCGAGAGTCATTTTCTCGGTGAGGGAGAGAGCGCCGTTGCAGTTGGGGCATGTGTATCCATCTAAAAGACACTAGTTAGCAAACATGCTCTCCGTACTAAAGTAAGAAATCGGGAATTGGAGATATATGAAAAAAGCTTACCTTTGAGAGAAATGTACTCCTGCGGCAAGTACATGCCAAAAGTGAAACCACTGAAAGCACCTAGATAACCCGCCCTCGGCGCCGCAGTAGCACTGAGGTCCGAGTCGTAGATGAGCAGCTTGTAGTTCTCCGTCAGGAAGGGAGCCTGACCCTCTGGCGTCTTCTTGGTGTCCCAGAGGACTTCTGTCTGCTTGGCGGACATGTTGACGGCGATGGTGTAGGTGGCTTGGTTGGCGGTGCACGAGGCGAGGACGTCAATGGCCGTGGGTGTCACGGAGAGGGAGGTGTAGTTCCAGGCAAAAGTTACCCAGTCGCCAACTTTGTAGAATTGCGTTCCGGCGAGGGCGTTGGGGGTCACCATTGTGAGGCCTCCGGCGGGTAATCGGGCGTCGAAGCTGGTAGACTTTGAGCCTTTGCCGGTTGTCCTGGAGCCCGAAGGCTTCTGTGTGCCGCTTGCTGTTTCCTTTGCGGTGTTGGAGGCGTTGTCACCGCTGCTGTTGTTGTTGTTGTCGTTGTTGTCATTGTTGTCATTGTTGTCATTGTTGTTGTTGTTATCGCCGGTTGCGGTCGGTCTCGCCGCAGATGTTCGGGCGGGCTGTGTGCTGGCGGGTGCGTCTGAGGAGGCGTTGTCGTTGTTGTTATTGTTGTTGTTGTCTAAACCATGGCATCAGTACCTAATCCATTCGATCCGAGAATATCACACATACTGTTATCTTGGCGTCCAAGAAGCACATTCTTGACATCGGTCAATCCATGGATGTTGTCGAATGCGTGCTTGACGTTCATGGCGTGCGTGACTGACGACATGGCCACGACGGCAGCGAGGATCTGAGACGGCCTCATCTTGTCCAAATGATGCCAACGAAAAGTATCCCTTTAAACTTGAAAGCAACAGGCTCCAAATAGAGTAAGTCGGGCGTAAAAGCTCGTTTGGTGGGCGGAAAAGTCCTCGTGGATCCGGGGGGATTGTGCAACTCGGGTGGGTGTCAACAAGGCGGGACGGGAGTAGAGCGAGAGGCGACGCGACACAAGCGACTTAATTACGCAACGTAGACGATGGATATTACTAACACTCCTCCGTCCGATAAAACGAGCGACTGGCGAAGGGTGAGAGGGGTGGGGAGTTGCAGGTAGCGATAAAGCGATTGATGGTTTTGCTCAACGGTGGACGCGAAAGGAGAGCAGCTGGATAGGGTGGATGGTGGTCTCAGCGTAGTAGCAAAGCGCAGCCCAGCGGCGGCGGCGGCGGCGAATGGGACACACCAGGGGCCGACACTAGCGCTAGGGCAATGCAACCCTAAATATAACATTCTAGCTCCGCAACAGATTATTGCTCCGAGGCCATCATCAATGCGCTCTTCGTATTCTGTCTTGTCCTCGTTCTTTGCAGTAAGACTTTTCTCGCATCTTCTAAAGCTGTGGGTTCGGTGAATCCTGCAAGAAACACGATGATGGACTTGCGTGTCCTTTGATGCAGTATCCAATAGCGCCTTCCGGACACGAAAACAATTTGGTTTCCCGAGGGATGGCGATCATCGACTTTCTATGGCCACTCACATCAGCTCTGAGCCCAGCCTCCTGCAAGCCCGCCGCAAACACCACATCACATCATGTTTGGCATCATCATACTCATGTTGGAGAAATTACCATCTTCCATCAATGCAGTCGGTCCGCCCATTGCTCAATGAAACTGCTGACGGAACAGACTGGCCAGGGTCCCCTCAGCAGATCGAGCCTCATCACCAAGGGTCCAACAAAGGAGATCTGTGGGTATCACCGTACGCCTGATGTGCAGCAGATCATCCACCTTGATCCATCTGTCGGTCGTTGTATAAGGATAGAGGCGAGATATTCCCATCTTGTTGAAAGTACCAAAAGTCGTCAAAGCATGAAAATGATCTTGATTGTCATCACGACTTGGCACAGCCACTTATTTCTGCCTTCAGCTTCAGCCTTCAGCACTCTACTGCACAACACGCATCGCTTCGCCGCACCACATGCTGTCTTATAAAGATCCTGTTCTCGCCAGATGTATGGTTTGTTTATATGTAGCATACTTTTTTTAATCCATGGGAATTTGCTAGTGCCCGCGAGTAACTGCCACGCGACATCCGAACGGTACCATGACTACACAAGGCCCCAACAGTCTTGGTTGGGTCAGCGAGCCGGTAACGCGCGGCATGTCATCACTACTGTTTACTTGCATCTCGACGACCATCATATGCACGTGGAGCGCACTGCATTTGAATGTACCTACGGAAGGCTCATTCCTTTACTCGGTGCTTTTTACTGAGATCGGGTTGTTTGTGTTGGCAATCGCGCCTGAGTATCTCGTTGCGTGCGCTGTCCGTGAATGGTTTGTTATAAAAATCTTATTACATCTAAAGGGTATCTGCATATATCCAACTCTGCCTATATGAAGCCGACGTCAATCATCTATGATAAGTAAAAAAAAAAATACGCGCTTGCTCAAACAACTTTTCATCGCTGCTACCGCCTCCCTTCCCACCACGCCTTATCCTTCTCTCTCCGGTGGGGCATACTCTCCCTAATATCCGTCTCCCGATCACTAGCAAACTCCACACTCCTCGCCCGACTCCTACTCCTCGGCCGCTCAACCTTGGTATTGCTTCGTCTCGGTGGGGGCCCCCGATCCTCCGCTGGAAACGTCGATCTAGGAGAAAACGTATCCCTCCTCGTCTTCCTCGTTGACGTAGGACTAGCAAGTCCACCCCCAACTTTACTAGCCGAGAAATCCGCTGATAGGGGCCGTGCAGTCCTGCGTTTACTCCGCGTTGAAGTCGTTGCGGGGGGTTTCTTGATGTAGTCGTATGTGGCTGGATCGCGTTTGGCGAGTTCACGTTCTAGGCGCCATAATGGGGCTTCGGGAAGCACTTTAACAGCCATGGTGTCTCTCCATTTGATTTTCCAGTAGACTTCGGCGTCGCCGGCTCGCGAGTTGTTGGTGCCGTAGTCGACAACGAGTTTGTAGCTGTCTGTTAGAGCGCGGGCTTCGTAGAGACCGCGGTCTTGGATCCCGGGGCCTTCGAGACGGTAACGTGTGCGTACTGAGGGGTGGATGTATTCGTTTGTTTGGCGGAGGGGGCGGTCTGTTGCCCGGCCTGAGAAGGGATCTACTGACGTGTATTGACCTGGTCTGCGTGCCTGTTGTTTCTGTTAGTACACGTGTGTCGACCTTGAAGCCACTGGGCACCAAGACTTACAGTACTGCCACCCAACGCAAAGGCACCCTTCAGCTCATTATAGATTTTGCCAAAACTCCACGGTCTGATGGCGCCTTCCTCCTTTTTGTAATACTTCTCATTCAGATCGTCTTGTTCGAAAAGATATTCAGACCGTAAATCCAGGAATGGCTCGAGTTGACTCATCATCCACGCAAGACTAATATTCGCGATTTGCATGTCATCGTAACCACCGCCTACATTGGCATGCGCACCAGGGAACCATACTTGGCGGAGGGTCGTACGGTTGCCCTCGGGCTTTTCCCAGACAGCAGGGGAAAACGATGACCGATTCTCATCCAGGGCAAGCGCTTGAAATGCATTTTCGATGCAGTTGGAGAGCTTGGTGTCATAGAAAGTTGTTGCCTTTGACTGCTTCATTTGCAGCCCCAGGCGTTGCAGCTTGCCAATCCGGGGTATGCCAAGACTGCCAACCGTGTCCCACACCGCTATGCATTTGATAGGAATGTCGAGTCTGGTCAGTCCTCTGCGCTCTAGTTCTTCTGCGTATCGTGGGTCATCTGCGCTTGGTTTCCGGGGAAATGGTACGTCCTCATGTTTTGGGCGATAGTCGGGGTTCCGCCGGTTTTGAACATCTTCGTACACTTCTGGTAGGGTATTCAAGCCCTTCTTTGTGAGAAGCCCAATCTCTCCGATCAAGCCTGCGATACTACGCGCAGTAAACGCGCCTCTTGAGAACCCTAGCAAGAAAATCTCGTCTCCTGGGTGATAGTTGTTGGCAAGGAATGAGTAGGCTTCTCGAACATCCTCGCTGAGGCCTTTGCCTGTGGCGCCCCCAACTAAGCGAGAGAGTTTTCCACCTTCGGTCCCAATTCCCTGGTGATAGTTCACAATTTGCTGGATGCCATCCTGGCTGACCGCCTTGATGGCTCTTGATATCCGAGTGATGTTACTTGGGATGGAAAGAGTCCCGTTCTTGGTTCCATCATCTGAGTTTAGCCAGGTTCCGTCACATGCAACAATCAACCTCTTGAACATGCCCCTTCCACCACTGAGTCCCGGTGCATCGACCATCGGTTCGCGCATGCTACGCACGCTTCTGCTTCTTGCGCGGGGTTGTACTGGTACATCAATAATGAGCGGTGACTTAGCCCCACTTCGCGGAACATCCACAACGATGGGTGCTGGTGTGAGAGGCGCTCTGGTGCTGGGCGCCCGACTTCTGCTCCGCGCTCGAGATAGTGCTACAGACATTCTTTTCTTGAGATGCTTTGCTCTTTCTTGATGTGCCTTTGAAAAGGGCAATTGTTGTCGTGGAGCGGACGCAACCCAAGTCCAAGGGGAATTAGAACGGGCTACGTCAATATGGGTGAGCTTTTTGCGCCCGCGGCGAGGTTTGGTGACTGGCAATGCGGCTAACCCGGTTGCTGTTTATCCACGTGTCGACTATCCACTCTGCTGGTGTTGTGTTGCTGGCAGCCTTGGTGTTATGTCCGCGAATGGCCTTTCGTATACCACTTGGAAAGACGCCGGAAAGACGCGCTTCGTCTGGCAACGATGGCACCTCTGATGAGCAGGCAGATGAGGGTGTCGCGGATCCCTAGCCTCCGCTATTCACAATTTCCAGCTCTTCCGTGTTCCAACTCTTCAAACTTGATGGGCGGGAGTAAGCGAGGCAGCCGATAACCTCATCAGCCTCGGGAACCTGCAGCAAGCACTTTGACGCAGGGCACAAGAATTCGTGAAATGGAGGGGGTCGGATGGTCAATATGATGGGAAAGGAAATGGGGCGGACGTGTCGCGCAGCGCACAGCGCACTCTTACGTCGAGTGGTTGGGCGTCGGCTTCAAAGCTTTGCTGTAGGCTGGGGGTGCCCAAGTCATTGGACTCGCTTACCCAGCCTCTTGTCTGCGAACATGCGATTACCCCTCGGGATTGTTGATTATTACCAGGCTGATGAGAGAATAGCTGAAGCAGTCTGCAAAGATTTACTCGTTTTACCCCGCTGGTGCCCAAGTGTGCGCGCGTTGCATCGAAAGTGAGGCTGTTCTCCAGCACATCGCGCTCGACCGCAACTTCTTCAACAACGCAGCGCCAAGCTCGAGCTCACTTCCTTTCTGAGACTAGGATGCGTTGGATCGCATGGAGCCGCATTGGGCGCAGGCAGCCCTGCCGGTGAAGGCCCAATTTTCCACTCTGTTATGCGTTAGAGCAATGCCAGGTGTAGTGTTAGGTGCAGGAAGCGTGCGACTCGGGCGGTGAGGGAAAAGGTACGTGGTGGTAAGGGACAACCCGGCCCACCAACAATCGTCGGCAACAATCGAGATTGCCGACATCACGGACATTTTGAGAGCTTGTTTTGACAGGACCATCAATTGTTTGGAGGGGATATCAACTGTTTTTCAATTTCAAGAACTTTTATCTAGTAGTTCCCGTTTCCTTTCAGTTCATTCTCCGTCGCGCAAAAAGCGACGGCAACGTTCTGGTAAATGTTGACCAACACCTAGTCGCAGATCCGCGCAATCATGCGCCGAGTAACAATCCAGCGCCTCAGCCAGATCCCTTGGCTGGTAATCGCACAACTACACTCTACAGTTATCGTACAGAATTCCTTCCTAGACACCCACATCTCAAGAACTCCATGCGATAAACCAACATCCCTAGAGTGTATAGTGCAGCGCGAGCGGCAAAATGGAATCCATCTAGGACATACGCTATGACGAAACGACAAGAGGAGAGAATACAATAGATAGAGGAGGAATAGATGAGAGACGTGCCCCAAGAGAATCGTAAATGTCATAGACGGAGAGAAATAGTGAGAAAAGGACAGGCGACTTAGTAGCCGCCAAAAAGATCATCAAGCTCGTCAAGATCAATAAGCTCCGGGCTCTTCATGATCCAGTCGTCGTCGAGCTCAAGTTTTACCGATTTGCGCTTGAGCGATGGTGGAGGCATTTCGATGTGGAGAGTTGGTTTCAGCGCAGGGCTGCTCTGGAAAGCCATGAGATGGTCCATCTGACCAAAGAGTGCTGCTGCGGCCTCCGAGTCCTTGAGTGCAGCGCTCTCTACAGTCTCCTCGACAGAGACGGCGACTTCTTCCATCTTGACGTCGCTATGTTGTGTTGACTCAGCGGATACGCTGACAGATCGTTCGCGCTCGGCCTCCTGGCTCATGCGACGTTGCTGGAGAAATGACGCAGTCTGAGTGAACTCGCGCTCGTCCTTTTCTAAAGGCGGCGATTGGGCCCGACGGTTGTGCGAGATGTTTGCAGTCGTAGGTGGGTGGCTCTGGTTGGAGAAGGGGTCGCTGTTGACGCTGTCGTAGTCGGACAGATCTAGCTCTGGCGACGGCGACATACGACCTCTTGATCTCGCATCCATGTCCTCTTCGTCCGAGGTCCCAGACGAGAGCGACGGGGTGACGATGCGTGGTGCGATGGCGGCGCTACCTCCGTCGGCTGGAATAGGTTGATGCGGGCAGGTGGAGAGGAAGTAGTAGACGCGCTTGGGGTGAGTACCAACGAGCTTCTTGTCGAGGGGACATCTCGACAGAGCTGTCCAATTGCGCTTCAAGTAGGTGGCTAAGCGTGACGAGATGATGGCAGCTGGGTTTGCGGAGCTACCGTACGTCAGCATGAGCAAACTATTGGCCAAGCTTTGATGCTTCGGGGGGTTTGGTACATACCTCTCAACAATGGGGATAATAGGCGATAGAACGAGGGCGAGTTCTTTTAGTAGGTGGGGACGGTTGCCTGTCTTCTGGAGCTGTTCGATAACGCCAACCACGATTTCATCGTCGATGCCTTGGGTGTCGATCTTTGTCGTCCCAGACTCGCCGCCAGGTGAAGGTGGCGGGGTGTCCGCCAGTCGGCCTGAGCTTTTGGGTCGCTGTTCATCGGTACGCAGTGATGAGGGGCGCGATGGTGATGGTAGCGCTGACGAGAGTGAGCCGGAATGTGAGCGTTTCTGTTTCTTCGCGGCGTGCTGACCGTCGCTTGTCGAAGGCGGTGAGCGCGCGGGTCGCGGTCCTCCTGGCAGCTGTATGCCGAGTGACGGCAGCGACAGCGACTTCCGGCGGGTGTTGTAGGGCATCTTGGGGGCGGCGACGCAGTCGCAAACGTCGCTCAAGTAGAGGGGAAGGAGGAAGGGAGACTTCCAAGGGAGAAGTGAATTATTGAGGCTGACAGAGAATGTGCAGCCAAAAGTGTTTTGTTACTGGGAGAATGCCAGGGTCGTCGATTGGTCCGGTAGGAATGCAATGCAGCCTATACCACCAACGCTGCCGCCGAGTATGCAAGGTAGCGTGCGACGCTTCTGTCTGCACTGCAGCTTTTGGCGTCGAAAGGGCGCCCGATTATTCGGAGAGGGATGTTTGATGGTGTTGAACGCTGGGTGGCACCCGTCCTGTCGCAGCTACGCGGCTCGCCTCCTGAAGGCAGTGAATACGTAACTCGGCGAAGGCGACTGGTTGCCTCAAGCTCGAACCAATAACTATTGCAACACAATTAAGTGCAGCTGCAACACCACGGTAATCAGGAATCAGAAACAGTGAGAAGCAAGAGTAAACGGAATAGGACAGGACAGTTGATGTCGGGCCCTGATGTAGTTCGAGGGGTGGTGAGGAAGAGGGGATGCGACGAGGGAAAGAACGGAGGCGTAGTGGAGCACACAGTGAAGAAGGAGCGACTAGGCTCCGGTAAGAGACCGTGCGTTTAGTAGGGTGAATGTATCCAGGGATCGCCTCTTTGGTTATGACAGCATACTACTTTTAGAGCCCGTTTTTGCTTTGTTGGCCAGGGGCTAGAGCCTAACGCTCCTATCAACATGCCGTGGCTACCTGCATGTACCACCCGGTAAGGTCTTGTAGAGTAGATACTCGCCGGACGCATTTCAGGGTATGGCTATTCGGCTGCCTGCTCCAACGTCTTGTACAGGCTTCGCTATCCTGCCCAATCCAATCCTTCTGCGAGTCTGGGCTGTCTGTGTCTTGCACCTCTGCCCGTGTCAAGCTTCGGGCACTGGATGGTCTCAGCGGAGCCCGGAACAGTGAACACCGCACTTGGATCTCTATACATCTTGCCCCGAGCGCACAATAAAGTGGCACATGCTAGACGATGCTTGTAAGGATGCTTCCTTGCCGATAAACCTCCGCCAACGATACCAACGCCCATGGCCCTGAGACGGATTTCCCGCAAGTAACCTCATGCTCAGCATGTCTCGTTAGAGCAACGCGCATCCTTCGCACCTGCAATTGGGCGGGTCGTCACAGTTGTCCCGCAAGCTGACCGCCATAATATCCTCCGTACTCCAAGCAGTCAAACGGCCACGATGCGAGTGGACGGACGCTTTCCATGATCTGATGCAGTGTGCATATCATCTTGTTCCAGAGCGGAGACATCCCTGTTCTGAGGTTTCGCCTAGCATACAAAGTGGATTTAGCCTTAACGCTGGAACCAGGATGCCCCAGGGCGGTGAGCACACTTTTCTCGAATTTTTCTTTAACGGAAGTTTTCCTACTGGCATGCGGCCAACCCTCGGCAACGTTAATACGCGAACGATAAAAAGCGTTCTCACAGCATGTGGCTTGATTGCCGCTTGTTCAATCGTTATCAAGGTGGCATAATGCACGAAAAAAGCACAGTGATGATGATGCCGAGCTCTAGATCTTCTGGCACATCTGTTTCATCAGCCTCCACTCCGCATTGCGACCACACCCCCAAACATTGCGCACGCGAGTTGCCATCACTTCCGATGGTTGCGCAGGGATCGCGCATATGTCTTTCCCCAATGTGGACAGGCGCATGGAACCAGGTCCGGTCTGCATGTGCAGCACAGCGTCACCTTTTGTGGGGAACTGGAAGGTATGGCGCCGCACTTGTCCTGTGGGCAAACAGATTTACGGATGCGCTACGTATCTTCCCCAGACGAAGTGTGGACTGGATGAGGAAGTTGGAAAGCCGTGAAAGACGGTGAAGATGCATGTTTGTTTGCTTGTTCCCACACTCGACGACATGTCCATCGCTGGCATGCATCTTTATCTGACTCGACGAGGTAGAGTGCTCGGCATGATGATTACAACGCGTGAGCCCATCGTATTCAACGGTATGAGATATCAGATCCCAAGCCCACATGCAAATACAAGGCATGTCTGGACGATAAGACAGAACAAAGTTCGGGCGAGCCATGTCGCGTTCCAGAGTGCTGTGACGCCATTCTCTAAATGCCCATGATCCCGACCGCAGATCTCACTTCTTCTCGCTTCACCTGCTGTTGATCCCAGGTTACGATGGTCGCGATCTGGAAATTGCCGCATTGGGTCCTTCCCCTCCATATGCGTAACGTTGACGTCGGTTCAACAAAGCCAAGTTCGCTGATACAACGCCGCAACTTGGGGAAGTGTGAGTTTAACTCGCGTTGTCTGTAATAGCGGCACAACTCCACAATCTCGATGCCATCTCCATGGTGGTGAATGTGGGGAAGGCGATACGGTGAATTATCATCTCCACAGCGACCACCATGGCTTTTGTGTAACCGGGGATCCGGTTGGTGCAGCGAGCGGCTCCTCAGATGTGGTGGTCTCGGCCACTCTTTGCCGCATGCCCTTCCTCGGCTTCAACTGCAACCACCAGGTCGTGCCGAAATTGTAGCGTTTCATGTCGACGACTTCCAACCCACTCTCTTCGACAATCTTGCCGATGTCTTTGTTCCACCAGCAACCATGTTCATCGGCATGAGCTGGAGCTGTTTTGTCTAGCATGTTGTTGAGCCACTCGTAATGCGACTTGCCGTGCTCTAGAAGTAAGATTTGTCCATTCTCATTGGTCGATGCTTCTAGATTCTGCAGCAGCTTCACGGGCTCGGGAGTGGAGCAGAGTCCCATTGTCTGTATCACCGTGTCGTATCCGTCTTGGGCACCATATGGTGGCGTTATCGGGTCTATGGCGGACTGTTGCTTGAAGAAGACACGGCTAAAGTACTCTTTGTGCGTATCGTTCCACTTTCGCTTTGCAACGGCCAGCATGGGCCCGCTTGAATCGAGCAGCGTCACTGTCGCACATTGCTTGGTCTTGTAGTAAGGTATGTTCCTACCCGTACCAACGGCCACCTCCAGTACATGTCCCTTAGCCATGGCAGTAAGCTTCTTGCGCTTCCTAGTCAGGAAGAGCAGCATCTCAGACGTATCTACTTTCTCGTCATAGCCCTCGGCCTCTTTGTCGAAGCGGTCAGAGAGGTCTTCTGGCAAGTCTTTCAGGTCGGGATCTTGTGTCAAAGACGTGTAGAGCATGGTCGCGTATGTGCCCATTCCAAATGCGATCAGTCCGACACCGAACATGGGCCATTGTCTCCATCTCCGTAGTTTTGCCTGATGTTGTGCCGACCTCAACTCCTCATCCGACAGGCGCTGTAGATCTGATAACTTTGGACGTGCCGCCCATACTCTCTTCGCTGCTTGTTCAGGTGTTTGGTTGGCGGGAGCTCGTAGCGGTAGTTCAGTGTCTAGTTGCGCTCGGGGTATTCGTCTGCGTAATGGTATAGTGGGCTTCGACGGTATCGCAGACTTTACAGGAAATGATTTCGGGGGCTTCGGTAGCTTTGCCATCGCGATGCAAGCAGATGCAGAACAAGTGAGTAGCGAGTGACGGTGAGGTGCAATTGGTGAAGCTGTCGAATATCAAATTGAAGCCTCAAATCTTTCGATGCGCCGACCCAATCGCTCGGTAGCGTCAAAGCTTCCTTGCAGCCACGAGGTATCAACCGTGCCCAGCCGGCGCACGCCCTTCAGACAACGATATCGGCCCACCATTGGCACTTGCACACCGTTCGGACTCATGTAGGATGACTTTTCTTGACACCTTTTCTTTTCGTTTCTTTTCTTTTGCACAGTTATTGTATTTCTAAACGTCTTGGCTTCGCGCGCAATGGCTTCTTCTGCGTCTCCCGAGACATCCTCATCTATCTTAATCGTCGGCAGCGGTGCCTTTGGACTTTCCACTGCTTATTCATTATGTCAAAACCCGCAGTACAAAGACACCTCAATTACTATTGTAGACCGTCAACCCTTTCCTACGCCTGATGGTTCGAGTGTAAGTAGAGCGTCTAGTCTACACTGTTTCAACACCTTGCCTTAGAGCAATACACTCGCCAGTGGAATCGACCTTTTCAACCAAGATCAAACGCTCAAACGAAAACATATAGATCGACACTTCACGAATCATCCGTCCCGATTACGCCGCTGCACGCTATACCCGCCTTGCCACCATCGCGCAGAATCGCTGGCGGACCGACTTTGCGACCGAACACTATCATGAGGTCGGCCTATGCGTAACTGCTTGGGGCCCGGAACAGAAGTACGTTTCCGAATCGCTTGCAAACGTGCGCGCGATAGGGACAGACAAGGTAGAGGTGCTGAATTCAGCGGAAGAAATACAAAATGCATGTGGTCTGGAAGGCACAGACCCATGGGGTAATGGCAGCACCGGATATGTGAACTGGAGTTCAGGCTGGGCAGACGCGGAGGGCGCTATGATGTGGCTCAGGGAAAAGGTGGAGAAGCTTAATAGAGTGAAGTTTGTCACAAAGTCCGTAAAGAAGCTGTTGATCGATCACAAAACTAACACCGTCTCCGGCGTGCGCCTCACCGACTCGAGCGAGCTCAAGGCGGATCTGACAATGTTGGCGGCAGGCGCATGGACAGCGTCGCTCATCGACCTGCGGGGCATCTGCAAAGCGACTGGGCAAGCTCTGTGCTACATGCCCATCTCCAAGGAAGAGGAAGCGAACATGTCTACGCGACCGACTATCCTGAACCTCTCCCATGGCTTGTTCATGATCCCGCCTTCCAAGGGGCTGCTCAAAGTAGCGCGTCACGGCCACGGCTACCTCAACCCGACCACAATTCCCAACCCGGAGTCAGAAGACCCCAACGAGACAATCACAATCTCACTACCATACACACACGTCGATGACCCATCGCAGGCAGTTCCTGTAGAAGGCCAGCGCCAATGCCGAGACTTCCTCGCGTCGATCCATCCTTCACTCGCCGCACCCTCGCGACCGTTCACCAAATCGAAGATCTGCTGGTATACTGATACGAGGGATGGCGATTTCTTGATCTCGTATCATCCCAAGTACAAGGGTTTGTTTGTGGCAACGGGTGGTTCGGGACATGGCTTTAAGTTTTTGCCTGTCATTGGTGATAGTATTGTGGAGTGTATAGAAGGAAGGACACCAGAAGACTTCAAGGGTCGATGGGAGTGGCCGGCTGAGCGTATACCTGAAGAGCAGTGGGCTGGCGATGGAAGTCGGGGTGGGCCTGTTGGTATGATTTTGGAAGAGGAGATGGCGAAGAGTCAGGGTAAATTGTAGGTAGTAATGGTCGTCGTTGGAAGACAATAGGTCCGTGTATCTTGGTGTCTATATAAATATCCAACGCTAATACTACTGTTACCTCCTATTAACTGGATCCCATTCCATCTCTCCAAAATCATTTCCTGTACAGATCATGGTGGTGGTTCGTCTTCGCTTCTCTCAAACTCCTCCAAGTCGGCGCTATGTGGCTACTCCACGTCAAGCCACCTATCACTAAAAGCGAGCGCACGACTTTCATATCTTGGTCTCGGAAATGGCCACAAACCAAATCAAAAACAGGTGCTTCTTGCTAGTCATCCTCGTTTTCTCCAAAAATGACGACGATACTTTTTTATGTCGTTCGCATGTCACAAAAAAAAAGATAAATCTACGCTTCCATGATTAAAACGAGGGAGTTATATCAACAATAGATGTTGTTCCCACGAAGAGAAATATTCCATGCATATTCTTACACGTACAAACATCTACCGCTTGTACCCCTACTCCTTTTCATAAAAACGGCTGTGCCCCTTTTCAAAATGACGTATTATCACAACATGGCAGTGGCGCGGTTCACTCTCCTCGAAGTCCTCATTGCCACTCTCATGTGGCTTAAAAGTTTTGCATAGTGCACACATACTATATACGCTCCTGGTCACTCTGATAATCTTGCCTAGATAGAAACGTCCACGTCACTCTAAAGTTTATGGGAACGACTACACGTGTGTGGAAGAAAAGATCAAAAGTTTGATTGGTTAAAATCTACACAAGAAGAGAAGGTACCGAAATGAGGATGCTTTACCAAAGCATATCGACGACGGCCACTACACTACAGCAGGACGCTCAAGCACTGTGTCACACCACTCTAAGCGCGGCTGAAGCACTTAGTAACAAGTGCCTGGTCAGTCGAACCGTTAGGTGTCAATCCAAGCACGTAGCTCTGGTCAAAAGCACCCGCAGACCAGCCGATGTAACCAAGGTAAACATCACTGTTCTTGTTCAAGCTAGCAATGGCAGCGCAAACATCCGTCTCACACGAAGCAGTGTTACCACCACCAACCTCAGACAAGATAGCCTGACGCTTGTTGCTGCGAAGCCAGGTAGCAAGGGGAACGAAAGAGTCCTCAACGTGGTCGCTGGTGCACTCAGCGTGGGTACCAGAGTTGTCGCTGTCGAGGTAGCGGTGCACGTCGAAGATGATCTTGTCGGTCGTGCCGTCGGTGTCCTTGACCTTGAGGAGAGAGGGGCCGCTGGCGGTGGGGAAGGTACCCGCGGATGTGTAGTCCGTTCCGGGGACGAGGATCATTTGTGACTTGGCACCGGCCTTGCGGATGGCGTTTACGGCGGCCTGGGCAGAGTCGGCCCAGGTGGACATTGTGAGGTCATGGGGCTCGTTCATCAGACCGAAGGCGATGTTCTTCTCCGATGCGTACTTGGTTGCGATCTTGGACCATACGTCAGCGAATTGGTCGTTGGTTGGGCCGCCTTGTCCGATGATTTGGCCGTTCCAGCGGGCGTAGTTGTGGAGGTCGATGAGGCAGACGGCGCCGGTGGCCAAGCAGCCTTGAACCAGCTTGTCGTAGGCTCCAGCGACCGTGGCATCAAGGGCACCGCCGAGCTTGTTGGCAGTGAGATGTTGCCAGCCAATGGGCAGACGGAAGATGTTGAACTTGTCATCCTTGGAGAAATGCTGCATCTGAGCAAGTCCGTTGGAACCGGGGTCGACGTAGGCTCCGCTGCAGGACCCAGATGTGTCGCATCCGAAATCGAAACCAGCAATGTTCATACCAGCGTACTGAGTCTTTCCGTTTGACGAGCTGGGGGCAGCAGCCACAACAGCGGCCTTGCTGGTTGCGGCAGCTGCTGCTTTGGTCGAGGTCTTGGTGGCGGTTGCCTTGGTAGCAGCGGCTGAAGTTCGTGCCATAGTGACCATAGTAGTCTTAGGAGCAGCAGGGGCTGCCGCTCCGGCACCAGCGCCAGGCACACATTGAGAGTACCAGTCGTTCTGGACCTCACAGTGGTAGCCAGATACACATGCGGTGGCCCCGGTCCAGCCTTGTCCACCACACTGTGCGTAAGCCGCGCCCTGGGCGGCGTAAGCACCGCTTGCTGCAAGAGCAGCGAATGCGAATGCGTAGCGAGCCATTGAAACGAAGTTTGAATGAATGATAGACTTGGGTAGGTAAAGAAAGAGTGAGAATGCCAAATAGCACAAGTAGAAGCAAAGGACTGAAACTTCACAAATGTGATGGAAAACGAGGTAGACGGTGGGAAGATTGCGCTTTTATCATCTTATGGAAAGGGTACCTAGGCAGATACCCAAAAGGTCATGTCCTTGCGCTTCCAACCCGTTCGAGACCTAGATTCCAGAAGACGGGTTGGCGGCATATTGTCTCCGCATTGTTCCCACCGTTTCATGATCATTACCGAGATGCTCGGTGGTATTACCGGGAAGCTCGGTGGCTGTGAGCAGAATACCTGGGAAATAGGTTGCTGTACGACACGTTCGGTACCGGGACCTGTCAGTGCTGTCATCGGAGTGCGGCGGCTAGGCCAAGCGAGATGGTTGACCCACTTTTCGGCTTACTTACGAGCCGTTTCGAGGCCGTTTGCTTTGTTCAGTGAAACGACTAGGCTTAGATTAGTGGAGAACGGCGTTGGTTCCTTCATTTCGCCAAGATGAGAGGGGGTAGACAAGCTTCAGGATTCGGGGAGATCGGAAGCTTGGTATGCTTATAGAAGGGCGTGTCATCGTGTCGGGAGGCTGTCTTTTGATAGGTGCAGCATCGAATGCCTGGTTCTAGAACATCGGGTTGTGGTTGTTTGTATATTAGGCTGTTGCGCACCTTGGTGGCGTGAAGTTCCTTGCGATGAAGTTGTGGCAAGTGCAGCCGCGGCTTCAGCACTCTGGCTATAACCGGCGGAAGAAGTCGATATCATGAATTCTTTAGTTGTTTTACAAGATTCCACATGCGTAACGAGTAGACAGCAATGATCTCATTCCGTTGTATAACATATGGCGAGATTACGCGTTCTCTGTGGCTGCCATTTTGTTCATCTCTCGGTGTCGTAGGTATTCCCAATCTTGACTCATTACATCTCTGCATCGGAATTCGTTTACGGCATCCTTGAGTAGTGGTTTGCGAGTGAATACTAAAGAAAGACCAAGCATAGTTGTCTGTTATGCTTCGTTTCCCTTGTCAGGTAGGTATTCTTCATGACCGCATCCTCTCTACCCGTTGGTCATCAAGTCTCTCTTTGCAACCATTCAGGGTACTGGAATTTTGGTCATGATTCGCCCGCCTTTTTTTTTCTTCTTCCATTGTTGAAGTCATCCATCTTCCATATGTTGGTAAACCGCAGTCCGATGGTGTGTTTCGTGTTTCCGGGGATTATCTCGCAGTTTCTACAGCTCAACAGCCAAATCTTGTCTTCCAGACAACACCGTCCTCTATATGAGTAGCGAGATCGTGCAAGCCCCCTGGATCATATTCGGATCAAGCTATCCCAATCAGTACCCAGAGGCTACAGTGCACGCCCGATAAGGCCACCTGTAGTCTCAGCTGTTATCGGCGGTTAGGCAACGTCCTGATAAGGCCAACTATAATATTTCTGAATATCCCAAGTGTGTGGTAAAGATCTTTCTTGGCTCGGTTTGGCTTATACTTCGCAAAGTTAACATAGCTTGTAGGTTGTCGAGTCGGACTGCAAAGTGTAAACCTAAATAGCAACAACACTACACGTACCCGCAAAACCTCCAGTAGAATCAAACGAATGTCCATGGTATGTGTTGCTGGTATTCGGTCAACGCTGCATCCTGCATCGACCCCGCCTTTCCGAACATCGCTTGGCTGTGTAACAGCAACCAGGCAGCACGTTGTATTCAAACTTCTCTTTAACCCTGCGACTATTATCTGTTCTTGATTTTCTCTCTCTTGATTCAGCTCGAATTGCGAGGTTGATAACCAAGTTCTGGCTAAGATTTGAAGAATTCCAAACTCCAACCCCTTTTTGCTTATCTTATTCGATTTACCCCTCATCTCGATCTACTGGACACCATGCCTACAGTTGTTATCAAACCTGGTGCCATTATCTTTGTGACAGGCGTCAATGGGCTCATTGGAAGTCATATCGTCGACCAGCTGCTGAAGCGGGGATACAACGTTCGTGGTGCGGTGAGAGATGCCGAGAAGCACAAATACTTAATCGAGTACTTCAACGATAAGTACAAAGAAGCAAAGTTCGAGCTTGTGGATGTGCCGGACATGACCGCTGAGGATTGCTACGATAATGTCGTCAATGGTACGTCGAATATAGAGTCATTCGGATACTTTCTCTAGCAAAGCTAAGGTGCCATAATCCCTAGATATCGAGGGCTTCATCCACGTCGCGTCACCCATTGGAGGCATCTCAGATGTCAATGTTGCAATCTCGATCGCCTCTAGCGCAGGCTTAAATGCTCTCAAGGCTTGCGCAAAGGTCCCTTCTTGCAAAGGCCTCGTCTTTACATCATCATCCCTTGCTGCAACGTTTCCTCACCCCAACGTTGAGTTCTCGATTGATGAGAACACTTACAATGATGTAGCACTGAAGATTCTGGAGAAAGGGCCAGGTAAACCGGGACTGTTTGTCTACGCGGCCATGAAGACCGAGACTGAGAAGGCGATGATGAGGTGGATAGAAGAGAACCAACCTAGCTTCGTACTCAACCGCGTTGTAAGTCGGCTTTTCATCTATCGGAAAGAATGGTGCTAAGGTTTGAAAGTTGCCAAACGCGAATTTCGGCGCTGTCTTGATTCCCGAGCACTAAGGATTTCCTTCAACCATCGAATGGGCCCACGATGCCTGGGAAGGTGTACAGTCAGAGAGATGGACGACCTCCGTTGGTCCACAATGGTACATTCATCCTGTTGACGATGCACTTCTGCACATCTCCGCGTTGATCCATAACGATGTGAAGACTGAGCGTCTCTTCGGTTTCGCAGAGCCATGGAGTTACAACCAGATGCTAGACATATGGCGTAAGCTGTATCCCGAAAGGAAATTTCCAGATAACATTGAAGGTATGGGTGTTGATCGGATGAGTTTGCCAAACGCCAGAGCTGAAGAAGTAATGAGCTGGTTGAAGGGACCGGGATCAAAATGGGATAGTCTTGAGAAGGGCTTGCGAGAGATGACTGAGAACTGGTTTTGATGGGAGGTTACCTCTTTTTTCCAGCTCTCGCCGGCTTGACTCGTAGTTATGGTCGTATCTCCCCGATTGCTGTGCCGAAATGGTTAGATCTATCTCGTTATTGGTGTAGTGCTGTTAGTCAATTCTGTTTAAGCACATTCTACCCACCTTTCTCATAGTGATCTCACAGACGGATGTTTCTTTTCTTTTCCCTCTGTCCATGGCGTGAGAGTGTTTGCGCAACGTAGAAGATGGGAGATTTCGAAGCGCGGCCGCGGTAAACCTACCCCGTACCTCAACCCACCACATCCCCACGACCGCCCAGAGCGCAGGAAAATTAGACCCTTGCTCCCCGCAGGAACAGGCTAAGATACCCAAGATACGCGGGGAGGAAAGTCGGGGTTGGCGCAAACAAGCCGCCAAGTCGCGGGGTTATTCGTGGAGAAATGTCGCCGGCTGTGACCAACGCGAGGCGTTCACTTGGCGACGCATCTCATAGTCTGGGGATTCATCGGTTAAAGCTGCGCCAAGTCTACTACACCATCATCCTCGCATCGTCATTCACGGAAACAACATGAATGCCAGTTCTTCCGCTGGCTTGGGGGCTGAAATGCTGGGGTAGCTTTGGGGAAGCTATGGCCCTGTGCAGCTACACAAGCATATGAAAAAAGATGGTAGCAGGAATGCACGCGGGATGGCGTGTGGAAATTGTGCGTGATGAGGCTTCTGGACGGACGGAGAGCTGGGCAGAGAGGTGGTGTGGGAGATATAAAAGCTAGGGCAGCTGCATGCATTCCAAAGTACCTCTCCTGCACTACTGCATTCTTCAATTGACCCAGAATCTCGGGCACAAGAGCTCAATTCCTCTCACACTCCGAACTCAATTGCGAAGATGAAGCTCTCCACCTCTGTTATCCTCCCTCTTCTTCCTGCGCTCTCAACTGCGGCAGTGATCCGTCGTCAGAACGGCGATGGGCCACAAGGAGCCGCAGATTCAACCCAGGGCGACCTTGGCGCGCGACCTCTTCCACGATTTCCTTTCCCGGTTACCAAGTTTCCGGTACCGACTGAGACTGTCGTGCTCAATGAGACCATGTACATTCAGCCTGGTCAGGTCTTCGATGGACAGATGAAGCGATACGAGCGTGTAGAAGGGTCATGCAACGAGCAGGCGGAAGGAACAGATGCTGATGCTGTCTTCAACCTACTACCCGGAGCCACGATCAGGAACGTAGTCATTGGCAAACACCAAAGCGAGGGCATCCATGCGCTAGGCGATGCGTGGGTCGAGAATGGTAAGCCTCGCTTGACTTGAATTGACTCTACTAGTATGCTGACATTCTTGCGACAGTTTGGTGGGAGGATGTGTGCGAAGATGCCCTTACGTCCAAGGGCCTCAACACCCAGCTCCGCGTCATCGGAGGCGGTGCACGAAGCGCGACCGACAAGATCTTCCAGGACAACTCGCTAGGTGGAAAGCTTAACATCACTGGCTTTTATGCCGAGACGTTCGGTACCTTCTACCAGTCGTGCGGCAACTGCTTGAACCAAGCGAAGCGCAATGTTACCATCCAGAATGTCATCGCCATCAATGGTACCAGGATGGGCATAGTAAGTCTCCAAAAGTCTCTTTCTTCGAATGTCGGTTGACTAATGCTTTTTCAGATTTCACCCAACTACGGCGATGAGTACCGCATCAAGGACGCCCAGGTCGCAGACGTCGAGCGCTGGGTTGATAAGGAGATCGGAAACAATGTTCAAACTGTCCCATATACTGTCGGCACAGGTCCTGACGAGAAGTACGCGCTATACAACCTCACCCGCGACCGCCTTACCGATTTCGAAGGCGAGATTCTGAACCAGTACACTCCGGAGGACCCGTATGAGTGGCTAGAGAAGTTCTGGCCAGAGGGTACTGGTGCCGCAAGGAAGTAGAGTGTTGAAGCAATGGTCTAGTCGATAGGATTAATAATGGTAGCATCGAATCTTGATAATGTTTTATCGATTGAAATCCGCATGTGTGTTCGTCGGCAAAAGCCTTTTTCGAATGTACGCTTGCTGTGTACGCGTTCAGCCTCGTTCGTGCTTGTGGTGTGCCGCACCGGTGAGCTCGGATGCGGATGACGGTCCCGTGAGCTCCATCATCATCGTAAAGAGCTAAATCTGATAGCAGCCACTACAAGGCACTACGGAATGGCAAGAAATGTGATGGAAGATGCATGCGTGCATGTTTGTCGCCCGCCCGGGAAGTTAGTCTTGAAGCGGACAAGTGCTTTGAAAGCACAGACACTCCGACATCCACTCAGCCTACGTCCTCCAAACTACTCTCGCGCCACACAAATGGAGGCATACAACAAGGCCGTATTTGATATGACGACGCCACTCGGCCAGGCTACGTCGCCCATGAACTCACGGATGGTGTTGCAGCTTGAGAGTGGCTGATCACTGCCCCACTACGTTCGCCTAGCAACTCTCAGCCTCAGGCATAGTACGCCTCCAAATTTTTGAGGTGGGCTATAAGTCAATGTTCCTCCTGTCGTCTCTGTCCGTTGCGACACAATTCTAGGAAATCCCTGTTAGAGACATTCATTTCGAACTCACTCCTACTGCCAAAGCGCCCCACAGCCTCTAACCCCATCACCACGCCATTGGGCGTCTGGTGCTGGGGATCCTGCGGACCATCCGTCCACATTTATCCTGCTCATCACTCATAAGCCAGTATTTACAAATCGATACCTTCTCTGAGGTCCGGATCGATATCCTGTTGCTCACACCTCCACCATCATCCCAAATAGTCCGGCGAGGACCTCATAGTCTTCGCCATTCACCCTCCTTATCCCACCAAACTCAACCTTCACTTGTCAATTATCGCAATTCAGACTCTACAATTCAGTTTTTGTTTCCCCATATGAAGTCGAACACGGCATCAATCCCTTCATTCATGCTCCATACCTGCCTCCAAGCACACCGCCGAGCGAGGAAATCACGAGTACGGAACCGGCCAACGAACCTGATATCATCTCTGATCAGGCATATCATATTCGTCCCTCTTTAGCAGATTTGGAGGAACAAGCAAACGGAGCATTCTTAGGCCCAGAATCGGAAGTACCTTCCGACTTCCGACCCCAAGTTGATCCCACGGATCACGGCCTTGTTTCTTCTCCTGCCACGCTTCCGAGCGAAGCAGACATCGGCACAGCTTCATTTCAACAACCCATTAGTTCAGAAAGCACGCCTATCACGAGTATCTGGACATCTCCCTCGAATGACGGTACCACTGACACCGACTCGAGCGACTCCATACTATCTACGCGAAACGTCAATTCTCACGTAGATCAAGTTATCCCGGCGCATTCCTCACGCTTCCTCACACCTTATATCGATTATCAACACACATCCGGCGAGCCTATTCGGTGTGGCTACTGCGCTGATATATTCAACCGTGCAGGCGACTTAAAGTAAGTACTGTAGTTTAGAAATATATGACTACTGAGCTGACCATCTCCTTTATAGCAACCATATCCGCCGCAAGCATATAAGGAGTCATGGCTGCACCCATCCAGGATGCTCCAGGACCTTCAGGTTGCGCGCAGACCTGGAAAGACACCGTCGGATTCATCAGTCACTCGGAACCCGAAGTCGCTTCCGATGCCCCGAACCTGGGTGCAGAAAGTCTTACCCAAGGAGAGACAACATGCTCAAGCACCACAAAATCAAGCACGGATGACTTCTTTATACCCGCCTTGTGAGTCCCTGAGCCTGGTGGTTTTTATTGTGGGTGGCAGGATCTCGTCGAACCTTATTCTGACTGGCAACCTTCTCGCCAGTCGTTTGCTTTCGACTTTGGATGCGAAGCACCATTGCAACGCAATGCTGTTGAACCGGGCTTCGTGGACTATCCCGAGTCAGCACCTCAGCTTGCACATATCCCAGTCGATCCACCTTCCGACTTAAATTCGCATACCCTAGTTCCCTCATACTGGGGCTTCGACATGGACGACGAAGGGATGCACACCGAGGAAGATGTGAACACCTGGGCGCAACTCTCATCTAGCGAAGATACCGAGAAGATCTACGTATACCTCACCATCCTCACCATCCTCGCCGCCGATATCCTCGAGTCGGATCTGAAGCTGGACCTCAAGGAGCAGTCACTTAGCTTCAAGGCTACCTCGACATCCAAAAAGTGCACATACGCCGTCGACCTCGAGTTCTTCGCCGATATCGACCCCAATTTCCGCACTCCTCCATTTTCCTTCGCCAATATGACTCCTAATCCTTGGAGGCATGAGGAAGAAGTGACACCCACTTTCCGTACGCCCATTTCCGACACTCCGCTCAATTCTGTATTTTGCGACTTCGTTTCAGGACATGAAAGAATCGTTATTCCCATCTTCCGATCCCGTCCCCTATTCTATGGACTCCACGCCGTTCGACTTGGCATTGGTAGATATCGTCTACCAGGTCAACAGGCTCCGCCTGGAATTGTATACTCTCGTCGGAGCAAGACTAACTAACTACAGAATGATTGTGTAGGTCTTGCATTGTGCTTCCTCTTCCTCTTCTTTTTCTCCTCCTTATTATCATGTTTTCCCTAAGAAAGAAAGAAAACCCTCGCAAAAAAACACAATTTTGAATTTTCGCGCGTCCGCACCCGACTATAGCCAGTCTCTACTTAGTTGTGTCTTGTTGTTATTATCAATCTAAAGAGTCTCAAAAAACCCTGACTAAAAAAATGTGATGAGTAATACATCTCTTCATGTTGACTAGACTTGCTTTCGAAGCAGAACCTCAGAAGCAACGTGCCAACGCAAAGGTTGTTCGTCATGGATAGATCGCTACAGTCCGCATCGACTGACAGAGCAACTGTATCATAAGGTTTTTCGCGATGATTTTCGTCCCCACCACCTCGCCGTCGTGTGTAACTTTGCCTTGTAGACCCACTTCCCACCCGAAATTTCTCTCGCTTCACACACCACGTCTCCACCCACCACCCACTATCACAAACACTACCCAGAATACTAAAAAGCCTAGAAACTGACTCTTCGCCTTTGCTTTGCTAAATTTTGTATTTGAATATAATTTTTCTAATATTTTAGCTTGTCATCAAAGCAACCAATCACATTGGTGAGATGGCCGGTTAGTCAACACCCTTCTCCTCATCAACCTTCCATATCTAACAATCAATAGAGTTGGTTATGGCGCCAGGTTAAGGTTATCTTAACATTACTTCCTGGTCACGAAAGTGGCGTGGGTTCGAGTCCCACTCTCATCAGCATTCGTCTGCCTTTGGCAGATACCCCAGGTGTTCTTTTTTTGCTATTTTTTTGTTCCTGTGTGCCCCAGGTAAGTGTAAGGTATACGGAAGGTGAGGGGCGAGGTCAGTCTTTTCCAAGTCTGATGTGATGCCCTTATTTTTTTTCCCTCGAGGTCTATGATGGTGATACTGGGTGAAGTACTGGTTAGACATCACGGCCAGACTTGGAGACTATCAACGAAGATCGAGTTGCTGTGTGTACTCATGCGCACTTATCACGCAACACTCCACTCCACCAAACGTAGCCCATATCTACATCTCCAACGTCCCAATCCTACTTCCCACATTCCCACTATCGCCCCAAACGCCATCCCCAACCCTCCTCCGAACCATGGCCAAAACATCCTGCCTCCCACCGTCCTGCTCCAACTTCCTCCCCAACGTCTTCAACACCTCAAACTTGGCCGTCGCAACTATATAAGCCGCATTCTCCGCATCACCGCGCCCACCAACGAGGTTCGAGAAGGTAGTCGCTGGTTTGAGCAGTGAAGGAAGAACGCCGCCGCTGATAGTAGGGTCCAGGACTACGTCGACGCCGGTTTTAGGGAAGGCGTTTAGACGAGCGTATGTTGGATCGTTTGTAGGTATGTCTGGGAGGGGTTCGGTGGACCAAGATGAAGTGATGAGGGCGCCGACGAGGGTCAAGGCTGCGAGGGCATTTTCCTTCATGGCGATGGTTTCCATGTGTGTGGTTATATCGGCGAACATGTTTGGCTTCTTGCTGTAGAAGAGGGCGGTGAGGAGGCGAGCGTATGCTGCTTCAGTTTGCGTGCGCATGGTATCGGAACCGATAGTTTCGATTTGTGGGAATGTGATTTCTTCTTTTGGCGGGCCGTGGAAGATGGTTGCTAGTGTTTTGAGCGCATCTTGGTTTGTCCGAGTAATTGGCATGTCTACGATGACACAATCGTCCCAGGCAAGTCCCGAAGCCCTTCGTGGTATGAGTGTTGATCGAGGCATTGAGGCGATGATGTTGAGATCGCTTGCCTCGCACTTGCGGATGTTGCGGTGAACGTAGTTTCGGATGATAGGCATCTCATTGCTCTTCTCGAAGTTCTCGGGGTAATGCGATGCGTAGTCACTAATATATTGTGCTGTCCGACTGCTTAAGAAAGAGTGGTCGAGGCTGGGGTTTTCCGAGGTATGGAAGTCGACGATGCCTTTGTGTACGCCTTCCTCTTTCAAGAAATCTAGAGCAAGACTTGAATCATAGTGTGAGAGATGGGGGTTTGTCTTGACTGTAGTGATTAGTACGCTGTAGAATTGGAGTAGGGTCATATGCATGAGCATGTCGTCCTCAGTGTCGACCATCTTCAGCACAGCATAGTGAAGTAGGCCCTGATCTTCCTTTAGTCCGACCTCCCGTTCAGCATCGAGACCGTACGCGGATGCTACAGCATTCCAGTCCATAGCGACAACGCGTGGTAGCCACGATAATAGTCTGGCTTGCGAAATGGTCCTATCGCGCTTCTCCAGAAGTGGGAGAGGTGGCGATGTGAGCTGCTTGAGCGATGTGTAATGGTAGTACAGCGAGCTGATGTCCCGATCACTGAACAGGCGCCTCCACATAGGACCAGAGCCATACATGTGTAGGGACGACTTGCCATCTATTGACACAGGTTCGTTCTTCGACACTTGGAGTAATGAGGTAAGGAGATCCTCGGCCTGGGTTGCAACTCCCGCATCTTGGGTGCACAGCCACAGACGGACAATCGCCAATATGACTGCCGGTCGATTCGCAAGTGTCTGGGCATCGTTACTACTTGTGTTGGCCTTCTCGAGCAGTGTAAGGATGAGGCTATGGAACGGAGTAGCCTGTAGATCCAGACCGATCTCGAAGTTGATGTCCTTGATGTCGTCGAACCGGTATGGCTCAGCCAACTTGATGATGAAATGTGTGAGGGGGTTAGGGTCTTGTTGAAGCTTAGGTAGCAAGGCTGCTATCTGCAGAAAAAGTGATCTTGTCTCTTTCCATATCTGGTTACGGTATTCTGGGGTATTGGTAGAGAGCTCGCAGCGCTCAAGTAGATCTGTGTCGAGTGGAGTGGTAGGATCTTGGTCGACCTTTTGCAGATGCTCGGACAGCTCGCCGAGCGTAGCAGTGGATGCGGCCATTTGGTGTGTTTGGATATAGCACTTTCAAAGTAGGACTTGAAGAAGTCGGAATGTTTGATGTTCTTGATAGTAGTCCTGACTTGGAGCGTGGCGGTTAGACCGTAAGAGAAGGTTCTAGGCCGCTCATGTGATTGCGCGTAGAGGTCGAATGCACGCGTTCCCTGTAGCCTAATGCACGGTAATGGCGTCGCAGTGCTGGCTGATTGACTGGACTTCTCGACTATGAGGTCGTGGTCGAAGTCGTATCACTACACCGTAATAGTCATCCGATCTGGGCCTGCAGACGACTCGATTATCTCGGCCTGTTGTCAGGGACGTGGAGTACCCGTCTTATGGCGACCTAGTGGTAGAGGTGGCGGGGCGATGGGGCGCAAGTTCGGTTTTGGGACCCCACCCTCCCTCAGTCCAGCAAAGGCCGCGGTCCCAGCTGCACCGAAATAATTTCTGACTCCACAACTCTTCCCCAATCTCTCATTCGACGACACTTTGATCGACTATAGCCGCGCCCAGATCAAGGCCTAGAGACGCATACCAACCCATCGATTATAAAAGTTCGACATGCCGCCAGCAAGAGGAGGAAGAGGTGGTGGGCGCGGAGGTGCCTTCAATCCCGCGCGAGGAACAGTGACGATTGCTGGAACTGAGCTCAACTGGGATCTTACTGGCCTCGACATTCAGAAGGGGCCTGCCGAGCGCTTTCCAGTGAGCATCTCCCTTTCTTCCGGCGCATACCTACCGCCATATAGCTGTTGCTTTGCGCGTTGTCGCAGTCTTTCCGTAGCATTGCGCATCTCTATATAATGTTGTCGCAATCATCATGCTTCGCCAGTCACGACCGCAGTCACAGTCGCAGTGGCAACAGTCGACCAGCACCACACAGAACGCATCTTTGATTCACCCACTAAGCCATATACAGGAAGCTCCTCCTCCACAAGCGCCTCCACCTACCGACGATGAGCTCGGCATGGTCAAGCACCACCTAGCAGTCCGCGACCGCATACACGAAGGCCCGTTCTACACCATCCTCAACGACGGCATGAAGAACGGACTGAAGAGAAAGGCCAACGAGCCTGCACCCACTGAGGCTTCTCTATTCGACCCCTTCACCGGCAACCAGACATACTCCGCGAAATACCTCAAAGTGCGGAGGAGGCTACCGAAGCTAGATGCGCGACCATACGGTGAGTTGAGATGAACAGAGCTAGACGGGAAAACCACGGACTCATACAAACGCAGTCGTCGACCTCTTCCCCGCAGAACTCCGACCAACACTAGACGGTACACGAGCCGACTCAAACTCGACCAAGAAGCGCAGGACGCTAGGCGTCACCAAAGTGAACGGCCTATCCCAGATCGAGCGATTGATCAAGTCGGAACAAGAACGCACCAACGAAGCGGAAGCCCGCGCGGAAGAAGAAGCAGACGAAGAGGCCGACGAGGAAGACGAGGAAATCGACGAGGATAAACCTGATGCCGTTGACGAGGAAGATAATTGGTCTGCTGCTTCCACAGACTCGGAAGAATCTGACGACGATTACAACGCGGAGCAGTACTTTGATAACGGCGAGGACGATGATATCGATGATGCGGATCCGTATGAGAATACGTATGAATAAGTCTAGACATATCTGCAAGCGCTGGCGTTTAGTTAGACATGGAATAGGCATAGGCATAGCACGGCGTATGTTGCAGCACAAGCGAGCGGGACATGATAGGCGTTTAGTTGAGTAGATACCCAAACTTCCATTTTTACTCCAGATCATCCGATTTCCATGGTTGTTGAGTCATCATGTATACTTGCCTATTCATCGTTGTACGATCTGGAGCTACTTACGCTGCTATCAAAGCCCGTTCCATACCATTTCAACTCGTTCCCTCATACCATCTCACTTGCTCCTCCTCATCCTCATCTCCATCCCCATCCAAAATCCTTCTCACAAACAAAAAGATTGCACCCCAACGCCCAACAATAGAACGAGGGTATGTGCAAGCTAAGTCGCTGAATCCAAAAAATGATAATCAAGAACAGAAACATCGGTCGAAACCATCAAATCGTCTTTCCTTACTCCATTCCTCCTCAATCATGTGGCTCCAAGCTTAGCACGGCTGCAAGTAGTTTGAAGGCACAAGACCAGGTCGACCAGTGTTACCGACAGGCTCAGCTTCCCACCACCCATCATCCTGCAAGCGCAGAACAGCAAGAATATCTCCCTTTTGGAACCCCAATTCCTCTGGGATCTGTGCTGCATAAGAGTACATTGCGCGCGCTATCATCATCGTTAGCAAATGAAATGATGTGTGTGTGTGTATGTATGAAAGAGAGGGAACAAACTTACAGTAGTTCAAAATCAGCCTTCCCTGACTATTATAATTCTTCGGCTCAGCCAAACTCTTACTCCTCGCTCTACTCTCCGCCCTCACAGAACCAGCATGGCTTGCACCGCTGAACCCAAACTCACTCCCTGCGCTACCGCCCATGTAAGAGCTCTGAGGCCGTGCCGTACTAGCAGTCCCTGGTCGAGCAGAACTAGCCGTCGTAGGACGCGCTGAACTAGCAGTCCCAGGTCTCCCGCGTACACTGCCTCCGTACTGACTGCCGCCGTAGACACTGCCGTCGCCGCGCACGCTACCTGCGGTTGAAAGAGCGAGGTCCATGCCGCTGTGGGAACTAGGGGGCCGTTCTTGGGATTGGCGGAAGGCAGGGTTGGGGCTTGCGGCTCGGGAAGCAGGGCCAGGGGCTGCTCGGGATTGTGGGCGGGATTGCGATTGTGTGTAGGCTGGTTGAGGAGGCTGTTGTGGGGGCAGGGGTGATGCAGTTCGTGGCGTGGGGTTGACACTGGGAGATGGGCCGCGGGTTGATTGAAATGAGTTGCGTCCTACAGGTGTACCATAAGCCTGGGCGGCAGCGGTGGTTGTCTGTGCTCTGGGTCTACCGCCAGCATTCGATGCCGCATATGGGTTGGGTGATGCGGTGCGGCTGAATGAAGTTGCCGGAGAGGCTTGCGGTTGTGCCCTTTGCTGCTGTTGCTGCTGCTGCAGCCTTGATGCGGGCCGTGGGACTTGTTGTTGTGGTTGCTGCTGTGGTTGTTGTTGTGGTCTTGGTGCCGGTTGAGCTGCAGGTTGTTGACGTGGCGCAGGTTGTGTTGCTTGTGGCTGCACCCTTGGTGCTGGTTGCGCGGCTGGTGGTTGCTGTCGTTGCGCAGGTTGGTATGTTGAAGGCGACTGAGGCTGTGATTGCTGTGGTGATGAGCGGTATGAGTTTTGAGTCGCCTGTTGTGTTGTATTGATGGTTGGCCGAGGACTGATAGCACGAGGAGGTTGTGCAGGGGAAGCAGTCCGTGGGGGTTCTTGCTTTGTAGGACTGCGGCTAGAGGATCGAGACGCCTGACCAGTGTTGAACATGTTCGCCTTCTGGTTGACATACATCTGAGTGGTCTTCTGCATTGCACGCGAAGTATGTGCTGGCTTAGGAGCACCCAAGCGGGACATGGGCGGCTGTTCGCGTGGTTGCTCGCGTGGTTGCTCGCGGGGTTGCTCTCGGGGTTGCTCTCGGAGTTGCTCTCGTGGTTGCTCTCGCGGCTGCTCTCGCGGTGGCTGGTCGTATGTTGGTGGAGGTGTGCCTCGCTTCGCAGCGTTCAGGTCGACGTTAGAAAGAGGGGTTGGCGCAACACCTGCAAGCCTTGAGCCGACACCGGGTGTACCTGGAGGAGCAGGCGTTGCGAGACCCATGTAACGATCTGCAGTCTGGCGTGAAGCGGGCTGTTTGCGATCCTCTGTCTGACGAACAGACGTCTGTTTAGTGACACCCCTCAACTCTTCGAGGGCCTGCGCAATTGGATCAAGCTCCTCTTGTGGCTCCGCTTCCTGCTCTTGCTGCTTCTTCTTGTCTGGCGTGGCTACGTCGAAAACGTTGTTACCAACGTTGAGCTGGAAGGTGGCTCGAGGATCAGCCGGTTCTGGGCTGGGCGAGGGCGCACGATTCTGTATAGCCCGAGTAGCAGGTGCTCTACTAGCAAAGCTCTTAGTCGGGATGACGTTCTCCTCTGTGTTCCTACGTGAGGGAGGTGCCCATGTATTGCGATTGCGATTGGCAGGAGTAAGAGCTGCTGGAGGCTCTACCTCATGCTTACTCTTTCTCCGTGCGAATGGACTGTTGAAGAAGCTTCTCTTCTTTGCAAACGAGAGCTCTTCGGGAGGGCTAGGCTCAGCGATTGGCGACTGGGCCATCGGCTTGCCAGGTGAAGCGGAACCACTTGGCGCCTCAATGCTAGAGAACGACGTAGGGTTCGAATATTCGCTCTGCGAATCCTCCCTACTAGCAGGTCGGACGGGACTTGGAACAGAGCTGCGGTCAGATGGCGCATCAATACGGCAGAACTGTGTCATTCCATCAGCAGGGAAGTCGTTGTGTGGAACCTGGCTTTGCTGATACTGTTCGCGAGCTTGTTGCTGAGCCTGAATCAATCGGGGATCTGGCTGTACTGCGCGTGCCACTCGAGGGGAGGGAGGTGCTTGTTGTGGCTCTACAGGTTGCCTTGGTGGCTCCACATGCTGTCGTAGAGGTTCGATATGGTGTTGCTGTCTTGGTAGCTCAACATGTTGCCTCAAAGGCTGTACATGCTGTCTTGGCTGTTCAGCACGTTGTCTCAGCGGCTCAACTTGCTGGTATCGAGGGTCGACTTGTTGTCTGGGTTCAGCACGCTGTCGGGTAGATTCCACAGACTGTCGACGAGACTCCATGCGTGGTCGAGGAGATTCTACAGACTGACGAGACTCCATGCGCGGTCGAGGAGATTCCATACGTTGTCGGGGAGACTCCATACGTTGCTCTGGTTCGTCCATCAACTGCGGCGGAGGTTCAACCGGCTGTCGAAGTGAGTCTACAGATTGCCGCGGCATATCTATTGACTGTCGTGGTCTGTCTATAGACTGTCGCGGTAGTATGTCGTCAGAAGCTATTGGGCGTGTTTCCTGCGGGAGGCCCAGCTCTCGTACTAGCGGGTTATTCGGATCATGATGCGAAGAGAATGTGGAAGGCGCTGGTGACGATGCGCGGTAGGCTGGATTCAAGGTTCTAGCGAATTGGGCGACTGAGTAGTTCTCGTCCTCCTCGGAAGCTATTGATGAGGTTTCGGCATCTCCCCTGCAGAAGTTGATGAACTTGGGAGGGTCGGGAATCTCCTGGCCGGTGCCAGACTCCTTGATGAAGCCGAATATGTCCTTCTCTACGTCGCAGTCTTCGAGTGACAAGCGCATCTTCTCGCACGAGGCATCGTCGCTGACGCATACTGTAGAGGCGATGTTGGCGAAGTTCCAGAGACTGCTCTTTGTGTAGTCGATGCGCTCCTCTTCGAGATCCTGGAACTTGTCGCAAGCAGCTTTCCAGTCTTTGTTCCACCTACCTGTGGTCTGTTCGAGCACCTTGACTGCGGCCTCGTATTCGCTGCTCGTTGTCGCTAGGTTGATTTGTGTCTTCTCAAGCTTTGCCTTGTTCTTCCGCTCTTCATGTCCCATGACCATGTGCGCCTGCGCTAGGAAGCCCTTGATCTTGAGACAGTCTTGCTCGTATCGGTCGCGTGCCTTGTTGACCGTCGACGTCTGCTGCATCTTCAGCTTGAGCAGCTTCTCGATGCCATTCTGAACAATCTTCCTTCGCTCCTTCATTCCTCCTGCAAAAGCGGCTAGCGGCTCTTCTAGCTCCGTCTTCATCTGCTGTGATATGTTCTGGTGTGCCTTGCCCATGGACTCAACCTCGGCTCGGATGACATCGCACGACAGTCGTAGTGTGCCGGTTTCGCAGGATCCCAGGGGCTTTCGCGATAGATTTAGGAGTTTCCGCGAGTATTCTTCTTCGATGGCCGCTCGCGCTGCGTAGAAGTTCTTGAGTTCGTCGTTGGTGACTTTGGCCGCATGCATGCGGTCGAGCATAGGACCGACGCCCGCGTCATCTTTGCCCCAGAAGTTGTTGGCGACTGCAATTGTCAGGACTGTTCACAACAAGGTGGTATGCAGTCAACATACACGATAGGGAGACCGAAGGCGGCTCCGTCGCTGCTGCACCACCCATGGCGCCTCGTGTTTACTGCTTCAGCGAGGGGTAATTGAGATGGCTAGCAGAATATGCAAGAAAGCGAATGCTCGCATGTGTTTTGGGGAAGAATATTAGGATATCTGGTATGCAGTCAAGAAGACCGAGCCAGGTGTTGATGGTAGACCGGGGTGCGCTGGCGGTGTACCAGTGGACAGCTGTGTTGACGGCCAGCAACATCACCATAGCGACGCGAGCGCCGAGGGGCAGCGCTAACCGCAGCACTATGACGAACCTCCGCTTGCTACCTCACCCCTATTGATACTTGTTAGTGGAGGATATTATTTTCTTCTGCCCTGCGTTCCTGATGCGTTCCCTGATGCTGTTCACGAGGACCAATCCCTCTTCATGGCCATCGTCATAATGCAAAGAAGCAAGTCCAGTGCAAGGGACATGTTCGGGCATCAGCTCAATGTCTCCGACGAGTATGAGCAAGGGACAGGCAATGGCCATGCGTACCAGGCTATTGGGAGTTGACTGCACATTATATAGCTCTCTTTGCCGCCCATACTGTCGTGAGTTGGAAATGGGGCAGTTGTAGCTAGCTGAGAACGACGTACTAGACTGCACCATCGCCAAGGAGCAAAGAGCAACCTGAACTGGCTTTAAATCATACAACAGAAGTTGTCAACCCTGGGAGCACTCACAAATATCAGAACATGTTCGTGATGGGAATTGGGTCGGATGGAGAACAGTCATGAACATTGGGTGGAGTGTGGGGTACAGAGTAGGTAGCCGCATCATAAAGTTCCATGTTCAAACACGAAATACCACGCGATACTACTGTTACCGTGGAATTCGAATCATTGTCAAGAAGAAAACGCAGCCTTGGCGGGTCTACAGACAAACCAAAAGTCGTGTTGCGTTGGGGTGTGATGTCAAACGTGGCAGGTCCCTCTACCACCAGTGCCAAGACGCTCGCTCTTCCTGCATGGTCGTCTGAACGTCTGGTTATCACACCCTGTACCCAAAACCTCACCACCCCAATCATCAACCCCCCCTCTCCCCCCCGCCCGCCACGCGCTACTCATGGAAAGACTCTTTCGATGAGCCAGCAACACCCCTGGGGCGCCCCGAGACCAAACCAAAGCACACGCCTCACGCCCATATCCACTGCAATTGCCCACGAGCAGCGCAACACCAACACGCCCTCACCCAGCAACCCGCGGCCCGCCCAATCGCCCGCAACATCAAACTTCCCCTCCCTGCCGCCCGCATCGTCGTCGCGCCTGGTCAGTCGTAGCCGCAAGTCGTCGGCTGCCTCGTCCACGTCGTCGCCCTTCTCGCCCCAAGCAGGACAGCAGCTCCCCGCCAGCCAGCTGCTGTCCTCGAGAGGGTCCAGGACCATAGCGCCCCAAGCTGCCTCACCCTTGGCTTCCTCCGCCGCAGCCGCTACCAACGGCCAAGGTGCACAGTCAAGTAGCGGCGGAGGAGCCTCCAAGCTTGTCCGCGCCTCGCCTTCGCTCTCCACGTCGAGCACCACGGGCTCCCCCAGCACCGCGAGCAACCCTTCTGGCGCCTCGTCGCAGAATCTCTCACGCATTGTCATCGCCCAAATATTTCTGCTGCTCAGTCAGTTTGGCCCGGTAAAGGACGACAAAGACCGCGCCAAGTGGGACACGCAAACCGAGCAGATCAGGAAGGTTCGTTGCTGACCCTGTTTGCGCGCTTGCCTTGTTTTACCTTGTTACCACTACACTTACTGACGCGCCGCCAGCTGGTCGACTCAAACGGCATGGAGGTCTTTTCAAAATACTTCCGCCGCGTGCTGCAGAACAATGCAGCCACCATCTTCGGCACCGGCGCTCGCAACGCCGATACCAACGGCAGCTACCAGATCCTCCTCACCGAGGTGCACAAGATACGGAAGGAGCCCGAGCAGGCAGACAAGATTGCAGAGTCAATAAGCTCCAGCGAGGGCGACTTGTTCCGCGACTTCGACCTGGCCGCTTTCATATCCCACTTCAGGCTCGACTCGGTCGCAAAGACGATGCTAGCCCTCGCCTGCAGGAGGACAGATCTCCGGACTAAAGGTGGGCAATCTCCCACACTCCCATTGATCCTTGCGCTAACTCTCGTCAGCCGATGCTGTATTGTCCACTGTAGGCGACGACCTACTAATGGCCGTCGCGCAACCCACTCAGCCAGAGGATATGAGCCACGAATACCTCGCCGCCCTCGTCGAACGTTTACTACAAGATCCGCCACAAGGCTGGGACGAAGAGAAAAAGATGAGCCTTGCCTATGCTGTCCAGATGCGATACCAGCAGACACACCAACAGATCCCCGGCATCGTCGAATCGAAGCTGATACTCGTCGAGCTCACTGATGGCTCGCGGAACCCTCTGGTCAAGCTGGTCAAACAGGCAGGTCCACAGGGCACAGCGACGGTAGAGGCATGTAAAGAAGTGCTCGCTTCGGCCGAAACGCGCGATATCAGCTACCAGCAAGTTGCGGCGGTGCTACTCTACCTCGCGCTCTCTACCGGATACAACGCAAAGAACTTTGTCGCTGCACTACGCGAACACCGAACCGGACAGCGGATAGACTGGCAAGACGTCGTGTTGGCGTTCGATCGGGATCACCTACGCATCGAGAAGCACCAGTTCCTGGCTATATACAACGCACTGCTCCCCGTCGCCCAGGACACCGAGAAGTTCGACATACAGGCACTATGGGGAGGTCAATGGCAGCACGACTTGACGCAATTATACTTTGTAGTCGCTTTCCTGTCCTCTACACGGCAAGAGCTGGACGTGACACAGATCCCTAGGTTACGCACCTCTTACTCGATGAAGACGTTCGAAAACGCTTCCGACGACGCCAAATCCTTCGCAGAGGAAGCAACCAAACACCCTTTTGTTTCGCTCGACGCGACGGCCGCGCTATTCAACATGATCTTCCAGACATCCGAGACATACCATACCGCACAGCTGATGGGCATACCCGACCTGGTGATCAATCCACACACAGCAGAGTTCCTGGTGGCGGCAGCGGCAGTTCCGAAACCCTGGGGTGCCTTGCAGGAGCAGGCATTGAAACAATTGTTCGATCCCTATTTCCACAAGAAGTTGCCCATCTACAATTTCGTCCTCTATGGTCTTTGGAAGCAAGACTTCCAATGGCTTACAGATCGATTTGTCGATGCCTACAACGCCGACTCGATGACGCTTAGCCTGGTACTTGAGCACGCGGAGACGAACAACTGGTTAGAGCAACTGATTCGCAGTAATACTGACATCAGCTTGGACTTGGCTGCACAAGCGCATGCGCGTGGAAAATTCGAGCTTGGAACCTGGCTGGAGCAGACGTTCGAGCAGGCTGGCCCACTGTTCCGTCGCATTCTGACTAACTTTCTGAGTGCGCGGGCTGCAGAAGAGATGCAACGAGCACGAGACGACCACCAACCTCTTAACCTACCGCTTGCTGTCAAGACAGTATACCCACTGCTCTGGTTCCTTGCACAGTGCGGTCTGCCCGAGCCGGAACTACTGCCCTTGCAACGGAACTGTATTCAGGCGTACCCGCGATTGATCAACTATGGTGAAGGCGTGGATGACATCATCGACGCCAATGGCCAGAACGGAAACTCGCTCCCGGACGAGGCAGACAAGAAGATGCAAGAGCATTTCAAGAATATGTACAGTGGCGACAGCGATGTCAGAGACATCATCTCAGCACTCAAGAAGTACAAGGAATCGCGTGATCCCGCGGACCAAGATTTGTTCGCATGCATGATTCACGGTCTTTTCGATGAGTACAACTGCTTCGGAGAATATCCTTTAGAAGCCTTGGCCACGACTGCTGTGCTTTTCGGGGGTATCATCAACTTCAACCTCCTGTCCCGAATCGCACTCCAGGTTGCACTGGCTATGGTTTTAGAAGCTGTTCAGGAATACAGACCCGAAGACAGTATGTACAAGTTTGGTCTCCAAGCTCTAATCCACTTCTCGAATCGACTGCCTGAGTGGCCCAACTACTGCGACCAGCTGCTCATTGTCCCTGGGCTCCAAGGAACTGAGATCTTCGTTAAGGCTGAAGAAGTTGTAGGTCAGCAAGTCGGCGAAGTCAACGGTGACGGTCATAACGGCATAGGATTGGCAAATGGTAACGGTATTGATGATGCTCTTCACCAGGAGCCGGCGGTATCCAAGTTCACCTGCCTCTACGTCGACCCCCCGCTCCGCCCAGAGCTCTACGAGGATCCAGACGAGGACGTTCAGGACAAGGTTCTGTTTGTGTTGAACAATGTCTCTGAGCGTAATTTGCGCGACAAGATCAGCGATCTCACCGAGGCCGTTGAAGAGAGGCATCACCAGTGGTTCGCCAACTATCTTGTTGAGGAGCGTGCCAAAATGCAGCCTAACTTCCAGCAACTCTACCTCGACATGCTTGATCTCTTCAACGATAAGACACTCTGGGCCGAGGTGCTTCGGGAGACATATGCAAGCGTCATCCGTATGCTTAATACTGACTCCACACTGGGTTCCACAGAGCGTGGTCATCTTAAGAATTTGGGCTCTTGGCTTGGTTCGCTGACAATTGCCCGAGACCAGCCGATCAAGTTCCGCAACATCTCATTCAAGGATCTATTGCATGAGGGTTATGATACCGACCGTCTTCTGCTTGTGATTCCTTTCACCTGCAAGGTTCTTGTACAAGCTGCCAAGTCTTCAATCTTCAAGCCTCCCAATCCCTGGCTCATGGAAATGCTTGGCGTCCTCATGGAGCTCTATCACTTCGCCGATCTGAAACTCAACCAGAAATTCGAGATCGAAGTTCTCTGTAAAGGTCTGGAGCTTGACCACAAGGACATTGAGCCTACGAACAGTATTCGAGGACGACCACCAGCGGATGAGGAGTTCCTCGGATCCATGGTCACTGACGGATTGGAAGCGTTTGGTGATCTTTCCATTATGAGCCTGAACCGTGGCGCCCGAGGTCCCAATGAACGATTCTCATCAGCAGCAATCACGGCA